CTTCTAACAAGAATCACCTCGACCTATTGAACTGCACACCAGGACGCGGATCTTCAACGGACGCGCGCGGCCGCCTTCATTTTAATACCCCCCAGACCCCTCCATCCTCTCGCTGAGAGTACGGCGCGCGCGCACGGCCGACGGGCCTATCGAACTCTCTCCGCCTTTCAGAAACAGCACTTCAAGCAGCAGCATATGCACAGCGCCGCCAGGCAGGCCTGCCAAAAGCCGCGGCCCGCGTCCTTGTCCTGAACGGGTTCCGCATTCGCTCGGGGTGGGGCAGGAGCGTATCCCGGGGGATAGCCCGAGAGGGCAGGAGGTTTGTCCGGGTCGCCTGCGAGTGCTTAAAACGGTCAGCCTGCATTAAGACTTCTTAGCTCGTAGATTTTGCACACCGAACGTCGGACGGAGAAAGACGGAAGCTTCATAAATGCCTTGACTTTGACAAGCAGAAGGGTAAGGAGACACTTCTTCCCGAAGATGAATCTACAGAAGAGTTGCAGGAAAGGTGTCCGAAAAATTCCCCTCAGGAAAAGTGCTGTGCAATGAGCCGCACGTGTGAAGGGGTGATTTGTGCTGCCGCTGACAGACGTTACGTCTTCGCGCCTGGAAACGTCAAGGAAAGAGTGCAAAACAGCCAAACACTATTCATGTGGCCTTCTACCTCTCTTCAAAAAGAGCCATGACCGGAATAGGTGCCGCTAATTCTGGTAAAGATTCTCTAGATAGAAAGGCTCAGGATCAACAGCGTAGCAGACATTGAAATTTTTCTCGAACTTGAAGGCCGCGCTTTCGGTTGGTAAATGCTGCTACAGCAGGTGATCCAGCTCAGTCGATCGCAGAGTCTCGCCAAGCACCCAGAATTCTTGAGTCTACTACGGCTGTCGCAAGCTAGGGAGAATATCGAAGATTGTTAAAAAGCCACGCATCGAAAACCTTTTGATGTAGAATTGCCGCCAGGTCAATTTAGGCAGGACCGCCTGAGAACACGAAGAGCATAATCTCTAAGGAACCTGTGCTCACACTCTTTCTTCTACTGTTCAGATGAAGGACCTGAGTTTCCCAATCGTTCGTCAATGCACGTGACCTTCGGAGTCCAGCGCTTTATCTCCTTTTAAATGCTTTTATCTTTCCTCGACAGCACAAGAACCATCACCCTCAAGCAGATTGTTTCTGAAGGCGGAAGGACTGACCCTCCGGAAAGGTTTGGCTGTAGGCGGGGGGATACGCGACCGGGTAAGCTGGAGCTGGGTACCCTTCCGGCGGCTGCGCATGTGCATGCTGCTCATAACCATTGGCGTTCTCCCTTGCGTCGTCATATCTCTCATCATTGGGCCCTCCACTTCCTTCGACCTTCCCCATGCTTGCGAACCCTGAATTCTAAAGTGTTGTGCAAAGAGAGACAGAGTTTCAGGCGGAAGGTTAAGCTTATGCGGCGAACCTCGGCTTAGTTCGTCCGATCTGAACAGGGGTTCAGAGACCAAACGTGGCGCTGCTGAAGAACGTGCGGGTTTTATTTTACGGAAGGCGTGCCGTCGACCAAAGTGATAAAGCAAGTTCTGATGTTTCTTCGAAGCCGGTGCAAGCCGGACCTGAAGACTTACAAGCTGCCCTCCGATGGTTCAAAGTCAAAGGGGCCGCTGTGAGGACGAAACCCCGACAACAGCATCCGCTGGGGGATTGGCCGCGGCAGAAGCTTTGACCCATCAGGCAAATACAGCTAGTCTCTCGCAAAATCTGCATGCGATCTTCGCCCAACCTTGGAAATTGACCGGCCCTCTGAGTTGCCAGTAAGCCGAGTACTTCACAAGTTCAGCGCGACTGCGCGGTCGTTTCGTCACCGCACGTCACGCTCCAAACCAGACTGCATGTTACTGGAAGATCAGTGCCCGCTAAATTAAAGCGTGTGCTCTCGCTTGCTGCGCAGCTTCTCCGTCTCACATAATCTGAAAGCCTTCAACAAGCAGTGTCATTGGAAGCAGGAGCATGGCAAGGTATCTTGACATCCAAGAATTTGAAGTGGCCTCCGAACCAGGGGCACTGTTTATAGGGTTGCAGGAAGGCCCCATGCGCTCAGCTTCTGATTTCATGCGCTCATTTATTCCTCTTTGGGCGGGCATCAATCTCGTTGCATTGGATTGTTCATAAGGTCGACATATTTAAGCGACCCCTTGGAACTTCTATTCAAATTGTGAAAGATCTACTCTCAGCCCACAAGAGACTAAAGTTCAGACGCTTGAGCTCCAGACTTAAGGTCACTCTAACGTTTAGACCTGTTCTTTAAGAGCTTTCTTTGCAGAGCAGGAGATCCGTCTTTGTTGCACCGCTCAACATGGGAAAGGGAAAAGGGAAGGGCAAGGCCAACGGTACGTACCCGGACGACAAGGGTCACGCGGGGTACCAGGGACAGGGCCAGTATGGGTACCCAGAGCAAGGGTACCCGGTTCCAGCATACCCCGCCCAAGGCCCAAGTGCGCCCCCCGGTCAGTGAGTCTCTGCTCAAACTGCCTAGTTAGATGAGGGTTATCGATGATGTAGGCGACTCTTTCTTAGAGACATAATACAGCTCATTATCGCAGCGCTACTGCCCGGATAGTTAAATATATTTGATTTGAGATGGATGGATGAACACCAAACGTCGACATAGACAGCTGTCAAGGTGGTGTCAAGGGACGACGTGAGGACCGGCCCTTGAAAAGCAACACACGTGTCAGCGCTCCATTTTGAAAATCCAATTGTATCAGCAGAGAAGTGGAACCAGAAAGCATGTCTGACTTCGATCTGATTTGCGTGGAGTGCATTCACACCTTCATATGTCCATCTGGAAATGCAGCCTCTCCCGTAGAAGCGGCCTCTTTTTCAACGATCCCGTCCGATTGGTTAAGATCTGCAAGCGTTCTCAAGTTATTTTTCATCGTACCACTTTTATCGTATCTTTTGACTCTGATATTCAATCCCTGTACCTGCCTTACCAAATAAGTCTTCAATTTGATTCGTTTGTGATCGGATTGTCCGCAACCTTGTTCAACTTTTGGGCGCTGCACAGAACTGAGAGTCATAACGATCGCCCGCAACTTCTTTGCTTTAGCATCACCAAAGTCTCTTTTCAAACCTTCGGCTCAACGTTGACGCCACGCTCGCGGGTCTCGTTACATGAAGCAGCGCCTCCTTGACTCTCCTGGTTGAATGTAACCTTAATGTTCTTTCTCTGCAAGTTAAGCTGCACCAGATTCCTTTTGATTTGAAATCTTGGCAACCAGCAATGGTATGTCAGACAGATTCCCGTCCCACACCTTTGATTAATTCGTCGAGCTTTGGAAAATCTCTCACCGGCGTTTCATGAAGAATAAGCGCATCTGATGTATTAAACGAAGTTCAGCGGAGCGTCACCTCTTTCTGCCCTCAGCAGTGCTTTCCTTTTCTGCATACAGAGCCGGTTAAGAGTGTTGCACGAGCGGTCAAAGAGCCGGAATATGCAACCGGAGAAAGAGCACACGTAAGAGCTTACGATTAAGAGTGCCAGATACGAGCGGATTCAGAGCCCAACTCATCTCAGGCTTTCCCCCTCTCTTTTGCAGCGGGCTATCCCCAGCCGACTCCTCAGTACCAGCCTTACGGCCCCGGATTTCAGCCCACCCCCGGTTACATCCCTAGCACGGCTACCCCCCCTCCGCAGGAGAAAGGCACGGGCGGGGGGTTTTTGGCGGGGTGTCTCGCAGCGCTCTGCTGCTGCTGTGTCGCCGATGAGTGTGTCGACTTGCTGACTTGTTGCTGCTGAATCAAGCCGTTGTAGATGAACTACGAATCATTGGGTTATGTCCGGTGGGACGACGCTGAGCGGTTCACTTTCGCATGGGCATTGAGCAACAGATAACGAAACTCTCTAAACTAGAAAGACCGTAGTGTAATCAATCGGGAAGATCAGTTGGTGCTTGACAGGCACGCTCAGGGAACACGTTAAAAAGATTTGACGTGAGAAATCAGTTGTCTTTGGACCGTCGAGTGGAGTAAAGTACACGGTCCTCGTCAGCGCTTTTTCGTTGAGCCGTTGGTTTTGAACACTTGATCTAATTGCGCGCCTTCTCCTCCTCGATTGTTGACAGAGCGTTACTTATAAATGCTGCATGGTCGGTACGTACAGATCATGATGATGCCAACGAACTCTCAGAGGTACACTTCCTTTGAGAACAATGAGCATGTTGGCGTCTACTAGCCCCCACCAAATGTTCGTATCACTATCTGGCATCCAGTCACGCACATGACCACGTTGAAACCATTGACGCGCAAAGCTTTGCAAAAACAAAGGCCGCCACGATGAGCCAGCCACGGGTCACGCGATTACATGCACATAAGCACAGTCCGGCCTGGCCTCCGGGGGGCCGCCAGCGCGCATGGCCGGTTCCGTTCAGTCAAAGTTTCACCATGCACCGTTCTTTATACGGAGTACACATGTGAGTTGGAACTTTCTAGCAGGGCCGTCAAAGCAAATACCGATACAGTCATACCACATATCACAGCAAAAAATCACTCTCAACCCGTCTGTAAATCATGCCTGCCATTATTCACGCAAAGATTGCAAAGTTTTCTTGAAAGCAATTGGATGTTGGCACGCCTTGCTACGAGGTGTTCAGAAATCCTACGCAGACCATGCAGATCCAAACTGTCCCTGTCACTCAGATCGACAGTCGTTCCGACAATTATGACCAATTCCAGAGTACCTTCCGCTCAAAGATTCACAGAACGGGCTTCCCCAGAGACTGTTAGCACTAAAAATAGGATTGGTCCAACTTCTATCTTCAATCGCTTCCTAGCACGTCCTCCAATCCCTCGACGCCTAGATCCCAGTCGTCCATCTCCTCACGAATCTCTTCTTCGCCCACGTCAACGTCGTGATCGCTGACGTCAGACTGCGAGTCGGACAAGTCCCCCGAGTCCTTCCCCCGTCCATATCGACTAGCCGAGTCCGGACGTGGGCTCTGCCGAGCACTCAACCCGGGCAATGCGTTGGCGGACTCTCTGACGTCAGCAGCGCTCGATGCTGACGGCACGTCCCCATCGAAACCCTTGCCAAAGTCTCCTTTCCCCGGTTCATTCGCTGGATCAGACTCGATTTGACCCCGCGCTTTGAGCCCTGCGGTCGGAGACTGTCCCCCGACCCGACTGCTGCCAGGTGACGGCGGGCCACCGCTTACGTCATTTGGAAGGACACTGACGTCGTTCTCGCCCTCCAGACTGTCTCGGCTGTGATCGCTCCCGGGGCTTCCCCTCCCGCGCCTGCTGCGACCGGTCGCCGTTTCCGTCCGTTCTTCGAAGTCCGCGGGCTTGCCGCTTCCGGTGTCCGCCGGACTGGGCGACGGCGTCAGCTCTTTCGGGTCCAGGAACTCGTTCGCCACGCCCGGGGAGGGGCACACCGGGCTGGGGGCCTTTTCCGGGTTCGCTCCTGCCCATCCCTTCCGCTCGCGGAATTCCGTCCGGGTTCCGCTCGGAGTGCCTCCCCCAGGCGATACCGGGCTGGTCAGGTATGAGAGGGAGTCGCGGGCAAACGGCAGCGAGGCCGGAACCTCTACCGCGCTCTTCGGAGGCTCCGTCCAGTCCCTGTCCGAGAAACCCGCTTGGGCTCTCGACTTGCGCCCCAGGGGCGACTTCGGGCGAAGGGCCAGATCCGACGGCACAATTCCCGGCAGCGCGTCGAGCTTCAGCGACGGGGGCCGGCGCGGAACGTGCGTTCCGCTGGCCGGAACTCCGCTCGACGGAGCGCTGAGGCCGCTCGACGGGGCGCTCGCTCCACTCGAGCCGCTTACCCCCGTTTCGGACGTCTGCGCTGGGTCCACCGGTTTCGCATTCCCCCGGCTTCCGAACGTAGACGTCATGGTGACGTCAGCGGGCGACGTGGCGTTGCTGGGCGGCGAGATGGGCGTCTGGTAGAGCAGGTTTTCGTGCATCAGGAGGAGCGGCGGCGGCGCGGCCGCGACCGCGCGCGCGCCCGCTTCCAAACCCTCCTCCTCAAACCTTCCGATGGGAAGCTTTCCGGGCACTTTTCCGGCGGGTCCCGCGCCCAGTTCGTACAGCGGATTCAGCCCGGCCTCTGACTGCGCGGTCGCCCACGCAGCTGCAAAGAAGGTTCCGCTCCCGACCCCGATTCCGGTTCCGGATACGACCTTGCCTGAAAGGCTCTGCCGAACGGTTGCAAGCTGCGCTCCGATGTCATCCCAGGATTGCGCCTGGGAGGGATCCCCGGGCTCGGCCTCTGGGGCGGCCGGGCTGCCTTGTGAGTCTGCAGTCTCCCCCTGAAACAATCCGCCGACCAGATTTCCCCTTTTTGAAAAACTCTCCCCGTCTGTTTCCACGCTCCAATCCGCCTCGTTCCTGTTCTCTCTATCCGCTGCAGTGCTGCCGCGAGATACCTCCCCATGGACTTCGTCATCAATTGACGTCATATTTATGCCAACTCCCTGGCCCCCGTGGTGCCGGCATATTCCGGCCGCCAGCGCCTCGTGGTCGCGCGCGCATGTCTCCGCCAGCTTCCCAACCGCAAGGGCCAACCGCTCAACCTGCTGCTCCACGTGTCCGCCTCCTATTTGCCGGCGCAGATCGTCTTCCATACCCTCCATCTTCAGCCGAACCTCCTCCAGACTATGATCCATTTCCGCGTTCCGTTCCTTCAGCTCCTCAACGGAATTGTGCAGCGGACAGCTCGATCCGTCGGACAGCCGCACCAAAAGGTTGCCCACCTGCTTCCGAACGGAATCCAAGGTTCCGGCGGACTCCGTCTGTTGTTGTCTTCGTACCTCCACCGCTTGCTTCAGTCCATCCGCCTCGTTTTCGATCAGCTTAACCCTCAAGTCCGCTGTCCTTTCCCGTTCCGCTGCTTCGCCGTCCTTCCGTTGCTCCGCAAGCGCCTCGACGGAACTTCCCAGCCGCGCGACGCGATCTCGCAGCTCCGATATCTTCGCCTCCAGTTCTTCTTCGACTCCCTTTCCTTCTTCCACCATTTTTGCCACTCGTTCTTCCAAGCCTCTCGCTCGTTCCGCCCCCTTCCGCTGCGCATCCTCAACGGATTCCGCCAGCTCGCCGACCTGCTCTTGCAGCCCTCCAAGCCGTCCTTCGTTCTCTTCTTCCCTTCCCCTCAGCTCTCCAAGACCCGCTTCTATTCCCTCTAACCGTTCACTTATCCCGGTCAAATTCTGCCCGGTACCCTGCTCCAACTTTTCTGTGCCCCCTACATCCTCTAGCTTTTCCCTCACCTCTTTCACCGCACCTTCCATACATGCGACGTCGCCCCGCAAAGAATTTAGTCCCTCGTTTTGCCTATCTCGTAAATCGCCCAGCTCCGCTTTCACGCTTTCGACAAGATCGCCCAAACCCTCAAGCTCTTCCAATCTGTCTCGAAGTTCCTCGACGCTCGCTTTCGAACCGAAGCTCTCCCGGCTCGCCGCCGCGGCCGCGACGCGCGCCTCCAGACCCTCAAACCTCTCGCAAACCTCCAAGAACGATCCGTCCGTCCCCACCTTTCCGTTCGCGGACATCGCCTCAACGGACGCTTTCAGCTTTTCAAATTCCTCCCGAAGCTCCCGTTGCTTTTCTGCCACGTCACCCGAACTCTTCCGCGCGCGCACTTCCTCGACCGCGGACTCCAAATAGCCCACTCTAGTTGCAAAATCTTCCAAGCTCTCCTTCGATCCCGCAGCCTCCACTTCCGCGCTCCTGGCTTCCTGCACGGACGCCTCCAGACCCGCCACGTGGCTGCGTAGAGCTGCCACGTCATCACGAAGGGATCCCCCTGCATCTCCGCCTTTCGAAACCTCCTTCTTTGACGAGGCCTCGTTGACTTTATTCTCCAGTTGCAAGAGGACCTCTTTGAGCACGTCCAGCTCCGTCCGCATGCAATCTGCACTGTCCGAAACCCCGCCCAAGTCCGTCCGCAGCGTGTTCACACCGTCCGACACCCTTGCTACGTCCGCTTGCAGAACTTTCACACCGTCCGCTAGACCGTCCACATCTGTTCGGAGTGAGTGGACGCCGTCTGAATCTGTACCGTCCGACTTTTGTTCGCTTTTGTTGACGCGCTCCGTCAGGTCCTCCAAACGCTTCTCAAGCAGCTTTCTTGCTTCAGCGCTTCCGCTCCTCTCCAAAGTTGCCTCTGCTGCCATCTCAGAAGCGAAGGCATCGAGTGCCGCCACAGTCGCTCCTGTTTTCGATAGCTCGTTCCGAAGGGCTTCCGTTTCCAGTCCCGCATTCCCCTTTACCTGCGAAAGAGACTCCTCGAGCCCTGTCACAGACGCCTTCACACCGTCCAGTTCCGCTTGGAGCGCATCCACACCAAGAGCCGCTTTTGCTGAAGCGGAACCTTCCAGCTTCTGAACAGTCTGCTGCAACCGTTCCAACTCTTTTTGGAAGCTCTCAAGACGCTCCGGGTTTTGCTCCGCGGCCGCGGCCGCGGCTTCCAGCGCCACGACCGCCCCTCTCAAACTATTTAAACCCTCCTGCAGGTCACCCGTATTTGCTATCCCCTCTTCCCGTCCCCTTTGGGCAACGGCGATGCTTTCCAAGACCCTCTCTTCCAGCCCCTTGACTCGGCCCCGCAACCCCTCCAAACCCTCGGTCGCGGCCGCCTTCGCGCCCTCCAAACCCTCCTCGGCTTCAGCGAGCCGCTCGGTCGTCTCGTCGGACACGCTCTGCAGTGCCTCGACACACTCTCTCAGCTTCTCGACCTCTTTTCCGGTTCCGTTCGCGTTGCGGAGATCCGCCAGCTTCACATCGACTTCTGCGCCCAACTTCGTCTGCAGAGCCTTCAGCCTATCCTCTAGAGCTTCCGCTCTCCTGGTCGAGTCCGCTTCCGCTTTGCCCTGCCGGTCGGCGATCCGCCGGACGGATTCCGCCAGTTCCGCTGTCCGGTCGGCAACCTCCTCGACGACCGTCCGCCGGACGCTTTCCCGCTCTCTCTCCAGCGTCGCCGAGATCTCCCCCACGATGTCCTGCCTGGCTTTCGCCAGTTCCGCTCGCACGTTCCGGTCGTTCCGTTTGCCCGCTTCCACCATCTCGCTTCGGAACTCGACCTGCAGCCTGCTCAACTCGCCTTCCGTTCTCCTTTGAGATCTCGTCATCTCGTCAATCGCTTTGTCAGCGGGCTGTGCAAGCTCCACAACGTCGATCCTTTTCCGCAGTTCCGCTACGAGCTCGCCGTTCCGCTGCAAGGCCTGTTCCGCTTCCGTTTTGCAGCCGAGCTCCTGTTCTAGCTCCTCCACCCTCCTCGCCAAGACCGCGAATTGCTCTTCCGCTTTTCCGCCCCGCCTCTCACCCCGCAGCTCCTCGAACTTCCGCAGCATTCCGTTCTCGTTCCGTTGCGTATCATGCTCCCGTCGGTCCGCTGCCGTTCTCAGTCCCGCAACCTCGTTCTCGACACTTTCCAAACCCTCACTCAAACCCTTGCAAAGCCCCGCGCACCCACACGCGGGAGCGCCCCCGGCCGGCCCCGCCGCCTCGAGCTGGTCCTTCTTGAGCTTCTTGATTTTGGCCGTTAGATGGGACACGTGGCCGTCGCTTAGCTTGTGAGTGGCCTCCAGCTGGCGCAGCTGGGACTCGGTCCGCTTAGCGACAGTCAGCGCCCTGCACAGAGAAAAGCATCCAATCAACATTCTGGGTTGCGGAACGGAAGAAAATATTAGCTTCTCAATTACCTTTTGAATGTAGGTGGGACTCCGCAACTAATGTAAACATATTCTCGAACTCTCGTTTCAAAGGGAATTGTCAAAAGGGACTTCCCCGTTCACCGCTCAGGCAACTCATCTGGCTTAGGTGATCAAAGTTAGCTAGGCTCGCAGCATTTAGTTTCCTTCTCCTCAAGAGCCCCCAAGAAGAAAAGACTTCGTTATTTGGGCGCCCACCTAGCCGCTTTGGCCTCTAGTGCGGTCGCCCTCGCGCCCATCTTCCCCCCCACGAGCCACACCGCGCGCCGTGCGAGGCGCTCCATCCCCGCCGGCCCTAGTTTCTTGTCGATCGCCATTTGGGCGTCCGCAGACGCTTTTTCGATCTCGGAACGGGCGTCCGCGGTCGCCTTTTTGCCCAGAAAGGCGACCGCCTCGGCCACGGCGTCGTGCATGGTCGCCTCGAGGCGCTCGACGCGCTGCTGAAAGGCGCGCTCCATCGAGGCGGACATGCGGCCGATCGCCTGCAAAGAGAGCGAAAGTCGCTGAGAAGAAGGGGACACTCGTTTTCAAAACCCTGTCTTCTGTGGGCTGACGACCGGACTTTGGCGTTCCTTATCTGATATGAGTCAGCAGACTGCGACGAAACTCCGTGAAGACATAGAGAGCTTGCCCTGTTGCTGACCAAAGCGCGGAAGACATCCGTGTCCAAAGTCCAGTACGACAGGGCACGTTCTCAGCTTTCTTCTGTTTTCTACCTGGTAATGACAGCAAACCTAGCCCACTCGAAAAAGCAGGCTTGGCGAAGAAGGACCGACTAAAGGCTAGATCGGACAAACCCGTTAGCGCCCTCTATACACGCGCCCCACTGCACGACTTCTTTCTTTCCTCTGTCCTCTCCATTTGAAGGGAATTTTCTATCTCATGGGAGTTCGATCACATACACTGCTTTCTCCTAGGCGTTTACGGCCAGTCCTGTGGTTTGTTCCCTTCCCATATCTGCCTCATTCTTTCCGCATTTCAAACGTCAGCCTCACTTCAATCTCCTTCCATTCAAGGCACTCACCTCGTACAGTCGTCCTTCGAGAGGCCCCCGCTCCGCCTCCAGGGAGCTCACTCTTGCTTGCAGCGAATCCAGGGATCCCCCAGTTGTGGAACCGGTTAGCGACTGAGATAGAACACCGTCTGGGTAGCTGATTGGTCGCTGCCTGCACGAGCGAATGTACTATTGTATGCATCTTGTGCGAGATATGGGCCACTGATGTCAAGCATCAAAGTGGAACCGTTAGCGACTCTCTTAGAACACCCTCTGTGTAGCTGATTGGTCGCTGCCTGCACGGGTGAAAGTACAAGTTGAATACGTCTTTCTGGAGGATGCGTCCCCTTGATGTCAAGCATAGGTGAGGAGGCGGGCCAGAAGAAGACGGGTCTATATAGCTGATTTGCCGCTGCCTGCATACTTCTGAAAGTTTGATTGAACGACGTGTCTTTCAAGGGAAACGTTCGCATGTCGTCAAGCATAGATGTGGGAACGAGGCTGAGGGGTTCTTGCCGAATCTATGCATGCAATTGCGAAGCAAGCTTCTTGACCGGGGATTAACGAAGCAGTAAGTCCATCAATATGTGCAGCCAGATCATATCAACTTTCTCCGTTGAGCGTCTTCCCAACATTACCTTAAAAGTGGTATGAGTTATTTTCCCCTTTGACCAGACAAGACAAGCAGAAGTTCAAGTCTCAGCATAATTTTGGCTCGCGGACCGTACTTTAAGCAGTCCGCTGCACCACTCCAGCTCTGTCACTGCTACTCCACGGAGCTCCAGCGAGCTTGCTCTAAGCAATCCCTAAATAATGAAGAGGGCCGACCTTTACTTATCGGACCACATGACAGCCAATGACAACTATCTTTTCGGTGAGAGGCCTCTTCAGTTCAGTGACAAATTTGGTAATGGCTTAACATGTTCTTACACATGGGTGGAATGACACCCACTAAACAAGTAGAGTGTAGCACAGCAAAGTGCAGAGAAGTCGGCTCAAATTCGCACCCACCTTTCAGCATTTCCCTCCGTCGCTGCCACCCGTTTCTCACCACTCCCCTCCGCCAAACTATCCCCCCGACTCACTTGCGTCGACCAGAGAATTCTCTGCCCCGTCCATGACTGCGACAATCCTGGCGTCCTCGCCTCCTGACCAAAGCTGACTTCTGCACTGTCCTGGACCCCCCTGGAATCGAAGGAGGGGTAAGGTCCGGGATAAGCTGCGTCCGTTTTGGCAGAGGCCGGCCGCCCCCCATCAGACGAGTGCCTGCGGTTTGCGGCATCTGAGCTGCCCCTGGGAGCCTCTGGGAGGGGCCCGATTGAGTGGCGCCGCACGTCCTGCTTCGAAAAAGGGGGGTAATCATGCCCAGAGATTGGCCCCACGTTTCCATCTATCGGGGCCCGGTTGATCCCCCTGGCTGCAGACAGGGGGCGCGGCGCTTCGTCCACTCGGATTACCCGCTTTACCTCCCCCTCGGGGGTGGTAAAAGCAGCCTTCTGGACCCCCCTGTTCAGCGCCCTTTCTGCGCTCTGGATCTCGTCTCGCAAGCTCGCTTTCCGCTGACTTGCTACCGCGGCCTCCGCCGAGCTGACATCATCTTTCCGCGTCGGGGGGCTCAGCAGCCCCCTCCGCAAGCTGCCTCCCGACGCTCGTTCAGACGCCGGCTCCCCCGCCCCCCGTTTCAGCCGACTCTGCAGCACATTCAGCCGCGCGATGCTCTCTTCGAGCGCGGTCGTCGGCACCCCCCCGTCTCCCAGCTGCCCTGAGCGCACCCCCCCAGAAGACCGATGGGGGGCTGACCACAAATTACCCCCCGCAGACGGCTGGCTTGATAAGCCCGAAAAGAACCCCCCGTTTGCGTTCCCCCTGGAACGTTGCGAGTGGCTCGACTGCGGGCGGGACTTGTAACGAGGCTCGGGTGATCCCCTGCGCGCTTTCAGAATGGCGGCGGTCAGGGGGGCCAGGGACGCTGCTTGCAGCTCGAAGGCGTCTGGTTCAGCTTCCCCCCGGGGAGCGGCCCAAGCAGAGGGGGCCCTGGTGCCTGCCCGATAATTCATCTTTGCTGCTCGTTAGTGATTGGTAAAAGACAGGTAGACGAAGCTAATCATCTTTCTTGTTGCTGTGGCTTAGCTTAGTATGCGCAAGTTGCTTGGTGCAGGCTCATAAGATATTGGCGTGTACGCTTGCCAGATATAGAAGAATGATCTAAGATGAAGCGTGTGGAAAAATGTAAAGATGAAAATGTGGAGTTCTGACATCTTTGCGGCCCCTCTGTGTTAGAATTACCCCTTAGCCCTTCAACCTTTGGCGGCCCTGGCCCTGCATCTGACTTATACTGCTTCAAGATGCAAACTTTGAAGTGTCTTTCCAGCATCCTATCGGTGGGTCCTTCGATTCTCAGCTCCACTCAAAGAAGTCTAGTGGCATATCAGAATGGATGAGATGACGTTGCCGCCATGGAAGGACTAGACTGGGATATACATGGTGGTGCGGTACGCCGTTTCTCATGATTCTCACTGAGTCAGTGTTGACGTGTTCACGTGTGTGTCAACGCTGATTCAGGTCTACCGCAGTCAGGCCGGCCGGCTCAATGCAGGACGTGGGTACGTAAGTTTGCTAGTCTTACAATTTGCGTCACTGATGATGTCACACAGGGTTAACACCCTTACACATACTAAAACCCTAAGGGTAAGCATTGAGCAAACCCTAAGGCGTTCCGCCAGAGCCCACCCGTACCCACCCTAACCCCCCGGCTAACCCCACCAAGATCAGTGTTAGCCCTGTTTGTAACCTGCGATTGCCCCGAGCACCTACCGCACCCGGTTGAACCAGGCGGTACCGACCACATCCTAAAAGTACCGTACCGTACCACTGGTATCGCTGATGTCATCAGTGACGTATTTTCGAGACTAGCAAAGTTACCTAGTCTGCTGGAATGCAGTCAAGGTGCAACGAGTGGAGCACGATTAACTGCCGCTTGGCCCCCTTCCTTTCTTGCGCAAAGCTTCGGAAGCGCGCGTGCAAAGCAACACAATTTGACGATTCGGACGACATTTGCGAGACTGCGCGCGGCCCGGTGTACGCTGAAACATCATTCGGATTAGTCATGCGTCCGCACGATTAGTCATGCGTCCGCCGAAGATGGAGTACGTTCGCAGAACTTGCCTGGTGACGTAGTCGGGTTCCGCACGTCGAAGCAGAAAGCATACACTCCCCCCTTGAATCGTTCGACGACGAAAGCTCGAAGCAATAATGCACGTCAACGCTGCCATCCATGGTCTTCTAGAGAGAGCCGCGCCATGGCTGAAGCCTGAAGGTTGAAACTTTGCTTCTTTCAAAAGAGGTGCAAGCGCATTCCAAGATGGAGCCGCTTTCTCCAGGACAATGCAGCCTTCTGGGCAGAATCAGAAGCGCCATGGTATCCTTTTAGACGTTCTGCTTGTAATAGGGGTCAGCATTTAAGAGTGCAGCTAGCACGGCGGCGATCATCATCTAGCTAGACCACTGGCAGCACTAGCTGCATTCCGGCAGTGAAATGTGTGCTCTCACTAAAGCTAGCTAGAGAACGTGGAGCTTTGGAAGTGCTACCTACTAGCGGGTAGCCCTTGCTGTGTCACACTGGTACGACAGAGAGGAAGGAAGCCGTTGTTGACCACTAAAAGCATTGCCTCTGACTTGCATTGTTGTCTCCCAGGTTTTTCATGGCAGTTGTGTTATTGTAAACAGTCGTTCAGATAGCTTCAAGAAGGAGCATCAAGGCCTGAGGACCGAGTGATAGTGGTGGAAGTTTCTCCACGTCTGTGGTCTTGGGAGACCAGTCGTCGACACAAGATCTGCAGAGATGGCGGACCTGGAAACTGGTGCCAAAACAAAGGAAGTGGAGCTGCCGAACAGCGTCCCTGAGGGTGATTCATCATCTCATGATGACTCCAAGCACGGAGGCAAGCACAAGACGTATGACCTCTCCATCCATTCGCTGACATACAAGGTGAGGGTTGAGAGTGCCGTGTTCTCGTGCTGCAAGACTCTCTTTTCCGACACATTTGCTTTGGCGAGGTCGCTGCGAAACAAGTTATGTGTTGTGTATTCTCGACAGGAGAAACGTCAACTACGTTCTTGTAAGGACACTCGCAAAAAATGCCAGACAACCTGTGCAACATTTGAAGCACAAGGTAGAAGCGCGCTTTGCAATGCTCACCAAAACATATTTCAAGAAGAAGGTCTTGCTTCAGGGCAGAGGGATCTCGCTTAGTATTTTGACACCACCTTACTCCCATATTTCTGGGCATATAAGAATAATGAACGTGGTTAGAGTGCCTGATGGTCAGTGGCATTCTGTCCTTTGATGCTGTCCCGGGAGTGATCTCAGGCACTCACATTTGATTGCTGTTTTACTTCATCTTCTGCTGGCAGCACCTTCAGAATGGCCCTGTCTTTATAAGAGTCAAAAGGAAGAACAGGCTGTTGGAAAGTTGACTGCATAGCTGCCCTGAATGTACTGGTCCATCTCAACTTCGGTGCTTATCATTGTCAAGTTGCGTCGAACTTCACACGTTTGTGCTGAACTCTAGTTAGTTATTGATCATTTCAAGGGTACTTACATCCAGTGCTGTACTTGTGTTTCAAAGAACATATGGATGGCTGTTGCTGATGTGCCTTCATGGAAGGAGAGCATCAGAGTCTTATCAGTACCATGGTGGTGCTTAGCTGAAGATGAGGCTAAGTTGGACGGACCTTGAAGTCGCTCCAGGTGTAAGAAGTTTCACAAAAGCCCCCAAACATTGGACTACAAGAACAATATAGCCCAGAACACTGATGAACACAGTCTTGTTTGCAACGCGCAGGCTCATTTTAACTCAAGACTGCCTTTCATAAGGCATCAAACAGTGGGCCAGAGTGGGCTGCTGTCGTTGTCTTTTCCCCGTACTTTACTATGGTGCTAATACTCGTAGTACGGTAAATGTTTCCCAAGCCTCTCATAGTCGCCGTCTGGAAAGCAGCCTTGAAAAGTACTGTCATCATAACAAGCTGGATGGAAGTCACCAGGGATGCAAACAGAACACCTGATACACAACACCTGATTCTTTGGCTGGCTTTAATTGTCGAACTCTGCGAGTAACAACGAGTACTCCTCTGCACTACTGGCAATCACTGTCTGCTTGGCTTCATGCGGCAAGAATGGAACTTGTCGATGCAGATTATCAAAGATCACAATCAGGCCTGAAAACCTGTTTGTCTCAGAGCAAGACTTTCTTAGCAGGATGGCCTTGGGACACGTCACGAAAACACTATGCTCTCATAGTAGCAGAGACTCAGGAGAGGCACAAAACAGAAGTTCCACCTCCGCCGCTGACATGAAAACAAAGACACACAAACAAGCAGCGAATGGAAGGAAATAACCAAGTATTCTCCTCTGGCCACAGGTTGTTTCTAAGACTCAGGAGGGCTCGACGGAGCGCCTTTTGTTGAATAAGGTCAGCGCTGTGGCACGCCATGGAGAGATGATGGCGGTTATGGGCCCCTCGGGGGCTGGAAAATCGACATTCTTGGATGCAATCGCGGGGCGGATCGACTCCAACAGCCTGGAGGGGGGGATCCTGGTGAACAATAAGCCGATGGACCATGGGTTCAAGCGGCTGTCGGGATATGTGATGCAGGTGAGTAGGGGGGGGGGGGGGTGGGATAGGGCAAAAACGACTTGTGTATTTGGCAAAGGGTCCGTTTGGTTTTCATGAAGGGGTGGAAAAATCTTTTCTGCGGGGTTTTTGGGGAGCAGCATGAGAATCATTGTGGACATGAGTTGAAGCTGCTATCTGGCTATTCTATGCAAATCATGATGTCTCCAAAATCATGATTGCCTCTATTCTTTCTGCTGGGGAGCACATTTATCCAAAGTCAAGGGCCTCGGTTTGAAAGCACTCCCCCTGTATCGCAAAGTCAGCATCGCTCTTTCCCTGAGCTTGTGCAAACAACTTCGAATTTTTCGCTCCATTATTACCAAATTGCTGACCAGATATGGGCTAACTCTTCTCAGGAATTCTACTTTTCATCTCACCAAATATTGACCCACTTTCTAACCCGCTGCTTGCCCCACTTTTCGAAGCTCCACTTCCACAAAAAACGCGGTTTCCATTCTGCTGGTGAGAAGGGCCAAAAGCATTTCGTCGGTTCTTTCTCATTTGCAGATGATGATTTTCCGTCAGCAGCCTCGTTGAGTGCTTGAAAAGACTCCTAAACCCGCGTCTCAAACCTTGATTCCTCCTGAACAACAGGACGACCAGCTGTTCCCTATGCTGTCGGTGCGCGAGACGCTCATGTTCAGCGCACGACTCCGGTTGCCGGGGACCATGACAACTGCCGAGAAAAAGGAGCGGGTGGAGGAGATGATCACCGAGCTTGGGCTCACCCACGCTGCTGACACCAAAATTGGGAATGAGGAGGTAAGCGGGGCAGGAAGGTCTGGAAGTGTGTCGGATGCAGAATCGTTCTATGGCTGATGAGATCACCAACGAGCTCGAAATTGGCAAGGAGGGAAATGACCGAGGCAACACCTCATTTGCCTCGTCTCAGAAGCAGTCTGATTATACAACCGACAATTGTCTGTTTGGGTATGTAGACGAGGTTGACTCTCTTTGCTCTGCAGTGGCGGCAAGTTTTGGGCTGCTTCACTGTGGGCTGCTTCATTGGCAAAACCTGCCTGCATCTCGGCAAAGAAATGATTGCCAGCTTGATAGAGTGATTTGACTTCTCCCGGCAACGGTTGGAAGCAGATGCTGACGGCAGAGTGACGTCAGGCTAGTCGGAGGTACCATGTGACTACAGACCTCCTTATTCTCATCCAGTGGTGTCGATTGAAACTGACATGTCTTACAATGTGCAGGTGCGGGGCGTCTCAGGAGGAGAGAAGCGGCGTGTGTCAATCGGCGTCGATCTTATCCACGACCCGCCAGTGTTGTAAGCGGACTCGCTCACTTTCCTCGGGCTGTCGTCTTTCAAACGCATGGCGCCTTGATGCTTTGTGATATATCTCACGGTAAACATGGTTGCCAATCAGCACCAAACGCATCCGTCTATGTTTCTCTTGCCTTCTGTGAAAGCGAGTCTTTCTGTGATTGCTTGATCCGATCGAGCACCGAAGTCGTGCATCGCAAAAGCGCACCCAGTCCCACTTCGCCCTGATCAGCTCTGCGAGTGAATCATCGTATGTAATTTTTAGCCGTCACTGCCTTGAGACCAAACCCTCACAGTCCGTTTCTCTCACTCTGCTTGGCCTCCTGAGAGGATCCGAGCTCCTCCTTTGACCAGGTTTGTGCCTCGTCAACCGACTCTCTTAACCCGTGTTCTTAAACCCTCCCTTCACCAGGTTCCTGGACGAGCCGACCTCCGGGCTGGACTCTACGAGCGCTCTCAACGTGGTTCAAATTCTGCACAACATCGCGCGTACCAAGAATCGCACGATCATCCTGACAATCCACCAGCCCAGCTTCAGGTCAGCCCTCAACGTTCAAGGTTGAGAAGGTCCTTTCCTCTGTTCGCCAACGCCAGCATCCTGTCAAAATTGCTTCATTGCAAACCTGAGTAGTCAATCTTGGTCTTTCCCAAAACTCGGCGCGGAGAAAGTGGTCTCACTGCAGGATCTTACAGCTGCTTGATTACCTGCTGACTCAGTACTTCATGCCTCGAACCTGGGGCAGCTCAGAACCGCTCGCTTTCATGGAAGCTAAGCTCCTCAGCTTCAACACCTTGAGCTCTTGACGCCGGTGCATCCTCCATTTGTACAGGGTTTCAGAGCTGATTGATAACTTCGAATCCCTTGCCCGTGGCAACCACGGCCCCTGCTCCGGGGCAGCTTTCACCATACTGAATCTTTTTATTTGTTTTCCAACAATCTCGAAAGCAACACTTCTATCCCTATTATCCAGGATCTTGGAGTTGATTGACCGGTCTTCGAACTTTGGCCCACCGCAACCCAGTATACCACGGCCACACAACCCGGCCTGGCCCCCCCCACCTCAAAGAGTTCGGTCAGCAGCTTTCACCATACTGAATCTTAGATTTTGATTCCAACACTCTTAATAGCAACAATTCTATCTCTGTGTGCCAGGATCTTGGAGCTGATTGACAACTTTCTGATCTGGCCCGCGGCAACCCGATGTACCACGGCCCCTACCCCGGCCTTGCGCCGCACCTCAAAAGAGCTCGGTCAGCAGCTTTCACCATCTAAATCTCAAGATTCAGATTTCTCTACTCCCGAAAGCAACACTTCTATCCCTATTTTCCAGGATTCTGGAGCTGATTGACAACTTTTTGATCCTTGCCCGTGGCAACCCGGTGTATCATGGCCCCTACCCCGGCCTCGCCCCGCACCTCAAGGAGTTCGGGCGCCACGTGCCAAACCACGTGAACGTGCTCGAGTACACGTTGGACACGATCGAGGAGCTCCAAGAGAGCAAGGGGGGCATCGAGCCGCTCGTCGACTTCGCCGTGAGTTGCGGTTTTCACGTCTGAGTTTTTGAGACCTTTGAAAGGTCGAGTTCTAGGCTTCTAGGGAGTTCTTTCCCTGTCATCCCACAGCATCCAAACACTGCGTGGGCTTTCGGCTCTGGTCACATTCGACAGATTCCATACAGTTGGGACATGGACGATCTTTTCGCGTGCAATATCAGTAACTATTCTCCAAGGAGGGGGCCACCAACCACTCGTCCCTTCTTCCGTGAGCTGCGCTCTTTTCCATTCCCAAAGCACCGGTGACTTCCGTACGGTCCTGAGTTGTGATTCAGCAATGTATGCTTTTCTGCTTTGCTTTTAGTGCTTGGTTTCCTACGTTAGCTGAAGGCCTGCAGCCCGTTCTGCCAGCATCGAACAGCTCCCGGTTTTAGAACTGTGTTCTGCGATGCCAGACGTCGGAATCTTACGATGACGGAGTCAGCAGCGAGCTTTCACCACCACAACAAGCGAGGCATTGGTCCTCAGAGCGAAGCCCCGACGTCCCTTCGTTCCAAGTTCCTTTCAAACCTGTAATCCTTAAGCACTTTTGATAATATTCCAATACCGCCCGGATACCCCCAGCGTTTCGAAACCCAAAAATCTCTTCGTGCAGCAAGCGCGATACGAGCGCCACGGCAAGCTGGCCCAGATCCAGTCCGTTGCGATTTTCAGCAAAACCCCAACTTTGCGACGTCTTTCTCCCACCCCCCTCTCTACATCCGAAATTTTTGATGTCGTATGATCTTACCATCCCGGAGCAGCCCCACCATTCTGACAGCGAAACCTCTCTCGTGCAGCAAGTGCGGTACGAGCGCCACGGCAAGCTGGCCCAGATCCAGTTTGTTGCGTTCCTCAGCAAAATCTCAAGTTCGCGGCATCCTTTGTCTCCGAACATCCCCATATAATCTTACCACAGCCGGGGAAATCAAACACTCAAACGACATTTCTCTCGTGCAGCAAGCGCGGTACGAGCGCCACGGCAAGCTGGCCCAGATCCAGTCCAACATGTCGGTCATCGGCGAGAAGCCCAAGTTCGCGACGTCCTTCCTCTCCGAGCTGTTCGTCCTCTCGGACCGCTGCCTGCGCAACACGCTGCGGACGCCCGAGCTCTTCTTCGCGCGCATCGGCCTCATGTGCATGACCGGCTTCGTGCTGGGCTCCCTCTTCTTCTCCATCGGTTTCACGCCGTACGGCATCCAGGCGCGCGCGTCGTACATCGCGTTCGCGCTCGCGCTGCTGCTCTTCACGTCCACCGAGGCGCTGCCCATCTTCCTGGCGGAGAAGCAGGTGCGTTATAAGTTCTAAGGTTTTAAGGTCGTCGACTTGAGGTGTTCATGGGTTCTCAATGCGACTTTTGTAGTTTATCCTGCCTATCCCTCTCGCTTGGAAGAACCTGATCGCAGGGGCTTAAAAGCTGTAGGGTTCTGCAGCTTCTCCCGAGCAACCTGCTAATGTCAGTGTTATCTGATTCAAACTTATTTTACTCGGCAACAGACTGACTAAATTAGGCTAAGGCTTTTCATCACAATTGGCAGGTTGCTCGGAAGAAGCTGTAGTAACTACGCTGGAACTTGGTTGAGATGGTTGAGATGTTTCGTTCATTTGAGTGCCACCGCTATTGACGTCCACCAAAGGGCTGCCCATCTATCTGTCTGTAGAGGCAAATAGTCCCTAGAGTCTTGGCTTTCAAGATGTACACATTTCACCATTTTTCCCCGCAGATTTTCATCCGCGAGACGTCCCGTGGCGCATACCGCACGTCGGCGTACTCCATCTCGAGCGCCATCATCTTCCTGCCCTTCTTCTTCGTCCTGGCGCTTATCTTCAGCTGCGTCTCCTACTGGTGAGAATGACGCAAAGAAAACGCCCGTTGTTCAGCCTCGAGAGCTGATCTTCCTACTGGCGGACTCTCTCACGTGCTTTTTGAGATGGCACTCAGCGCGTATCGAGCGCTCTTGTATCGACTTTCTTGCGTTGAACGTTTGGCACCAGAAAAGCAGCCTCATTTTCTGCCGCTTGTTGGTTTTCAAGCCTCGCCTTTTGCTCCGCAATCCTCGAACGGTCTCGGAGGGGCGGTGCGGCTTATCAAGCTACTACTGTGCGGCGTATTTCGCCTTCGCTTGATCGCACAATCGCGGCTTCTGTTCGAAAAGACAGCGGCTTGTTCCTACAACCAATAGTATCCAAGACATCGTGACGTCGACATGGAGCCCATTGTCAAATCCGGCATTGTCATCTTTCCTGCTCCGCAAGATATGGGCTGAAGCCAAAACTTTCCAGCAAAGAAAACCCCCACCTTGAAAGCTTTCCCGGAGACCACGTCTTCACGACGACGAAACTTTGCAACTTTCTGACGCCAGCGTCTGACGTCGGCGCCTCTCTCCCCCTCCCCGGAGGATCATCGGCACGGCCGCAGAGGCGAGCAGCTTCTTCTTCTTCGTCTTCATAACAACAACTCGCATTTTCTGACGCCAGCGTTTGACGTCAGCGCCTCTCTCCCCCTTCCTGCAGGATGATCGGCATGGCCGCGGAGGCGAGCAGCTTCTTCTTCTTCGTCTTCACGCTGTTCCTGGTGCTGAGCGTGGCCAACTCGTTCGTCGTCTTCTGGAGCGCGCTCGTGCCCAACTTCATCACGGGCAACACCATCATCACCGCCTTCACCGCCTACTTCTTCCTCTTCTGCGGCTTCTTCATCCCCAGGTGAGGCTTTCAAAAAGACTTCAATTCGGCAAAGTCAGCGTACATCTTCCTCTCTGGCGGCTGCTTCTTCATCCCCAGGTGAAAGAAACTTCAGTCTAGCAAAAGTCAGCGTACTTTTTCCTCTTCTGCGGCTTCTTCATCCCCAGGTGAGGCTTTTAAAGAGACTTCAATCTAGCAAAGTCAGCGTACTTCTTCCTCTTTTGCGGCTGCTTCTTCATCCCCAGGTAAGGGTTTCAAAGAGACTTCAATCTAGGAAAAGTCAGCGTACTTCTTCCTCCTTTTGCGGCTTCTTCTTCATCCCCAGGTGAGGGTTTCAAAGAACTTCAATCTAGGAAAAGTCAGCGTACTTTTTCCTCTTCTGTGGCTTCTTCTTCATCCCCAGGTGAGGGTTTCAAAGAGACTTCAATCTAGCAAAAGTCAGCGTACTTCTTCCTCTTCTGCGGCTTCTTCATCCCCAGGTGAGGCGTTGACCCACCAGAGGCCGCTTGGCCGCTTGGCTGCTTCAGCACTCGGGCGCTGTGGAGCTTCGGCGCTTCGGCGCCTGGGCGCAACTGTCAGGCGCAAAGTCCCTGGAACTAACTTCTCTTGCCAACTGGCACATCAACAGCTAGGCCAGCAAGGACCTGCTCAATTCGAATTAGTCTCGTTATCAATGTGGTTGAACGTTATAGTGTGACAAATGGCAACGTCGTCGACGGTTGCTCTCGACGAAGTTTACCGCCAATCGCTCCTACTTCTCTTTTGTGGGGGCAAGGAAGATGTCCCCGGTCAAAGACTCGTCCATGGCTCAGCCGAAGGAGGGATAACACCAGCGGTAGACCCGACTATAAACTCATTCCTTCTTCTTCCCCCGGCTGCAGGGGCGACATCCCCGGATACTGGATCTGGTTCCACTACCTGTCCACGTTCAAGTACCCCCTGGAGATGCTGCTCTACAACGAGTTCACGGCCCCCGGCGTGCGCGACCAGTGCTTCGACGGCCTCCCCGGGCCGAGCTGCCTCGCGACCGCACCCCAGGTATGACTCTTCGAATGAGGTATGACATGTCTCGCGAATAGCCAGCACCTAACCTTTCTCAAAAGCCACGTTTCTAGTAAGCTCGCCGCTGGGGCCTCTTTCAAGCATTGAAGGACAGCTTCTGACATCTACCGAGCCTCATCTGGTACTAGTTTTGGTCCAACGAGAGAGTCGTCACAGCCGCCGGCCCTCCAGTCTCGGTTTCAGAAAAGAACTCTTCCGCATTCGTCTCCACCCTAACCCCCGAGCTAACCTCACCGACCTCAGGCTGGTGGATGCAGTACTCCCAACGCTTGCTGGTTTCTAAAATTTAGTCTTCTTGACCAGGTTCTTGCGGGCTTCGACATGGCTAAGGTGCACAAGTGGAACAACGCGGCCGTCATGATCGCGTTCTTCCTCGCTTACCGCTTCTTCTTCTACGTCGCGCTGCGGTTCGTGAGCCGGCAGACGCGCAAGTAGGGCCGCAGTGCGAGAATAATTTGGGACGGGAGATGTCTGGCGGGTTGGATGGTAATCCACACTCCTTTCCGGGTTGGGAAGGCCTGAAGCGATAGTAGAAGCTCGTTATAGGCTCGTTCACTTTTTGTGAGTCGGTGAGCAACCGGTTCGCATAACATATTTCTCTCAAGCACGAGATACAGATCACCGAGTTGATGTCAGCGTCAAGACAGTTGTAGTCTCCACTTTTAGGCGCTAATTTAAGCGAGTGGCGCCCTCGTTGAGCCAGATATGCAGAGATGGTGTTGCACTGAAGACATTGGATGCTGAGAAGACCGTTCATTCTTAAATGAGGTGTACATTTCCACATCCTGTTAAGGGTCCTGATTTCTGCTCAAGTTCAGTGAATCCTTTTAAGCTAAGCAAATGAACCTCAACTAGCCTTCAGTGCTGAGGCGGCATGCTAGTCGCGAAAGGCTGTGTAAGAAATGGTAGCAAATCTTGCAAGTGGACTGCGGTCAAGAATGACATTGATTGCTTAGTAACTGTCGATATAGTAAGATTGACTGGCAACGCTGCTACCCGGCCCCTTCAGAGCCCTTGATAAGTCATATCCTATATGAATACATGGACTTGATATAGTCCATCCGAACGCGAGTCATAATGATAACATGATATGGTGCGGCAGCCCGGCCGTTAGTATATTCCAACCAGCGCATGATATCGGTTGCATGCGAAACTCTATATATATCCAAGCTGGAGCTTGTGGTCGAGTTAAAAAGTAATGCCGCTTGCATGCCACTCTTACAGGAGCGCTCATTCAACGTTTCGTAAGCCGGCCGAGCAGCCTATGTGCCTATGCCGGCCACGCAAACTCGTCGTATGCCGTGGCACTGTCGATTATTCGCCATCAGCTTCAAATGTCTCGTACCGCATGACGCATGTTGCATGTGTGCGGGCCGTGCACGGCGCGCATGCCCGCCCTGTGCGTAGGTAGCCTTGTGCTTAGCTAGCCTAGGACGTAGCCCGATCATTTACTAAGCGGAACGCTCCCTCAAGGGTTCCGCGACATATTGATTGAGTCTGGTTGCTCAATGCATGCCTGCCGCGGTACCTCAAATCGCACAAGGATGGCCTGAGAAATGAGCGGTGCGTGCCGCAACTGTCATGCAGGTCCGATCGCAGCCCGCCTTGAAGCATGCTGGGCCTGGGCTTGGAGAAATGATCACGATCATTCCGCCTGGGTATCCGGGCAGATGATGGAAAACATATTAACAATAGGGAAAGCACGATCTGCCAGCACTTGATCCCCACTTGATCATGTTCCCTCGTCAACCTGTACGCCGAACTACTGCAGCTGGACTGTTCGGAGGGTTTCGCATCGCTTCTGCCCGTCACTTTCGGGCCGTTCAACCTATCAACCTAGTAACCTACATGCATTCCTCAGTATGTACGAACACGACTGAAGGTCAAAGGCCATAGCAAGTGTACATTTCACTTACACAATACTCCATGGGTTCTCATTTCGAAGCTTCTGCGGGCGCACTCTTGAAAGACTGAGCTCCTCAGAATGCATTTCGAATCAGCCAAACTAAGCGTAATATACTATCTTCTCTGTGCCCCGTAATTCATTTTGTAGGTCCACCATCCTGCGGCAGATGTCAGCGAAGTTGTAGAAAAGACGGGAGTGCTTTCCATCAAGACCCACTCTACCCCTGCCCGTGGTCGCGTCCTTCAGGACCCGATTGTTGCCGGAGAAGTTGTTGCATGGTGTTCCTCCAGCGACGAGGTCGAAGCCGTTGCATTGTCGAGCCTCAACGTCCAGATTCGCCAACAACGTTGGGTCGGAAAGGTCTCTGTATCTGACAATGCTCGTCTGCGGGTGCCCCGCCTCCATCCAGAACTGCTCAAGCACCTGCAATAGACCGTTTGATGTCTTGACCCGTTACTCAAACAGATTGAAACGGATTCTGCCTTATAGACTCTCTCTTCAAGCCTTTGCACGACTTTCCCTTATGCGTTTCGACAGTGACCACAGGGGCAACACTAGATCGCAGCAATCCTAGTTTTTGAAACCGAAGGTACAGGCGACCTAATTCGCATCTATCTCAGCAGAACAATTATGGTCGCCGGACCATCAGAACGGCTGAAGCCTGATTCTGCACTCACGTGTGAGCATGCTGTATGTAGATACGTTCAACTCAAAATGGGGTCGTATAGATGAGGCCTTAGAAGCTTAATAAGGGCTGCTTCGCCGGAACCTTCTTCTTTCACAAGCTGCTTCTCACTCACCGCGCTGCAGTCGTCGTCGATCTCGACATAGACAAGCCTTCGGACGAGAATCCCCAGGCGCTGCAACGCGACCTCGACGCCTCCGATCCCAGCGCAGATGGAAAGCACAGCTAACCCTTCCGGCATCTCCGGGGCTTGCAACGAAGCGAGCGGCGAGAGAAGGCCCATCACTGTTTCAACCTGCGAACGAAGCCGAGTCTCGAATGATTGTCGACAACGTGCTGTTGAATTATGATGATTAGAAGCTTTATACGCTAGCTAGGGGATATTAAAGACTCGAACCGACCTATCAATTGTGCACAGAACCCCACCGTCAGAATCAGTCCGAACGAGTGAAGTCTCATCCAGGTTTTATGATTTTTAGCCATCCGCCTTCAAGCCTCCAAAGGTTCCCCTGGAGCTTTGACACATGAGAACCTCGTCACGCACATGCTCGCTTTTGGGCGTTTGCCCTAACAAAAGCGGAAGGCTTACCTGGAGAGAGTTTCCTAAGGACCGCTGTCTTCTGGAAGAGTCCGCGATCAAGCGCGTGTGGCCTTCCGGGTATCCCAATACCTTCTCCATCTCCTCGAAAGACATTCGACCGGCCCGATTAGGCCCTACCCAAACTAGCGACCGGCTGTACAGCTGCAGTGAAGAAGGATTGACCCGGCATCTTTATTCTGGCACAGTTCAGGAGCACGAGATAATGGAGGCTTGCAGCAAACATAAGAGATGCCGTTCCAACCTTAGCGCTCTCATCCTCTAGCTTTACAGATTTATCAAGACTCTGAACGCTCCCAAGCGCGCACTCGCGCACTCGATCAAGGTTGAAGGACTTTAACCAGGGAAGTGAAAAAATAGAGAAAAGTTGAGGTGCAGAGCTGACAATCTCGACTGTTTCTCAGAGAAATATGAACATAAAAATGCAGAAACATTGTGTACTTACCGTTCTTTTCGTCTCCGCTCCAACAATCTCCCCAGCAGAGAAGGCGGCTCTAACCTCTGGATTGAAGCGTCGAAGCTTCAAATTGTCAAGAAACTCGGTGCAGATTGTGTGCAGCTTTCCGGTGGTCCGTCGCAAATCCCAATCAGGCCAGTAACGGGCCAGACCTCCAAACAAGTCCCGTATGCTCTGGAATCTGCTCTTGTGCACGGTTCGGCTTGGACCCTTCGGTATGTTGCTGATGTAGCTCCTCCTGCGATGGCTGGCGCTGACAGTTGCGCTGTCGATGGTCTCCGGTTCGATGCCGTACAGTTCGCGCGACATGACACCCCAGTTCCTCTCCGACTGTGCGAGGGTGGGCGCCGTTCTCGACACGTTTTCAAAGAAGAAGAAGGGCCTGAAGGGACACGCAGCTGGCTCGACCCCCGCCGGCAGGAACGACCTGGCTTCCGAGGTAGAAGGATCTTGCACTCCAGTCAGCATCACTTGCCCGGCTTGGTCCTTGAGGCGCTCCGGAACTTCGTCGACACCGATGCTGAACTCGTCATCGCTGGGCCACTGTTCAGCGCAGGGGTCGAACTCTTCCTCCTGATCCACACCAACCGCCAACTCCGGCAAATATTCCCGGCACGTCCTCTTGCCAGCTAGGACCCCGCTCATCTTCTGTTGATTCCGCTTGCTGGCTCCCTCGCATTCTTCTCGAGCTTCGCCAGAGAAGGCATTCGGTGGACCGTGCCGTACCTCAGACGGAGGCAAACATTGTCCAGGCGGAATCTCTTCGGTGACACGGCTCGAAGCTGGTCTGCCGATATGCATTGTCGCAATTACAGCGCCGCTGCCAGGAGAAGAAACGTCACCCTTTGGCTCCGTGATGTTGGACTGCGCACATGAGCAAAGAAAATTCGAACGTAAGAAGCATTTCTTTGCGTCTCAATCTCAATCTTTGTGGACAGGGAGGATAGAATTGGTCCCTTTATACTGTGCTCTGTACCTCAGTATTGATCAGAACCATTTGCAGAACGCTTGCAGCCTGCAACTGACAGGGAAGGTGATCGGTGAAAAAACGAATCTCAAATTCATAATTTCCGGCTGAAGAATACCCACCTGCTCAGCAAGTTTGAGAAAGAGTATTTCAAACTCCCCGCGGCTCAGCTGAGCCCACTGAACCTCCCGCACTTTGTCGTCCTGCAAGATTATACGAAAATGAATGAACCTCCTTTCACACCCAACTGTCTGTTGAATTGAGGGAAAGCGGGGCCCATCACGCAAAACTATGTACGCGGACCTGCTTCTCAGCAGCGCATGAGTCTTACCTCAGCGTCAAGATTTTCCGCCAGGACTCTCTCGAGAAGTTTCCTGTCAAACCCGAGGTGGTTGGTTGCCTTGTTGAGAGCGTCGGCCGCATGCTCTTGATTCGAAATCCAGAACATCAGAGCCTCTATCTTGGACCTTCCATGATCCTGGCCGCGGTCCCCTTCTTTACCTTCTGCAAGAGTGAAAAGCCAGATTATTAATTGAATCTTCATCGAGGGAGGGTTACATGGTTTGACAAACCGTCCTTACTGCACACTTAGAAGGAGTACGGTTTGTGGTGCACCGCAGATGATCAATCTGCATTCAGCCCAATGCCAGCGACCACGAGGCTTGCAATGGCACTAGCTATAGAATCTGAAGCAGCGGCGCCGGATGCTCACGAAGTGCATCCGCCTCGATGAGACCTCCATCAGATCCGTTGGAACTGGTTTGAAAGCTGACTTCAAACTCGCTTCCACCCTTGTTACCCTGAGCCACCTTCAGAATCCAACTGCAGGGAATGAAGGATGTTCTGTTCAAAGCTGCTATGCAGTTTCGCTGAAGCTAACGATCAGAAGGACGGAAGTAAATTTTCCAAATATCGATAAGTCCTCGAGTGGCTGCCGTAACAGCGGCCGCCCGCGCAGCCGCGCCACGGTTTCCAACAGCGCTTCTTCCACTGGAATCGGGATATCCTAAGTGGTACTTAGGCCGGATCACACATTACGGTCCTATCAACAGAAATGCTAATACTTACTCCTTGTGACGGGCCACCGCGTGCTCGATCGTTTTGTGTCCAAGCGCTTCCTGCCAGCGAGGATCAGCGCTTGCCAATGATTGCAAAGCAGGAACATCCAGCTTCTCCGGCCTCTTCTTCACACTGCAAGAGGTTCGATACAAGTCTTAGAACGTGTCTTTTACAAAGGAGTCTCACACGCACCACTACAGTCAATATCGCAGAGGACCAAAATTTTAAGGTGTGTCTGTAATTGTAAAACTTGTCACTAGTTTGAAATCTTTTGAAGCAACTCTCAAGGGAAGTTCGGCATCCTTGTTGAATCTCAGGCGAACCAGTCATTGCACTGGTTTTCGTTGATCAGACCTTATCAGTACGCAATAATCTCTGACCTCAGCCTAATTTGGATCACTCATAAGAAAAGCCAGGCTTGAGTAAGCGGGGTTACGGTACTTGATTACCCGGGCCAATCACTGAAAGGAGCTTACCTGTTCATCATGATTGACCTCACGCCCGAAAGAAGCAAGGCTTTGAGCAGTACCTTCCTGAAAGTGGTACGGTAATCAACCCGTGGATCATTGCACTTATAGTAATTCAACCCGCAAACCACCCAAAGGGATGCGGGTATCGAAGAATGGATTGTCCATCCGGTGATCCGCTCGCTTATCAGGTTCGACGGGTTTCTCACAGTCTGGTGTATACCCTGGCCCTGGTTGAAGACAGAAAACATGGAAAGTCGGAAAGCAAATCATCAAACCTCACGTAGATTGCGAGGGAAGTGATCAGAAGCCGAAGGCCCGTGTACCCGTGTCGCACGATTGAATGTCATCTTTGGCAAATTGGAGGTTCATCCTTGGCAAATGAAGTTCCATAGCGGAGTACTGACAAGAGCTGCGCATGGGTCAGACTTATCCGAGATCCAATCTGACCCTCTCTAGAGATATCGTAGTCATCTAAGAAGGCTTACACAAGTAGGACACTATCGGAAACCCATCCGATCATCACGCTCCAGCGCAGGCAGAAAAGATTTCTCTTCGAGCTGTGCTGAAGGATGGATTAAACTGATTCTTGATTCAGATGCGTGGTGCGCAATGTGTCGAAACAATATCTCGAAACAATATCTCGATACGGGACTTTTGAACATGCTCGAAAGGATTCGAAGTAAACTAGTTTCCACAAAAAGGGATCGATCCCTCTAGCAGACCGAAATGAAGTGCACTATTTGGTTCAGAAGTGAAAGTGTCCATTCAAGTATTCCTACCTCGTCCTCGAATCGGACTCCTGAGAGAAAAAGGCGTGTACCCGTTTCCCCTGCCTCAATACCTTGTGGGACTTGCTGCTCGTCTCCAACGAAGAAGTCGGTGACTTCATATCTTTTTATTCCTGCATACACATATGATGATCAGGAAAAGTTGCGTCCCGATGGGCAGCGTTATCGGAACGAGCTCAAGACATTTGAGAAGCTGTTGAATTTGTCTCAACGCCCATACAACCCTCGTTTTGCAATTTGTTTCGTGCTCATGATGTCGACGGACCGATTCGATTCGTCAATCCTGGATGTTATTGAACCTACCTGCGTGCAGAGACTCACCTGAGCTCCCAGCATCATCCTGGGAGCCTTTCACATTCAAGTCGTGCATCATCAAATAGCTCTGACAATTTTCACTGGTTTTGAAAATGGAAGGTCCTGCAGCGAACAAGGCGAGAAAGCAATTGAAGCCACCGCACCCTAGATCTTACTTCTGCCTAAGAGTACGGTTTAACTTATACTTCATTTTAGTATCTTGGCAACTTATTCTTATCAAATATGCCATACGCGGCCGGAGCGCTTGGAAAGCTTTTGAATTAGGCTCAAGCAGAAAGTTGGTTTCAAGAGAGGCAATAAAAGTCGGCCTTCTTGCACCAGGTGGAAGTTTTTAGGGTTGTCGCGTTGACTCTTACTTGAAGAAAACACAGGGACAGAAGATGACTCTTATGAAAATCAACGGTCGGCTGTGTTCTAAGGCTCAGATCTGAATCGGGGCGCTTTGATCAACAATCCCAACCCAGACAGCTTCATGCCCTCCGCGCACCCATCCTTGAGCTTAGTACCAAGCTAACCCCAACCTTTCTTTCTGGCGCCTTTCGTATCTGTCAGTTGTCACGTGAAATTTGCTGCTTTGCTTGTAATAAATTTGCCAAAAATGCAGGTGCGATGCGAAGTAGGAGCCAATCTGCCGTCTCTACCGAACTGCTTTTCATTCTCCTATATATTGCACTTCATTCCTACCACACCGCAGGACCGCCGTACCTTACCTCATCATTACTCAAGGAAAGGCTGATAGGTGACTTCTATTTCGCATGCGGATAAGCCAGGATCAAGCGGGATGCTCGGAAGTCAAAGCTTGGAAAGATGTCACGCTGCAGCTGACTTTAGTCGTGTTCACATGCAGTGACCGGAAAAGTTCTCCTCCAATCAAGTCAAAGCGAGAAAGCGATGTTTTACGAATTGACGTCTTCATTACACCTAGAAAACTTCCGTGCGGGCCACTGGATGTCGCCGCCCCAACAATTTCTAGGAGATTCTAGGACAGGGCATCAAAAAACCAGCACTCATGCACCTGAGACGTTAGCGGATCGCTGACGAGGCCATTGCATCCAGCCGAAGGATAGCTTCGACTCTGAGCCACGCTGGCTTTTAATGTCAGGAACGTCGGATGACCAAGAACTTCCGTTCGTCCTTTTGGACCTAATCGCAACGTCAGGGCTTCCACTTTGTCGTTGATTTCGAGGAAGTGCAATCTGTCAGTGGTCACGAAATCACGATACGGAAGCATGTGAACTTCAATAACGACGTATCCTACAGTAGCTGTCTTGCTAGCTCAAGGTCACGTATCTCAGATCTGTTCTTGTCGCTTTCAGTCGCATCAACATGGTCATATTGTAAGATCATTTCGCTGCTTACCACTGAGGACGTGACACGTCACTACCTCGAAGAGACAGTCCACCATTAATACGCAGTGTAAGACTTTCAGACAATACCTTAGCTCGCGGGAGAAACTGCGTCAAAACTATTGTCGTCCATCCTAAGCAATCAAGTCAACGTCTGCGTAATGGCAGATTGAACAATCACCAGCGTTGAAAAGAGAGAGATCAGCAGCTGCGGCTGGTGATAAAATAGTCTTAGCATGCCCTCTCCGCCCTTTTTGGGGAAAGCGTACCTTTGCTGCGCCGAGAAACAACCGAGTCAGAGAGAAAATTGGCCTTGGGCTTGCTCCTTCCTTGCAGGTATTGAGCATACTTTGGATGCGCATGGGTGAGAGAACTAGGGACTCCGGCCTTACCTCGACCAGTTCTCAAATAATGGCCCTCAGAAGTTAGCCGAGTAGAAACGGCCTTTTCAGAGACCGAAGGCGTTAGCGGATGCGGCTTGGTTTTCTTGCGTTTTTAGGGGCTCTGAACGATGGCAAGGATGGAACTCCCCACGACAAGTAAAGGGGAAGGAACTTACTCTCTTTCGGCCGCCGTCCAGCAGCTTGCTTCAGAAGACCTAGCAGATCTGGCAGCTGCTTTTCGAAGTACAGGTGATCAGCTTGGAAGCCAGGCTCAAGGTCTTACTCGCGTACCGGAACCTGCGGGTTTGCAGGCCCGGTCTGATCCTCCAGGTTTGGAGTGTGCTGCGCTATCAGCGGCACTAGATGGGGCTTCCAGCAAACAGTCCTGTGGTTGCTTGAGGCATTACAAAGCCAAAACTCCTCAAGGAACTGACAAGAGTAAGTATCCGGCACGTGATTCCTCGCAAACATTGGTCTGTGTGTCTGATATCAGACCCATTCGTCACTGTATCTTTTCGATAAGACCTTTGATGCTCGCGGGCTTTGAGCCAGCTGTTTGGTACTCGAGCTTTAAATTATTGTTTTGAAGAACTATCTTATTGCTGCTAGAATCTCGTTCCCAACATCTCTTTTTGAGGTTGTCAGTGTGGATGGATTGATGATCGATTGTCTCATCAATCTTTGCTTTGATCAATGGCTCTTGGCATTATGAGCAGACTTCTATTTTGACCTTTTTGAGTTGTAGATTTCAACTCTGACTTTGATATGTCCCATGACTCCAGGAGTTCGATCTCGCACGACCGCACGACATTCATGATTGAGGAAATTGAAACTAGCTCAGATAGGAATTCTGACTGATACCCGTGAAGCACTCCGATTGGATTTGATCAGTAAACTGTAATAAAGTCTTTCCAGCGTGGAGCTCTTCTGGTTCCCTTTCAATCTCTATTTCGTAACAATCGTTCCCGTCATCGAAGTCAAATGCAGCTGATTGACTGACTGACGATACATGAGTATTCCGTGGATAGGTCTTGGAGCATTCATTGCACAAAATGGGTCTCATTTGAGAGAGCACTGGCACTGTCCTGGGAACGAGCTGAGGGAAGGCCAGCAACTGGCGGTGATTAACGGCTTCAATCAGTTTTCGAAGATATCGGAGGTGAAAGAGTCACTTGACAATGGTGTCGACTCGAATGTCCACGGGCAAGACAGGATCGTACTTTCTTGCCGAGGTGTGCCTCGACGTGAAACCTGCAGGGTGGGGAAGGTAAGCAAGCTTTTAACAAAAAGGTGCTTGCAATGAATATGCTGGCTGCACTCTCCGGATGTTCAGTCAAAGACAAAACGATAAGTGAAATAATGAGACCACGCCGGTTGAAAGATTGACTTCAGATCGATTTAAATCTGTTGACTGATGTGATCCACACAAGTTTCCTTGTAGAACCTTGAGCTGGCTCGATGTGTATTTGCAGTGACTGCTTTCTTCATAATTTCCAACTAGTCCGAGCCAGAATAAAATTCCTTGAAGCATGGCGAACGAGGAGATTCCAAATGTCTGGTGTCTTTATCATCTCAACTTGCAGGCAGATAACAATGCTTTCGTCACAAAGACGTTCTACTTAGTCGACATGCCTCCGGCGGAGTCTTCAATCAGATTCGACGACTTCTTCTTCGAAGTTCACGCGCTCAGGGGAGAGGATCGAGTTTCTATAAAAGTGAAGGGCGACAAAGACAGGGCTGCAGAAGCATTCTTTGTGGACAATCGCATGCAATTCTGCCGGGTAAGCCCTAAACGTCTTCGATGCCAGAGCTGAATTTGATCCTTGTGGTCTGCTGGTGGATGCGGAACTTCAAAGCAGCTGAATGGCTTGAATGTTTTAGTTCTGGGTTGGTGCTTTCAGCTGGCTTTATGTTTCACATTTGGTTACAAGCAGAACCTGGCAGGTGGGCTTAGAAAAGATCTTCCGAGCAATCTCTTTCCACGATGCAATGCTCGGCAGTTTTCTGAGAGATTGACAACTTCGTGTGCAGATGTGGACAGGCTCGGGGAAAACATTGGTTCTGTGGCTCGCCGCGCTTGGAAACCATCCGTTTCCAAGAGGCTCAGAGAAGAAGGTAAGAATTCAGGTTCAGGATCGCTTCTCTTCCTTAGAGAAGTGGATAAACTTTTGTTAGGCTCGCCAGTAGCATGTTGTACTTCAACCTGAATGGTACCGCAGATCCCGATGTCTGCACTTGAAGCTTCTTGCTATTTAGACTCCAAATTGCTATTGTCAAGAGAAGCTTACATTTGGATTGTCAAGGAACGCTTGTCAATAACAGGCTTGAGAAATGTTCGAATCTATCTTTTGCGCGAGGCATAGCTCTGGGAGACTGTGATACTCCGGATGGGTTGAAATTGCTGTAGACCCTGCCATGCAGGTTTGGGTGTGGTGCAGCACGCTAGCTTCGAGAGACAGCATAGCAGATGAGGTTTCCGGGACCAAGAGCGGTCGCGACTCAGAAAACTGGAAAGAAGCCACCAGAAACTCCTCCCTTTTGTACAAGAGTGGAGGCTTGAGCTTGAAGACCTTGGAGTGGCTCATGGGTAGGGTCTACATAGGCAGACCGTGAGTCCTGAAAACATCTTCAAGAATGTTCCGCACGAGCTCCTTGCTCCGTATATCAACATGTACTGCGCAAGAACTCGAAACATATGATTCAGGACTGTAAGGCTTCTGCAATCCAGGCGACGAAACGAAGCGACATCACCTCGAATCTGCTTACTAAAAAGGTGCCGAGGTCGAAAGCACCTAGCAGTCTCTAAGAATGCTTGTACAAGCAACACTACGAGCTTCGACTCCCTCCTGATTTGGGTTTTAAAAGGCTTCATTGCAATGGATCCTTTTGCTTGTTGAGGCTGAACGTTCCGCAATTTTGCCTGGTGATTGAGTAGGATAAGTCTCTTGAAGTTCGACAGGAAGTGCAAAATAATGCAAGCGGTCCAACACACTCTTCTGTTCTTCTGCAGGAACAAAACACTCTCGAACAAGGACATTGAAGACCACGATATTTTCATCCTGAGCCCTCAGTCTGTCCACACACTGGGTGAACCCGTTCGAGACCACTTTCTGGAGCACGTTGGAATGATCCTGGTAGACGAAGGCGATTGGGGAACAGCTGAGAGGTGAGTGCCGAACATTTTCGTCAACAGAGTACGAGATCTGTATGGCACAATCGCAACTGACCATTTCAACCGACAATCGCAACTGACAACGGTGGTCGTTTAGGAATCATTCGCAAGAGGCTCAAAGGGAAGACCTGAGGCCTGATCGATTCCATCTCAAGAGTCAACTGCACTATTGAAGCCTTTTCCAGCTTATATCCAAACCTCACAAAATCCGCAGACCAGAACTCACACCGCCGGGTCCTGTCGACTGCCCCGCTCTTTGATGGAAGAGAAGCACGGGTCAAACAAGAGCGTCTACTTTCAAAAGAGCACTGGCAGTATTGCATCCCATCTTTGCATTTTGTGCAGCATTCAATGCAGGATGATGGCGGGCTCCATATATTACTTCGATCAAGTATATCAATGCTTCTCGGTTCTTCTTTTTCAGGGAAGGGGCCAAATGGGTCAGGCACCTGCTCAAGCCCAAGGCCTTCATCACCTTCTTCTCGGCTACAGATCGGAACCTGCTTATGCTTCCAGAGCCTTATGCTCACGTGACTTACGCCAGCGTGCTCAAGACCTGTGACGTCCGCCTTCTCCACTTCACGTACCTGCAACCTTCATTCAGGCAAGTTCAAGGTTGGCGCCACCGAGGTATGAAAATTAGATCCGAAGTGAAAGCGACAACTCGACCCAAAACTCTGAAACTCACAACCACTCCCCAGAGTGAAAGTTGGACTGATTGCTTGCAAAACTAGTTGGACCCAGCCGCAATAAGCTTTCAAGCAGAAAGACGAACAACATACAACCAGAGAACCAGCTTCAGAGGGCTGAACCCGGAACGCAGTTACATCTGGACATCATACTTTCAATTGCTTTCTAAAGGGAAGTCAGGGTGTTCGAATGCGTTCGGCTCCTTCGGAGTGACAAAATCTCTCTTTATGCCTCAGCCAAATCCACGTCACAACTTGTTCCGACACGCTTCTGCAGGAGGAAAACGGGCGAAGAGTTGACGACAGAGGAGGCGTTCAAGCACCGGCGACTCCCTGCCGTGTCGACCGAGATCGAAGCGCGGGAGATCATCAGGGCGGGCCTTGAGGTGTTCTTTGAATTCCTCAACGCACCAGAGAACCACGGCTTCCCGGGTCAACTGGGGGTTTTCATCATGGACAGCAAGGACAGCTTGGAAGAGGGGGCGAAAGCACTGCTTCGCCCTGAAAAGATTGTCTCTTTGTTCAAGGAGGCTCTCTACGATCTTGCCGAAGCTGAATTTGCGTCCTTGAGCATTCGTCCGCCGGGTGACAACCTCGACTCCGACTCAGAGGAAGATGAGGTCGACGGTTACGAGGTCTACGACAGCGTGAGGATGGGCCCGGTGAGTGCAGTGCGCCGGGCCGCCACCTCAGATTCTTCGACGCTTGTTCAATTGCAGGATGGGTGGCCAGCTCACTAACGACGTAAGTGAGCTGGCCACCCTACGAATCAACTCACTGAAACCAGTTCTGAGGCTGTTGCGTCATGACAACAATGACATTGCTTCAGTTCATTTAGTCAATGTAATCCAGCGCGCTTTGCTCATTGATGCATTTGCTAATTCATGGACACAAGACCACTGACCATTTTGTCTCCAACAGAAGCAGTCAGGTCCCGTTGCTAAGTAACTTCTGTTCTCTTTGATCCTAGATACAGCCTTGTCTGACAATCCTGCAAGACCAGGTTCCTCCAGAAAAGATCTAGTTTCACCACGTATAACAATGCCAATGTCCAGGTGACCACCTCCAACTGAAGATGGAAAGGAGGATACGAGGGGATCAAACTTATCCACCGCCTCGAATGACTCAGCTTACCTGCGAGAGTAGCATATCAAGGACGCTTTGCTTGAAACCCCAGAAGAGCCACTTCTTTCTCGAGATTTCACCTTTTTTAGAATTTGTACGTTATCAGAAGTTTCTTTGCAGATGCGCCATTGGTGAAAACTTTCAGCTGGTCAACAGCGTCGTCCGATACCCTGAAGATCAAGTTTGGAAATTCTGCAGCCTCCTTCCAGGTCCGCGTTGTGTTCTACGACGACAAGTCGAAACTGGCCTCCAGCCCAGCCGTCATCATCAACAAGAGGAAACTCGGCCGCAGCTACAACAACGCCCGCATGAACAGCGTCTTCGTGCTACGGCCATGTGGCTACAGCACATACGTCCAGCTTGCTGGGCGCCCGATTCGGCAGTTCGATCCGGCCAATCAGAAGATGCGGGATCTATGCCCGCCCTCCACCATAAGCGCTTTCGCACCAGCATATGCGAAGATGTCGACGGAGGGACGGCCGCAGCGTGCCCTGGTCATTGATCTTGTCACCAACGACCACGAGGTGCACGCGGAGAGGATTTTACATGAAGAAGGACATCCTCCCATAACCTCGAACATCGTGCGGGTGGACGTGCCGGTTGGTGCTTCTGACCCAGTGGTACCTAGTGCTTCCGCCGACACGAACTGCAGCCGGAGTGAGCCACAGTGTTGGTCGTACTGCTACTTGTTCTCAAGGGCTCGAAATAATTAGTTCGGCTTGTCCTTTCGAATTAGATTTCGCACTAAATTCTGAAAGAAGGAATTCTTGCTGTGAATGTAGAAAGTGATCGAAGGACACGTGTGCCATTTTCCCGTGTCTAGAAGGATTCGGATCATAATCCTCGTGCAAGCCACCTAGTCTCAGGTGCGCGTGCAATTCTGTTAACGAGATACCTGTTACATTCTCGAATTCAGCCCTCGCACTCGGTGGCAGATCATGTAGTCCTCCCAACTTTTTGTTTTACAACTGACACGATTTCTCCTTAATCACAGATTCCTCCAGCGCCACCTTTCAAGAGGTCCTACCGACGGTGCAGTTCATCGTCTTCGACGAAAGCATCGACACTTGCAGCTACGACATCGAGTGGCCAAGTCTCCGGTTCGATGATCTGAAGGACCCGGGCTACAGCATCACGCTCATCAACTCGTCAAGAAACATTGAGAGAAACGAGAGACATCCCAGGCCGGCGGGACGAGGCGATGCCAAGGGGAGGAACAGATACTAGTGTCTTCGATAACTGCTTTAGATTGCAGATATCATCATAAAGCTGGTAAGCTGGAGTGAATTTACTTCGTCACAGTACCGCTAGCTGTACTTCTTTCCAGCTATTTCTAGGGTGCAGTGCTTACACATCTGATCTCGTAGCGTACCGTAGCATCCGCATCGGTCTATCTGACTGTCAAAAAGCTAGGTACAAATCTGTTACAACTTTCGTCTTCTTTCTTGTACGCTTCCGAGTTTGAACCCATTATTCTCACTTCTTTATCAGGTTTTGACTCGACGGATCCACTTTGCGAGAGGCGAGTACGACAGCTGCAAGGTAAGCTTGAAATTTTGTGTCCCGTATGTACCTGCAACACACTTGAAATGTGCTTTCTGGGAGCGCAACAAAGACTGGCTGGTAGCACCTAATCTCAGTCACCCCATTAATGAGACGCGTCTGGCGTTCAAAATCTCAAGCGCTTCAAGCATCTCTAGCATACCTGTCTTCTACTTTCGAATCCCGTCTTGCAATGCACTTCGTTCAAGGAAGCAGATAAAAGAATCACCGGCAGAGTCTGTGTAGCAAAGCGGTTCAGAGCTCGCTGCTCGGCGGCGCTTATCGAAATTGAAAGATCGACACTGGTTGTCTGTCGAAAATGGTTATCGATCAGTGAATCAGATGAACGACCAAGAAACAATTACATCGCAAGTGGCAACTCTTTAATGCATGATGCAGGTTGTGCTCGTGGACATGAAAACTCCACAAAAACTGAAGCACGGCAGCATGGTTGCACTGCTCCCTCTACCTCCGACCGCTGTGCTCAAGCCTGAAAGAGACCCAGTCACGCCTGCGTCTCCTGGAGGTGGGGCCGGACAAGAGCCCTCTTCAGCTCCAACAGCTGATGGCTCGTCCGGCGACGGCCACGTGACAGCACCGGCGCCGTCGCCCGGCGCATCTCAGGGGGAGCATCAAACGGACAGGGACACACCCTTTCAAGCCGGGGGTCAGCCTCAAGCTGCTGGCAAACGGAATGTCGTCGAGAGGGGCGTAGAACCGTGTCCTCCGAGTCTAGCCGGGGGCTCCGATCTAGCCGGTTGCGCACGTGCGCTGCGCCGCAGCTCGCGATTGGGGGACGGATTGGGGGTAGGTGGAGCTGTCCCGGCAGTTCGAAGAGGCGGGCCTCCAAGTACCCAAGAGAAGGAGACTCGCGTGCAGTGCGCCACCGGCGGCCAGCATAGCGAGTCGGCAGCCCCAACAGGTGGGTCTAGTCACTCCTCTTGCTTTGAGGCTTAAAAGACGGCGGTTCAAAGCTCGACTAGCTCATGAGAAGCGGGATGTTGCAGTCCTATTTGGCGAACGACAACTTGAAAGGTCTCCTTTTCGTCCTCGGGCTGTAAATCGTCTTGCACCCCAGCGCCACTGTTTCTCACGTGAACCTATTTGAAGAAAGCGCTAGCCGTTCAATAAGAAAGCTGTGACTTTTATCAAAAGGATTTGGCCGCTGAGAACGCCGGCGTTTCAGTACGAAACCATTAGCAGAATCGACATGGCTTTTCCTTTAGAGGGACGCCTCAGCCTGACCCTCCTCGTCCTGTCAGGAATCTGCGATGACCTCTCAGAGCAAGGTCCACAATGAAATCATGCCTCCCTGATCGAAAACGGCACAGAAGGTCTCCAAACTAGGGATGCAATGGCTGAGCGGTTGCGTGCTGTATCGGACAGTCACGAGAATTGCAGGCCGAGAACTTTCAGAAAAATCTCTTGTCAAGATTCTGACCGCGTTCATTTTTTGAAAATTGTGAGACAGGAACTTTTTGCCCCCTTTTTTGGCTTCGAGCTTGCTTAAGCATAACTTTCCTAACCCGGTTTCAGAGTTGCCGCCGGAGCAAGCTGTTGATTAATGCTTTCCTTCTTGAACCCACAGGGAGCGGCAGTATCCTCAACCGCTTCTCGAGAGGCGAGCGAAGCCGGAGGATATCCTCTGCTTCGAAGTTCGACGCTACAGGACTTGAAAGTGCCCGAAGAGGAGAGGAACAAATCGAAAGCGAGGACGGTGTAGAAGGGGGAAGCGGCGACGAAGATGGGAAGCAGGACAGTGGGGGTAAAGAAGCAGGGCAAGCTGGTCTGGCGTTGGGGGTGGTAAGAGGCCGGCAGGACGGACGCGTGAGGGCCGGGCAAGGCAGGCGGCCGGGCGGAAAGCAGGCTGGAGGAGCTCTGAGACCGCAAAAGACGGCTCAAGATGACGGAAAGGCAGGGGATATTCAATTCGTTCCAGGGAAGCGAGTCGCTCGTCACGAAGCGACTCTCGACTACGACACGGTCCTAGGGAGGCTGACACTTGTCAAACACTGGGAACAGCCTGAACGCCAAACGGACTCCGTGTCGCGAACTCGATTGAGGAGCTTCTCGAACTGTGCGTTCGGTGAGCTCCTGAACGTATACCCTTACTCTGAAACAAGACCGCGCAGTTTGAGCAGTGTACGATAAAATCCGTATGCATTCCTCTTTAGTTACAAGGCTGAAATACAAGCGTATAACCAGAAGACAAGCCTGCCAGCAAGAGGGGGGGACTACGTCTTGACTCCAATCAGACTGCGTGGACGGCCTAGGAATGGAACTGAAGTTATGTTGCAAGCATTTTAAGCGTTCTGAAAGGCTCTCATGGGCTCCAGCGTCTTCGAATAAGATACGCGTGACTAAGACATGCGTTTCGCCGCAGGGCTCTCCAAGAGCCAACGGCGCAGCCACAAATGAACCAGGACGCCCTCTCGAACGCTGTACGAGCGCTGTACGTGGGGGAGAACCCTGGCAGATCATTGAAAGGAATGAGTGCGGGAAGCATCAGCTCGGTGAGCTCATAGATGGCCCACATTACTTAGGTGCGGCAAGCAGAAGAAAGTCGTTGCGCACTGTCTATCAACGATCGAAGCAGTTTTTGTGGATCTTTGGTAATCTGAGGCACTGCCTATTAATGGCTAGCAGAACAGGGTCTATGATCTCGGAACTTTCGGAATGTCATCTCGACGCATTTCTGAATACCGGATGCAATAGGTAGTAGAAGGGACGGTCACCAACAGCCATGCGAACATGCAGAACCTACGAAATGGTCAAATTCGCCGTCAGACATGAGAATCAATTGGAGAACATTAAAGCTTCCGTTTTGAGATGCGGCTAACCACTACTTTTCAACGAACGTCCTTCAAGAGGCGTGCATTATCGACGGCTGTCAAACATTTCTTCCCCCGGTGTGCATCGTGTACAGCTGAAACTTTTATTTCAATGATTGTGGACCGCTATGCTTGAACTCGACCTGGAAACACATGCTTCTTTTGCAGAAACTCTCCTCATGGCGCCGCAAGAAGAAAGGCAGCAAGCCTTCGAGGAAAGGACAATGGCCTTCGCGTGGGGGCAAGTTCCGGTGGGAACCTTGTAGCGGGGACGGGATTTTGTACAGTCTGATCGGGGCTGAAAACAGCCCGGTTGCGAGTCGGGCTGCGAGCAATCATGTGAGCGTCGCGTCCGCTGCCGCTGTAGAGTCGGGAAGAGCCAAATTGGCTGGATCAAAACGTCCTGCATCTGATTACCGACGCCCCGAGAAGAGGCCAATGACCTGATATCGATCAGACCGGCTGGCTAATTGTAGATAGATGGAGCACTGATATTGCAGATGGAAGGACCTAGAAAAGGACGTGCAGCGGAGTAGATTCGGTGGTTCTACAGGCTGGCGAGTCCACCAGCCCAGCCTTACTGAAGTTAGAAGTCATGGACGTGTCTATAGTTCCGGGATCACTTGGTGACGGTAACAAGACAGTGTGGAAAAGCGCCCAGCAGAAGCAGGTGGCCCTGGCGTATTTCGTAGATGCCACAAGAAACAATCCTAATTAAAAGGCGAAAGTAACATCGAAGCATGTAAATTGTCACGTTTTGAGCATTGTGCGACCAATAACCAATAATTCTGCTGCATTGCGCTTCCCCTTAATGTCTTGGTGGAACTATCTGATGGGACGTCAAATGTGCTAATGAGTCACTGGTCTCGATCGATAGCAAACGGTCGGAATGGCCAGAACATGAGTATCTGGTTACTTCGACGTCGGATCCACCTGAGCTCTTCTCGAACACATTTTTAACGTTTGTCGTCGCATCGATGAGCTGCCGCTTGCAACCACACTGGTTTTGCCCTACTGAACAGAAGCAACTCGACATATGCATTCCAATCCCCTTCCAATCATGTGAAACATCTGATTATTTTCTTCACTTCAAGCAGAAGGATGCTGATTTGATGCATCGATCTGATCAAGCGCACAGGCTATCGACAGGTACCTACTCAATCCGGTATAAGGCTAGATCGATATATCGTTCAAACTTTTCTTGGCAAAGGTGGTTTTCGATAGTGCTGCCGGGATATCACTGGAACGGGACTGGAACGTCCAGTCATCCAGAGAGTAAGCTTCGAACTGTGTGGTCATTATATCTCGGCCGCTATGCTTTAGAAGAGCTTTATCATGATGCAGCACTGATCAGAATAGGGTTACTCTAGCATCACAGGCGCCCACAGCAGGCGGATTACAGGCCAGCTGCAAACAGGCAAGTTCTTGTGCACTCGTCGTGTTTAGGCCAGCAACGATCTGCGTGATCGCTTGATCCTACAGTTGCATAGGTATGGGCAACTTCTGCTCTTCTGCTGCATGTGGCGTCATCCAATGATTTCCCTGACGGTTGTCCAACGAGCGTCGAAACGCCGTTGACCCCCTGAATCGAGTTGATTCCGTGTTGCCTGGCGGACGGTTGGACCGCGCTCTGGTTGGCATTCCCAAATCGGCCCCCGGTTACCGACTTCCGACCGCTTCCTGGGCGTGCTCAGCTGCACAAAAAATTGACTTGCCGGTCACCTTAAACTTCCCTGGGTAGACTCGGTAGGTCCGAAATGTTCGGTACAGTAAATTTCAGCGCACCTCAACCTCCTCAATCCCACGTGATCTGCGCGTGCAGGAGGCGATTAGCCATATGAGACGCAATGGACTCTTTCAAAATGGCGGGCGCCAAAGAGACAATCCCTTCAACTTCTGCCGCTAGGATAGACGCACACTGTACAAGGACAGAAAGGTTTCCTTGCCTGTGCGACCCTGATTGTCATCGCAGGTAGAAGATTTTGTCGTAATGAAAGGAAGGCAGAGATCTGTCACTTTGAGGCAGCGCCTTCCTCTGCGATGTGAAGGCAGTCCTAGCCTTTTGCACCAATTCTTGCTTTGCATTGTTTGCCTGAACGACGTGGAGCCCACCCCGTGTGTTGTAGGGTCTGCGCGTAAGCTGCCGGACTAGTCTTTCGATCATGACCTAATGCTGTTGAGCTTATCAACCTACAATTGCTGTGGCTCCGCAACTGTTTTTGTAGCGCTTTTGGCCAGCCTTCTGAAAGAGTCGCATGGGCCTCAAGTTTCTTTGGTGACTGGGCAACTTGAAAGGAAGGACAATACTCCACAGGGATCTAGATGGAGTCTCCAAAGAAGGTGAGGAAGGGCCGCCAGCCAATAAGGCACTTTTTGCAGATTGAATTGTGCAGATTGGTCGTGATCCAAGGACAGACTTGGTCGCAGCAAGATAAACGGCTTCTTTTCAAAAATTCGGACTGAAGGACAGTGTAAGCTCAGAGCATCAGATAGTTCCACAAATAGTGAGAAAATGCATCACATAGGCTGGCTGAAGGAAGTTTCTGTTGGAACCATCTTGCCTTGCACTATACTCGTGCATTGTGACACGCGCAATGCCGCTTTGAGACCCGTTGTCAAAATCTGCGGCAGCGACACGTCATAAAGCTTTAGTTTGAACCGATAAGTGCCTGTCTGAATCAGTGGGGTGTCTGGGGCCCACTCTGCATCCTGGTACCTTGCTTTGCGCCCGATGGATCAACAAGGTTCGCTTTCTTTGAGGCTCCCCCTTAGCGTTGAACCTGTAGCCCTTCGCTCTCCCTTTGGCAACTTGTAGCCACTCTAATGTTCTTTTGCCCCTCATGAGACAAGGTGCGATACATCGATGATAACTTTTCTTTCGAAGAGCCACTCTTGATGAAGCCTTTGCTTACAATCGATGGTGCGCCGTTCTTCTCCAGAAGAAGGTCCTGGAGAAGTTTGCCACGACGCTTCTGGAGTGCACCCTGCGGGTCGACGTCAAGATCGGAAAGACCTACAAGATCGAAGTGACCGATGAGGGCTTCACCATTCGCAAGTGAGTCCCTTTGACTTGACACCGTCAGCACCTATAGGGGGACTTAGCCAACTGTGTGCAGCAAGCTGCCGCCCAAGGGGTGGCTGGGTTCTCGTGTAGGGAAGAGGTATGGGGCTTAGCATTGGCAGACGCTTCAGGAATTGCAAAGTCTCGTTGAACCAACTCATTCACAACACGGCGAATTCCAATTGATCCTTGCAAAGGGAGATAAGGACGTGTATTCAGTGGGGGCTTGGAGGTGGCATTGCAGGTCAGACAGTACGGCTAACCCTGAAATGTTCCAAACTTTCCTGCCCATATCCATATCACACCACACCTTTTACCCCCAAGAGCCAAACCGTCGGTTTGCATCCATGGCAGGCGGCGCCAAAAGCCGGAGGACGGCATGCACTTTCGGTATGAGAACGTGGACAGCTGTCAGGCAGACAACGACGGCAAGCAGCTCGTGTTGCAGATCGCCCCCACAAGCCTGGGTTCCGGTGGGGGCCTCTTTCGCTTCAAGGTGAGCCATCTCAAAGATGAGCTGCTAGGATTGTGTAAAAGGAGCACCGCTGACTTCAGCACACGAAGCTTTGTGGGCTGCACTGTAAATGCAGCTCAGAATAGGAGCGCGATAGAGATAGCTCCTTCCTGCTTGCTTTGGCATTTTTCCCTCACAAGAAAGAACTCGATGAAGACATCTCCTTCCTGCTCGGCTTAGCAAGTCTTCTTTTCAGACAAACAAGGACTGCGTAATCTGTCCTGCTCGATCTCTGAGTCGTCCAACATTGTTGCCTTAGCTGACGGACAAATGCAGCCACATTGATCGCCCTTGTCCCTTGAGGTCACGAGCTGTTGCTCCCTTTGCAAAAGAATCAGACAGCCAAGACCGTCTTCCTGTCCCCAACCGAAACGACGTCGCCCATGATCATACACAGAAAGACCGACAGCGCGTTCTTTTCTTTCGCATAATACTGCAATCTGGATCTTGCGCACACGCCAAATATTTAGAATCTTCAACGAACGTTCTTCCCTATGCAGACGAAAGAGGCTGCTAAAATTGCCTCTCTCGCATCCCGCCTGGGGGTCGTGGCGGCCGTCCGAAAGGAGGCGCTCGCGCGTATGGCGTCCGGACACTCGCTGCCCAGCAGCCCACGGTCGCCGGGCCGTGTGAACGGGCCCAGCTCGCCGTTCACACCAGCACAGAACGGGGATCACTCCGCTGGCAAGAACGCACCCTGGACTCAGACAATGTCATTCCACACACTGACCCAACACTTAGCGCCCAAAGCAGAATGAAGATTCTTGTCCTCTGCGTTGAGGGAAGTGTTTACACAGGTCACCATTTCCCGAAGTCGGACTTGTTGACAGAACTTTTGCCACCGAGACGGCCTCACTCATATGAGGAGAAGAGACAAATCTGACCACTCTGGGATCCGTTCCCATCCCAATTGTTGCACGTGATCTTGCGCAATTGTTCTCATCCGTGGACACTCTGCGAAGTGCAGTCCCGCGACAAAGTGGTCAACATAAGGATTCCGGATGCCAGAAGGGTACGACACTCAGAGAGCTGGTGAAGGCTGAAGCTGACACTCGACGGTTTGACTGGGCTTCAAGAGGGCATAGGAACTATTGCAGCACACGAGTTCCACCCTACCGACATTCTGAACTCTCCTTCAAAACACCGAGCAGGATCCCCTGAAGAAAGCTAACGCTTATTGACGCCCTTTCTCCAGGACCCCCCACGCTGTCCCCTTCCCACCGTTCGGCTGCCGGTGGGTCGACCGTTCCCTCAAGCCCCGACTCCGCCACCTCCCGAAGCACTGCGTCCACATTCGGGGGCTTCTCACAAGAGCCGAAGCACGAGTCCTCCGTACCCCCCGCCAAGAGCGTGGCTCCCCCGAAGTGGACCATCTCACCCACTCCCTACGTGGGGGTCGACAGCGCCCTGGGAGCGCCCCCCCGCCAAAATGCTACGAAGGATGACGTCAGCGAGGGTGACGTCAGCAAGGAGGCCCTGGCCGCGGCGCTGAAGAAGGAGCTCGCGCGCTCGGGGGATCCCTCCAGTCCCGCCTACGGCCGGCAGAGGAGTTCCGGGGGGGGCTCCCAGGGTTCGTCCAAGCCCCCCTCCGCGGGGAACTCCAAGGCGTCGAGCCCGAAGCTCCCGAAGCACATTTCCATTTTCCGGGGGGCCGAGGGCGGGGAGGAGCAGGGGGGGGCGTGGGCTACTGAAGAGGGGTTTAAGGGTTCTGCCAGAAGTAGCGACGACGGCTCGGCTTTCAAATTTTCAAGTCGGTTGAGTCCAAGCGGGACGCCAAACCTATCGCGGCAAAGCTCCGCGAAAACCGGAGCGTACTCGCGGCAATCGTCTCTGGGGAGTGCGAGCGTGAAAGGGGAGGGGGACGGGGGCATCCGGCTGCTGCCACGTGTCAGCTCGGGGTTCAACCCGTTCCTGACGGACGCCTTTGCAGAGGTCAGCAGATTTGAGCAGTGTTGATTCTTCAAGTGCAGTCCGAAAGTAGTGCGAGTGGGCCGGTTCCACACGTATCGATTTGCCTAAGCTCCGTTCCAGCCCTCGTGAAACTGTCCCTGCCATCTTGCCGTTATTTGTGGGGAGTGGCTGGCTCATTTGGGGTCGATGTTTTGAACAAAGAGGCCCTGCTCTTGATGGATAACCCTCCCCTAGGTTTTGCACCAGCAGGGCACGAACAGCTTCGAGCTTCGGTCTTCCCTTGCACCACGTACCTTTGAGCAGGTAGCCAAAAACCAGATCTCGATAGCCCTCGATTGTTTCTAAGTCAGGGTGTGACTGTCATTTGAAGGTCCGAAGCGGACCTGTTGGAGGCAGCTTGCCTTTGGGGACTGGGAAGAAGCGCCCATGAAAATGCAGGGTTACAGCCTGATTGGCGCACAACAGTATCTCAACCCCAGCTGTTTTCTTTTTCTTTCTTTTCGACTTCGAGCGGACAACACGGTTCACTGGGAAGCGATACAACGGCATCAAAGCGACTTAAAATGTACCTAATTTGAAAAGGTTGTGCAACTCCCCCTCCTGCAGCTCTCCCCCTCCGCTTCTCGCCGCGCGTCCTCCCTCCCCCCCCCGCCCACCAGCCCCAAAAAGGGGGTCTTCGAAGGCTTCGAGCAGTTCGTCAAGGTCGCCGGCGCCACCCCGCGCGCCAGCTCCGAGGGCAGCCGCCGCGCCTCCTCTGACGTCACCTCTGACGTCAGCCGCCGCAGCTCGGACGTTGCCTCGCCGCCTGATCTTTTGAACGCAGAAACTGATGGCTGCGCCCCCCCCATCGTGGTCGAGATCAGCCCCCGGGGCGCAAACGCCGTCGCTCCGGGGGGGTTGCTGGACGCTGAATTCGGCCCCGGGACGTGGGCGCTCGGCAACGAGTGGTCGGACGTTTGTCCCCCCGGAGGAGCGGAGACCCGGTCTGCTTTGCCCCCCGGGACGAAAGATTTGGGTAGTCCGCCAATAAGACCCGTGCTCAGTGCGGCTGTTCCCATTTCGGGCCATCCGAACGGGGGGGCAGAACCCCTGCCTTCAGATCTGGGGTCCGTTGGCGTCAGCTCGGCGCACAACACGGTCGCAGATCCGCTTTCTGGGGGCCCACCGAATTCGGGATTCAGCTCCCAGCCCGTCTCACCTGTTGGCAACCCCTTCCGAGCACAATACCCCGACCCGTTCCTAGCAGCGTTCGGCGCAAGCCCTGGGCAAATGTCAGTCCCCGGGGCGGCCACTCGGGAGACGCTCGGTAGGAGCAAGTCCGTTAACCCGTTTTTAGAAACCCCGATCGAGAACACCTCTAGCCTGCAGCAATTAAACGCTCCTATTTATGAAGGTTTGCCAAACCCGTTTGCTCCGAACCACGGGGATCAGACCTGGAATGCGCAGGAACCCACCAACAGCACAGAGATCAACCAATTTTCTTCCCTAGCAAATGGAAGCCAACAGAGAGTGGTGACAGCCCCCGTAGCCCCGCAGGTATTAAACCCCTTTTTGGAACCCAAACCCCTGTCCTCTCAGAACGGGGCGCTTTTGCGGTCACAGACACAGCCCCCGCCCAGGAAAGAGCCGGCTTGGGAGACGTTCTCAACGGGTGACCCGATCTCAACCCAAGCCGTTAACCCGGGGTTAACACGATCTTCTACAGCACCGCCCACAGCTTTTTCGAACAGTAGTACTATAAAGACAGGACCGTCAGGTATTGGTTTAAGCCAGGAAGGCTGGGAGCCGTTTTACACCGCCACTCCCCAACCTGGATCTGTTTACGGAGCGGTTGGTGTGAAGGCGGCCCCTTCTGCCGCTCCTGTGGCCCCAGCCTCGGGGGCCAAGGCAGGCGGTAATGACGAAACAATCCCGGATGAGTGGGAAAACTTCGGACGTCAGAGAAACATCAGCTCGAAAAGCAGACCGCATGTAGCACAGTGGTAACGATCGACTAGCCGTTCCTACTTAATTCGACGCGGGGCATTGACGGAGAGCAGGACCGGACTCTCTGGGCGTTGGTTTAAAATGGAGCCGTTTTTGGGAGGCTGTATATATGTCGTATATTTGGTAACAGGGTTGAAAAGGACAGGCTAGTTTCTGTGCATCAGACGGTCTTGGATAGTCACTGTAGCGCGTTCGTAGTTAAGCGTAATAGGACCACTACGGTCTACCGGAAGGTGAGTTCGATGGAGGCAACCGGAACAGGCAGGTGATGGAAAATCTCGTTGAAGCGCGCGAGCTGACTTGAAGTAAGGTGTGAGGTATATGCTTTCAAATTGACATTAAATTTTGGTTACGTTGCACTGCAGCATACCGCCCTGTCTTAGGGTTTGACGTTATGATTGCCGCATCATGTCTTTGTTACATGCCGTCACTGAGATTCTGCATAAGATCTGTTCAAAAGAAGTAAGAGGTGATCGGACGTGGTCCGACGTGTGGTCAATCGGTCTGAGTCGATGCGAACATGTATCGGCATTTGCATGGACGCGCGGCCGGCCATCATCACCGCATCTAATGCTCATGGCACTTTGAATCGGAAGGCCGCCTGAGGCGCTGCGTCATATATACTGCATGACTCCGCCATAACTTCGAATGGTCACGAAATAGGTTTACACATGCGGCAAGGTGACAAGGTGGAGACGAGCATATGTTCCGCGAATTTGCAACAGCTTGCTTAATTATATATACATTCATTCAATCATATTGCAATTCGATACCGCATGCTATCGACTGATTCGATCAACGGTCACATGTGCCGCCCGCCATACGGGTGTGGCAGGAGCTGCTCTCGCTGCACTATAGGTCACTGTGGATGGCAGAGCCTGAGACACATGCTGGCACCGAGATTATGCACTGAGGCCTCGACTTGCCGCGGCGCAATTCCCATGTGACTAATCAATCGCTTTATCAAGGACTCGGTGTCCATTGACATGTCGAGACGCGCCGCAAAACTATAGATCTGACCTACAGCCCTACAGGCCTTGCTCAACCTTGTTGGCATATGAATTTGGAAATGGAACTCGAAAGACTATGTCGAACGCGATGAGATCGATTATGTACACTAACTTAATCATCAAAACCCATCAGCTCAATCACTATTGAATTGCTGTTGAGCACACACCAATCTGTCTTTCTATGAGCCTTCAAATAACTTAGAACGCCACTACTCCAATGCCCCTCTAGATAGTGTTTGGGTGACGCAATAAATTATACTGGAGGCTAAGTACTGGAGTACCTTGAATCGTTTGTGGTATCGGCCAAATTTTCTTGGCACGTGATGATGGCGCGAAGTGACCGCGCAGGCATTTTATTCGACCACAAATTACAACGCGTGTCGACACCACTCGTAAGATGTACGTGACAGCACAGTTGGTTGTCGCTCCTCATAAGTTACGAAACTAACTACCGCACATGGCGAGAGCTCGCAGACCTATTGAAGGGGGAGTGCTTATATAGACTGAGGGGGCCGCTTATTGAGACCCGGGAAACACGGACACGGACCGCGTCGTTTAGCAGCCGATGGGGACCGGGCTCTCGAAGGTCCCCGTGAAGGTGACGTACTCGCCGCCAGTGCACATGGCTGGGCCGGTCGCGGGGTCACAGCTGCTCGGGTTCTGGCAGCAGACCTTGGTGTCGCCGTATGAGCTGCAGCCGAGTTTATGAATGACGTCAGCCGGGTTTCTACCAACAAATTGGTGACGCGTGTCTACTTGGTGGTCGAACTTGGAGTCTGGTCCGTCAAAGAAAGACCCCAACTCACTAAGCGGGCGTTTGTCGAGCTGATCTGGCTTACGACGCCCGCTTCAGGATTCAGAACGGAGACCAAACGCGTAGACCAGGACTCGGGTTGAGTCAACGCGTCTGGGCGACTGCAAAGGTTAACGCGTCTTAGTCCCAGGACTGTGAGCCGATCGCAGAAGTTCAGCGGTCCAATATACCGAGTTCAAAGCAAAAGGACGGCCGAAACTCTGCATTCGCTTTCCGAGTCCCTCGAGAGTGGGGGAAGCGTGAAATGGTTCGAACTTTGACCTGCAAAGCCCCCTGCTTTGATGTGCCCTTGCAAAGGGCGTGCCGGAATATCTGTTACATCCCTCGGAGTTAGCCTTGATAGAAAGAAAGCACCGTTAACCACGCTTGGTTTTGGGATGATAAGTTGCCTTAGTTCCACCAAGAAAATGTGGTGAAGGTCTGGTTTGATGCCCTAACCGATTCTGGTTAAGGGCGAAAGGTTCCTGTGTGGTGAAGGTCTGGATTGATGCCCTAACCGATTCTGGTTAAGGGCGAAAGGTTCCTGTGCTTACGGGCGAAGCCCACGACCCTCGAGAACTTCGAAGTATGAAGAGTCACTTAACGAAGTTTAGCGGAGTTGCCCCAACCTTCGAGATTTGTCTATTTTATAAAGCACTCCACGCTCGCTTGCAAGGTGGGTGAGTCAGAAGACGCATTCTTGGCTAGCGAGACGTCACAATCGGAAGCTCATGACGTCCTTGGAAAACGAGAATGGAGCAGTTCCGGAAGGACCTTAGTGCAAGTGGGCCTTCTGTAACCGTTAACATCGGACAGTCCACTTTGATTAACGGCAAAGTATTCCAGCCAGAGTCGGGTGTCGATCGCACACGTCAAAGCGCCGGTTTCGAGCCGGCGGATTGCGCAGCAATGGTGTTCATGCACCTACAATGGCCGTCACATGACGTCAATGAAAAGTCCGCTGACGTCGGGAGCGCCCCCCTAAAGAGACGCGTCGAAAGGAGTTGAGGGGGCTCGCCTGTAGCACGGGTTCGACGGGGCGCCCTGGCAGACGGGGCAGACCACCATGGGGCCGACGAGTTGGAACGTCTCCTTGCTGAACGTGAGGTACTGCTGGTGCGCACACGTGGCGCCACCAGAGGCGTCGTTCGGCCCGCACGAGTCCGGGTCAATGCAGCAAACGTGGGTTAGGCCGTTGGCGCTGAAGCACGCGTTGGACGGGATGCCGTTCTGGTCGGCGGGGCACTTTGTGTCGACGGGGAGGACCGCCGCGCCTGCCGGGCGGGGGTTTTGGGGTTTAGGGGTTTGCGGTTTCGGGTTTGGAGGGGTTTAGGTTTTCTGCTTCTGGGGCACGAGATTCTCCTCTTTGAAAATGGGGGGATTTGACTTCGCGGGGTTACGGTTTCGTTTTTGCCCTTCAAGATCTGGGATTCGGGAATCAAGGGATTGCAGGCTGTAGGTCTGAGGTTCTGAGGGTTTTTGGGTTGTGGGACTCCTAGATCGTAAAACGTAGGTTTGATGGCTTAACGAGATCGCCTGGCTTCTCTGGACGATCTAGAAAGTTGGCGACTGAGCGCCAAGCTCAATGTCTAGACGGAGAGGATCTTTGCGAAGGCCTGAAGTGACGTCCAAAGATATTGACTGAAACCGTTGAAGAATGCAAGGTCGTCAAAGTTGCGAACCTGCTTCCTGAGAAGAACCCTAAGTAGGATGCATCGAATTGACCCTGCTAAATGAATCCTTTTGATCGCGTGCACTGCTCTGCTGATGTTTCAAACAGTCAACAGGAGGTATCGATTTGACGCACGTTTACTTACTGGCTCAATAACCGCGGTGCCATCTTACCCGGCTGTTAAATAGGTTAGTCAACCCACAATCTACTGGTGTTGGTTAACCGCATTTCGTCGTGGGCTTCGACACTATCAGTCCCACCTAGATAGACAACCAGTCAAGCCTAGATACGCAAGAGTTGTCTCCAGGAGACGAAAACCTTTTTGAAAAGTAGCATTGTCAAAGCCTCTCTTCTGTACTTGACATGCATGCATTAGGATTGCTGCGCAGATAGCTGACGCAATGAACCATCTGATCTAATGTTTGACCAATAAACAGAAGGCCGAGTGAAAGAAGGAGCCAAGTGATCTTCCACGAAAGTGCCAATCCAAGCTTCGTCTTAAGTTGTACAGGACAGGGCGGGTGGAGCAAGCATAGCTTACGGATAATCATAACAAAGAAAGAGGCAATGTTACAGCAGTCAACTCAAAAGAAAAGAAGATTGGGTGGATTGAAGACGCCTTCTCCCGACTCACCCGGTGCAGGGTCGACCACTGCAAAAGCAATTGAAAAGATTGTGTTAGAACTGCTGTCGCCTTGACATTCTTACTTACAAAGCTAGCCCATTTGTGCGCAGTAACAGAGAGAATGGGAAGAAGTGTGAGATCTGTCTCGACAAATTGGGTTAGAGATGAGATTTGCCAAACCGTGAACCATGCACATAGACTCCCAGCGAAAGTTAGACCAAGCAGGTGAGAGGGTCTTAAAGCCGCTCTTATGCACTTGATTTGCAGACACTGCTCTGCATTGCTTTGATTCAAGGGGGCTGTACAGAATAGTTATGTCTCTTAGACCACAGAGGAACCGCTTTCAAGGAATCAGCCCTCTTTCAGGATTTCTGCTGAAGCTGCCATTCGTCAATTCAGCTAATCCCCCAGTCAAAGATCACTTGCCCGACATCCTGAGGTTCAATTGTGGTTAGGCAAGCTTCCTTATGCATGCAGCACAAGCTGCCTTTTCAAGCCAGAAGCAAATACTGCGCCAGACTTCCTTCTTCTTGCGCGAAAATTTTATCATAGCCACCAGACAAATAGACGCAGTTTAGAGCTGGATCCATTTGACTGATCTTGATGTGCCTCGTCAATATCTGTTAAGTGTTTAAAGATCTACCCATCTCTGCCATTTTATTCCAATTGTGTACATGCAGGGAGACCCCACCGCTTATGCCCACATAGACAATCCAACAACTTTGAGAAACAATGCCGGAAACTAGAGTCAGTGTCCCACCCAATCAGGCTTCTGGCAGCCCCTAACTGAGGCCTCGAGGCATTGGAACCATAAATAACAAGAGCAAAAGAAATGGAAGCAAGAAAGAGAGATTGAAATGAAAGCAGGGAGGAATTGTCACTGCTAACCCCTGACACACTGGGAGATTGCCCCCCAACCAAAATTTTGTCGTTTACCATATAAGAGCTGGTCAAAGCAAAGATGGTTAAGGGCAAAGTCTGCTGTGGGACAGAGGGGAAAACCAGTATTATCCAACTTAGGTTTGTGGTTGATGAAGCAGGTTAAGTGCCCTTCCACCAAGAGAGAAGGGTTCAAAATTGGTCCAATGCTCTTAACCAAAGATGGTTAAGGGCAAAGTCTGCTGAAAGACTGACCTTGCTGCAGCTTGCGGCTCGTGTGTGAAGCTATTGTGGGGCCTCCACTCGTCGACACAGCGTCCACGTGAGACGGCTCCCTGGCCGAGAGCATCGCACCTACAAGGGGAGACATCCAATCTTGGTTCGTTTCTGCTGAAAGCTGGTCCTTTGAATCCCCTTATTGGGACGAGGTCTGGTTCAATCTGTTTCTTGTATCAATTTTCTTCTTTGAAGATTTTAATCTGTCTCTTTTTGAAGTCAATTGTAACCTTGGTGAGATCTGCAAAGCACACAGCCCTCAAGCAAGCCATGAAAATTGGTTCCAGGCCTGTCGGATGGTTCTTGGAAGCTTCCAAGATTCATTGGAGAATTAGCGCTCATCTGAACCATTGGCGCGCATCAGGTGGCATTTCATTGGGAAAAATTAGTTCAACAAGCTCATCAGAACAAAAAGGTGAGACCTTGGACTCATAATGCAAGTCCGCAAATATCTTAGGACCAGCATCCATACTGCCAGCATGCATCCCGCAAAGACCAACAAATATAGTCCATCGGCGAGTTTAGCCGCCCATGTTTCTACATCTCTGTCTCAAGAGAAAGCCATCTGCTTGGGCGTGTTGCCTACATGAGAAGCCCAGCCCAGCTTTGTGGTCACACTATCTTGAAATTTCAGACAAAGAAAGGCCTCCCAGCCACAATCAAAGCCTCTACAAGGCAGCCTCCCAAGGGGACAATGTGCAATCCACAGTGCATAATCAGTGCGTCATTGTAGAACAAAGAACTTCCGGACGGGCAATGCCGCGTTTGCCCGCAATCCCCAGATCCATCTTTGCTTGTTTTGGAATCACATGGGCGGTTCTCAATCCGTTTCAAGCCCAAGGGATTCTGGCACACAGTTTCTTAATGACACGGCAATACCGGGCCAGGTAACACCGCGCCATTGCACAAAAGACAGGATAGCTGCTGAGGGAAAGACAATGAATTAAAATCGCGGCGGACAACTTACTGATGATAAGAGCGGAGACGGCCAAGTTGGCCAGGAGCAGCATCACATAGCGTGCAGCTCGGGAGCTGCGTAAAACGGAGCGGGGCGCCATATTCGTCGAATGCCGCGCCCTCTGGTTGCTTGCAATGCACCGTGCCGAGAGCTAAACCTTGCAACTTATAACAAGCGCCTCAGCTGGGCGAGATTCTTGCCGCTTTAACAACGTTCGCGCGTCTGGATGGGCTGGATCCCTGGCCTGTTGACAACAGTGTGTGTTTGTAGCCTGAAGCCATAGCCTTAGCTGAGGCTCTAGAGTCTAGGCATTCCCTTCGTCACTGTAACCTACAGCTGGCTACGGTTCTTGGTAAGGAGGTGTACCGTGTACCGTGTTTTCAGTGTAGCGGTACCGCTCTGGATTGCCTACCATAGGCTACTACTGTAGGTACTGGCTTACTAGAGCTAGGTAGGCACACCGACGCAGTACCACTTAAGTACCGGTAGTACGGTACCTAGTTTAAGTCTAGTCATGGTAGGGCCTCCCACGCTGACTGGGATACGGCCGTGAAGTTAGCGGGATTCGATACGGAGTTTCGTTTCGTCGGCCGCCAGGCCGATTTGTCCTTCGCTGTCTGGCCGCTGTCTGGACCCAATTGAACCGGTCGACTTGTGTCAGCCAAACGCCTCAGAATCAGCCCTAATTCCAGCTGTCGGTTTTGCGGCCGACTCCCGTCGGTTGAATCGGCCGGGTAGCAATGCTTCGGCTGACGTTCAAGTTTGCCCAATGTGACGGCTCGTGTCGAACACTGTACTACCAACGTCGCACGGTCGTTGCATGCCGGCTCTCTGTCGCCTCCGAGTGCGTCTCGCCTCGAGAATCGAGTCGACCCTTTCAAGCTCCAACCAATTGCCGCCGAAACCAGATTCTCCGGCTTTTGCATGAACGCTAGCACGTGGAGCCGCAGGAAACATGATTCGCCGCGTCCCTCGGACGGCTACAGCCTATAAGTATGCTTCGATGTTTCTGGCGACCCCACGTGGCGAACAGGCCGTGAAAACCGAAGTGTATAATACACTGTGATTGGCTGAGCCTTGGAGTACCGTACATCAGGCTTGTCAAGATCAGAACTTGTCGTAAATTCGAAAGATCCCGCCACCCGGTTTCGAACGGTGGGCACTGGGTTGCCTTCAGGGCTTTCACATCTCCGAGAACCATTTCATGCATGTGCCGCAGCATTGCTACCCCATTGCTTAGCAACTCAGTATGACCGCTATCCTTGCCACGGTGAGCACAGCAGTCGAAAGAGAGTTAAAGAACAAGGACTCGAAGTCTTGAAGTCAGCTTTGCCAAATCAAGTGAGTTACATGATGAATATCTCTGAATATCCACACCGTCACGATCAACAGGAAGGACATCCGTGGCGGCGGGCACCCTTTGCAAGAATGTGAATATCGTGCACGTCCAACAAATGATGCACTAGTCCGAGACGGTCTCATGGGACAGGGGCCATTGTACTTGGCCATTATACTTGGATCTGTACAACAGTAGCAACTTCATGCGAGATACCTCGACATAGCGCTGCTGCCACTGATTGGACAGCTACTTACAACCATCCATCCATGAACGGCCCGTCGGATACCATTGTCGGCCTGGTGTGACAACGCCAGGACCCAGATTAAATCTACCTGCAGACATAATCCGAGAGTTTCACTTCATATTTACCGTAGTACAGATGCAAGAACTATTATCATGCATACGGTTGCATGGAGCACGTACATTCCTCGGCAACGCTTCTGTCTACGTCAGGCTGCTTCGGAGCTCTACAAAAGGGCCTTTCCTCACCGCGTCCCCATCTAGCCGCGTTCATAGTTAGCAAATACTACAAAACTACTTAGGTCTGTGTCGAACTTACCATTTACTCGATCCTGCGTCCTGCAAGTTCAGAATTGAAAAGCGGAGCGCAACGTACATACTTATATCAAGGCTATAAGGCTATATATTAGGCTGCCACTAGAGGCACGTACGAAGAGGTCCACTTTCGTGGGAGCCAGACTCAGATGGTGGTTTTGTGCCGTCGGACCACTATGCTTAATGCTTCAGATGCATTGCTTTGGCATGTCTCCACATTGCATGCGAAAGCTACGTACACCTAGACATCAGACGTCTGGTTGAGCGAAGTAGCTCATATTGTGATAGAAGAGTGCCGGTGGCGGACGTCTTTGAGTAGTCGACCTTACAGCACAATTAAGGCGTTCTGGCTCGGCGGTTGTGTTAAGAGACTCCCTTCGATGAAGGTAAAAGGGTGCTCATACGATCCAAGCTTGCGTGCCTGGCGCCTATCAAGTGAACCGCCGGCGCAACGTGGCGGCCGCTAAGGGCGTCTCAACAAATAGATTCATATCCTTAGTGCTCATGCAAGCCGGACGCATGATTCATCTAGGTTGGAACCACAACGTGCAGGGCAAATCAAGCGTGGGTGCCTATACCAGGCATCGTGTAATGCTGCATGTCTCGCGGCCTATACTTTGATTGTTTCCTGAGGTCTTGGTTCTTCGTTAACGTACGGGATTATCGAGCCTAAACCCGAGACATTTGAGCAAAAACTATGTCAGGTCAGCAAGTAGCAAGTATGTACGATTGAATACACCTGGGGCTGTATATGTCAATGACAACCGCTTTCTAAGGAAGCGAGTTGCGTCCTCCTTTGACTCCTAAATCATGGCGCAAGGTCTCTTCTGTGCGAACCATAGCAAAAGTGCTCCTGTACATTCGGCGAGCTGGTTTCTATACAAGTCTGCATTTATGTTTTCCGTCAACTGCGACTGGAGCTACGCTTGCTTTCTGGAACAAACCTCCCCTCTTTGTTTGTATCTGAGACCCTCGAGAACTCGAGTTGCTTGCTGCCTCGATCGACAAATCGGCTATACATAGAATACAGATGCTTACATCAGTGGAACAAATGCACCCGGACGGAGATCCTCTTCCTGCATATGGGACACTTGGCCAGCCCCGCCCCGCAGCTTTGGCAGGTCTGGTGGCCGCAACCGAAGGCGAGGTTCTTCCTCAGTGACAGGCACACTGGGCAGCTTTGCCCGGCCAAGGCCTCCCCAGGAGTAAGACCCTCGGCCGCGAGCCAGTCCCACTCTTCGCCTGCCCCTGCAAACCCGCAGAATCGTGGTATCGAAGGCACGTGTAGGACTGGGGTATAAGGATGGGGTTAGAGCACTCCCGCTTAAACTATGACACGCAAAGGAAGCCGTTAAATGGGGTTCTGGCGAGGCGTAGGCGTGCCCCGCAAGCGGAATGACATCTAGGACATCGGAAGTAACATCGAGCACACTCTACTTTAACATCTACCTTAAGAAAGAGCGCAAAACCAGAGCTGCTGCTTGGCTGACGCTCTTGATTCGAGCTCGTCTATGTGAGGCGGTTCCAGTCAGTCAAAACAAACGACTTTTCTGGGCATAGATGATGGCCCAAAAAAGGATGTCAGACTCATTAGAACAGGAAGTCCAACGGGCGGCTCTTACCTGACAACGCGCCGGTTTCCCCCCGCTCCTCGTTCACGTTCTGGTCAAACTCTCGATCGTCTCGGCACGTGACCCCGCCCCAGAATCGGGCGCCCCAGCCCGGGGCGTCACTCTCCGAGCGGCTAGCCTCGTATCGTTCCGCTCCCTCTTCCGTACCGGCATCCGCCCCTCCTTCCAAACGGCGTGCCAAGAGGGCGAATCTTGGATGGTCCCCCCGTTCGGAAGGGCTTCGCGGCTCGCTTCCCGCACGAAGAAACCCTAGAAGCCCGCCGTTCGCCGCCTCGCTCTCAGTCCTGCGCCCGGAATGCCCCTCCGAGCCGCTTTCTCGGAGCGCGTTCGTTTTGCCCGCAGTCTCGCCTGCCCGTTCGCTGCCACGTGGCAGCTCTCGGAAAGCGCTGCTGGCTTCTTGCCCGTCGTCGTCGTCGGCTGCCGCGGCCACAGCGGCGCTATAGCCGACGGCGGAGCCTTCGAAGGATGGAGACCACGTGGGGTCGCTCGACGCGTCGCCTGCAGACACGTGGCAGACTCGCTGTTCAATCGCGACCTGTGCTTGTAATTGACAGTCAAGGGGCCTAAACGCAGATTTGCCTGTCCCCCTCTCTTAAGAGACAACGGGTTTCGGTGTCAGCAGACGTAGAAAGCTGCTCAACATTGAAGTCCAAAGTGGACATTTCCGCAACGTCCAATGGCAAACGTTGTAGACTTGGAAATGACAGCTCAGCGAAGCACTCAACAAAAGAACTTACCGTGAAGGAGGTCACGGTGAGGGAGGCAAAGTAGGAGCAATGGTGGCCCAGAGTCAGCCTAACAGACTGGTACTGATTGACTGGCTATCCGTACTAAGCCCCCCAACCAAGAGAAAAGGATCGTTTCCACTTCTTCAACGAAGCACTGTGCTCGGCCTTTGAATATTCCTGAAACACATGTTGCTCGGCAGCGCCCACAAGTTCCTACGATGCAACCCCCACAGGACTCAAACAAATGCCCAGTGCCGTGAATCATGCTCACTCACCCGACACTTCGTTCTCGCTACATTCTGAACTGCTCGGTAGACCCCGCCCGGCCCACTTTCTCCGGTGACTCAGGCTTCGTCCGGTGACCGGGGGCTTCACCCCGGCCAGCCAATATCCGATGCGCCGCAAAGCGTTTCTCAACAACCAAAGGTCTCTTTCGGGGCCCCACTTTGCACCAGGTTCTTGGTCTCGGAGGACATGGGAGTAGAAGACCCGGCGGACTGGGCGAAGGTGGTACCTGTGGGGAGGTGTGAATGGGGTCAAGGGTGAGGGAGTGAAGACGGGAAGATTTGACGGTAGGTTTACGGTTCAGGATATTGACCAGGGGAACGGAGAATGCTTCATTTCAGGAATCAAAATGAATGCATAGCCGTCACTTTTATTGCTCGCTCACCTTGTTTTAGCGTGAGCATCCGAGACATATTGCCGGTGTATGGAAGAAAGAGCGGGGTAAACCTTCTTTCGAGGAGTCGAGAGTGCCACTGCAAATCCGGGACAAACGTAACGCGTCTCAGGACACTGCTCAAGGGACCGCTGCTTCAAACGCCATTACGCATCTGTGATCGCATCAACTTCACAATTTGGATCGTCTCAGCTTGTTGATTGTTTCTTCTTCCTTACCTGCTGCCCCCCCCCCTCGCTTCCCCTGGCACGTAGTACCCCAGTCGCCTCCGCACAAAGCGCAACAGATCGACCCCCTCTGCCAAAACCCCCCGGGGCAGCGAAATCACGGTTCCGAGGATGGCTGACAGCAGCTTGCAGTGGATCTCGAGCCCCACCAATACCAAAACGGGGGCGGACGCAACGAAGAGGGCCAGCCAGAGGGGCAGGTCGTGCGACGAGTGGGCGCGCAGAATGGCGGCGTGGAGCCAGATGTTTGTGGTGCCTGGAGTGGCGGGTTAGGCAGGGTTGGGACGGATTAAGTAGGCTAAGGAAAGGTAAGGAAGGGATCTCGGTTCGCTTCAGGTTAGGTGTTCCGTTGTTGACGAGGGCATCAGCTTCCATGTTCAGGGTCAGGCAGTAGACAACCGCGCGAGACGCTTGAGGAATTGAACACAATCCGTGGCTAGTGTCCGATTTTCACCGAAGTCCACTAATGTCAACAATAGCACTAGGGTATTGAATCCTCATTGCCATGATTCGTGATAGCCCGCAGGTGATCCCCACAGAGCCCCACTTTTTAGTCAACACCCAATAAGATGCGAATGACGGCAAGCTGTGCGTCGGACGGTGCCTCAAAAGTTTGCCGTTATGCAACTGTTGCCGATGTTCCTTCTATTCTCGATCAGTAATATACTGGCGGAGAGAAGACCTTTCTTCTGACCAAGAAACATTGCCAAGTTACATTCGAGTGTTGGGATATCTGTAAGAGGGGTACGCTGAAAAAATACAGTCAGCTAACTCAACCGTCTCTTTGTAGAACTATGGTGAACACTTTGCAGATGCAGTGACAGCCTAACATGCTTCGTCCCTTTATAAGAGAGCTGATAGCATGCCCCGAGGCTTTGGTAGATAAGAGCACTTTTCTGAAGGTTTGGGTGCAAAGCAGCACTCCTTCAATTAGTGCCCCCGACACTACTTGCTCCAATTAGTTGAGAAACTCAAAGACACTCACCAGCAAACATTGCCCCTCCACAGGCAAGGAGGGCAAAATACACCGTCCGCTGCAGCACGACCCCTCTTCCCGGCACCCACATTGACACCCAACTCTGTTCCGGGGGGCCGGCTGACCCCTCTGCCAGAATAGCCGCCACTTGTGGAGGGGGAACGGGGGCTTCTCCTGGGGTAATACTCCGCGAAGGTTCCGCACGCAAGGCCCCTGCTAGGGCGGCATGAAACATGACGAACAAGTATACAGCTTGGACGTAGGAGAAATGCTGAGTGTACAGGTAGAGGAGCGCCAGGGCCATCGCAACCGTGTAGACGTAACCTGCGGGGAGAGAATGTTGAGTGAGGCGCCTGGGGGACAACTTTGGGGAAGATGCTTCGGGGAGGTGGAGTGTTTGCTCAGTTGCTTTCCTGTTCTGGTAAACAGTAAGACGGACTGCAGAGAAAGCGAGTTGTTTCGGTTGGAACTGTGAACTCCAAGACCACAACCACAAACTTCTGCGACAAACTTCCTTAACAGCTTCTCAAAAACCCCAGTTGGACCTCATTCTGAGGCTTTTGCAAGCCAGCAGAATGCTCAGAAGCTTCTCAAGTCCCTCAGGAGCCTTCTGAAGCACTTCAGCTTTGAGGAGGGAAGACATTTAGTTGACTGCGCATCAGCTGTTCTTCAGCTTTGAGGGGAGAAGACATTTAGTTGACTGCACATCCCCTTTTCTGGAGAAAGAGTGAGCTGTCAGTATCATTTTTTCACCTGCCACTAGCATGGTCAAAGCTTCGCAGATGCCCAGCCTGTAGGCCGACAGCGCAGCGACCCAGGGCAAAGCCACCACAGCCCCGGGGACCGCCGCAATTGCCAGCATGACGCCAACGTGCGCCAGGCCCGCTCCGAGCATTCCCCCTAGAAGAACGTGCATTGCAGAAACCCTGCTCAGCGGCTCTGCCGAGGAGAGGACCAGCAGGCCACTGGCTGTGAGGAGCATGGACAGCTGAGGGACTCTGATGGAGGCCTTGGCATGGAGAACGAGAGGCGAGGCTTTTAACTCATGCGAGCTATGAGATTGGTGAGAGGAGTCTGAGCTGTGCTCTGCGGAAGCTGAGCGAGGTTCTGTCGACTGGGGACCTTGCGAAGGAAAGACTGTCGAGGGCGAGGCTCCTAGACTCTGCTCCCTTGGGGTTGCACGATCAGAATGTGGAGGGTTTCCTAAGGTTTCTGCGCTGTAGGGAAGCCGTCCTAAGCAGAGGCAGGAGCGTTGCAACCATGAGACGGGGAGCCGGCAAGGGGCGCCTTCGTGTCCCTTGTAGACGATTGTCGAGTTGACAGCTGCACCCTGATTGCATTCTGACAGGGCCACAAGCGCCACGAAGAATGCAGTGTGCTCTGTGCTTGAGAACTTGCTACGCAGCTGCCAAGTCTCCAATTGCACTGCCTGTCCTGTGGTAGCATGGCCAGGCTCAGTTCCTGCAGAAGATGTTTCGTGACTACCACGCTCTAGTGTACCTGCAATTGAGACTGTGGCCTCCACTGTGCCCCAAACTAGTTCCTTCCAGCTCCAATTTTGAGGCTGCAAATCGATCTTCATGCAATGCACGTCAACTCTGCTTGAGGCTGAGCTCCCCCGCCCAGGCAATGTGACCTGCTGACCCTGGTCACTTGGGGACAGCAAAGCAACCTTCCCAGACAACAGAACAGCCTGCGATGCGGCCTCTGAGGGAGTTGCAGCTGCTTTGCCTGTAATTGAGCAGATTGCCAGCAAAAGGAAGGTGCAGGGCAGCAATTTTCGAGCCATAATGCATGCAGAGCGGCATCCCTCCTCCATACCGCCCTGGCCACACATCTCACTGTTCTCTCAGTGCCAGTCTCACATGTTGCACCCTTCTCTGTTCAAGCAAAATTGGAGTGACTGCTCCAAACCCGGTACCGGATGAAACAGGATATTGCTTGGGTTTCCAAGAAACACCTGCAAAGTACGTACCTTCAAGTATCGGTTTCTTCCACGTGACCTTATGAGCGCTCTGATTGGTTCAAAGTATCGTAAAGAGGTGGCTAGCCTAACGACCTTGGTGCAAAATGTCGTGCATCGCTATTTAAAGTATCACTGTCAGAGTTGTGAACAGGAGCGCATGGGTCCCGTTCTTTCTTGCTGGGAGGTGGTCTGCAGAAAGGCGGGCAGAAAGAGGCACTGATACGGTTCTGGCAGGTGCAACAACGCGGCCTCGCAATGGCTGCTCCCTCCCCGTTTGATCTTCTGCCAGACGAAGTGGTCACATCAGTCTTAGCGTTTGTCGGCGCCCGTGACGAATCTCTAGTAGAGCACCGTGGTCACTATGCAAAGCACCTCCTCAAATCGCACCTGGTCTGCAAGCGTTTCGCAAGGCTCGTGCATCAGGTGAAGACTCTGGACTGGCCCCTCAACAGCCCAGAAAGCGCGCTGGGCTTCATGGCCTTCGTGCACCACGAAAGCTTCTCAATTGAGACACTGAACCTGTTCGTAACGGAGGCGGGGGCTGAGGAGCTGCCGCACGAATATATCTTTGCTGCGCCCCTGCTCAAGCGCCTCCCAGAGTCAGTCAACATCCATATCATTCTCCCAGATGACCGCGCGCCGCTGCCTGAGGGGGCAGACGAGCGGGGGCCTTATATCACCCTGTCGGAACCAGAGGGAGGCATGCTAGAGGGCCTTCTGTTGAAGTCCCGCGTGCGAAAGCTGAACTTGTGGTGCCCGGCACCGGGCAGCAGCTTGGGCATTGAGAAGTTGAGGGCCGCACCGGTGTCGTTGTTGCAAGAGGTGAACCTTGCAAGTGCAAGCATAACCATACCTGCATTGGAGAATTTGCTGCGTAGATGTGTTCACCTTGAGAATCTGAACGTTCACGTGGAGGGCTCATCAGAAGGTGGCCTTGAGGACCAAGACCCCATCCTCGTCATCAAGTCGGATACGCTCAAATCCCTCAGCCTTTCAAATGACAACTTCCTAAGTGTGAATGTGCAAGCCCCAAACCTTTTGAGCCATTTCAATGAAACCGACGTCCTTCATTTGGGAACCCCGTCTCTCCAGCTGCTGAATCTGCACGTTGACCAACTGGTCAAACCCATTACGCTGACGGAACCGTTCAGCCGTTTGGAAAGGCTGACAGCAGTCGAATGTAGGGCCGACAAGTGCTGGCCTGAGATCATGCTACCTCTCTTAGGGCAGTGTCATACACTGAAGCAGTTGTCATTAACGGTGAGAGAGACAACTCCAGACTCCAGTCTGTCAGTGGGTGAATTCTTGACCCATCTGCCTCCGGAGATTGAGCACCTGCATCTCCATCATGCATTTCTTCAGTGTCTCAGCTTGTCCAAGCTGTCAGCTGGCCACACGCACGTGCAGTTGAAGCAGCTGAGGGTTGCGGTGGATGATTGCGAGTTTGCCTATCTTGAGCTTCGAGCGCTGTGTCGAGGACTCCCCACGCTTCAACAAGTTGAGTTCTACTTACGAGGAGATTTGGATAGGAAGGGGACCTTGTCACTGTTAAGGTCGGATTTCGAACACGTTCCCAAGCTAGACGTTCACTTCCTTGAAACGCCAACGTATCCAGGCACGATATTTCAGTAAACAAGAGAAACAGTGCAACGTTCGCATGTTGACTTGTATGCAAGATGAGTGGCCAAGCTCAGCTTACAAATCCTCATTGCGTGCATCGTTAAGCTGACTGCTTTCAAACAATGTACAGTATATTACTTCTTTTCAATCATTCAGTGATTATGTCAGTCAGCTCAATGACCTACAGAGAAGCAAAACTTCCCAAACTTTTCACATCAGAGTGTTGCCAGGTGCCAGGCCTACGTTATGTGTTACCGTGTATTGTTTGTTCGAAGGTTGAGTGATCGTACATCAATACGCACAGGTACTTGTAATTGCAATTGCAAGCATGGCTGCTTGTACCCGTGCTTGTGACCTGATAACTTCCAGATGATCCAATCGAGTCTCTAGCCAATCCGCAACATGATCCATGCACAGGCCGGGCTAGGTGGCCTTCGATCCGATCATACATCGAATATGTTAAGCTTGAAATTATAGCCGGGTAGAGGCGCTGAAGCATACGAACTCAAATGTATAACCGTGTATGTTATGGAAAACTGAGCTGCCTGCAGCATATGGCGCATGCCATTGGTAGCCGCGGATATATCAAATCCTTCGTCACGGAATTATGCAAATATGCGGGTACGTCACATATCATATGCGAGAACGCGCATGTCCAGGTTTTTATCATTTGCTTTAAAGCGCGTCATCTCGCGATCATTAATGCCATTCCGCGCATCCGACCAACTATGACTCGCGCAAATTGATATCCTGTACAGCAGGGTCCAACATAAGTCGGACGTCTTCGATCATGGAAAGTTCGATTGCACGCATTAGTAACGTACAGTCCTCGTTGAACATGGTAAAACGCTCGACAATTCATGCAAAGTAACCTCAGTCAGCCTACATATAATCAGCTCAGTCACTTTGCTCATAAGATCAGACCACGTATCTGGTGACGGCAATCTCATATTTCAAGAGGAAGTGACTTTAGCTGCGAAGAAGTAACAGGGAGATCTCGTGGTTGATACCGCCAATTGCGTTGAGGATTGCTGCAACATCATGTGCCGCCCACGGCACGAGTCTCGATAAAATGCAATTCTGCAGGCGCTCGCAAAGCCGTGCATGCTCGGACTACAGTAGGACCAAAGTACCACTTGCAAGCATCCTCTTCCATGATTCTTGAATTTTGACATCTTGAGACAGCACGCTTTTCGGCAGGCCACCGCTAGCATCATCCTAACTGACGCGAGCAAAAGAATCGTTGAAAGAATCGTGTGACATGATCCAATTTCTTCTACCGGGCCAACGTCGAATCGTCGTCAGCTGTTGCACAACCGAGCATCCCCCGGGTTCAACAGCGCGTCCGCCATGACCCAACCCTGAAAGACGAGAGTAACGAAGAGGTTAATTGTGCTTGCCGCCTCTCTTACAGAGTACAGAATAGGAGTAGAGTCCCTTTTTTTCCTTCCTGTCCTTCTTCCATCTGATGGTTTCTTCTTTTTTTGACACATCAAGGCCCCACCAGCAGCCCGACCTTCCTCATCTTCAAGATGCTTTTGAACGTTCTGCTCCGACCACGAGAATCAAACTCACTTCCCACTCCGCTTCAAGATTTGAATGAGTGGGATAACACTTTGTCAATGCTGGTGCGAAACTACGCACGAGCAAGCAGAGAGCATACGAACCTGCCTACGGAGAGAGCATACGACTCGGCCTACGTTCACAGGTAAAGATGCTTTCCCAAAACATTCTTGAGACTGGTTGGCCGGCCGTTTCGGACAACCAACAAAGATAACACGCTTCCAAATAACCCGCACCAACCAGCTCCAATCTCCATGACTACCGGAGCCTGACATTTGAGTAATGGCGTCACACTATGAACCTTATGTTCACGCCACGGCGTTGCGATGTTTTTCACGTGCCAACATCAAAAACAGAGCGCGACTGGATGGATCACAAAAGTACCGAGAAAGTGCAGCAACCGCGGCAGCAAGACAAAGAATAGCACCCGGGCAGTAGCTAAGGCGATCCGCAAACTCGCGATGACACCCCAATAAAGCTTCTCCTGGCGACCACTTGAGCGTGCCTCCTACCTCCGCGGACGCCTTTTTCCGAAAGTCCTCGTACAACCCGCTCGTCTCGGCGCAGCTCTGGCGCAGAGCTGTGACGACGTCCTCCTCGGTAACCTTCCGGATGCTCTGCTTTCCGTCCCGCCGGGGAATGGCGCACACCCCTTGAATCAAGGACCCGGACCCGGAACCGGAACCGGAACCGGAACCGGAAATCGAGTCGCCATTGACGGAAGAGCCGTCGCCATTGGAGGGGCAGCCGTGGAGGATGTGAAGCAACACGTGGGCCTGCCGGGGGGGATAACCGGACGTTTGAGAGTTAATGTTAAGATTTATTTTAGTTCCGTGACGGGACTGTGCTTATAGGGCGCGTGCGGTGACGTCAGCAAATTCCGCGACCTATTCGGACACGTTCTTATGCGCCCGGTAGGTGCAATCTGCAGCGGGATCCAAATCCAAGACTAGTCGCCCGAGGCCTCGTCAGGTGCAACCACCCTGCCTTAGGAAGAGTGGAGGAAGACAGCTGAGCGTCGGAATCAGCGGCTACGGAAAGGGCAACCGAGGCCCCACTTTTCTGAAAGCGCAAGGCTCCCCTTGCGGTGATTTTGGCGTCATCAACGGGGTTTCACGATCAAGTACAAAGAGCTATTGCCATGAAGAGTCCCAACTTCTGGAAACAATTCGTCTAAACCTTCAGCCGCCGGAATGCTAGACTGCTGCGCATATCCCACCTCCACTGCAATCATTTGAAAGCCCCGAGCATGACGTCTAGACAACAAAAGTTGTGTCTGAACCGGGCCCCGCAGCGCATCGGCGGCCTGAGAAACATGTGATTCGAGAAAGAGCAAACTGGACGCACGAGAGAGTGACAATAAAAGTGAAAATCGGCTTCTCGTTCGCCCCTAGCAAGTCGGCCGCCTGTTGAATGTTCTAGCTATCTGGCTAAACCATGAAAGAAAGAAACAACGAATGGGCGGGAACATTTCGGAAACGCCCGTAGATGAATGTCTAGCTCTCTGGCTCAATCCAAAAACAAGAGACAAAAAGCATAAGGAGAGCCGGTCGGCGCACCTGGAAAGCGGCCCGCAGCACATCGGCCGCCTGCGCGTCCTCCTTCAACACGACAAACGCGCGCCGCTTTTTCTTGCGGTACGTCACCATGTATTTCTCGTCCTGCAACACACCACCGTCCGGATCAACTACGGACCGTCCAAAATCAGCAGCACCGTCCGGGATAGCCACGGACGGTCCGAGTGAAGCTCCGTCAGGATCAACCACGGACGGAAAACGACAGCAAAACGGCGTCCGAAAGAAGGGGTGAAGCGTCCGATCCTCGACCCGGCGGATGCTTTCGGAGCAGAGGACCGTCCGAGGTTTGCAAGGACCCGTCCGAACGAGCGAAGGATCGTCCGAAGGATGCAAACCGTCAGGAACTAGCCGACAAGCATTTGGATATAACGGCGGGCCATCCAAGGTCTGCAGAAAGTCGCCGGCGAAAGAAGCGCGGAACATAGACTGTGCGCGCACACCTTGAAGAGCTGGCTCGCGGCTTGGAACTCGTGCGCGCTCCCGAAGGCTTCGGAGACCTTCACGCCTGTGAGGAAAAAGGCCTTTGTGTCAGAGAAAATTCACCAATATTTCCACTGTTCCGCGCGAGAAGAACGAACGCCTCGCTTTGACTCAAAGCTTCTCACGAAACTCAAATCAATCCTCTGCAAACCGCAACCAGATAATCCATATCTTTCGGTGCCTGGTTTGAGGTGTTGACGACCAAGTAACCCCAGCGCTCTTCGGACGAAGCTCTTAGAAGGCTTGCCTAAACAACATAAGAATCGTGATACCGGTCAAGCAAGCCAGTCCAAGAGCCGGCGAAGCAGCTCTATTTAACAAGATTCCAAAAGATTATACAAAATCTTGAGGCTCCTCTTTCCAACAGGACCTTCTTCCGTGTTGCGAAACAGAGAAGCATCCCATCAGCCACGCCGGCTTGAACTTCTGGCGGGTTCTGGTCGGAGCCGGATAGACACGGTATTAGTGGTCCAGAAGAAGCGCATGTCTGGCAGCGAGATTTCAAGACCCGGGACGCATTCTCACCAAGCTCCATGGGCTTCTCCGCGGCCCAGGGCGGGACGATGATCGCCTCCCGCCGGTTCGCTTCCGTTGGGGCCGGCACGCTGCCTGGCAAATCGGGAAAGGGTGAGGTTAGGAGCCGGAATCGGGTCTTACCATGGCAAAATATTGTGGCATAGGTCTCGAGCAGGCCTAGCAAAGGAAAGGGCCAGCTCGAGAACAAGTTGGGCTTGATGGGATGAAAGCAATTTGAAACCAGCTGGTTTTTGAAAAGCGATAATTGACAGCAGCAAATTGCCCATTGCCGATGAATGCAATAATCAGGCTCTTACCACTTTCTAGGAAGGTCCTGACGGCGACGGAGAAGCGCGCTCGGTTGAGCGTGGGCAGCTGGATGGAGCGGCACTCGTTGTACGAGCTCAGCAGGTAGCCACACGACAGCACGCCGAAGGTCGCGAGCAGGCTGGGGTTGCGCTTGGACAGCAAAATGCCGAAGCCCATGCCCATCTGGAGTAAAAAGAACTTGAGTTTTACTTGAGCTTCCCTTCTCTTTCTCCCACTCGTGTTAGGGTCGCTGTCTGATCCGGGCTTCTTGTGTGAAAAGTAAGATGCCAAACCCCATGCCCATCTGGGGTGAAAGAACTTGAGTTTTGATCGAGCCGCCTTTTTCTTTACCCCGTTCGTGTTTCCGTTTGCCAGGGTCCCTGTTTGAGCCGGGGTTTTTTGTGTGGACAGCAAGATGCCAAAGCCCATGCCCATCTGTGTCGAAAGAACTTGACTTTTGCTTCAGCTTCCTTTTCCTTTTTTCCGATCGTATTTCCGTTTACCAGGGTCGCTGTTTGAGCCGGGGTTTGTTTGTACGGACAGCAAGACACCGAAGCCCATGCCCACCTGTGGTTACAGAGCACAGGGTACCTCCTTTTCTTTCTCTAATCCGTGTTTCCGTTTTGCGGGGGTGATCCGTTTGCAGGTTCCTCTTTGCACGACAGAGATCCGTTGACGCTTATGCTCAGACGGAAATCTTCGGTGCTGTTTTGAACGCCTTACTTCCTTACCTACACAATGCTTAAGAGGAATTCTCTTCTCGCTTACATCTCTGTTCAACTGGCGTAGAACGTGGACAGTTTCCGACTCCTTAACTTACAAGGTAGCGTGGTCGCAAGGAGAAAGGACCTTGTCACAAGACTGGTAGACGAATCTTTGAAACTTGCTCGATCCTACCCTCGAGGTCCCTTCCAATGGACATGAGCTCGCTCGCTCCACTGGTAAAAAAGAAGATAATCAATCTTCAAACCGGTATACAACACGCTACCTCTTCGTCAGCTCTGGTTTACAAACCCGAAGGAGAACGTGACTGATTGAAGTCGGAAGCAAGAAACGTTCAAGGAAGGAGCAGACTCTTATGCTGGCAACGCCCAATCCAATGCCCCGCTTACCAGGTCCGCCATGTTGCTGATGCTCTCGCCCTTGGCGGTGACGTCACCCAGGTTCTCGCGCCGCGCAAACGCCTTGTAGATTGGCGCCCGCGTCGAGGTGGCAGTCACTGCTGCCACGTTCTGTACAGATGCATTGCAAGGTCAGTATGCCGAACGGCCACGCAAAGAAATGCATACCTGGTTTCCTGTAGAGAAGCGCGTATGTGCACTCTGTGCCTTCGAGGTTGAGGAACTCAACGGTGAAGACTGCTAGGAATTCAAGGCTCGCTTCTGGACAGCGCTACAGCTGCTTCGTCCGACGCAGACTTAGTCGCGTGCCTGGTGTTTTTCCAAAGAGCTGTGCAGCATTAACCCTACACTCACTACACCACTGCAGGGCCTCTCACAGAATGTTCAAGATCATGACACGTTGTTGCATTGCCACTATGCTCTGATTACCCTGGTACTCGCTATCAGATAATATTGCCCGTAAGCGCTTTGCTGGACTCTCCGACTACAAATCACTCAATCCCTAAGCGGCCACCTGTCTTTGTCGCACACCTCCAAACTTAGGAAACGGACGTGATATACAATCGGACAAACCCATCAACCTCACCTTCGAGATGTTGGCAGCGCACGCGAGCGGCAGGAAGAACTGCGGGCAGACGGTGGTCGCCAGCTCGACCGCCGCGCCTAGTTCCATCAGCAGGCCCCCAGCAAAGCGCACCTGCTCGAGCTTGGAGCGTCAGTGTCTCCTTGATTTTTGAGACAGCCAGAAGGTTCCAGTCTGTTCAACGATGCTATACTTGGTGCTTCTGCGTCTTGTGTCCGAACTTCGTGAAGTCAAGAAGCATGGGAATGCAACACAAGGTAACATCTTGCGGTCACTAAATGCCACTTTCATTGTATTGCGGTGCCTGGGCATATCTGTAACCTCGGTCCAGAACATCAACAACTAAGCCGGAATTTTCGCACCTGCTTCAGGTCGCAGTCAAACTTCTTCCCCTGCCGTGCAAAGAGCATTTTCCCAATGCGCCCCGCCCCGTCCTTAATCGCCCAGTTTACCGCCACCGCCGTTGGCGCACCCCCGCGGGAAACGCCGATCGAGTGCAGCAGCGAGCGAGTGGTGAAAACGCCCATCGCCCCCCCGAAGAAATACTGAGCGGCGCGCCACCGCATGTAGGGAGCGTATGCGGCGGAGACGGTCTCGGGGAAGCCCTCGGGGACGACGTACGAGCAGGCGAAAGTGGACAAGATCTGGGAAAAGGAAGACACGTATAATCAGGGAGTCTTAGCTTTGGGGTAATGACCAGTTCAAGATGCACTTGCCCAAAGCAAGGGGCTTTGGGCACGCCCTCATTGACAAATAAGTCGACATGCTGCGAAGATCATCGACTAGGACCCGGTAAAAGGGCTGCAAAAGAAGGTACTCTTCTACTTCTAGGAGATGTGAATCAGATCAGTACTATGCTTGGCTAGAACCTAGCGGCAGTAGCACAACCTTCAGAGCAGTCCAAAGTGGTCAGCTGAAGACGTTGACAACTGAAAAGTGGCAAAAAAACGTGGACCCTGAAAAGAGCAGGCTTAGAAGATTGCTCAGCGTTGAAGTTCCTATTTGTTAGTGCGAAGAAGAGGGCTCGCAAAAAAACGTCGAACTGCAGAAAGATTCAGACACTTCTTCAAACAAGCACCTCTTGTGCTCTTCGGCGATGAACATGGTTGGCGCATTCCATGTTCCACTGATTGCCTATCACTCCAAGAAAACCAAGGCTGCGACGCACGTGCTTCCTCCATGCTCCGTGCTCGTCCCCTCACCTGAAATGGATTCCGCTTCTCCCCCTCCTCGACCACTGTGTATCCAGCTTTTCCCCTTCGGCTACTCTTTCCCCCCGCGCCCTTTACATACCGTCGCTTCCGCCCCTTCACAATCTCATAGCACAGCGCCTCCCCCTGTTCCCCTTGACTGGTACTCACTTCTCCCCCCCTGGCTGAACCCGCCAGCTCACGAGTGCCCTCGCCGGAGGAAGATACGCTGAGATCAGCGCTGAGGACGTCGTCGCTGATGTCATCGTCGTCCCAGGCGCCCCAAGTGACATCCACCGGGAGGTGGAAACTAGAGGGGTGGCTGAAGGGCCCCGGCTGCCGATGGTGGTTGCCACTCTGAGGGGACGCCATGGTTAGCGACGCTAACCGGATTGGAGACAGGGACTCGTTCTGGGGGGGCGCCTTTCTAACTGGAGGGGTTAGCGCCGCTAACCAGGCGGGCGGTCTGCGCGCGCGCGGCCTTACATCTGAAGGCGTATCGCAACTTCCCTTCCTCGTCATTGCATCTTGCACCGATCTCTCCTCACCGTTTGCAGGACGCTCGCTTCCACTTCTTTTACTTCCTTTCTTGGAGCGTGCATCTTTCCTCTGGCTTGCCTGTAGCTTTCGCAATGCCTCCCGAATGTTTGCCATCAACCCAGTCGCGAGTGACCCCAAACCCTCCAACTCAGCGCTGTGCCAGGGCTTGCGCTCGCCGCCCGCACCAAGCGGCGGCCCCGCCATCCCAACCTAGTTGCTAAGAACTTGTCAGCAAAGTAGCACGCTCTTTATTCCGGCAGTCAAACTACCTAACGTGGGAACCCCACTAGTGGCGAGAGACCCAACTTGAAGCATACCACTCGAGTCAAGGCCTGTTTCCGGAAAGGCTTTTCTCGCCTTTCGCTTTGCCGCATTGTCTGCTCTGCCTGTTGTGCAGCAGCCACAACAGCTGTGCCTTTCGGCGGACGGCAAAACCAAACCTTGATCTACCTGAAACCCTCTTCAACAGGACGGCGCTTTTTGTTGACCCTAACTCGTTAATGCAGGCGCAGGGTGAGTGCCACCAGCGGATAGCCTGCGGGGTAGTTCAGAGCACCAAGTGAGTGATTGAGCGAGCGAATATTATGATGAAACAGCTCGCTCAGTTTTTGGGCAAACTATTAGAGAGCTGCCATCCTCAATCGCAGATGTGCAGCAAATCCATCTTTATGAGAGGCTTTAATTATACCCTGTCTCTAATGAGTTCCTCAGCTTCGAGATTGAAACAGGCTCATGTCCTGAGTTAAGGCACCTAGACAAGCATATGAGAAAGAACACCTGTGGACCCATTGAGACAACAGAACAAGTATGCCAATGCCTGACACCGCCAGTCTTGATCAAAGCGCCTTCCCATTTTTCCAGAAACATCGTTGATTCTTCCATATCAAATTGAGGAAATGAAGCATACAACAATTGCCTGCAAGAAGCCGGACCTTCGACAAAAATGCAAGAATGGTCATGCTGTGAGGAGGACTGGAAAAGCGGAAACATGGACTTCCGAAACACTCTTGATTGTCTTGGTTGCAGAAGGGATATAACTCACCCAGGGCTGCTTTCGCAAACCAAGCTTCGAGCGCCTTTGAAATGGATATTAAACCTAACCTAGGACATGGAACCCATCTTGCAGGTGACCTTACAAGTAGCCCTAGCCGTCTGGACAATGGAAGCGCGCTAGCGCCTCGAAGATGCAACCTGCACTGACATCACTTCAGGAAGTCTTCTTCTCGCACATTCATGGGAAAACCATTCGATGCGTATCCATGCTTCCACGGCCGACAGCTGGCAAGCTTTCTACCTTTTCGCCCTTTTCACTCATGCCATGTCAGCAGGAGACCTCAAAAGCCGGCTCAGTGCACCGTCGATCTGCGGGACTGCTTGGACGTGATTGGTTGTTTCCGGCCCATATAGTGCTGTGCGCGCGAGCAGTCACGTGTAAACACTGGCAAGGAGGAAAGCGGCCGCCTGCATGTCGTTCGACATGCCGACAGTTACGCAGCGCACTTCCGCAAACTGCAGCGGAAGCGCATCCTCCTCGTCAGAAGCGGAAACAGATCGTCTCCGTACGCTGCTTGGAAAGTGTGTGGCCGCCCTCGCATTCATCGCTTTTAGCAATTAGTCACCACTCAGGGGTACGCTGTGCTTTAATGAGAAAACTTTGTTGTCGGGTGCATAATGCCGGCCAGCTGGCGCCGACAGCGCATCCTGACATTGATAGTGCGTATTCCCGCCGCCTAGACAGTCGGACACGGATATGCAAGTTCACTGCATGTGTCCTCGTCATTTCTAGAATGTAGATGGGAATGGCAATGCGCAAATAGCGGTCACGTTGAAAATCAGAATCTATCAAAAGGAAGCAAGTGAAGTTCAAAGGGAATTGCATGGTATCGTGTAAAAGGACCTGTCCCCTGGTTCATCAAGTGCGCGGTCATCAAGTGTTGCGCAGAATGTTGGTAACTGCAATCGATGTATTTCGCGGTCTCCATTGAACTCTTGTCTCAACTCCTATCCGCTTTGTAATGGTCGTCCAACAAATCGAGTCAACCTTCTTCGATCCTCATTTTCAACTTCGCAAATAACCATTACACCATTACAGCAGAGACAAAACGCCGCTCAAACCCTCAAGGCTTTGCATGGCCGATCGCTCTGGCCTTAGTACAAGCGCCGCACGCTGTCTCCTTGTATGCTTATGAGCCCCTCGGTCGCGAGGGGGGCCAGCGCTTCCCGCACCTCCGCCGCCGACACGTCGACCGAGCTCTGCTGCTTGATGTTGTCAAAGACCTGGACAGAACAAAAAGACCCGTTTCAGAAACATGTTGAGGAGCTGTGTTCACGTGTGAGCGAGCGGGGATTACCAACATTTAGCACTGAACTGCATCCGACAAAGAACAAGAAACTCTTGAAGTGTGAAAGCCCTGCACGTATTCATCAGATCTCAGGGTAATGATAACCTTATCACAGCCTCGAAGGTATCGTAGATCACCTTCCAAGGAGCACTTTCACGAAAATTGGAAAGAGGTCCTTCTATTTCCGAGCGGCGTGTTTTTAAAGCTTGCAAAGGTCTCGCCTGGCCGAACCGGACCGTTGCCATCCGTTTGCTTCCAACGGGCTTTTCGGACCATCCTAAGAGAGTCTAAAAGGGCACAGCGTCAAGGTTCCCGTGGTTCAAGCATACAGGCAGCCTCTTCTGAAAGGTCGCGGAAATTTTCCGAGAATAACGGCGGGGGTATCCTCTAGAGGTTCGACGGTCTCACCTGGCTGACCCTCATTGGCCCCGACCCCTCCCGCACGTTGTCCAGAATCCAGTTACGTAAGGCGATCGTTAATTGCCCGCGCTTCGATCGCTCGCTTGCGGACACACCGGTCGTGATCAGGTCCATGTCAATCGCGCCTGCGGAAAAATAATGACGTGGGGTGAATGTGTTAGTATGAAGGGAGGGGCGGATTGGTGTGAATAGGTCGCGTAGAGCGGCTGGAGATGGTTTGGGATCTCGAAGTTGAAGCTCTGGACAGTGGCCGTGGATATTAGCAAGGAACCGCCAAAGCAAAGCAGTCCTCTGATTGTTCGGTTGACTGGCATCAGACTCTGAAGCTCGTGGCAGGAAAGAGGGCTACGGTCAAGCTTTGGCTGCTGAAATCAAAATGACAACGTTGGAACACAATACTCCACCGCAGAAGTCAGAAGCGCAGACTTTCTACCGACCCAAAAAAAAGGGGTCTAGTGTGACCCTTTCACGCCCCACTTCAACTTCTGTGCTCATGACGTCTGCTAGCCAGCTGTGCAGCGCATGGGGCAATCGACCTTATTTAAGCGACGAGATCCAGCCGAACACGCGATTCTGGCAATCAAGTAGGGAGCGGGGAAACGAAAGAAGCGGGACGAAGCGGAGCGGGGAAGCAGGAGCGTACCGGTAGTGGGGTCCGTGGCAGCTTGTTGCATCGCCACGCGAAGGAGCCGCAGGGCTTCCTTGACATCCAACGACTCCACCTGCAAAAGTAGGCACCGCAAATGAGGGTCGGCGTTCGACCGAAGGAAAAGCCAGTTTCCATCCTTGCCCATACATGTGATACCATCGAACTCACACCACAACCGGGAAGAGGCCACTTTCAAACTAGCGGGACAGATAAAAAGACCACTGATACAACCAGAAAGCGACTCAAAAGAGACTCAAAGAAAAAGCCAAGAAGGGCATCCGCGCAAGCGACTGAGAGGGGCGAAACGAGCAGGTACATCAGATCTTTCAAACCTCATCGAAGCCCTCCTATTTACGAGCTCGGAAGCATTCCTGTAATTCAAAAACCTCGGCTGGCTGTATCCAAGAAACGCACGCGCACAAGGCCCTTTGAGACCCAAACGAGCAAGTACATCTTCCCTCGAACTCAACAAACCCCTCCCGGAATAACCTGCTCACAAACGAAAAGCACCCCGCAGAATACGGACGCTCACCGTATCCGAGAAGCGCATACGCGCAAGGCTCTCCGACAGGCGGATGAGGCTCTCCAGCTGGCGGGGGGTAGCGGTGATGACCTTTTTGTTCCCCCCCAGACGGCGCAGATCGAGGTACGCCTCCGTCAGATCTTCCGCGGCGTCGTCCCCAAGCACTGGGTGCACGTGCTGACGCGCGTACGTGATGTATGACGTCAGCGTGGCGGTGTCCAGGATGTCGACGTCAGCATGGACCTGCGAGTGAAGGGGGGCAGGTCAGCATTTGGTAGCGGGAAAAGAAAAGAAGGAAAAGACAAATGGAGAGGGAAATATGATTTGCGTTGGTTTCTAAGATGTGAGGGGTTCTCGGAACGTCGTTTGTGGAACCATGGACCTTGGAGTGGTTCTGGTCGCAAGGGACCCTCACATAAGAGCACCGATGACACGGGTCTTGATGACCCATACCGTAACTTAGAGCTGCAATAACCCCCTTCCCAACTTATGTCAAACCTTCATTTTCTCTACCCTCCGTTACTTCCCAGCACTCTAGCTTCCATCTTACCAAGGATACAAAATTCCCTGCCAGTCAGAGTCTCGGTGTCTCAGGAATCTAAATTGCCAGAAACAAGGATTTGGGGTGCTATTGTTCCCGAAATTGAGGGCTTTCAAGGCTTCACGCTTTCAAAGACATGATGATGAAGGAATAGTAAGCTTTAGAAGTAGTAAGACCACCAGCCTGGGACGAGTAGGGTTAAATTGGGGTTTGGGGTGGGTACGAGTACGGAGCAAGTGATGTATGGGTTCGGATACTGATGTTTGATTTGATCTAACGATGATAAAGATTTCAGACTTCCTGAATTGTCGCGAAAGAGGCTCTCAGGGTAAGTGCGCGGTGCGTGTACCTCGGGCACGTCGTAGTGCAGCGCGACCAGATGGCGCGCGAGCCGCCGGTCGTTGTGCTCGTCCGGCTTGTCCAGCACCAGGTAGATCAGGTCGAACCTGCAGTATAGAAGCACCGGTTAAGATAGGCGTCTCTCAGGAGACTCTGCGTTCAGCGCCATGCGCAGCTTGCGCGTTTGATAAGAGCAGCTGCAAGACCCGTGGAAGGAACTGAACAGTGTGTGGAAGAAAAGCAGAGTTGTGGGCAGGTGGACTTTTGGTTACAATGCGGCAAGCAGTGAAGCCGGCATTGGGGAAGACAGCAAGAGAACGAGAGGAAACAGGACCAAAAGACTAAATGGAGGGGGCGACGAGAGGGCTTGCAGGCCATTCATCACCGTGAGTGCAGGTGCAAACTCAATGCGCACAGCTCAAAAATATCGACTTTTCCCTTTTAACTTTCAAAGTCCAAAAGCAAAAGGAAAGGAAGGCTGCTATCGGAGGAAAAGACATGAGAAGGAAGCCTGAAGCAATCCACCTTCGAGCCTCACCTGGAGAGCAGCGTGGGTTGCACGTAGACGTTCACGACGATGCGGCAGTTGTTGCACCATCAATAACAAGCCTCCGACAACCGCATTGAGCGAAGAAGATAAAGCACGAAGACTGGAGGGAAAAGAATACTAGCGCCCGTACGCGATGGCCTACCTGGATAGCAGCGTGGGGGGCAGCTGGATGTTGTCGATGACGGACAGTCGGGGGTTGTAGCGGCTGCCGGACGGGTTGGCGCTCGCGAGCACGGACGTCCGCGCGTTCAAAGTCGCGATGATGCCCGCCTTGGCAACCGACACCGTCTGCTGCTCCATCACCTGGGGCGGGTTAAGGAGTAGCGTGGTTAACGTGACGATAACGAGACCGAAGGAGGTGCGCGTTAGGAGGTCTTGATTAGGGAAGAGGATCGGAGTAGGAACGCTGTCTATGAACGGTATTGACTTGGAGACATCATGGTGACGGGAAGTTGCGAGTGGAATGGTAACGGGGTGACGTAACGCGCTGAAACATTTAACGTTCAAGTCTGACAATCTTGTTACCAAAATCGGGATGAGAGGGGAAATTTTCGTCAGATGGAAGTTAAAAGGAGACGAGAGTCGCGACAGGTTCCACCGAAAGGAGGGATTTTGGGCGCAATCTGTCAGCGCTGAATAAGATGAGACACGCGCCGAGAAATACTTCGAATAATGGAAGGAGTTGATCTCGATAGATAGATTCAGAAGCTAGCTCCGCCTGAGACCGTAATCTTCTTGTGCGGAGCGGATGAGTCAGGACTGGGTGCCACGGCAAGGCGCACTTAAGCCCATAGTTCCCTTTGATGCTCCGAGGGATCTGACCTCCAAGTTCAACCGGCTCAATGTACATGGCCCATCTTCTCAACTCTTCTGACACATCGACAATACCCAAACCTCCTTCAAACCCCCCATACAATCCTCTGAACCGTTTCCTTGATTTTGGTGAACCTCCCTCGTTACTTATCGAATTGCGAAGCCCTTTCCCCCGCTCCTTACCTCGTGCAGCATGCTCCGCGCGTTGTCGGACATCTTATCAAACTCGTCAATGCAGCAGATCCCCCGGTCGCTCAGCACCAGCGCTCCGCTCTCCAAGACCATCTCCCGGGTCTCGGGGTCTTTCGTCACGTATGCCGTCAGCCCCACGGCTGAGCTGCCCCGGCCGCTGGTGTAAATACCCCGGGGGGCCAGCTTGTGCACGTACTGCAAAAGAGTCCGATGGTTTTCTTTGGTACGGCACAAAGGGCGAAGTACAAGGGCCACCGGAACAGAACGGAACGGAACGCGCGGTATTTGAGCGAAACTATCGTTCGTCGGAAGCAGAACAAGTGAGGCTTTGGTCAGCAGGACGGATTGGCTAGCTATTGATGAAGATCCGCTGTTAGTTTCGAACAGGAGCAATATAGAAGACTGGGGCAGGATGATCAGAAGCAAAAATCTAATGATTTAACGATTTGTATCAGTTACTAGCATCTTTTACACCTAAATACATAAAGTGTGTACACCATGCGATCGATGAATGAAAACGATGCATAGCACATAATAAAACACGTAGAGTTGGGTCGGGTGGGCTTGGTCACGGTGTGCGGGGGCTGCGGAGGCAGAGCGTAAGACCTGTGGTCAAAAGAGTCAGATCGAAGGGCTGTTGTTCGCTCAAGCTTATGGCTAACTTGATCGAGGGTTACCTGCAGCAGTTGGGACTTGGACGTGCCGGGGTCGCCGCACAGAAGGATGTTGATGTCGCCCCGGCACGAGCCGTTGGCGGAGTTCTCAAACTTCTTGGTCGTCCCGCCGAAGAGCTGCAAGGGGGATCGGGTACAGCTTAGACGTCCTTTACGGTTTTTGTCTGGTATCCAAGTCGTAGCAATTGAGAAGAGTGGTTTTGAAAAGAAGCATAAAAGTTAGACGTGGGTGCTTTTGCCAGTGAGAACGAGAAGGACTCTCTGTCGACGCTTACATTTGGGCGAGCTTTTCATCCGGATTGTACGTCTGGCGGGCTTGGCAACAAATCCAGCCAAGGCGGCGAGGGCTTCTGAGAAGCAAGCGCAGCGCAGAGAGATAAATTGTTTTCGCAGATTGAAACGCCGTCATACGCAACCTCCAAAACGAGAACGAGCGCTTCCGTAAAATCTGGGGACTCAAGCAAGCGTCTTCTCGCTTATTGGAAGACTTCATTTCAATTTCGACTCTCTCACGTGATGTGGTGGAAGACAAATGGAGCGATTTGCTCACCTGGCAGAGCAGCCCCTTTTTGATGTCGTCCAGTTCCCAGATGCTGGGGGCCACGGACCGCATCAGCTTCTCGTAGATGTCGGACTCCTGTGAGATGCGCTTCAAGCGCTCTATCTGCAGGCGGCAAGGAGGGAATCAGTCGCAGTAGTAGGTTTGACGAGGAGCAATGATGCAGTTACCAATGGCCGCCGCAGGGATGGCCAATTCCAAACCATTCGCTTTCTTTTTTCTGTTGTTTGGGTACAGGACGTTCGCGAATTGGTTCGGGTGAGAGGCACCTTGACGTGCCGAAACAGAGTCGGCATCCCAAGGAAGAAAGAAGCAAAGTTTTTATTGGAGTGGGGTCTGGCCACAACAAGGAGTCGAGATGAACAAACAAGGAGCATTTGGCTGCGTGTCAGACCAACTTCTGTTCAAACGACCCACAGAAGGCTCTCAAACAAAGGGCACGTGACAGAACTAGAGCGGTGGCACTCACCTTCTCCTCGTGAGTTTCCTTCCTGACGTCACCCTCGCAGAAGGGCGTGAAGTTCTCGTTGGTGGCGTCGCGCTCGAAGGGGTCCTCCGCCTGCATACGGTTCTCGTCGCTCTTCTTCACGTGCACCGCGTCCACGTACGTCTGCGGAGAAGGGAACGGCGGAGTATTAGCGGGACGGCGGAACTGTGGCGGAATCCGTCTCCACACGCGGTACTGTAGGATCTTCAGAAGACTCTGGAAACCGTTTATTGCCGTCGCTCTTCTTCACGTGCACCGCGTTCAAATACATTTGCGCCATTTGAAAGGGCGGAACTGAAGCGGATACCGCCCTACAAACGGCCCCTAGAAGACTATCTTAAATTGTTTGAGGGTCGTCGCCCTTCTCCATGGACGCGCGTCCACTAAATTTATTAGACAAGGAACTACCGTGGACTTAATCAAGAAGTAACCTCCGCTTCAGAATTAGCAAATTTGAGGTCCTCTTTAATTGGAACACAAGCTGCTGTCCACGATTCTTCCTTCAGTGTCTCGGGTTTTCTTTTGGCCTTTGTTCTCTCCACCATCTCAGGCATCGGTTCTTACCCGGTAGAGCGACTTCAGCGTCCGGTGGATGGGACTGCTCCGCACGGGGGCGGCCCTAAACACCCCGGTGATCTCCACTCGATCACCCGGCTTCGCGACGTCGACCAGCTTGTCGAAGAAGCAGAGCGTGACGGTGTGCGGCGTCTCGCCCTCGGGAATTGCGTCCGGGGTCTCTTGCAGCCGGACGGTCTGCTTGTTGCCGAAGCAGCAACGGTTATGAATGAGGGACATGGACTGTTTCGCCGCGCACTCGGGGCGCGCACACACGGTCGGCTCCTGGATGCGGCCTGGAAGCGAGTGAGACAGAAAGCAGGGTTAAGGGCTAGGTTGAAGGGCTGGGTTAGGAAAGACTTTGGGTTATTCTGAGCGGAGAGAGTTCTTCAAGCAGTGAACTAATCCAGCTGCTGAATCTTGAAGGTTACGAAGACCTTCAAAAGACTTCAGTTACTCAGAGGGCCCGGATACGCGTGGCTGCTTGCTTTACATTGAACTTTGCCCGGCGCTCGAGGACACAACGGCCTAATCTGAGAGCTCGGGTTTGGAGGCCTTGCTTACAACGTGAGATCATTGGGAAGAGACGACATCCGACGCGTCGTTTTTTCGGTTTCAGAAGTGCTTCTCACAAACCGCTTCTTCCCCATGATTGCACCGAACAATTTTGAGGGGTAGATTCAAAGAAGGCGCCGTCACCTTTGGTGGCGTGAACTAGATCGGGCGAGTGGCCGCAGACGAGGCACTTGAAGTAGGCATACTTGAGCTCCGGGGTGACCGCGCTGCACCGGATGACCATGCCCTTGATGCTCACCAGCTGGTCGATGTCTGGAAGCAGGGGGGAGGGAAAGATTGGGGTTAGTGAGGGGGGGGGGAAGAAGTACGAGGCAAGGGAAGAGGGTGAAAGGGACGGGGTTAGTGAAAGGGGGGGAAGAAGAACGGGAATAGTGAAGAAGGGGGGGGAAAGAGTACGGGGTTAGTGAAGAGGGGGGAAACAAGCACGAGGTTGGTGCGAGAGGGGGGGAAGAAGTACGGGTTTAGCGCGAAGGGGGGAAAAGTACCAATTTAGCAAGGGACGGGGTATTATTGAGGAGGAGGGGCGAAATGCACGCTATCAGCGCTTGGCTGGCATCGGTGTCCTCGAGTGAGCGCACCGTACTGAGCGGTTCGTTTGAAGGCCTAAACCAATCTTTAGCGGGCATTTAAGGGGCTTGTAAAATCTGAGAAGCAGCATTTCAGCAGGTGTGCAGAGGACCATGCCCGCCTCTCCATAACGCTTGATCTTACGTTGGGATGTGACTACGATGAGTTAGGTAATGGGACGAGTGAATCCGTTTCGGGATACAGGTGCGGAGCATGTTTCTCTAACTTGTCGGTTTGGATCTTTCAAAGGCGATGCACTAATGCGTTTTTGACCTATTGACTTCAATTGATGCATAGTCAAGACATAAACCTCCACCTACTCTCAACCAATAAGGGTCGCCTAACGATTGCACAGAAACAGAGAGTCGCACCAGAGGCGACGAAGTAGAACAAAGTCTCACCACTGGGGTCCAGCTCACGCATGTTGACTTTGTCCCTCAGGTTGTAAGGCCTCACCTGCAATGGACAAAAGACGTTTGAAGAAGATTCAGTATTATGAGACACACTGTATGTTTACGTACGAGACGCATTGTCGTTCTGGTAATCATGGCAGCTCAAGCAAACCCCTTTATTTCAATATGTGCTGCCGGTATGTGCTTCTTTTACGATAGGACAAGTGGACGGGCGAAGTGAAAAGTTCGAAATCCTAATTCGAAGCTCGTGATGCCACGTTCGGATGAAGGTAGCGAGCCGACATCCACTCTTCTTCAGCTTCTCAGAATGAGCGCATACCTGACATGATCAGACGGCCAAATCTCTCTTTCACACCCACAACTTTTGCAATTCTCTGAATCTTTCACTGAGCGCAACCCTTACTTTTCAAAACTCCACTTTTGTCTAAAGTGGACCATGATTTTTGAAACCTCGGGAGCTCGATCGGCCCAGAATCTTGACTTGGCCGGTTCCTTCGGTTCCGCCTCAACAGACTCGTTTGTGTCTTTTCTGCCCATACAGCAGCACATTTCCGGATTCCACGCCTCGTCATCACCAAGACCCCCGACTTCATGGCAACGTAACTTGTAACCATTCCCCTCACCCTGATGAGGATGAGGCCACGCGCGTAGTGGTCGTCCAAGAAGGCGGCGAGCTCCTTGATGACGTCATCGTAGATGGGGATGAGCTCCACCGGGTAGCGCACGGTGATGCGGTACAGCCACGCGTTGAAAGCTAACACGTCAGCCATGTCGATGTTCATAAAGCCGCTCTGCTCTGCCACCGTCTGCACACAAATCAGCAGATTTTACTGGTCAAGATTGGTCTTCAACTGGATCTGGATTGTTCCTTCCATACAGTCTTATCCAAGAATGATCAATCAACCTGAAGGTATTCCGGGTTTTGAAGAGACAAAAGCATTAATTGATCTTGCTTCGTTCATAGTCTGCTTGTCGTCAGCCGTTCCTCTTGTGTGTACAAGATCCTTCATGAGCCTTCCCGGTCAATCGAGACGGTGTACTCGGCGCAACCAGGTTACCCTATGTTAGCACTCCACAAAACAAAGTCTGCCCTTCAAGAGCACAAAGCGTACCAATCTGTGACCTTCATACTATGTAAATGAAGCGCCGTTTGCCATGCATGGATCAGAATTATTCTCGAAAACATCAACTGGGCAGTGGAGATCTGCAAAAAGCAACAAGAAGCAACTTACCTCCTCCAGGATCCGCCCATACTTGGAGTGCGCAGCATCAGGGCTGTCCTTGAAGTCCTTCATGAAGCGGCGGAACTGCCACTTGCACTCATTTATGTCGATGTCCGTGCCCCAAATGTAGGTCGTCCCGGCGGCAGTGTCAGGCGCCGGCGAGTCAGGGAAGCCCTGCGAGCCAGAAAGCCTTCTCTTCAGGCTTTTTATGGGACTTATTTGCGGAAAGGACTCAGGGAATACTAGCTGTAGGGACATCTATTTATGAAACTGCAGAGAGGCGAAAGCGGGTTGGCTTGTGCTAAAACCAGCCCGTCTGGTTCGAGCAATTCGGATCCATGCAGAAAGTCTATGTCCTTTGCGTAAAGGATTTGGGCAGCTGATTACAACAAACGCTCTCATTGATGCTTAACAGAACATTGTAAAATCATTGGTCAAGATCCTCAGGTTTGCTTCGCAAAGATGTCAAACTCAACTTGGGGGCGCAGATGTGACTGAAACAAACAACTTCATTTGTGCCTGATTATCGGGGCTGGTCGACTCAGAACGTTTGGAATAAAGCTAGATCCAAGTCTTCAATGGCCCTGCTGCCAATATTGTCAACAACCTTGTCAGTGCATGACCGCCCACCAAATCGATGGTCTGCTCACCTGGCTGCCACCAAACTCTGAAGCCGGAGTCGGGGCGCGCGCTCCAGGCATGTATCGACGCCCGCGGGAGCCAAGGTCGCCCCGCGGAAGGATGGGCCTGTTGGAAGCAGCAAATGGAGGTTGGTGGAAAAAACCTCAATGCACTGCAGAAATCCTCAGCATCATTTGCAGGCACAAGTATCTTTGCCTTACGATTGACACTAAGAACGGTCATTGCAGTTGTTTTCCCTCTATTGCATTTCCTCTGGGCGGGCATACATGTTGCCGCTTGTGAAGTTAGTCAAACTGAGGAATCAAAGTGAGGTAAAGTTGAGCATTGGACTTCAACTTCTGGTAGGTAACCGCTTCTTGTAGGAGCGGCATGTTCTGGTAAGTTCTCCAGAGAATGAGCCCAAGGTAACCGAGTCTCTGTTCCAGCACGAGCACTTACGTCTGCCTATACGGCGTGCCCATGATGCCAGCCGACCTCCCCTCGCTCCCAGGGGACCCAAACTCAGCAAAACCACCCCCCCTGGCAGAGGGCGTCCCATTCACCGACGGCGTTGCCCTGGCACCCCTCGCCGCAGACGACGCCCCATTCATAGAAGGAGTCCCGCGCACAGAGGGGGTGCCCCTGCTGAGTGACTGGGACCCCCCCGCTGCGGAGGGTGTCCCGGGATCGTCGTAGCGGGGGGCTGAAGGGGTGCCGGCGGAAGGGGTGGCCCGCGGGGGGGAGAGAGAGCGCTGGCTGGCCTGGGGGCTGAGGGGGGGGTCCGAGTCGGGCTCCACAGGAGTCTCTGCGGTGTCGAAATGGAGGCCTGCGCCTGCAAGGAAGATGGGGTGATGGTAAATAGGTTCCGATCGTTAAGGGCGTCTTCTCCCGGAGAATTGTTGAGTTTGTCCAAGAAACTGATGATTAAGTTAAAAATGTCATTGGGGCAACCAAGAGCATATTGCTCGTGAGGCACTCCTCTATTTCCGCATACCTCTTATATACAATGCCAGTTAGTTCGAGATCTCAAATCCAGATGCCAGAGCGTCCGCTGTACATAAGCACTGCTCACTGGTCAGAATGGATTGAGAACTGGAGCTGTTTCATCATGCTGGCCGATCTAAACAGACAAATTGGCAGGAAAATGCACATGAGAATGTGCGCTGCGAGAATGTGACTGAGGACCTCGCCCTCTTTGGTGAAACATGTTTCCGAACACACTGCTGTGCATTCAACAAGTAAATACTGGGTGCTAGCCTTGCAACAATAGGGTTGAAAATTTAGAAAATGAAAGATCAGCTTCTGAAAGCCGTCTGCTTTTACCTGGCCTTGGAGCCGGCGCGCCTCCGCTATCTTCAGGCGGCAGAGTCCCGTCATTCATGGGTGACGAGCCGTCGTCAGCCATCCTTTGCCCTCAGAAATAAGATTCGCCTGCCCTTCTCTACAAAGCGTTGCACAAGAATCCGTCTCGTTCTGCCAACAAAAGCCCCTTAGCTTTCAACAAATATCCGCCCAACTCTGCGCGCCTCAGAGCGTGTCAATTGCCCGTCACTGCGAAACGCGGAGAACGCTGAACGACAGCTCTAGCGCTTCACCTACTCAACTCTCAAGCAAGCGCTACTGAAGCGCAAACTGATTGCTTTTCCAGTCAAAACTCGAGACTCAGGAGGCAAGATTTGAGAGTCAAGTGGTTCAATGCGGTATGCTTGCAAGGCTGTCACGGTGCTACTGGTACTACCCTGAGTGCCACAGCCCTTGAAGCGATCTGGCGGGAGAAACTATCATCGACGGAGAAAGCTGCTTCGGTTTTCCATCGGACGGCTTTGAGGCAATGGACTTGATGACCTGGCTCAGCTGATGTGGCAGTTCGCGCCAAAATGCACGAATGAGGGGCAACTCCGCGGTAACCTTTACCGTTTCAATAAGATAGGTAAGTACACGTGCATGGTAATGGCTGGTCGAATACGGAGAACTTTCAGAATTGCGCTCAGCTCAGATGAGTCTGAGCTCAGCTACTTCTAGGGTTCCGTTCTAGGGCGATGACACCCTGATTGAAAGGGTTCACCTTCACAAGCTTTCCCTTCCGCATTATTTGAATCATATCAGTTGTCTTAGAGAAGCAACAAGGCTTTGTTTGCTTCAATTTGCAGGCCTTTTGATGGAGGATCTTACCGAGTATGAGAAGCAGCGGGCGGCCCGCCTGGCTGAAAACCAGGCAATGCTGGCGAGCTTGGGACTCGAACAGGTGGCGCAAGAATTTGAGCAAGTAGTTTCGAAAGAAGAGGACTTAGCGGAGGAGCGTGTAAAGGAAGCCGAGCAGAGGTTACGAGTTGCAAGCTTGGCGATCGTAGGGGGGGTCAGAAGGTCTTCGAGGCTGAGAAAAAGCGGTGCAAGCGATGCGGGTCAGGATGACGATGCCAGCATTCAAAGGGTTGAGATTTTGGAGGGACAGGAACTGGAAGGAGTGGGTTGTGTGCAGGGTAGACAGGAAGGTTTGCGAGAATTTGAAGGTTTGGGTAGAGATTCTGAGGGTCCAAGTGGAGGGGATTCAGATGGAGGAGCAAGCGAAGACGACTATCGTCCGGACCTCGATGAGCTGAGCCAAGGGGAGCTGGAAAGCGAACCTGAGGCGGCAGACGTGTCAGAGGGAGAGTTGGACTGCGCCGGGAGTGGTGGTATGATGGATGTAAGTATGAGGGGTGGAATCAGGGTTCTGTTTCTCCCTTTTGGCCCCCCAAGCCTCTTTCAATGCTGCTTTCTCTGGCCCAGGTCCGCTCATTTCATCATTGGGTCTCTATCAACCCGAGCATCGAGATGTCCAGCTGAAGCTTGCCTCAAATTCTGGTCTACAGGTCACATCCGACTAGGAATTTCTTGTTCGTTGTTTGAATGTTGGAATTTTAGTGATGTTGTGTGCTCTTGAATAAAAGGTTGAGACAGTCGCTGATGCTTGTGCCCAGCTAGTTGGTTGCACATTGAGCCTGACGCCAACTTCTTTTCTTAATTGCTAGGGAACGGGCCAGAAACGGAGGAGGAAAAGTAGCGCTTCCAAATGCGCCTCCAAAGTCTCAAGAAAGAGAAAGCAGGCAATCAATATGGCTGGGCCAGTATTAGACGAAGATGAGACGAACCTGCAAATGGTGAGCATTCTCTTATCTGTTGAGGTCACTGGAACGCCTTTTGTGTCTGCTCAAGCTAGCTATTTTAGTGCTTTCGGGGGGCCCAAGAGCCCCAAGTTGGCATATGTCTGAGACGGACATTGTGCAACTTGATGCAACACTGTTTGGATGAAGACTTTTACGATCGCGTTTAAGACTGTGCAGTAGAGTAGGTTACAAGTATCAACCTGCAGCTGTATTAGGCGTTTGTTGGTTTATATCCAGTGTCCGTTTGGGTCATTGACACTCTTTCGCTGCGCGCAGGCCTTAGCGCTATCCCGACAAGACCTTGGCACCTCCCCCGCGAACAACATCACCCAGAACGAGCCCAGCACTTCGGCTCCTGGAATGACAGAAGACAAAGAGACCGCAAAGGGGAAGGGCAGAAAAGCCCCCCAGCCGCAGACCGATTTCTTCTGGAGCACCGAGGAGCAGCACAGAGAGATCCAAGCTTTGCACGCTGCAGAAACGGGTGCCCTGCGGTCCGTACCGCGGGAATCGTATTCTGGATTCGGGGGCCGGGCAGGTGCGGGACAACTAGGGATGGGGGCAAAGGTCGAAACCAGTGCTGCCGGTGGCTATAAAGAAAACGGTGCAAGTTCCGGAGGTCTGAGCCAAGACGACCCACGAGTTGAGGCAGGGGCCGGGTTAGGGGGCGACAAGCAGGGAGGGGCCGGTTTAGCGGGCGGGTTAAGGGACGGGTCAGGAGGCGCGACGGAGGCTGTGCAAAGTGAGGGAAAGGGCGGGAAAGGGCGGAAGCAAAAGGTGAGGCATTGTAGAATTTTGGGTCCGGTTGGACGCATACATTCCTGAGAGATTGTCAACGGGTCAAGCATGCCACTCTTGCACTTTGTATGCTTTCAAAGTGCAAGGCACTTCGCTTGAAAAAGTCCGGGCTTTTGCTGATCAATGTTTGCCTCTCTCGAACATTACGAGGATCTCTCTTTCCCATTCAGGAAGTTTCTTCACCACGGATGTAGCGACCATTTCTTGGTTGTCGTCTCAACTTCTCATTGAGAAACTCGAATCCCCGTCTTTCGTGGTGCAGGGGAAGAAGGTGGCTGCTCAGCCGCCGACTTTGGACGAGATTGATGCGCTATTCCACTTGTTTGACGGTAAGTTTTGGAGGCGTGTCTCAGACTGCCGAGAAACTCGATAGTGTTTGCTCGTTATCGATTGAGCGATTGCTTTGTGGTATTTGCCCAAGTACATGTTCTCGTCAAGCGGCGGTGTCTATCTTGGCACCTAAGGTTGAAAGGCTTAGGCTTTCACGGGGAGTTGACTGGCATCACTTGCGGAACATTGCTAGCGAAACTTCAAAAGTTTGAACTTGTTCTAGCGTTGGTGCTCGACGCGGCATGGAGGGACCGGGTCAATCCTCAAAATACCCATACGGATCTGTGCGCGAATCTTTGTTTCAGAAGCGATAAAAGGTGAGTTGTATCTTGAGAGGTCCAGGCAATTGTCCAACGCTTCCGATCAGCGCTAAAGGGGCGCCTAGATGGATGAAAATATTCAGAAGTGCATAAGCTTGCAAACGGTTTCTAAGGAGGGATTTTTGAATATGTCTTGTTTCTTAACACGCCTGCAGATCGAGGTCGTGGCCAGCTGTCAGTCGCCGATGTGCGCCACGTGGCAGAAGCGCACGACTTCACGTGGAGCGACGAGCAGCTCCAAGACATGGTCGGGATGTTCGACGCCGACAATGACGGACTGGTAAATCTGCAGATCTCCATTTCTGCAAATGCGCCAATAGCTTCGAATCGTGCAGTTTGCTTAGAGAGCTTCTTTGTTGTTCGAAACGCAGATGCCTACGAGGCTCCGATTAATCCGCCAGATATGCGGAGAGCGGATTTCTGCGCACGTACGTATTAAGCGGAAAACCACTGGGGAGGGATGATGTGCTCTCCTTCGTATCCGCTTCCTTGCTGCTGTCTTGCGAAGCTACTGATCCTGCAGTCCGTTTCCATACCCCGAATCAATGCGTTGATGTGAGTCCTCAACTTTATCAATGCTGGCCCAGTCGTCACGGTCGTTCTTTTCGGTAGATGAGGTGCTCCGCTTCATGCCGGCAGGATAAAATGCTGTTGAAGCCGTGGCATAACCTCTCAACTCGCCTCGTCAATCCGTGGTTCTGACTCGTTCTGAAGCAGGAAAGACGCTTACGTTTCCAGTAGCTTTTCAATGTAATGATGTTCTGCACGTGGCGGAGGCGAGGCGGTGGCTTGCTGCACCAAAACGTGCCATGACGCTTCGTGCAAACAGAGGCCGCAGTCCTTTTGCTCCTTATGCCCAAGACTTCTCTTTTTGCTGCAGATGGGGCAAGACGACTTTCGTTACCTGGTACAGCACTGCCGAGTGGCCCTCAACTAGGATGGCGTAGTTTGTTCGCAGCGCCATTGCGATCGGCCTCCCAGGTAACGAATTCATTGAAATCTGTAACACTGAATATAATGCACGAGCTCATCGGCAGCCCGAAAGGTCCAATTCCCGAATCCAGTGCATTGAACATCATATGCGGAGTGGCCGTGGCCTGAGCTCGGTGTCCGGCAAAGCCGGAGTCCGGGTTCCGGCTCAACGGCTTTTGCAGTACTTACGTGAGTCCAATTTGGTATGGATGTCCCGTGCTACATGCCAAGGACTGCGACTGGCTAATGCGTATTGCGTGGGCAGTCATCGTGCCATGACGCAATTATGCAGCAATTCTTTTCGTCTGGCAGCGCCATTATTCAGTGATCGAGTGCTATATGCTATTATTGCATGCAGATCACAACAATGTTTGTCGCTCCTGCCTTTTGGTGGGGCGGTTCGATTACTGCCCTTGCGATAATATGTCATACATGATTCATGGTGCTGGCGGTACCCGGGGGCCACCCTTCGAGATCTGCCACGAGACTTAAACACTATGCTCGGCCAACGGCAAGGCTTGGACTCGATCGATTCAACTCGCTGCGACGTGCTTGCACATGGGACTATTTGGAGCCCGGTGAAGCAGTTTGGGCGCGCGACCGTCTTCCATCCATGCGCGCATTGGCACGATCGACAGTCACTGGACGCACATGCACAAGTTATATATATGGAATGGATTGATTGACATTGAAAATCATCTAGCATGAATGATCATGGTAACTTTGATTGGACTCGCAACCAGGCTCGAGCAGGGTGCCAGCATGGTTACATTGATGGCAATGATCACCATTCGTCTAGATTCATTTGAGCTATAGGCAACCGAGACGAACGTGGCCTTCAGGCGCCGTCCAGAGCCTGAGGACCATGCCATCTTGATGGATAAGCCAGTCATGGTTCATCGCAACTGCGCACAAAATGATCGCGGGTGTCGTGTCATTCATTTGCATCATGCCAGATGCAGCAGAACGTGATCCGACATCGGGAAGAGAATGACGTGCTAGGGCCGACAATCAGCTGGCCCTCTTCTCCCTTGTAGTTTCAAGATGCATTGGCTGACAATCTTGACTAGTTCCTTCACCCTCGCTTATAGGACAGCCTAAACAACCCGATGGTCTTACGTGAAACAAGAGCACGCAAATGTACAAATCTTCAAAAGCCGCACACGCCTCAGCTGAGCGCTTTGGAGCCCGACCCTTTTGGCCGAGATCCAATACCTCCTGGCCTAATCCGCTGATAAGAGCACTAACCGACCGTGGTCAAGTGCGTTGTCCGAATTCAAAAGCTCGACCCCGTTCTGCAGACACCCTGTCCGCCATGACACGAACGAGAGTCCCGATGCCAGAACCATCCCCGCAGAGAAGATCCCCCCACTTCGAGACCACACGTTAAACCTCCGGGATTCGAGTCAAGGTCCTTACTTGACCCAACCTCAACCCTGGAAAGCTTGACGACCCCAATCTCCAAGCAGGAACTGATTACATTGCATCCAGCCCGTCGCTCTAGTAAGGTTGCGCTACAATCAAACCCTAACTCCGTGCAGAGGTTAACTCGACCTCCTCCGCAGGTGTAGGCGAGTGCGCCGCGCGCCCGTTTTCTTGCATCTTGTTTGCCAGGATCAACGGCACTTCCTCGAGGGGGGGCACTTTGTCCGCCATGGAGGGGGCCTCCCGCGGCTTCATGTTGCGGTGCCAGCGCGCGTTGTTTGCGCCCCCCTCCGGGTTCACGGCGCCCATGTACCGGAACTTTTTCAGCCGCTTCGACTCCAACGTGGCCACGTCGTACGTCAGGAGCTCCTGCAAGGGCCATGCGGAAGATGACGTCAGCGGGTAGCCGGGGTGACTTAAGGTGCGAGGTCGCTGGGGGGTGGACTTGACCAAATCAAAAATGAAAACGGAAACAGGATCGACATGGAGACGGAAAGACCGACCTGGTTGTTGTGCATCGTTTCCGCGGCCGACGGGACTCTCTGATATACGAGTGACTAGCCTGCTCACATTATGACGCCTTGTGCGCCTTGAACAATCCAAAATTGGCCCGTGCTTCTGTGGCAACAGCGTTGGAGGACTTCTAAAGTCTTTATCCTGCTCTTCCAGCTCAGCCAGGACCCTAACAAAGCGCATGTTCACTACGTCAGGAAAGGCAACTAAGGGAAGATATTGTACGACCGTTGTTTCACACGGCTACAAGAAGCGAGCGATTCTCATGACCTATACTGTTTCCGTACATCCTTGGAACGCTGGCGCCGCCGCCGATCAAGTTGCTTAGAGGAAATCAAACCCGGATTCGGACTCCAGAATTCGCATTTCGAACGGACACCGCAGTGTCCTAACTCAACGTGGCGCAATGACGACTTCCTTGACGTTTATGGAAGCCCGTCCTTGGGGTGCTGGCAACGCCACTGATCAAGTTGCTTGGAAGAAACCAAATTTCGGGCCTGAATCAGGAATGCCCTCACCTTGACGTGGCGCATGATGACTTCCTTGACGTTCATGGACGCCTGGTAGGGGTCCGCGTGAGCGCCCCCGATCGGCTCCCGGATAACCTCATCCACCACGTTCAGGTCTTGCAACTCATAGCCTGTGATCTTAAGCGCCTCCGTCGCCTGCAAGGTAACCGAACTCTTTTAGATCGCAATAACGGTACGAAAAGGATGATGGGATTTGATAGCTTGAAGCTTGTGTGCATCCAGAGAACAGTCCTGCTTCGATGCAATGCCGCAATAGACGGCACGCTTATCTGTCGTCGATGAGATATCCAGAACCAGGACTCTTGCTACTTTGGGGGCCGGCTTGGCGATTGTTAGGAGGATAGCCGGGCTGGCCTCCGGGAATCCCACGGGGCAACAGCCCTCTTCCTTACAATCGAGCAATTGCGGCAGACGTATAGAACCCCACAACCCCGAAAGCCCCATCGACCTGTTTGGGTCGCTCCTTTGACCGTCTTCCAAATCGACCTCCGGTCTGGACCGGATTTCACGTCCAATCCAGTATCTAACTACTCTTACCCTCATTTGCTTACTCCGACTCTCTTACTAAGGAAATTGCTTCGTGAATTGTGCCCTCTCCAATGGAAGGCCACGTGCTTCTAGTCATACCAGGCGTTTAGACGGTGTCCACCGTGCGCAAAACCAAGAACACTCACAGTCAAAACATCCTCCAACCCAACTGCTCTGAGATCCTAAGCGGGCTGCTGCCCCGGCTTTTCACCACCGGTAAGCCGGGCTTGTCTCCAAAGGATGCCACGTCAAAGACGGGATCCCCGCAAACGCCTCAGAACCCACCTTGGGTGCCGCCTTGGCCGTCTTCCACAGAATTGCCGCGCACGCCTCGGGCGACGCCACGTAGTAGACGGCGTTCTCCATCATGACCATGCGGTCGCAGCACCCGATCGCGAGCGCGCCCCCAGAACCCCCCTCTCCAATGACCGTCGTCACGATCGGCACCGTCAGACCAAACATGTCCCGCAAGTTGTGCGCAATCGCCTCCCCCTGGAATGAACACGGGAGCACGGTAAGCTTAGTACCCTTGTCGAGAAATTATCAGAGGGGGTGGTCAGATGATACTGTAGCGCTATGAGGGGCATCCTCAAAAGTAGTGGCAAAGTCTCGTTTCCTCTATGACCGTTTAGGAGGTGAGGCTCGATTGAACAATCAGTAAAGCTATTATGCTACGGTTGATCATGTCCCGTAGGTAACGTCTGCCTTCTGGAGTCCGCTCAATCGCGCCAACTCCTAGGCGTATTCCGGATGGTGCGCCAAGATTTAGTGCATGAAACGAACCCTTACCTGACCCAGCTCCTCCGCAGAGACGCCCGCATACGCCCCTGGGGTGTCAATGAACGTAAGGATGGGGAAGCCGTGGTGCTCCGCGTGCCGCATCAACCGCAGCGCTTTTCGGTACCTGAAGCGAAGAAGGCACACAAGCATTTCAACTACTTGTCCTCACACTCTAAAGTTCCGTGCTGCGAATTGTCTGACATTTGCTTCGTAGCGGCTGGTCGTAAGCACAGCTAGTGAGGTTGCCAATTTTGGAAATGAGGTGAACGCATCACCAGTACTGCGTTTGTGCAGCATTTAGGTTGGCACGTGTCAAGTAGAACCGCCCCAAACGGACTTTATCAGAGTGTGGCAAACTTGTGTTTGTACTAGGTCCTTGAAGTTCTTCAAAGAAGAAACGCACCGTGTAGACCAGCAAAGAAGGGACCAACGCTACTCAGGACTCTCCGGGGGTCAGAGTAGTTAGTACAGAAGAGGCAACGAAACTCGTATAGCATTCATGGCACAGCTTGGATGCACCTTACATTCATAAAGGAAGGGGTATGGATAAGATCGGTTATCAAACACTATCAGATCGCGGATATGATCCAGCAACTTACCCGTTCGGCGTCGGCATGCCGAAGTTACGCGCAATATTCTCCTTGGTGTTGCGCCCCTTCTGATGCCCCATAAGCATAAAGGACATGCCGTCGATCTCCCCAATACCGCACACCAGCGCAGGGTCGTCGTAGCCCCCCCGGTCGCCGTGCAACTCAACCCACTGAAGAAAGAGTTGTTCTCTCATTAACCAGCTTTTCCTTTTTCGTCTCACAAATGCCCCCACCAACTGCCTGCCTACGTGACGGCCCCTCGTATTACTTCATCGAAGGGTCGTTGCTGTGAGTTTCTGGTTGCATTGGAACTCAGCCAAGACTATTCCATCGCACAGGGGACATACAGATCAGACAGGTGGTCACTGCGTTGATTAAATGGGACTCTGATCAAGTTCAGAGCCAACATAAGTCGACCAGGTAGAGGAATTTGGTGGACTGCTGTAGTTCCAGAGCAGATACAGATTCCAGTAGGGGGCACATATCATAATTGCCAGCCTCGCATCCAAATTTACCTTTCAGGGAACACTACGTGTCTGTCCTCTGCTTGCTATTCCAACAATGATTACACTGACTTGAGCATTTGAAGTTACTCTCATCATTGGAGGGACTGTCTGACATTCTTGAATTGCCCCTTCCAAACGAGAGTGACAACACAACGAGCTAAGTAGGAGAAGAACCTTACCCGCTGTTTCGGATATAGAGCAAACTAGGAAAGGACCTTTCTTTGGTGAATAGTTCTCCAAAGCCCCAATTCTTAGATCTATGACGCGTGCAAAGATGACCTAGCAATATGGGAGATTGATAACAGCATGCGATCTTTCTTGCGCTTCTCCTCCCCATAACATGTGGACCATTTGCGTCCAGCATTGCTTGAATTGACCACCACTTACTATCCAGGATCAAATGCCAGCTTTGGCAAACCAGCATTGAGGTCATGGTCTATGTGCACTTCCAAATAATGACCTAGCACTTCCGACAAGCTCGTGCATTCACCTGGCTTGTTCTGCGCCATTCCCAAAAGGGAGTCACCACCATACATGCCTGACTTAGATGTAGTCCTTTTGGGATTTCCAACAACCTAGTCAAATGGAAAGGTGCACCCACCTTGTCAGTGATGTTCAAAACATGGTCCAGGAACGTCGGCCGGTTTGGATGCCGTGCGACGCTCAACCGCTGCACCGGCGACAAGTTGGAGTAGATCTTCACCCGCAGCTGCAACGTAGGGTGTGAGCGAGGAGTTAGTTCCCAAACCCTTTGTGTTGTTAAGGGCTCTAGAAACCCTCATGTCGGCACTGCTGGAAACCAGATTCCATTGCAAGGACAATCTGAGATGGGACTGCAGGTTCTGATGTCAGCTGACATCAGCAAACAGGCTGCATTTTATGCAGACCCTGCTAAAAGTCCCCCCGCGTACTTCTGGGGTGCCCGGACAACCATAAGAAGCAGGAGCCCCCTTCTAGAAGGAGCCCTAAAAGCATGTTGCGGATTTCGCCATCAGTTGGCTGTGATTCAATGCAGTTCATGACACCCGCAGGCCACAACGCTGACGCTTTTTGAACATCAAGGCGATGCTTCAAAAGGGCGTCACCTTGTGCATTTTCTCCTCCATTGTTCGCAGTACCGCTTGGAAATCTGCAATCTCCCCCGTCCTCCTGGCCATCTCGTTGATCTGCACCAAGTGTTGCACGTCAGAGATCGACCAAAAGTTGTTTTCGGGTAGGCTAGGAGCGACCAATCAGAGCCACGTATGGGCAGGCCTTCAGACGCGAAAATTGGACCACAGCCAAAAGCTAGAACGAGCTTCTGCGAAGTGTTGAAAATAGATGATTGAGGATACTTTTGTACACAGCGGGGACTGGAAACCAAAGCAGTGCTCAACTGATGGGGCGAGCAGAACATAACCAGCAAGGGGCTCTGCTCGGCAACATATCCACTGCAAAATAAGTCCTTATGATATGCAGATTCATAACAAGCTAGCAGAACCACAGTCGTCAAAATGGACAGCAGCATGCCTAAAACAACGCAGACTTGGTGCACAAAGGAGTCCATGGAGTTACACCAAATGAAAGGGTTTCCAAGGGGAATCGGGAAAGTAACTTTGTCGGGTGTATGGACCAGTAGCATCAACGACCACAAAAGACCGCGCAATATGCGGCCTGCATCTCATTTCGCATCAGAGTCCCTGCACATCTGTCGCGCAGACAGTTTCAAAGAAGAAACCAAACCAAGCTCCGAAAGCCCGTCAAGCTCTTAACGACAGGAAACACAGAATTCGCGATGATAAAAATAAAATGGCTAGCTAATGTGGAAGTGGTGCATGTTCCAGCAGCAGCAGCTTCCAGTCGATTGATGAGCAAAAGTGGTTCAGTGCCATGCTTGGCGAGCTGGAATTTGAGCACATTGACAAGACGAAAGGAACCAAGCACCACCGACTTGTTCCACAGTACTAGAAAGCTTAGCAGGTAAGAGTGAACAGCGAGAGGGTGCATTTGTAGTTTATTTTTTGACAGCAGTCCTTGCGATACTCTTCACAAGAAATCGAATGCACCACACTTTGCTTCTCCCAAAGAAGACACTGCCTGTCAGAAAGGACTTTATGTACATCAGGGCAGTGTCCACGACCAAAATGTGCTGTCAGTCTCAAGCTTGGACAATCTTTGGGACTCACTTTAGTTTGAGTGCACCCACTTGCTTATGGAAACAGTTCAAACCCCTAACAAGATCCACAACCTGATTGCTGTGCTTCCGGACCGCTATTAGTAAGAGGGTCAACTCTGATTACTAAACATCCACTTACTTGAGTTTCATTTGTAGTGTCCAGGTACGCTCTACCCTGCTCAAATATAACTTGACATCAGCGCAGAGAGCCACCCTCTGGCGTTTCTCCCAACTCCTAACCAGTGCCGAGGCACTCCCACCAATACTCCAATGTATGCCAACATGAGTGTGTGCACCGCAAAATTGCTGTTAAAGGATGTGTGCTCGGCTGTGCCATGGTTTTGCTTAGGCAAGGTGGTTCAGGCAAATCTAAATTGGATAGCCAAGCGAGTCAAAGAGGTATTACAAATCAATAGCCACCAACTCAACATTTCAAATGCCGGCTGCGAAATGCCCAGTGCTGACAGCCTCACAGCAGAGGGTGCGTCCCTGTCTGGCACTCGGAGGTTCTCAGATTTGCAAGGGCCAGTCTTAAGGTTAGTTGCGACATTAGTTGCGAGGTTCGTAAGAAGCAAATAAGTCTCAGTTATTACGGGCCTTACCTCCAGATAACTCTTCTCCATCTCATCCAGCTCCTTCTCAAAGGGCAGCTTTAAGATCTTGCGATCAGGATCCGAGTCTTTGAACTTTGACAAGAACGACAGGAACCCCTGCGCCTTGCTAACCTCCTCAGGCCAGGGGTAGTTAGGGTCCCTGTCCTCCCGGCTCTTCTTAGTCTTCCCAGCCCTGACCACCCCCGCTCGTCTTTGCACCTTACCCACATTTTGCCTAAGACTCGGTTCTGCATTGAAGGCCCTCGTGTCTATCCTCTGCCCCAGAAAGCACGAGGGCAGGGCAGTAGCCTCTCGAGGGCCAGCAACAGCATCAGCATTTTGCCGACATTGAAGTCCTTTGAGGGGCCCCAAATGGACGCCCGCGGCAAAGCAGGCCGAAGATGCCGCCATCAACCACTGCACTTGCTCAGTCAACCTTTTAGATCTCAGGCAATGCCTGTGGACCGCTGCCTTATGGCGTTATTCAAATGGTGGTTCCGCGTACTGCCAATGCCAATGTCTTCTGCTGCGAGGCGCTCTTCTCAAATCAATGAACCGTGCTTGGACTCTGAAGTGCATGCTCTCCATGCCAAACGCTAGCCTCCAATCTGCACGATGCCCTTCGCCAAGAACAGCATGTGGTGCCTATTCACATGGTTACATAGCTTGCCCAAAACCTGAGTTTATATAGCTTGTCTCAAGGGAAATGTTGCACATGGTGAGAATGCGCCACCAGCCTTGCCGATAAGTCCGACACCGAAGCATGCAGCGCATGCCACCTCAGCAACCGGCGGTCGCAACCTTGAAATTCTTCCTCATCGATCGACCGTCGATTCCGAAGTATGTATCAAAACGGACGGTTCTAAGCTTGCATCGCTTTCCTAAGCTGTGCCTGTGATGGCCGCTCGATCCAGCCGCTCCAGTGCTTACCAGCTCATCATCATGCTCATACATGACCAAGCCGACAAGCTAGCAAAAGGAGCTCTCGACAGTCAAGCTCTTCGCTTCGAAAAGTGCATGATTTTCTCTGGTCGATTTCTATCTGGAAACAAGAAGAAGCAAGTCGTTGAGTCGAGCTTCGGCTCTCACTTGAAAGATATTTTCGTGATAGCAATGACTCAGAGAAAATCAGGAGCTCAAAGCCAGATGGCTAAAGAAAATGGACAAAAGCGAATTATCACCGACGGATCTCACAGTTGCCTACTTCTTAGAGTCTCAAGACGGAATATGGTCAAAAGCTTCGAGAGGGGCTTTGAGGTTTGTTTCGAACTTGAAAACGTTCCCTCACCTGAAGTGACGCCTCTTTGAAATGCTACGCAATTTAAAGCTCAGTAACCCGTAACTTTTAATAATTAGCTGCGCATGACCTGTGGTTTGTCGCTTTGAGCTCTTCTGCAAAAGCCGCGCGATGAACGTCGAAGACTCGTCTGAAGCTCTTTCGAGGTGACGTGATGATCGGACATGATGATCTGATGATCGGACGAATGACTGGTTGCATGCCGACTGAGTCTGCCCGACTTCAAGGTCGTCTCAGCTGCCGTTTTAACCTAAGCTGATCTGGCCCTGGCAATGGCGGCTTTAGCCTGGCCGGTTGGTCTGGAATGGTGGGACCGTCGACTCTACCGGGACACTTTTCCGGCCTTCCGCTCACGTAGGGGCGCACGGGAGTCCTGGTTCTGACTGTTCTGAGACTAAAAGAGAAGCCGATTGGCGTATGCGGACAGTCCTCTTCAGGACAATTTCTGAACCAGCAAGCCAGCGGGCCCAACCACAAACCAGATGCCTGCAAGCTGACAATGAAACGCTTTCTCGCTCACCTTCTGTCGATGAACTTAGGCTCAGATAGTGTCATAAATACGTGAAGGAAAGGGCAAAGGGAGCAGAACAGCTTCTCTTCTTTGATCAGACGTCTCGCAATTGGACAAAGGACGAAGGCCGAAGGACGAGGGGGCCCAGCAACCTGCCATGGCGGTCTGTACGAGCTCATCAAAGCTAGCACCTTTCTGCTTTTCACCATGTACTCTTCAGCGAGTTCGAGTCCCTTCTGGTACAGCTAAACGGTATGAGCCTCATTACGCGTCTGCATCGATGTGCAAGCTGACCAATCAGTGCCTTCTTCTCGAAATTCCCTATCATTGCAGATGGATGAAGCGTCCTGCTCGGCAGAGCTGTTTTGTGCAGCACAGATTGAGTGCAAGCATTGAAGTGAATCGAAGGCCAAATTACGTGCACCGGTCAAGGAAGCTGAACAAGGGCTCACACACTTCAAACGTCTCTACTGCTGCAACTCTGAGCCCAGAACCCTTTGAGACCAGCTCCAGAAAAGCAGGGCATGTGGGGAATGACATGGAGGACCACACTGAAGCCTCACCCGGACTTCGTGAAGGTTTGCACTCGTTTGCTTTGATTGAAAAAAGTTTCAGTTGACTTTTCTCGAGAGCACTTGCAGCCATGGAGAGAAATTGGGGGATTGGAGAGCGATGATCTTTTGTGCAAATGCAAGCAAGGTCTCTCAGCACAATTGACAATGCTTTTTTGATGTTTGACAAAAGAAACGCTGAATTGCATTATATGCTGGTTTCCCACACTATCTAGCTTTGAAGTCCTCTGCCTTTCCTCCTCCTCCCCTTGAAGTCTACTTGCAAAATTTGCTCCTCGAAAGTTTTTTCTTCCACCAGAGCTTTTTGAAAGGGAGTCGGAAGACTTTTGCTGGTGGTGGCAGCACTATGAAATCTTGCCATACAGCTTTTGCTGACTCAATCTCCATGTCTGGATGAATGTGCGAATTTCAACTGGGTCTTCCCTAGGTTTCTTTGCTTTTGACTGCCAGCCTCACAATTGAACTCCAAATATTCCTTCAGCCTCGTCACAGTATTGTCTGTTCACATACTTAAAACATTGTTCGTGCTTTTCCAGGTCCTCCATGTTAGGTTCTCGTATTCCTAACGGCTTCACTAACATGTATACGACTAGTTTCACGGGAGGCAACTTTGCACCGCTCGGAGGAACCTCAGAAGATTAGCCTGGAGAATCAGGGAGTTTCTACCGTGAACTCCAAAATCTATACCATGATTTGGCTCAGTGAACCATGTATTTCTTCAGTCTTGACCAGTCTGTTGGCCCCCACCATTTCTCTGTTTCAGAAAAGCCCTCAGTCGAGCAGACTGCAGAGCGCTGAACCAACACCTCGCTGACACGTGTCCGCAGGCGAGCCTCGCCAGCTGTCACTCACTGAGCACTACCTCCACCAGCGGCCTCACTGGCGGCACTGGTACGGTTTGTACACAGTCTGGGACGCAACAACCGGGCGTGTGGTGGACACATACAGAATGGAGCGCTTCATCGACGAAGTAGAGCCCCTGGGCTGAAGGTGAGTGCATTTTCTGTGAGGGGGCAAAGTTTTTGGCAACCCATTTTGTAAAGAGGGTGGAGGGGTTTGAGCAACCCGTTCTGTCCGGAGCGGCCGTGTAGCAGGGGGCAATGTGGTTCGAGATCTTCTGTACATGAAATTATATGCAAAGCAAAGTTCATACCAATCTGTTTTTAAGGTAGAAAGAGCTCAATACAGGGCTTGAGGAGCGAAATGGAGGACGTAATCAGCCTCCTCATCAATCTCGCATCAGAATGTCCCGTCTGATCATTGGACAGGAACTTGGGGTCCCGCTTTGAAAGGGCGTGGCACACGATTGTGGTCGACCTTCTTTTACCTTATGCGGTGACGAAAGCTGTGGAGGTGTGCTTGACCGAACAGGTTGACAGTTTGATTGCGGCTTTACTGTGAGTTTGCCAAAAGAGGTGAGGGTGCAAACAGAAACACGAGGGTATGAAAGAGCAAAGCATGAAAGAAGAAAGTAAGGAAGGAAGTAAGTTACGGAGACAGATGGAGCACGACTAGGACCAAAACGTCGGAAGCAATTCTTCGAGTGAAAGGAAGTGTGCGGAAAACGAAACACAAGCCACTCGTCTCTTTTCAGATCGTGTACAACAACATCCGCCACAAGCCGAGCGGCCGCAAGGTGAACGGCCCCTGGGTCTTTGCCGCCGATCCCAGTCTGCCCGACGGGATCGCGCACCCCGCGAGCCCCGAGTTCCGCTCGCACCAGGGGCCAGGTGAGTCGGGTGGCCCTCAATGTGACGTCAGCATGACGTCAGCCAAAAAGTGGGAGAGCAGGAGCGAGATGCCCGTTTCTCAGCACGTGGCAAACAGCTACCCGTGGCAGCTCTTGGCTGCGCCCCGAAAAAGAGGAGAAAGTCGCACAAAGTAGCATTCGTTCCTCGAGGTACAGAAAAGATTCTCGGAATTCGGAATGATCGTAGCTGGGAAGACGTAAGGGCACCCTGAACGGAAAAGCAAAACATTCATTGACGTGAACACTTTCTGCGCAGGCGGCGACTTTTCGTACCACTTTCGAGAGGTGCTGGAGGACCTGCGGAAGCGGTTCCAAGTCGAGTTCTTCTTCATGGCGCCCAGCCAGGACACGCGCGGAAGCGTGCTCGCGTACTACGACGAGCGGGGGGACGCCACGTGGGCGATCTGCAACCGGGAGGTGAGAAGAAGCTCCTTACGAGCTCATTCGCTCGGGGCTAGAAACGCCAGGCAAAACAGGGGCCGCGATTTGACCTTTTACTTTGTGTTTGCAGCTGGGTGATTTGCAACCGGGGCAAACTGTTCAAAAGTAGGATCGCCGTGGCAAAACGGCTTTGAGTTCGGACACTCGTTTCCGCCAACTTCGTGGTTTGCAATTGGAAGGTGAATGGAAAGGTTATAGCGATTCGAGCTCGCGAAGGGCTCACTCACTTTCAACCCAAAATCCAGGGAAATTGATTACCAGCGTTTCCGTCAATCGGAAAATCACGCTACGCCAATTCATGTCCCATTCCGTATTCATAACTAAACGGTGTGAAGTGTGGCAACTGTGTTTTTTGGAACGACGTGACCCAATTTAAACGGTTCCCTTAAAAAATCTAATTTAACGCACATCCACGAGACTTACGAATTCTATGCTATCTGGCTTTGCAGACTGCAAAAACGATTTTCACGTCGACTTTCGCTCGTCTATCGTTTATGCGCCCGTTCGCTTGCCTCCGAGAAGGCTCACATGTTCTAAGCCCGTCTATTGAGTGTTTTTCGTGCGAACTTTCAAGAAAGAAGTGACGATTTTGAGAGCCAGAAGCCTCAAACTGTCTGGAGAGGGGTTTGCTTTATTTGAAGATGTTCTGCGATACTCCGCATACTTGGCGGGTGCCGTTGGCCTGCTTGAAATAGATTATTCCGCCCGCTCCGGCGGAAAGTTGTTTAGCGGCATGCCAGCGCGCGGCCTGAGAGGACGTCCAGAGCATGACACTCCAAAAGACAATTAAATTCTAGTAATTTTCGTCTTGTTTGCGACCTCAACTCAATCGACCATCTTAAAAAGCATCTCAAAATGAGCAACCTATCAAACACGCCGTTTCATACTCTTACGAGAAGCTCTCTCCGCCTTCTGACATCAGATGAAAACTCAACGTTACCTAACATTCTCAGGGGTCTTGGGTACCGCTTCGCTGAGAACGCCAAGTTTACATTTTTCGGGCTACCAAAAGACCATACCTCTCTGCTCTGTTTGCGCAGAACGACTGGGACCCCAGGAGAAGCCGAGCACGTGGTCTTCGCTGAGAATACCAAGTTTCTGGTCTTCTAAGCACCAAAAGACCATATGCTATCTGCTCTGTTTTTGCAGAATGTCTGGGACCCCCAAGAGAAACCGAGCACGTGGTCTTCCAGCAACGCCACCGCGCGGGAGCGCGTTCCGCCCCCGGGGCCACTCACTGGGGTGGAATACACTCTTACCGCCGACCTAGTTCTCAGCGAAGCTGCGGGCGCCACGTGGCGGGGCTACGAGCGCCCGGTGGGGAGGGCCGTAGACGGCGAAGATTGCCTGGCGGCAAACGAGTACAAGCTGCTCCAAATGCCGGACGGGCTGAGTATCTGCCTCCCGAGGCGCGTCAGGCGGGGAACGGGCGCGTTCCAAGTGTCGATGCACTGGCAGATGGACGCCCGGACGGTCCCGCAGGAGACGGTAGTGTACGGCGCGGACGGCGCCTTTGAGTCCTTCAGAACGGCGCACTACACCGTTTGAACGGGTGAGCGCAGGATCCGAAGGGTGACCCTGCATGGTGAATCTTTGAATCTTTGTGTAGATATGGATTTGGATTTCTGGCTTCATTGTGTTCTTGAAGATTAAGAGGCCGTGAGCGATCGGTAAGCATGTATAAATAATAGTCTACGGTTCTTTAAAATGAAGACCTTTGTGTAGACATGGACACCAATAATGTTGATCAGATTCATGACAAACAAGCATGTGTACATTAAGGCGCTAGTCAAAGTTAGACGTTCTTCAGCATTGGAAAAGACCTGGCGTCTACGTTGTAGAAACGGGGGCCCCTTTCTTTGTCAAAGAGCCATTCATGATCTAGGTGTAGTGACTAGTTGAGCTGTGTGTTTGAAGACATTGCGTTCTTTTGCCGGATCATTGTAGAAAACTAGCAAAAACGCCAATCACAGATGAGGAGTCAAACGTGATGGGACATAAAGACAACCGTACTTCTACGCTAAAAACAGCAATTTTCTTTGCGAATAACAACATACTGTAGATGATTCCATGTAGTCTTAGTAGGTAAATAGCTGGTACTAGTAGCAACAGAGGGCCCTTTTCACAATTGCGTACCATAAGGGCTGAGTGCGTGAGATACCGACCAGCTGGCATGTTTGGCAGCAACGTACAACACGCTGGAATTCGAAAAAGAAGCGTAACATGCTGCAATTTTACAATCGTACGGCACACATGCACTGCATTAGTAATCATGTGCGTGTCACTACTATTACTCCTATCGTACGTTGAAAACTCCAATAATTTGCAGCGCGCATTACCGGGTACGCATCGAAATGACGAAGTGGACGGTTGCCAGTACGTCTCTGTGATGGATACGTGCATGAGTATTATGCGCAGATTAAACGTTTAGGCTTATTATAGGCGCAAAGCTGGCAGTAAACTTAACTCGCTTTCACAAGTGTTTGTTGGCCCTTAGCGGCAGGCTGACATGAGCGAGCCCATGCACTTCTGTATATATGCATGTAATAGTCAGAACTTTACGTGCTGTTCAAAACGACCACGACCAGCTCTCACACGTTCGAGCACCCGAGAAGTATATCAAGCTTCAGCACTCACCACTAGCCATGTCAACAATGAAATTGAGTCCCTTAGACCTAGCGCGCATGTACAGAACTATCTCAAACGCGGCTAGCTGCAGCGCTACTGTGCAACCATGTTCGCAGCTATGCGTTCACAACTCGGTAGTGTCAAACCTCTCCAATCTGCCTCAAATTTAGAACAGTTGTTCATTCAAATGATCACCCAAGAGCGTGCATGTTGTTACGAAGTTGGGGCGATCGAGCAAGACAACAAAGCTTCTCGAGAGTCGCCTTGGCTCACGAGTTTCTGAGCCAGCCGCATTCGGGTGGAGCGACTAATGCCAATATACGGGCACTAGCAAAACCGTACAATACATTTCTGGGACACCAAAACTAACGCGAAGAATCCACCGGGCGCTTAGCGAGTGTAATGCCCCGTCCTATAGCTCTCAACCTTCCCCGACTCGCCGTAGACCACCGTCGCCTGGTGCACCCGCTTCTTATTTGCCACCCAATGCGCCGACAGGTGGAAAGCGCCCATTCCCCGCTTGACGAACTTGGGGGCGCACAGCGTGAGCCCGTCGGGAAAGTGTAAAACCTCGTACTCACTGCCCGGTAGGAGGTTACCGATCAGAGGCTTCCCAACCGGTTGATCGTACCCCTTCCAAACGCCCACCGTTTCGCCCAGTAAGAGGTCGGCGGACATGACTCTTTCGACGCCGGTGAGTTTGCCGGTGGGCGGGGAACGCTCCCGGGAGACGTCGTTGCTGGCGGACCAAACAGACGGGCGCTCCTCGGGGTTCCAAGACACCTGAGTAGACGGCAGAAGGATGGTCTCAGCAAGGCAGATTGCGATGTCTGACGTGCTAGCAGATTAACCTTTGCTGACAATGAATGTGAAGGGCCAACCCAACTGCTCCATACGAAAAATAACATTTGGAAACCGCCGGTCGCGGTCTCACCTCCCGAAAGCCAGCAACCACCAAGCCTTGCCGTCCCTTTCTGACGCGCTCTTCAAACGAAGCAAGTACTCAATGATACAACAAACTGAGGGGAAAAGAAACTGCACTTTCACCTCCCGGTTCACTGGCACCCACCAGGCCTTGCCGGCCCTTTCTGACGTGCCAACAAAGTATCCTTTGCTATATATGGAAAGCAGTTCAAAGAGCAAATGAAATGGTCAACATGGAAAGATCGAGTCGAAACCGTAGATTGCGGTCTTACCAAGCAGACACACCCTTGCCGGCCGCGATTGTCGTGCTAGCAAACAACGCTTTGCTTGAAACGGGAATGAATGTGAAGGGCAAAAATCGAACTGCTCGATACGGAGAGCCCGAGTTGAAGAGGCGTTGCGCTCTCACCTTCCGGTTGCCCAGCACCCACCAGGCCAACCGTCCTTTTCTGATGGGCTGTTTGAAAGAAGCTCAGAAAACGCTTGAAAATCGTGCTCTCGGAGGGGGAGATAAATCTAGGGTCTCACCTCTCGGTTGCCTAGCACCCACCAGGCGTTGCCCTCCTTGTCGTAGAGCGGCAGCAGGCAGACGCGCGACTGCTTGTCGGGCGCCATGAAGAAAATCTCCGCGCGGAACATCTTGCTCAGGTCCTCGGGGACCTCCCGGAACGCGTGGACGGTGTCGCCGTCTGCCACGTGGCAAGGACCGCGGTGAGAAACACAAGGGAAAGAAGGGGAGCGGAGAAAGCCTCTGTTACGACGAACGAGACACGTTGGATGCAGTGACCCCGAAAGCCGGGTGGCGCAATCTCCACAGGCTAGATAGCAGTAGGAGCTCCAATCAGTCGGCCGGCTTAGTAGAGTGCGCCAAGACTAGATTTTGAGAGAACACCCGTGGGACTCACGGATGGCCTTGCAGAGGAACATCAACTTAGAGAGGGAGTCTTCGATAGGACCTCTCGCTTGAAGCAGTGTCCCAACTTTAATCGAACAACCGAAGAGGGCTACGAAAGCATTGAGCCTAAGGAGGTCGGATGCCGGAGGTTGAAAGTCTCCGTTAACCTATCTCGGCAACCGTCCCCTGGAGGCGACTAGTTGCGTTTCGTGTTTTTTAAAACTGAAAGTAGGCGTGACCATGGCAGCGCTGATCGATTCGCCCGGGAATCACGCGATACCAAACTAGTCAACCAGCCAGAGCTTGATACAGAAGCAACTGCATCAGACTCTTCCGAATTAAATTGCTGCTCTTTCAACCAAGGGCGCAAGGATGCTGAAACGCTTTGTAAACCGTCTGCTTCGCGGATGATCCTCGATTTAGTGGACTGTCAATCCTCCAGTAAGCAGTAACCCTCTGGGTTCGACTAATCTTTAAAGCACAAAATGTTTTGGCTCCGCACCCGTTACCACCATAAAACCCTGACTAATCCCACCAATCCCAGTCACCATTCACTGAGCTCACAATCTCGCTGAAACAGGTACGGATCTGTAACGAACTCGGTGCCGCGCAATCCACTATTGCACTTCGCCCTCTGACAATCTACCAAAAGAAACCATAAAGTAAACCGTCTTGAATCACCAGAGTCGGATAAGCATACCTGGCATCTGACGTGTCCGCGAGTCGTCGCTGTACGGATGCGACACGCCGTCCGGCTTGCTCCCGCTGGAACCGAACTCGTAGGGCCCGTCGGTTTTTACGCCGTCCTCCTTGTAGCGCGTGTTCTTGTGGTGAATCTAGAGAGGGGGAAACTTTCACAGTCAGCAGAGCGGTACGCCTCTGCTACTCCTAAGCACCCAATTAGAAGCAGCGTCAGACGAGATATCGCAAACATGCTGTATTTCTTTCACTGACTATGTTTTGTTTCTCGCAAAGAATATCTATCAACCGAGTTGGGCTGGAAAATCAACCGGACTCGTCAGCGACCAAAAGCGGCGTTACTTTCAGTGGCAGCTAATCGGCAAACCTCGTAATATTTACGAGTAAAAGACATTATAATATAAGAAAGAGAATCAAACCGAAAGCAACGTGTCGGACTCGGCGTGAATCTTTAGGCACGACCAACATCTCAGACTCGACCCAAGATCACGTAGTCGAAACTCGCACCATAAGAAGCTTCAACAAATAGCCGCGACTTTACTGACGCCAAAGCAGCTTTTGGAGCGCAGTGTCAAGACCTCGGCGCACCTTTTTGCCCTCGGGTTCCACCTCTTCTATATTCCTTTCCATCTTGTACGTCTCGAGAGTCTCTCCGGACTGCGCGTCCCACTTCGTAAAGACGCCGTACCAGTGCCGCCAGTGCGGCCGCTGGTACAGAAAGTGCTCCTCCAAGGACAGCTGGCGCGGCTCGCCTGCGCAAGAGAAGCGTATCACCCTGGCTGACGTCATGCTTCTTACGTCATGCTTCTGCTGAGCACAAGTCGTCGATAACACTTGACAAATGGAACGAAAGTCCGTGGTATAGCAAGTGCTCCTCCAAGGACAGCTTCCGCAGCTCGCCTGCGCGCTGCGCCAAGAAAACCTCTGGTTGTTCTCAAATTAGCTGTTGTCACACTTCATTTTGAATTCCGGAGACGTTGACTGTGATTTGTGGTACATATGATGCTCCTCAAACGACAGCTTCCGCGGCTCGCCTGCTTAGAGGGACGGTCTGCTATTTTGGATTAGCTGACGCCATGCTTAGGAAATTCCTGCTTGTCTAAATGTAGCCGTAGTACCGAAATGCTCCGGCAGCGACAGCTGGCTCTGCTCCCGCGCAAGTTGCCTGCAAATAGAAAGCGTCTGCTGTCTTGGGTTTGGTGACGTCATGCTTCAGCAAGGTCTCCCACTCAGCGACACTCAAAACGAAGGAGGGAGCGGTTGATCATCCCTGCTATCAGAAGTCTTTGCGCGCGACAGCTGGCAAGGCTTAGCTGGGCGAGGAAAGCGAGTATAGCGAGGATAGGAAAGTCCTAGTAGCGGATATTGGCTTTCCACTTTTACGCAGTAACTATGCGAGCTATTGGATTCGTGCGGTCCGCGCTTTGGGCGACACTGTACGAAGCCGCTCTTCGAAAGATAGCGAAAATTGAGCCTGGCGCATTACCCGTTTGCCCCTTGTTCGAAACGAAAACGTACGAAGCATCCCCCTGATAGTCCAAACTAGAAGGCCACATTATTAAGACTCAGCAGCGCGACTGCGTGAACTGATTGCTACGAATCGAACGCCGGCGCAAGTATGCCGACACACAAAACCGTAACGGTGTAACGCCTGACCTCGGAATGTCCGAACGGATTCAAGTTGAAGCCGCCACGTTGCAGTAGGTACCCTGCAAGTTGCTTGACACTGCCCTATAACCCAGCCACTCAGGATGTGAATAACAAACCCTTAGATGCAATGAACACCTTCAGTATTATGTTCAGATGTCAGCGAAGTTTATGAAAGTGCCCGGGAAGCAGAACGTCCGACAATGTGGTGGCGCACTCATAGCGACCACGGTACCCGATCACATTTCTCTTGTCCAGATGCGCGCGCCACGCCACAAACACGCTTTTTAATCACTGCCCAGTCGCCGCACAAAGAGGCAAGCCCCCGCCGCCCCCCGGGGCGGCCTAACATGTTCAGTCTAGATACAAGCAGACACGTTTTGTCGAGAGCTAGCTTTGTCGCGGATCGTTCGCACTTCACCAGTACAATCGGTGCTTCCGGTTTCCCAAACCGTATGCAGGTGGACTAATAAAATGTGCTCGACATCCCCGTCGATCGAACGAAGGTCCGCCCAAGCTTCGGAGCCTGCCTTTCCAGCACAAAGCACTCACAGCAGCTCTCGAGTGCAGCGGCAGGACCAAAATACGACCAACATCGATGAGAAAGGAGACCAGCGAATGCATATACGCGACCTTTCGACCGGCTCACCTTCGACGAGCGCGCGCGCAATCTTGTTCCCCAGCTCCGGCCCGAGCGTCATGGGCAGCATGGCGGTCCCCGGGTCCCGCTCCACCGCCTCCTTCTTCAGGATCTTGTCCCGGCGGGACAGGGCTTCTTGCTCCTCGGGGGGGACGTTCCGGGCACGTGCCTTGACCACCCTGGAACTCGGGTGAGCTTACCGTTGATGAAAAGGCGAAGACCCAACTTCTGACGTGCAATGTTTTCGTGGTTTTCTAAGGAGCCGCCTTACAGAAGTCCGTGGCTATCGATTAAAACGCTGGTTGATCCGATGACAGCTCAATCGAAAGGAAGTCCTTCTCTGAATCAAACCGCTTGCCAATGATGAGCGCTCGTAAACAGACGGTGACCAACAAGTGCACGGCCGATCATTCGACTTCTCGTGTGAGTTGTATCTCGTGTGAGTTGTAAAAGTGGTTTGGTTCCCAGCCTTGGCTACCACCTTTGGCACGTTTGCAAACTTTAAGTGCAGTCCAAGTAGAAAAGATGCAAACGCAACACAGATGCAGAGTTGACACGGTAGATATGGTTTCCGGTGAAGAAAGATCCTGCTTTTGGCGTCCCTAGACACACCTAGCGTTTAATGTCTTGGCTTCTCCCAAACCTCCATAACAGATATTTTACGCCCACTTCAGACAATCATCGTAGGTCGACCCGTCAGGGGCAGTTTGGCGTGGCTTGCCCTAACAACAATTCGAACCACAAAATCATTCGGAGTCTCAACCAAACCAATCGAACCTTATAGACAGTCAAAAGCTCACTTGATCCAGTTGTCCAGCGTTCCCTTCACGTACGGCTCCACGACCTCCTTCATCGCCGCCACAACCGGCCTGTCTCCGCTAGACTTCCCGTTGCTTTTTCCGGCCCCATCGGTCTTTCCACCCTCCTCCGTTCCGCTGCTTTCGCCGGCGCCCTGCCCGAGCGTGTGCGTGTGGCATATGCACGCGGGAGAGAGCGCCACGTGGGTGTACAGGTCGGGGCTGTCGTAGAAGGTGAAGCGCGGGTCCTTCTTGATCTTGGCGTGCAGGTCTTTCGCGCCCGAGTGCTCGTAGACCTCGTCCAGGTAGTCCGGTTCGCCCACCAGATCTCTGCAGCGAATTTGCAGGGTTTTATATTCATTGCGTAATCAAGCTGACCTATATTTCGGCACTTGAAGAATGTTTAGTTGAAGGTTGCCAAACAGACAGCCCCAAGCTCGTGCAGGTGCAGACGGTTTTTAGGAATGGATGTAAGAGCAGAACGCACGTGCTTCTCATCGAAAAGACCTTTCTCAGCCGTTCGAGCGTGGCCACTTGAGCGCTAGCAGAAGCACTGCTCTTAGTAGAACCACACGCACCACTCTTTTTGCACGATTCGAACCGGAAAGCCGACATGACAGATTTACAGAGTCAAGTATTTTTTCGAGGCGATTGTCGCAAGATTCCACTTATCCAGATGCGCACCTTCGGGGGACCATGTCGGCAACGAGGAAGATCTTGTCAGGGGACACCGAGATCTCGAACGTGCAGTGGGGCGCATCGGTTGCGGGCCCGAGCCACATCATGACGCTCCACAGAGCCATCTTCGACCCCGGCTGGCCAGGCATTCCGGGACGATCCACGCCTAGTCGCGACTGCAACCACAGAAATGATGACGGGAATGAGGGTGGGAATGAAGACAAGAATGATAAGGGCGGCACACATGATGAACGTACTTCCGAAGTGATTACGTGGCTGTTTCTGATGGGACTTCTTGGGCTTGTTTCTGCACACCGCCCTACACAGTTCGCTCTTTTTTTTCCGCCTTTTTGTTGAAACGAGAGGTTTAGAGCTTCAGCATAATCCGCAAGTGGTTGTTGAGACGTACGAGGAAGAATACCCATCTCGCTTGAACAGAATATCCTGAGATCGATGAAGCATCGTACAAACGCAGCCATGGACGCTGGCCTAAAAAGAGCGGGTTATAGAAAGAATGGAAAGCAGGGAACAGCACTCACTGCATTCGGTTTCTCGATATTTCAAATGGGACAAAATCTGCGAGTTTTTGAGTGTGTCCTCAATCAATCAACTTCAACGTCAAGGCCTCTGTTACCACCAGTGCAGTCAAAGACTTTAAATCAGCTCAGGAACGAAGTTATTGCGCGTAGAAGCCTAGACACGGCTCCACATCAATCACCTGAATCAGAAACCAGGTATCTTGGCCGTTACCCGCCCGCATCGGCAAGTCACCCTTGACGCTCCCGTCCGCATTCTTGTAGTAACGAATGTCCGCAGGCGTCCGGGACGGCTGCAGCTGGTCGCCAAACTGCTCCTCCATGACTTGCATGATTACGTTGTAGATGTAGTAACCAGCTGGAAAAACCAAAGTGCACCTGTGTTGAGATCCTGTGTTCTGAGCGAGGTCGTTGATGCATTGCCCGGTATGTGCTCGGTAGCTAAGGCGTGAGGGGCCAGTTTAGAAACCTGGCAAACCAGCCGGAACTTCCTTGTGAAAGAGGATTTGAGCAGCATTGCAGTAATCGGTTGAGCCAGAGTGTCATTAAGAAAAAGGCCAAAGGTTTGAACCGCCAGCTGGGCAATGGAGAGGAAGCCAATGGCATATTGTACATGAAGTTGCATATTCAGTCCTTGACCTTAGCTGCTTTTCAGCTCAACTAAGTTGAGAATGGCCTTCACGACCAACTCTGACTTCTGGCTGGTATCCATAAGAATCACACTCTGCTATGAAAGCACATCTTTCACGATGCGTGTGGCCTGTTGAACTAAAGAAAAAGCAACGGGCGAGCGCTGAGAACCTGGCAGTTTATCATTGTCTCAAACCATGGCCTCCAAACTGGGGCAGACAGGGAGCATTGCCTCTTCCCTTTCGATTCAATTAATCTCACTTAAACTCCATTGTAATGCAATTTCCCCGAGCTCACAACCTTTCTGCAGGCCAATCCTGGCTCTCTGTGCTTCTGACACACAACCAGCTCACTTGCAAGACATATATCATCGAGATCTATTTATAGTTGCTGAAAAGAAGGGTTGCATTGAGTGCATTCTTTGCGCACCTGCATGCATTCCAGAGGCCTCGATCTCATCGTCCCAATCATTGGGGATGTCCCCAACCTTCCCGCTATCTGACACCATGGTCGCAGCAGACGGCACAACACTTCTGACTGAGCGTTTGCTGACTTCAGTTCTGACAAGCGCGGTCCGCTGGAAACCTGCCTTCAGAGCTCTGCGCGCCGTGTGTGCCTGTGATATGCTCTCTGATGGTCTTCTGTTTACGCAAACCGAACCCTTTCCTCTTTGCCTGCAGAACTGTTTACTTAGTGGCAGAGAGTGCAGAGCACTTTGTGAGGAACCAGGAATAGTCCTCGTGCTCGACAATCTCTCTAGTGCAGTGCCGCCGGAGACACGAGCTCCCACTGTTTGACAGATCATCGTAGGTTGGTGCTGTGCTAGAGGTTGGAGAACCTGTTCGCTCCAATTGGAAAGAAAAGCTCACAACCCACACCACTTTCAGTAGAAGATAGGAGAACACCTCCTCTCTCTCTCCTAGCTCTGTGGGATGACCATCGCATCGACTTCAGTGGCCTTTCCACGCCATAATTTGGCATAAACTTGATGGGAATTACACAATGCACTGACCCATGTGTTCTAATCAGGGCCAGGGTTGATAACATAAACTACCTATGAAAATAAGGTCCGACATGTGCTGCAACTTCAAATAACTCTCAAGAAAGATAATAATAAGCCAAGATAATAGAAAGCTCCGGCTAACACTAAAAACCCTAACCGAAAAAGTCACCTGCTCCGCACCCGTACCCACCCTAACCACCAAGCTAACCCTACCCGTCCCAGTGCGGTTACCTTATTATTATCTTGGCTTACTATTATCTTTGAATCTCGAGTTTCATCAACTTTTTTTTTTTTTTTTTTTTTTTTTTTTTAGACGGTATTTTCCAAAAAAAAAAAAAATCAACTTCAAGGAGGCATGCCAGCAATTGCGCGGTCTGCAAAAGTAATTTTGGGGAATTGTGGGAAGCCATGCTGGCATGCACGCTGCCACGTGTGCCACGTCGAAGCTGACCACCTGTTTCATTACGTCATGGAAAACAAAAAGGCTCATCAAGAATGGAAAGGGGGCCATTCTTCCGCGTTTCTTGAGCCCCCCACTTCAAAATGCTTACAGCTAGATATCTACTGCAGACGTCAGCGAAAAGCGCATCTTGCGGCATGTTTGGAGAAAGGCGGCCACAAGCGCTTTTCTGCGGGGTGCGCGGTCCTTTTCTGTCACTGCTGGCGCCGCCATTTTGGTGACATCGTAAGTATTCCTCCATAGCCTTTTTCATTCCCTCCGAGACCGCTGTCCTGCAGCGAGAGCGCTAAGGAACTTGCAGGATGATGCCCTCATAGACATGAGTAGAACAGTACAACTTTCTGACTTTTGAGCTTCTCATTTAGACATGGCCGCTACTGTTTTTGGTTTGATGCAGGCAACAGATTTATCTGCTTCCTTTCAGACTTTTGGAGAACCTAAATTGCCCTTACATTGCAACCCCAATCCGTCTTCTATTGCATTTCTTTCAGGAAGGGGCGCTACGGGTTCATGCCTTGCTGCAAAAGCGAGATCACACAGAAGTGAGCATGCGGTGAAGTCTCGCTGCGACCAAGAAAGCCGGCAGCAATCTTCATTGTGGGGAGGGCACCTCGGCGATAACTCAAACACAAAGCTTTCCCAATTGAGCAAGCGGAACTATCGTTCCAGCAGTCGACCTGTGCATGGTGGAGAGGTCTGGAACACAACTAGCATGGCATCACAATCTGGTCCCCAGAAGAGAGGCCCCAAAACGGCAGTGCCAGCTTTCAGCAACAGCAGCATCTCCGGAGCGCCACCTTCCGGGCCCAAACCCGCAGCCCTTCAAGCGACTCAGGCCTCCACACTTTCGGTGTCAGACACCGGAGCAAATGAAAGCCTAACTTCTCAAGGGGGTGACTTGACACCGGACGGGTGGCCCAGGCTCACAGCCATTGTGGCTGGGGCGGGGCCTGCGGGGGCGCTTGCGGCTCTTCTTCTTGCGCGCCAGGGATTTAAGGTTGAGGTGTTTGAGAGACAGGACTGGGATGAGAGCGCTAACGATTGGCTGAAGAAGCACGGCGGGTGGAATGTGGCGCTGACGGGACGCGCGTGGGCGGCCCTGGAGAGCGTAGGCCTGACGAAAGAGGTGGAGGGCCGGGGCATGCGGATCAAGTACATGACAACGCTGCAGGGTAAGCAGCAGGCATTTTGTCTGAGTCGAGCCGTTGCAGGGCTTGCTCAGTTCATTACTTCCATCAAGAAGGTGCAGTTCGAGTTGCAACGCGATATGGAGGATAGTGCAAGAAAGGCACTGTGGGAAGAACTGTGGATTCTCTGCATTCGTTAATCAAAGAAGCGTGTCTAGCGTGGCAGTCGGACATCTTATGGAGACATTGATGCCAGTTCGTTCTTGAGAGAACAACTCACTTTGACCGCTTTGCATGGGCCGTCACCTTTCATGCTAACTTTCGTCACACTCGTCAACGCCACTTCAAACGAATCTGTTCGTCATTTTTTGATGGAAGATCAGTTTGGCCGGCTTTCATCGCGGAGACTTTTCGAACCCGACTAACCACTTTGTCGCTGCTCAAGCGCGTCGTTTCCCGACGTCGCGTTTAAAGTATCGTGTGCGTGATCACCAGGAGACGAGCATGCGCGACACGAATTACACACGCGCTCGTGCGGCTGCAGCTGGATCACATCGCCCAAAATCGAACTTTGGATATGCCCGTCCAAAACCGCAAACGTCCGCACCAGTCTCATTGACCACCCGCCTCATGTTATCGAACTCTCTGGCGCCAGGTCATGGGAAGGAGTCGGTGCTTATGGCCCGCAAAGTCAACTTCAAGCACTTCTCCGTCTCCGTCCCGGACCTATCTGCCGTCCTCGTTCGCGCGGGCATGGAACGGTACCCGGGCCAGATCATGTATAACTTCGGGTGTGCGCTGACGTCCGCTGACTTGGATAAAGCGTCGGCAACTTTCACGAGAAGGGGACATTCGGGGGTGAGCTACACCATTTTGACAATCATGTGTGGGCTTCAAACAGGTCGATTTGAATCACAGTAGCTATTGGACACTGTGAGACAATGCAAACACTGAGTTCGAGTGGCCGTGGCAAGTGAGATACCCAGAAACGGCCACTTCCTAATCCAAGAGCATGGTTTCTGAGGGCTCAAAGCCACCCTGTCTGGCATGTAGTGATTTGTGTGACGCTCCCAGAGTAATACAGGGCAGCACCGAACTCAAAACTGACGGACTCAATTTCGTTCAGATCCAAACGATCCCCAGCCCTGTCGATCATACCCATAGTGTGGCGTTTCCAGCAGAACAGATAGAGAACCTTGTTCTCAGTAAGGGCGTAGCATCCTAACGATCTTGACGCACGTGCAGGGGGAGAATGGCAACGCTTCTGGAGGTGACGTCACTGTGTCTGGGGACATGTTGGTCGGGGCAGACGGACTGAGCTCGGTGATGCGGGCTCAGATGGAGAAGCAAGTGCCCGGGTTTTCGGTCTCGATGGACTGTCGTGGAACGGGGAAGGCGGTCAGGTCAGGAAGTTTGCCACTATGTTTTTCTTGGTTTATGTCAATATGCGGGATATTGTTATTATCGTTGAAACTTTTATTGGTCTATCTTTCAATTCAATGCGACAGCGAAATTACAAGAATATAGTACGTAGTGCGAGTCATATCTTGTAACGCGCCTGTCTTTCCGATTCTTGCCTTCTGGCTTGCCTCAGTTCCTACTCGGCCAGAAGACCCCTGCTTTTGGAACGACCGAAGGGTCCTCCTATGAGTGTGGTCGATCCGCACGTGTGGCTTTGACGTTCGTAAGAAAACTGTTGAACAAAGTCGAACGAATTGCCACCAGTTGCTCGCTCTCTTTCGGTGGTGCCCAGTTAGATAGTGCTCAAATATCTTCCAAATCTGCTCCATCAAATGGAAGACCATTTCCACGCGTGATTCTTTCCCTCTAACGCATGCTTCGAAAGCGGATGGAGCCCCTCTTTTGTGGCCCCGTTTTTGCCCCCCGTATCGATCTTGTCTCAGCGAGTCATCAACTTAATACGAAGTTCAAGGACTCGCGATTTCCATGAATCACAAAACTTGTCAGACTTTTTCTGCGTTTTTCAGCCCAATATTGAAGCATTACGATTTCAGAGCAGCTTTCCCGTCCGCGTTCCTTACAGCAAATTGAGACCGTTTCTGCTGCGATTTCCCTCCGCCTCAAAAGCTGGCCGTTGTTCGATTTCTTTCAGTGTACGAACTCGTACAGCCGTGCGAAACACCCCAACAAAACTGCTCCCTTAGGGAAGCACTAACTCTCGCACACCACCCCCTTCCCTGCAGCGTTGCGGTCCCCCCCGAAATGATGGCCCCCCTTTCCGACGACGTCATCAACCCTTTGCACGGCCCCCGCTTCCAGTTCGACCCCAAGAGCTTCACGGTCTGGGTGCGGCCCCCCATGAGACTAGGCATCATGCCCAACTCGCGAACTAGAGTGGGCTGCTCCTTTACCGGCATCGGAATGGACGGCCAGGATGCGGCCGGGGTTGCTGCGCAGATCCGGGAATTCTTCCCTGAGGTGAGCAGCACTCGGTCTCAGCTTGTTGATGTAGGTAACTTTGTGGTGTGCGGCCCTTTCAGCTGTAAGGAAGCGATCCGTAGGAACGAGAGCAGCGGGTTTCCAATGCGCAGCGTCGCTTAAACCTTCGGACTTGTGCGCTTATGCGAACCGTGCTCCTCGCTAAAGTCCTGGTTTATGTTTCTCGAATATTCTCGATCCAACGAAAATACTGTCCCTGCAAACAATCATTCGTCTCCAAGTCGGTACTTGTTACATCAAAGAGAAGCGTCAGACGCAGTTGTCAACGTCAAGGGTTTCCAGGCAATACTGGCGATACTTTATACGACTAAATTTTCTGGTGTTAAGGTCGAACATGAGGGAAAGCTTAGATAGAAAGCTAGAAAAGGGGATCTTTTTCGAAGCTCTTGTTCGTAACTCGCAGGTAGCGGAGCTCTTCCCTCCCGACAGCGAATACTGCCGCCAGCTGGCGACCGCTAAGGAGCTACGGCACTGCACCGTCGACTCCACGCAGTTCCACTACAAGCAAACGGTTAGCGCCACCTTGATCGACCTTGTCATCTGGATTCCACCTTCTACGTTTCACTCGATTGTGAATAGTATTGAAGTTGAAACTTCGTACTGGAAGACCCGTTGCCTTTGCGGAGAATGTCAAGGACGGGCTCTGGGCTGGTGTGAGCCGAACAGTCAGCTTCGCATCGCTCTTGATAACATTCACCACACAATGGCAGGCGAGATTTTACGAGTTTCGACTGACAATCAGAACGCTGGAAAGGTAGGAAACTTCCCTAGACAGCGGGAGACGGTTGAGACTTGTGGGAGTAAAAGCAGAACTAGATCGCCCGCTCCCAAGATTCTTCTTTGTCTGATCGAAACAGAGCTTCTGCCACTCCTCGGTGTGGGCTGTCAGAATTGGAAAGTCCAGTTTTTAGCAATTGAAATGCTTTGGAACATGTTTTCTTAGCGAACCGCTTTCGCGCCCTCAGTTGCATCGAAGCTCTTTTCCAAAGGCGCACACCCCAGCTCTTAAAGGCTTGTGACTCGTTTCTTCACGAGGCGTACGCAGGCGGGACGCAGAACTTCATATTCTTGCTTTTATGTTGAGTTTGGTGTATGTTGATTTAGATAAAGTCCCCGGGCCCAACAAACTAAAAATCTCAACCCAAGGTTAACATGCTCCGCACCCGTACCCACCTCAAACCCCAAAACCAACCCCACCCGTCCCCCGGGCATGATCTCACTCAACATAGCCGGAACTCAACATAAGTTCGAGACTACTCAGAAATCCGCGATGGTCAGAATTGCAGCGCTTCCGTCCGAGGACAAACCGTGCGTAACCGAGTGCAAACGAAACTTCTCAGCGTCCATTTCTTGACGACAAAATCTGAACGGCAGCGCTGCGATTCTTGGTCGTCCCCGAGCCATTTCGAGGTTCTGCGGTCCGCTTGTACGAGATCCTTATAACTGTCCGTGCGTGCAGGTGTTATTGGGCGACGCCGCCCGTGCATGCTCCATAATATCGCCTCTTGACTGGACTACGTATCTCAACTTCAGAAAACCCTGTGACTCTTCGAACTATCTCAATCAAGTCCGATAAATCTTCGTGCGTGCAGGTCTTATTGGGCGATGCCGCCCATGCGTGCTTCAACTACATCGGGCAGGGCACTAACTTGGCCATGGAGGACGGGCTTGTTCTGGAGGAGATCCTGCAAAAGGAAATTGAGGTAGGGGGCTAGTAGTGGAAATGGTCGTTCTCGCCTTTTTCGGGCAAGAGCGCTTTTCGGGCAACTTGCCAGTATGAATTGAAGGGACGCTTCAACTTAGTCGTGATCAGTTGTTGTTATATGTGACCAAGAGTTGACCCAATTGGCTGACTTCTACGCTTCTCACGGCTTGCGAGACGCCACTCTGCTTTTCAAACGAGGTGTTGCACTGTCCTCTTCCGCTTCACGTAGCTTTTATCTTTTACTCTGTCTAACATGGTCCTCGGTAGACTTTTGAACACCTGGAATCATGTTACCTTAACCTGAGACCTACCCACAATTAAAGCGCTCTTCAAAAGCGTGCAACAATCACGTCATAACCTTGAAACACAAGTTTGGCGCTCTGCCGGGCTTGGATCTACCCAGCGTATGAATCGAGGATCTTAGGGATGTACCCGCTCGATTGCCGCCAACTCAGGCTGCAAAACGGCGCGCGGACGGCCAGCAAGACCACGGCGCGCGGCGGGCTTTGCTAGTACAAACCGTGGCTTCCGCTTTGGAGCGCTTCAACAAGGAGCGGAAAAAGGAGACGGACGCCGCCGCCAAGATGTCGGAGGATATTCCCAAGCAGCCCATGTGAGTATACTCCTATATCTTAGGTAGGATAGTTTTATGGTAGGATAGTACACTCCCCGGGAGAATACCAAACCAAAAAAACCTAAACCGACAAATATACCTGCTCCGCACCCGTACCCACCTTAACCCCCAAACTAACCCCACCCGTTCGCCGGGCCATGACCCTATCCTATATAAACTTTAGGTCTATCATGAGAGCACATCGTTCAGAAAGACGCTGGAGGAGCTTCGTTTTACTTTTGCAAAACGAAGGTTTGAACTCAGCCGTCGCCAAGCTTGGCTCGCACGCAACCGTCGCTTTGGCACGTCATGTGTTCGATACGAAACGGGTGGGGGGGGATCATGGCAAGTCTTAATTTCTGATCAGATGATTCACAATTCGTTGGCCGCTACAATTCCGACGTCCAAAGCGATGCTGAAGAGCGTTAGGAAGAAGTGTGTGCAATGATTTTGTCCGCTCTCTCGCACTTGGATTGACAAGTCGGAAAATTGAAAAGCATCTTTGATATTGTTTGAAGATGGGAGATCGAGAACCTCCGCACGGTTATGTGATCAGAAGAAACTGCGCCAAATTGAACCATCAGGGTTCGCTCACAAAAAGCTGATCCACGACACGCGCAGAGACCACGCTTTAAAACACTCTTCTGAGCCCCCTCCTTCTTTTGCGCATCAAGCTAGTGCTTGCCGAGACAAGTCCTGCGAGACTGCGGTCGCTTCCTTCTCGGTTTCATCACGCCCCGGGATGCACTCAAAAAGCTGTTCCAGACCACACACACAAACCACGCGTTCATAGCATTCTTCTACCCATTGCTCATTCTGCGCAGCAAGCTCGTACCCGCGCAGAACAAGTTCTTCGAGTCTTTCGGCCGCGTCATCCCCGGCGTTCTGGATTGACAAGGCGCGCTTCTCATCACTGTTTTGACAAACTCGACCACTCTTTTAAAGAATTCCTTTAAGAGAGGTTTTCTCTCCTTGCCGCAGCAAGCTAGTGCTCGCGCAGACAGCCCTTCGGCCGCATCATTCCCGGCGTTGTGACCTGGCAAGACGCGCTTCTCATCAACTGTTTACCCATGCGACCACTCTTCTAACTTTTCTCTCTAAGAGAAGGTTTTCTTTCTTTGCCGCAGCAAGCTCGTGCTGACGCAGAACAAGTTCTACGAGTCCTTCGGCCGCTTTCCTACCCGGTTCTTAAGAGAACAGGATACGATTCCAAACAGCTGTTCCAGAAATGAACTAGGCGTTTACACCACACTTCTGAAAAGGGTTTTCCTGCTTTGCGCAGCAAGCTCGTGCTCGCGCAGAACAAGTTCTACGAGTCCTTCGGCCGCTTCATCCCCGGCTTCGTCACGTGGCAGGACGCGCTCAACAGCACCCTGCGGCCGCCGTCCCAGATCGCGGCCATGCGCGCGCGCCAGATGCGCAATTACCGCGCCATCCGCCACGCGCCGACGGTCCTTGCCGTCTCGGCTGCGGTGGCGGTGCTCGCGGCCGCGGCCGCGCGGCTCTCTCAGTAGTCTGCGGAATCGGCTTTACTTTTAAGCCAGCGGAACAGTGTTGAGGTTTGTCGAGTTGACACGAAAAGGAACTGTGTTGAGTTGCATCGATGTTGAGAAAGGCACGTTTTCCGCGCGGTTTCCCATCATGCTGAGTTTAGTGCATACAGCAGTGTACATATAGCGATCAATCGGGGACTTCTGTTCCGAGTTTTGGGTAGACGCGGTCCCTGCAAGTTTAGCGCAAAGGACATCATACTCATTATTTGACAAGTTGGGCCATACGGATACATTTCAGACAACCTGCCACACGCAACGAGTCCCGTACATAAAGCACGCGTAGATTGAAAAACCTACCGGCGGCCCCCGTGCAGTAGCGTCGCTCATTCGATTCAAGCGGTGCACTGACATGATATAAATGTGGTCTCCTAGCCAGGATAAGATCGAAGCTGATTGGGTAATTGACCATTCACGCAAGGGCGAGCGGAGCGTAATTCATGCATTGCTCAAGCAACTTCTTCCTTGTTATGGAGGTATTCTTGGCTTACGTGGGACCAGCTTGGCAATGAGCCCACCGCACCGTGTGACTAATTTTGAATCAACGGCAGCCCGGCCGCCTTCGCGGACAAATCAAATGGCCGGCCACGAAAACAACGTCATGGCCGGATCAACGGTGTGCACGCGCCACTCCAACCCCTGTCTCGTTACAATATAGAGCGCGGTTAGCCTATCAAGGCTTGCCCGCGGCGCCGGCACGTTGCATTCTCAAGCCGTTTAGACCCCGGCCCGGATCTCGCCAATTAATTGAACACAAAACTCAGCTAACCCACAGTTCGCAATTTTTGCGGGCTTCTTCTATCGGCTTTTGCGGACATGGCTTCAGATCATGTGCTGCCTTCTTGGGATACCTAGAGCATGTATTTAAGACCGTCCAGACGAGGTCTTGCATGCATCCACTGCCAACAGTGAAGAAAGGAGGAGGCTATACGCAGAAGTCCGCCATGTTGTAGCAACCAGGCGGAAGCCATGACCAAACCCAAAAAGCGACACTCCAAATCTTGAATTTGACACGCACGATGGCGCATCGACGGCTTCGATTGAACTTGGGCTTTTGGCAAGATCCGGGCCAGGATATAAACATCATGAGATTTGCATGCGCGCCGGGAAACGTGTGCGTTACCTAAAGCCGTCGTTACTTGGCCAAGCCGTACTAATAGTTCGCCTTCAAGTGATGTAAACCCGAAGGCCGCAAGCTGAACTTCAGTCGCTATATGTAAGTCACGATCAGGTTACGTAACACAACCAAAAACTGGTCAATGTTCCAGAATATGTAATGGGGAGCCTGTGTGGGCCTAATGCAAATTTTATTACCATACGAGCAACTTGAAACCTCGTGCAAACGTTGTCCATACAGAAACTGTGATTCATGTCGAGAGTAGGAGTTGGCGATGATGTCAACAACGTCAAGATTAGCTACACCGCTCTCGCAAATGGACGTCCTACGCCTCTCGCGCTCTGACCAACTCTCCCAAAGGCGAGCCCACTGACGTGTTGAATGTAAGGGCAAGGCGACTAGTGCGAAGGTAGCCGCTGTCATGTCGGCGCTCATGCAACTCATCCGAGAACCCGTCCCTGCTCAACCCCGAAAGGTGTGATGGCGAGCCGAGAAGGTCTTATTTGCAAGTTGAGTTTCTATATCAACCAAAGGTAAGTGTGCCCATTCCCCCGGTCAGGCTCCGGCTGGTGGACCGCCCCCCACCGATCGCCCGGGAGACCTTCCCGGTCGCGTCGTCGTCGTTGCCGAGGTACGCCCGGTTCTCCAGCGCCTCGACGATGGGCTCCCCTGCCGCCATGCCTAATTTGCCGATCAGCGCGCCCTGGATCATGCTCCGGGTGCCCGGGAGGAGCTCCGACTCGGAACTGGTCGCCAACACGTAGGCCTGCTTCAGGAGTAGCTGCGGCGACACAAAAGAAGTCGGGGTAATCAGGACCATCAGGAACTTTTCGGGCTTGTGGAAGTTGGTTAGTTGCTGGGTTAGCCTGCGGCTGGTCTCCAAAAAGTGGGCCAGCTTCAGAGGTGGCTGCGGCGACGCGAGACCTAGAGTTGGATATTGTTGATTGGCTTATCAGCAGCCTTCATTGGAAACCCGTTTTCGTACGATGAGGTTAGATCCGGGTTAGAGGGAGGCCTTAAATTGTAAGCCTGTTGCGGGCCCAGCTGCGAAGACAGGAAGAAAAGTTTCTGGCAACGATTCTTAGCAAGGTTTCAGATGTCAAAAATAGTAGGAAGCAGCGACAGATCTTGGACCTGTTGCGGGCAGAGACAGCTTTGTGAAGCCAGCTTGACTTAGATTCGGGCACGGTTTTGTAGGCGTTCCGCGGATGACTCGGGGCTGGTCGCCAGAGCGACTGAGGCCTGCTTTTGAAGCCGCTGAGATGACGTGCACCAGACTTGTGATTGAGTTAGTCGGTTAGTGCTCGAAACTGGCGTCGTTCGCGTGTGGAACCTCGCAACAGCAAGCTTAGTGTAACGGAGATCAAGATTGGGCAGCTCAAACGAAAGCTCGCTGTGTTCGGAGGTGCCAAATAAGTTCGCCAGACGTCATTCCCCCTGCACCTCCTCACCCCCTCACCCCCTACACGCGAGCTCGCCCCTTTCTAACCAAGAAGAAAGAAGAGTTTAATGAAGCTTCTAGGAGAGTTAAGGAGGAGGACGTGATGCTCCCCCTCTACTTAGCTCTCTCGGCGCCCGCTCAGTCACGCATACCGGGAGACGCAGTTTGGGTGCGCCATTGACCATGCTAGTACGAAGTTCCTTCTTCAGAGCCCACGAGTAAACCGTACGAACCAAAAGCCCCATTTGAGACCCAGGGTTGAGGTCAGGGTGGTCTCAAAACGACCCGATTAAGATTGGGCGAATCTTAAAGCTGAAGCCTTTCGAAACTCTTTCGGTCGAACAGCCTGGCATACATTTCTGAGACCCATCACATGGCACCCTGGCTCCAAAAAGGAGCCGAACCGGGGCCAAAGCGGAGCTTCCGCTCCGGAAAATCGGGGGTCGGAACGGAGCTAGGCCCTGGTTCAAGCTCCGAAGTGCAGGAACCGGTTCCTATTCGCCGAGAACCGGCTTTGACCCGGGGCCTAGTTCCAGTTCGTCCGCCACTTTTCCGGAGCGGAACCTCGGGTCCGGCCACGCTTCGGCTCCTGTTCGAAGAAAATGCGCCCTGTGTGCATGCGGTGTTAAAAGGGCCGGTGTTGAGATCCACAAGGTCGCAAAGCGCTCGGGTTTAAGACCGGGAAACGTCGGCCTACCATTGTTGCATTGAGATTATTCAAACGACAAGATGAATGACCCTTCCGCTTAACTGTCCCATACGGTGCACGTACCACGCAATTCAGGTTAAGACTAAATCATGTTTCGTCAGCTTATTATTGAGCTTCTGCGTACCGGGCTGATCTCGGGGTGGTTCTCCAGCTGCTGCAGGGCGCTCCGCTGGTCGTCGGTGAGGTCTTTTCCGGGACCGGAATCGGGAGCGCGAGCGGAACGGGAGCGGTCCACCCCCCGGGACCCGCCGCCGACGAAGTCCACGGCCGCGCTTCCGGCTTTTCCGGCGACGGAATCGCTTTTGGCGCGAACGAAGCCCGCCTGAAAGACGGAAGCAGCGGAATGCTCAGGGTTGGGATGTTGTTCTGTGTGGACCGAAGGCGACTGCATGTGCTGCGAGTTTTGAGCTCGATCGTCAGCTTATACGTAAGCAATGGTACATGCGTCCGTTTACTAAGTAACATTTTGGGATCGCACGTCAGCTTGCCAGGATCTACCGATTGTATCGAGTTGGATCCCACTTGCGTCGCCCTGATTCTGCGAGATTCTATTCTAGACACCACTCCACAAATTCATGCGATACTGGTAACCCCATAGTCGTGTTTTTGCCTCATAGTCTCTCCTCATAACACACGCGCAGTATTATCTCCTTCCAAATCAACGGAACCACACCATCTAGTTGCAAAATGATAAAACGAAGATTTGGAACATGAGAAAGTACCTGCAGCGAGTCTTGCCACGTGGCCCCGCTGTTGAACGCGTCGAGCGCTCCGTTCAACGCCTGCTTGGCGGCGTCCTTGGCGAGCGTCGTCCCGGTCTTGGCGGCCCAGCTGCCAGCCTTTCCGGCGGAAGTTTTCAGCATGTCCAGCAGGCCGCGGTCGCCGGAAAGTTGCGCCGCGGCCGCGACCGCGCTCGGGGCGGCGTCGCCCGCAAGATACGCCAAGCGCTGCCGAGAAGAGTGAACGGTGAGAACAAGAGTCACGGTAATCAAGGAGCAGCTCTCGTGTCTTTTGAGTGAACCCAGAGCCAAGTGAAAGAAGAGATGCACCCGGGGTACGGTTGGTTAGTTTGGGGTTAAAGGGGGTCCGGGTGTGGAGCGCGTACTTTTTCTGGACAGATGTTTCAGCTGAACCACCCGAGTTTTCATATCTTGATGCAACACGCAGCAAAGCAAGATAGAGCGCCAGTATGAGATTTTCCAAAGGGTCAGACTCCCCAGAAAGGCTTACGAAATCTTCGTAAAACAGGCTGAATGCGCCACGCCGCACCTCGACTCCGGCTTGGAACTAATTAGGGATCCCCACAAAGATTCTTCGCGTCCACATGGCAGATTTCGGCAGTATTTACGGAATTTCTGACACCCCAAAGCCTCCGAAACCTGGAAGTCTAGAGTCTCCGGATCCCGAGTTTCCAAACCCCACAACTCCCAAACCAATAAGAAACAAAAGAGCGGCAGCCTCAGAGCCTCGCCTGGTATGCCAGCCCAATCTTGGCGTCGTCGGTTGTCTTCTGCAGTTCGGCGACCAGGGGGATCCCCCGGGGCCCGGCCGCGGCAACTAGGTTGGCGAGCACGACGTTGCTCTCCCTGACCGCGTCCCCCGTGTCGATGTCCCGGTTGCCGATCAGGCTGCCAACTAGGTTGACGCCTGCCCCGGCGCCCCCCATGAGAGCGCCCGGGAGACCGCCGGTCAAACCGCCTTGCAGGATTCCTAGACCGACGTTTGCGACCCCACCAAAGATGTCGCCGAAAAGACCTGCCAGCGAACGAGACATAAAACGGTCATGGGTCAAAGATGAGGCATGAAGAAAAGCCGGAGAAGAAGAGCGGATCGGAAAGTCAGGGTTGAAAGGAACAGAAAAACCGGAAAAGCCTGCCTTCTGAAGTTGAACACTGTTATTGAGACCGTGCGATCAGCGGTGGAGGGGCGCTCGGATGGCACCAACAGCGACGCATGGTACATCGCTTGACGGTGGTTTTAACGAAAGCAGGATCTGTCGAAGGAATCTCCAAATTTGTCGACAGCTCAATCCGCGCCCGCCAAGAACCATTCCTCAGAACACGCTGAAGGATAGATTACAGTAGCGTCGATTGCCAAACAAGGGCGGAACGCTTTTAGTGCTCAGTCGGAGTCCCCCCACCTCTGTCCCCTGTCGCGATCGCGGCCGCGTGCAGCCCCTCCACCCCGCCCAGCGCCGCAATGTTGGCGAGGGCCTCGTTTTTGTTGGCGTCGCTCACGGCGCTCTTCTCCTCCGCGAGGAGCCGCACGATCTCCGCGCCAGCAGGGCCCACCGTCGCGAGCACGCGGTCCACGGACCCCTTTCCCCCGGGCGCCCAACTGGCGCCGTCCGATAGGGCGCCCAAACCGGCCTGCTGGAGCGTCAGTCTGACGTCATCGGGCACGCCGGCGGGCGTGCCGCGGGTCTGGGGGGGCAGCCCGAGGTCCGCCTGAGGAGAAGAGGGTTCAAACAGGGATTTGTTACTGTACGTAGGAGTTTCTAAAAGTGGCTTCTCCTAGGACCCGGCCCTCCGGAGAGTGTTTTGACAGCATCGGGGTTGCCGACAGGGGTGCCGCAAAATGCGAAGGGCAGTCCGAGGTTTGCGCGGACCATCATTTGGAGGGTCACGGGCCAAGATACGGATGATAAAAGAACCGGAGACAAGGATTGGATTTGAGGGACTAGAGGTGAAGGGACCGTGAAGAGCTGAGAAGTTGTTCGGAGAGTTTCAGGGCCCGGAATATCCAGATTGACGTTTGCCCTCAAACACTGGAGATATCAAAAAGACGTTTAGCTTACACAAGAAGGCGCGCTAGCCTCGACACGTGGACGGATTGAGCAGTAGGACATAAATAGGCAGGACAAGGAAAAATTGGGATCTCTTAAGAGACACATCCTGCGAGTCAAGGAAAGAAGGAAACAGTGGGACAATCCGAGGCAGTTTCTTTAAGTTTGTAGGACGGAAAGACAAGATGTAGCAATTTTGTGACTCACAAGCACAGTCTAAACGAGCTGAAAGGGAAACATCGCGGAGTCGGGGAACTCGCTTGGGTTTGTAACTGATACAGAACAAAAGCGAGAAAGACCAGTGCTAGGAGGAACAGTTTGGAAGACAGAATATTCAACCGAGCGGCCATAAAGGAAAGGAGGTTGGGGCTGGAGGGAAAAAGCGAGTCAGAAATGAATGAAATTGTAACTCGGGAGAACGGCTGACAGCACTGAGGTTCGTTAAGAGAGCGTGTGCGTTTCGGTCTCGCTAGGCCTTTTCTTTTATGACTGTGTCATGAACCTGAAGTCCACGGTCCTTGGTACGTCATGGAAATTTCCGTTGACAGACTTAGTGAGGATTGAGGGGCGCCGGACTCACCCCTATCGCTTTGGAAAGGTCGCGGAGGTTCTTATCAATTGCTCGCATCTCAGGTGTGGCCGTTGCCATGTTCGCAACCAGATCAACGCCCCCCAGCTGAGCCAGCCTCTGCGAAAAACGGACGAACGTGTTTGGTTACGAGAGGGGATCTTCTGATGTTGAAGGAAAGTTGTTCCGCCTCTGTGAAAGAAAGAGGCGGAAACCAAACGTTTGGACGTCCCAGGTTGAGCCGGGCTCTGCCGGAGGAAAGTCCGTACTCTCCTGAGACAAGCAGTCTGCTGCAGGCTGAGGGGTCGGTGCGAAACGGAGAAGAAAGATAAATCACCCAACCAGCCAGCAGCCGACGAGACGCATCGTTTGCTGCTGTGTTATCAAGCTCTCGTTTTTCTGAACCTCTCTTTCCCCTCTCCTAGAAGGAAACGGGAAGAGCCCATCTTTGTATGCTCTCCCAGCAGAGCAAAGCCCCAGATTTGACCAAACATATTCACGATTGTGTGGTATTTTCGTCTTTCATCAAATGTCCTCCTTGGCAAGCAGCGGAGCAGGCTGTTGACAAGTGCCAGAGGTATATATGAGACTTTTTGAAGCTGGAGGTCAACCCCTTCCATAATTATTTGCTCAAGCTGTCCGTATGACCAGAGCTCTAATCCAAGAGCACCAGGGTCATTCATGTAAACTACAACGATGCTGTTGTGGCAACCCATGTATCCATTCGATAGCCAGCTTTTGCAAACCTTGAGCTCTTCCAAATAGTACATCATGTGTTTGGCATCGCTGCAGCCTAAGCGCCCAAGTACCCTCCCACTCGTTCCCTCTGCCTTCTACTCACAAGCCAAAGGGGCTGCCATTTCTTTTACATTGATGTGGCCAACTAATCTGCATTAGACTCGTGCAGATTCCACATATCTTTTTAGCAAAGCCCCATATCAACAAGAGGCGGCCTTTTGATCTCAAGGTTGAGGGGTTGGGCCTCCAAAGTACATATGGCGGAATCCTTTGGATCCAGGAACTGCAAGGAGTTCTCAGAGCTGGACTTTTTCAGTACCTTGATGCTCTCATCGACGGCAGCCTGATCACCGAGGCCGATGTTATCTGCAGGGGTTGAGCTTTCAAACACCGAAATCCCAAAACTTCCGAATCTATCACCTCAGTACTGCAAAGACTTGACATTTGGAGGTTTCAGAGACAGGGCTTGTTTGAGTACCTTGATGCTCTCATCGACGGCAGCCTGATCACCCAGGCCAATGTCATCTGCAGAAAGCTTGACGCCGCGGGCTGCACGGGTGGGGGTAGCGTTGACTTTGGCAAGGCAGTTGTCGTCCCCCAGAAGAGACGCAGCTGCTTGTACGGCATCCAAACCACCGAGTTTTGCCAGCTGGCACATGGAGACAAAGATGTTAGAGGCGGTTCGCAACCTGTGCAGTGGAACGGAGTGGTCACAAGCCCATGTATATTCTGGCACTAGTATGCGACCCCTCAGAACAACATGACAAGGTGATACAGGCTGACCTGACGTTTTGGTGGACAACATTTGCCGCTGTCTATCACACTCCATCTCTCAGCCTCCGAAAGGCTCAATGCGGAGATTCCGTCCGTAGATCCTCTATGATAATGTCAACACCCATGGTAGACACCTGAAAGTTGAAATCAACATCAACAACCAGGCTGGGATGGGGGCCCAAGGCAGCAACTCCCGAGAAAGGCAATCAGGCCTACGTCAAAGCGCGATGCTAAGTTCATCCAGACAATGGCCACGGAAGCAGGTCAAGGACCAAAGGTGGTCAAAAATTGTACCAAATACTGTCAATCAGGAAACTGGCATTGCATTTTCAAAAGTTTCTGGGCGAGTTACAGATCCGCAAGAAGATGCATTGCAGATGTGTCAAATAAGAATGAAGAGAAATGTCACAGCAGTGGAAAATCCTTGAGTAAGTTCATACATCTGCCAGTGGGCCCCTCCTAGATGGCCACTTGCAGGATCAAATCAGCCAGGTCTACATTCAGATGAATCGGCGCAGGCGTCTCACATCCCGGTACAGGTCGTTGGTGACAGGTCCCCCGTCCGTGTCCGCCAGCTGGCAAACAATGTCCAACCCCTGTGCGCCAGCTGTTGCCAGCAGCCGCCGCAGGTGCATCTTGGGCACGTTACCCAGTTGGTCGCTGGTGGTGGGGACCAGCACAGCTGGAGGCCCTGCCGCTTCCACCCCCCTGCTGCCACCCCCCCGATTTGCGGGGTCTGCTGGCAGAAACTGGGGAGTCCATGCACTCGCCCCCCGGGAAGTCGACGTTGCGGCCCGACTTTTGACTGAACGAGAGAAAGCGGATGGATCAAAGTCTCGGAAGAGGCTGCTGCCGTTGACTTCGGTGAGATCTCGGGCGCAGCTCTTGCCCGGGCTGGACGTGTTGAACGCCATTGGTGAGCGTGGTGTTAGAACGAGAGAAGCGGGAACGTTGGGGTGTCAGAAAATGGAAGCCTAGCAGGATGTAAAGATATGCTGGTAGTATTTCTTGCGGGACGTCTGCTCAATGTGGATCTTTGCATGCCCGTTTGCACATGGAAAGGACGAAAATGTGCAGCGCCTGTGAGGTGTTGGACAAGAAGACATGACGTCCCAAGTGGACCCGTTTGACCGGCTAGAAGAGCTTCCCAGGCGTTGCCTAGATTGGTCTAAGGGAGATTGGGGCAGGATCTTGCTATCCAATCAGAAAGTATGAAGGGCAACGATTCTCCAAGCGAAGGCTGCGCTTGCAGCGACAGCTCGGCTTGCACCAAAAGAAAGCAGTGAATGTCACTGATCATGACGTTAGGGAATCGGTAGCGCGGAGGGAGCGGTGGTGCACGTACTGCTATTGGGCCGCGACCGGCATTTAGAGCACGGCTCCGATGGCGTTATGACAGTACCGCGGATGAAATCCCGCGATCAATGCCTTGACCTTGCAACATTGAGTAATACCTCAAGGGTATTCCGTCACCTTACGTACGTACGTTTGCGGATACCGCAACCATCGATCAGCGACCACACAAATGTTGGAACGCTGCTGACTACCTATCCTAGATTGTAGAAGAGAGTGCAACACTGCAAACCCGAGTCGAGAAAAAGTCCTTCACATTAGGGCGATGTACCCCGAGAACTCTTCCTTGGATGACGTTATCCGGAAGATCCGTTTGTCCTCCGTTCTGAAACGCTTCTGATTGGTCATTCAGAAGATGTACGGGTCACTGCTACTCACAGAAGTCGGTGGATTTAGTGGATCTAAACTTGAGTACCTCATTACCGTACTTGTATATACCTATGACATCCATAATGCATTGCCGTCGCTGAGCAGCCTGAGCTAGGGCCTTCCGTTCCGGATCGATACCGTACGGTACAACTTGCAACGAAGGAACATCGAAGGGAGATCGAAAAGCTTTCTTGAGTCTTGACGTGTTACCGTAACCCTAAGTTTTGTGACCCAATTCAAAATATAGCCCTCCTGATCGAATTTCTCTGCTATTGTAATATATCCAAGAAAAAGGTCAACACAAAGAACTCACTCAACCCAAGAATCTGCCCCCTCCGCACACCGCTTATCCAAACCTCTTAATACTACGTAACCAACCCGTCCAATATTTAATACCTCGGTATCCGAGGCTCGAGCTGATAAAAAAACCAAGAGAATATTAGAGCAGCAGTTACGCTAGACCGATCCTCCGATCTTCGATGGCGTCGCCCTCGCGTATTGAGCGCATTAACTGAGCGGCCAACGTCGACGAGGGCCAGTTGAAACAATGACGTCATGCTGTTCCCAGCGCGGGGTAATTCCCGATTCGGTACTTCACTTACCGAGCCTCTTGGTAATAAGAAACATGCTCGGGGCACAGCATTTAACAACCGTAAACTGAAATCAACACTTTGACCTGGGTCGCGACTCGCATTCCCACTCTCACCTGGCCGTTAAGCCGAAAACCCCCCAGACCAACCCAAGGTACCCAACCCTTCTCCCGGGCACTTTTGTTCGTCAACAACGACTTAACCTGGATCTAATTTTCAAATGAAATCGAGAAATATACATATGTACGGTAAACATTGTATCGGAACGTATCCAGTGTCCACACCATAAGATAGTGATCGTACGCCCTACCGTCAGTACGCCCGTTTTGGGTCTCTTGACACAACGGGTCTTTTGACCGACCGCTGGGCGAATGTGTCAAAGCAAAAGTTCGGAAACGCGTCGTGCAAAAGTCGCCGGCGAAATTTAGGGACCGACTTTGCGGTTGGCAAAGAGCAATAAATGCGACCTCCATCGGATGGTCCGGAGGGTTGAAGTTGGGGGCTGCCCCCATCGATCGACGGTTCCGAACTTCTGTTGCCGGCACCACGAGCGTACGCTCTGACTGCCTAATTCAGTTTCGACAGCCGGAGGCTTTGGAAGGGCTCCGCAGCGGCACTGTCCAATCGCAGTGCTCCTAAGGTTGCACTGGCAGTTGCAGCTTCTAATTACCAATGCTAATGGTGACGGGACTCAGCCGGCGCTTCCAATCCTCTGAGGTTTTTCCTCCTTGTAACAGGGCATTACAAGCGGGCTCTGAGTCTCAGGCAAGGTAGGTATTCAACTCGGGATCTGCAAGCAGCTTTACATCGGTACCTAGCTACCAGGTCACATTGGGTGAACTGACGGACTTCATACCTTTCGAAGCAAAGCAGCCTGGTTTGGTTCAATCTGGTTGACCATGCAGGATATATAGCTTCCTCAACGACGTGAGCTAAAGCCTTTTATTGAGCCTCTGGCAGCCTCCAGTCGTCGATTGTTTTCCCTGCGCAGCTAGAATGGTCCCCGCAATAAACCTGCTCATACATACCTCGATTCAGTAAGTCTCTCTCTCAACTGGTGGAAATATCTATCCACCTAGCGGGAGTCCCTGGGCCATCCCCCCCGGCAGTTCCAAGTATCAGCAACTGAGTGCTGACATAGACATGCCGGGTCTCACCTCCACTCGTACCTTTGGGTCCCGCGAGCTAGCTTCATTCGTCAGCGACACAGCTGGCTTGGGTGGGAGCCAGCTGGAAAAGCTGGCAGCACAATACAAGGGCCGGCGGCGGGCCCTTTTGGTGGCTGTGAACTATGTACAATCCGATCGTGGAATACCACGACTCTATGGGTGCACGAAGGACGTGGAGCTGGCGCTTGAGCTGCTGACAAGTGTGTACGGCTTTGAGGGGAGCAACATTATGGTGAGTGCTAAGAAATTTTTCGATTCCACGATTGATCAAGTGTGTTGTCATGTGGCAAAGTATGAAGATCCATGATGTTGAGCTGGCCCAACGGCAGCAGAAAGCTTTCACTTAGTTGCATTAAGAGACTTCATATTGGAGAGCGGCAGTATCATCCATAATGCTGGCACTAGGGGTCTGACCTGGATACTTGAAAGAGAGCACCAGGCCTATTAAGGGCTTTGCGTGGCTGCTGGCAAAGAGATGCAGCCAGGCTTCAAGGCGAATCAGATTCACACGCCCCACAAAAACTGAAAGAGGCTGCTAGAATGAAGAAGCGCAGAGGCATTTTAGAGAAAACAGTCAGGAAAGATCTTTGAAGGCATGGAATGCTGAGTACATTGCAATTACACAAGCTTAAGTGGGGAGGCGTATTTTGGTATTTGAGCTTCAATGAGGGATCATTCTACCTCCAATATTGCCTTTTGTTCTGGCCAAGAACGAGCTCCAACATGAGCACAAATGAACCATTGTCAAGGATCTAGTCTGTGTGGGGGATGACTGCAGTCTTACCACATTCTGCCCTACTTTGAGGCTGCTTGATATGAGATTGTTGGACTTAGCGCGGCTCTCAGTGCAGCAATGCGTGCAGCTCAGAATGCTGATGATGCAATCAAAGCATTGCTTACAGTTGTTCCTCTGAACATGTTTGGTCTTCTGTAATGCTGCAGGTGTTAGCAGATGCGGGCCCCTTCTCGCGGCCACAAGCGCTGCCAACAAAAGCTAACATTCTGCGGTACCTGAACCAGCTCGTTGAAGACAGCGAGGAGGGGGATATTGCATACTTTCACTATAGGTGAGAGCCTGGACTGACATTTAGGGATGGGAAGAGGGGACGGTAAAAGGGCCCTGAACTTCTGAGAAGCGCCCAAAAAAAAAGTGTTTTCTGCACAGTGACACCCCCCTCGTAAAATTGAAGGTATAATCATACTCACAAAGGCCAGCTTAATGGACCAGGTGCTTGTTTGCCTGATTGTTGCATTCGGGCTCTGCCAGTAAGAGCGCCTGTTTGAGGGACTATCATCGTGTCTGTGAGGTGCATGACGCTGGTACGTTCTGGCTGCTCCGATCTGGTTCCAAAGTAAGAGTAGATGAAACAAATGTCAGCTTGCCATTCAACGTTGTATGCTCTTCTTGATGAAGATGGAGGTTCAAGCTGCACTGAGCTTGTGCTGCATTATCCTGCTGTCTGCTACTAACAGAAGCCGTCTTCTCCCTTTTGCAGTGGCCATGGCGCTCAGGTAACGCCTCTTACAGAGATAGAGTACCCCTAGAATCCATGCAGCCACCATGACGTCATGCCTTATGCAGATATAGACACTGCCTTCAACCTGGTCCCCTTGCTTCGAGACTTGTACTTTCAAAAAATGCAGGCATTCATACATATTCTTCAGCTTTGGATCTGTTTGCCTTGAATCTCAGCCAAGTTTCTTTGCTTGGATCTGCGTGCGTGCAATCCTACCAAGGCAAATCATGGAAGAAGTTCAATCCATTTTCAAAGTTCAAAGATCGGAGTCCAGACTTCAAGCTTTTTTCGGTTGGCTCCTCCTTGAATTTGACCAGCTCCTTGTGTTCCATTTTGGTAATACTTGCAGCAGCAGCGCAGCTCTCTATAATCCATGCAAAGAACTTGAAAGGGCCGGCTGCAGTGAGAAAGAACATGCAGGTAGTGTCATTGGACAACCTAAAGGCTTTTAGATAGTCAAACAATCTGTTGCAACCTCGGTGAGAAGTTCAAAATAAAGTCCAAATATATAAACCTGGCACCTTCTGAGGACCGTAAGTTTCTTTATAATCCAGGCCCCAGACTCAACCGGTGAAGAATGGGACGGGCTGAAGGAGATCCTTTGCCCTTCGGACGTGAAGGTGTCCAAAAACGACGGCTTTGACAACTACATTGGACAGGAGGAGTTCAAGGACCTGATCCACAACTTCCGCCCCGGAGTGTGGGGCGTCGTCGTTCTAGACTGCTGCCACTCAGGGGACGACTCCCCGGGTAAATCATTCCTCTCAATTTTCACAAATGAGGAATGTTATTTTGCTCTAGCTTGGCCGCTTGATTTGGGCCGAGCTGGCAAAGCACTTGTCAGCATCTCCTGCAGTGGTTCAAATCGGAGGCATCCAAGTGCAGCGTAACGAATTGAAGAGTTTCGGAAGCAAGACTTTCCCGCTTTGCTTTGTCGTCTTGAAATTTTCTACGCCTCTTGACTGCTTTAAACGTCCGCGCAAAAAACCTGACTCGGAGACTTAATTAGGGATTATTTTCTGATTTCGTAGTGCGCGCTCCACGAGAACTGCAACCGTGCTACTGCTTGTCATCGGACGCTCCCCCGTCCGCTTGCGGCAAGTCGCCACCTAGGCGTTCCTGATTGTTCCTCGTCACGGGTATGAAGACACCAATAAAACTGCTTAGAATCTGAAGTCAGGGTACGTTGTACCCGTTCGCCTCCAGGTTCCGGTTCCGGTCAGCGGGGGCTTTTGGAGGAGTCCGGCTCCCCGCCGTTCCGCAACCGGAAGATCAGCTTCAGCTTTGCGAGCGAGCAGGGAGGCTCGACCCGTGGCCCGGTCCCCCCAGCTTCCAGCTACAACCGAACAGGACTTCTGGACCCGACCGGCAAAGCCGCTGAGATTCCGGTCATGTGGTCAGCTTGCGGGTGAGACCTAGACAGTTCTGCCACAAAAGGCATTTCTGAATCCTGGAACGAGTCCAGGGGGACCAAACACCCCAGGTGAATAGGTTTGCATCCTGAACCATGTGCAAGCAGCCAAACCTCTAGTCCGAAAATTTGGTGGAATCAAACCTCCGAAAGGTCTTGTTTGCAATTCTTGAAATTTGGGTTGGGGCAAGAAGGGGTTTAGGAGCTATACTGTGCTAGTTAGGAGAGTTATCCAGGCAGAATTGCGTAAACTAACTGCACAACTAACCACTAGACCCAATCCACAAGCCAACCTTAGGTCCACCCAGCGCTTTGGACGCTCCAGAACGAAATCTAGACCGTTCAATTGAAGGAGAAGTTCATCGGACGGCTCAGAACATGGTTCCGGCCCTCAAACTGGGGTTTGGTCCCCCTGAACGAGTCGACCGTCTTCGTTAAGCAAGCATCATCTGCAGTGTGTGAGGGCTTTCAAGTGTGCTCTTTCCTTTCCTCGTTCTACCTGCCCTGGTACCTGGGGCTTTGTGTCCACTACCGGTTCAACAAGGGCTTCCAACCCTTTAATTTGCACCCCTTTCTTCGGTTCTATCGGTCGAGCTCCTGAGAACAAGTAAGAGATCTGACGTCACAATTGCAGAAACACCGCAAGGATTTACCCCCTGGCAGGGAGTCTCAGACGAGCGCCGATGCCACGATCAACGGCGGCCCCGTAGGAGCGTTCAGCCACTTCTTCTACGGGACGCTTCTCGCTTCCGGGGGGGACACTGCCCGCATCGGTGACGTCATCATTGCCGTCAAGGGGGGCCTGAAGAAGGGCCGCTTCACCCAACGGCCCATCTTCAAACTCAAGAATGGAAGCGGGCGGGAGGTTCTACCGCTCCTACCCCCCCCAGGAGGAAACTTCACAAGAAGCGCTTCCCCCCGCGATCTGCCAACGGCCGCGAACCCAAGCACAGTGACGACACGCCGTGACGTCACCCTCACGGGAGAAGGGGACTCGACGGCGGTGGTTCGAAAGCTCGAGGCGCAGAGCGGATTGTCGCCCGAAGACTTGCGAATGTTGAAGAACCCAACGACTGGTAAACGGCGGGATCCGATTCTGGAGTGGAAGAAGGCAGTGAACGGCGCACCACCCCCGGCGGCCCTTGACTGGGACGCCTGTCAGGTACGTTCTTGGCGTGGAAGTTTTTGAAGTCTCAGAGATAAAGTTCGCGAAGTTTCGCAACAATCAACCGGGAAACATTGTTCACATACAAGTGTCGTTATCCATTGAAACGCTAGCACTGAACCTTACCTCAGGAGCGCGAGGAGTCTCTGGTCGATGAGAAGCCCTTTCTTCGGAACTCGATTCTTTGCACCGACGTGCAACTTACCACCAGCCAACTTCCAGTCGAGCAGAGAAAACGTTCCCTCTCTTCAACAAAATAAAGAGCCGTGGAATTCTCGAGAGCATTTGCGCTCACTCCATATCAACACTTGACTTGTTTTTCCAGATTTACGCGAGGGCGCTCGCGGCCGGAGGGTTTAAGGGTTTGAGGGCCGCCGCCCAGCTGGCAGGTGACGGGGCTCTGCTGGAGATTCTCAGCGGGGGGGCCTTCGAACGGCTTTCAACGGACACCGTCCGCGACCCCGCCAGTTCGGACTTTACACCGCGGGGGGGCCCTGCGGACCTGCTGGAGCCCCCCCCGGGAGCCGGCACGGCGGCGGAGCGGGTCAGCGCATATCTGCAGGTGAGAAAGATGATCTTCCGAAGCGGCTTTATTGTTAAAGCACATCTGTAGGAGAATCTAAAAAGTGCTAGAAACACTTGGCTACGCGGATGAAACGCTGTAGAAAATGCTTATAGACGCCCTCATGAAAGAAAGCAAGGGTTTCCGTCCAAAGTTCTGCCTGCTCTTTCAGCTCTTTCAGAGCTTGCACTTCATCGGCAGGAGCAACCTCCCTTTATGAAGTAATTGGATCGTGCCTGCAAATCTCTCGCCAATCTGCTTTCCCTCTATCTAGCCAGTCCTTTTTCGGATCGCTGATCAAGGCTCCTTCCGTTGTTCTCTCTTAATTCGATGAGAAGACAACGAAGCTGAAGGGGCTGACATGATATTCTCTCCGACATCCTATCTGAGATCTGATACTCTTGTATCCTTTTATCGTTCGTTCTTACAGAGAGTGATTGCCGCCGTCCCCGGCGTCGACCGCTCCCTCGACCAGGCACGTGCCGTCCTTTGGGAGGAACTCCGCCGCATCGGGGGGGAGGCCTGCGTGGCTGCTGGCACCCCTGCGCTCAACACCCCCGCCAGAGACTCTCCCGACATCAACTCGACGTACGCTGCGATCTACTCACTGATCGCACCGCTGAACGATCCCATGCTAGTTCGTTCCGTTCTGGGCGTTGCGACGGGGCTCGCATACGACCTGGACTTCTGGGACGCTTATGACGCCGCGGCCGCGGGGCGACCGCCGCCCGTAGACATTCCGGATGAATCCCCGGGCGGATCGGCGAACGGAATGGGAGACGGATCAGCGGCCGGAACGGCGAACGGGACGGCGAACGGAGCGCCTCCCGCTTTGGCAAACGGAGCGCTGAGCCCTCTGGCGACCGGAATGTCAGCGGGAAAGAAGGTTACCAGCCCGCCCGCGTTTCTCGCGTGGGACGAGGAACTCGTTGCGAAGGTGGCGGCGCACAACGACTTTCTTGTCAAGTTTGCCGGGTAACAAATTGTATCCCTCAGTCTCCATTTGAGCGTTATTGGCTTGTCTCTTTGGAACTAGGTACACGCAACTTCCAAATTCTACCATCTGAGCCTTGCGAGAATGCCCATCCCATGGCTTTGCACTTCTCCGTTAATGCTTTCTGAGGTGTCGATGGTGTCAAACCGGACTCATCGCTAAAGTCGTTCCCCAAATCCAAGCACTGGCCCCGACCGTGAAGCCTGGTGTAAAAATCTTAGCGATGGATCACGGGTTCAGTTTCATACAGCCCAGAAGCAATGGCCCCTGACAACTTTGAATGCTCCGACTTTCGATTTAAGTCTGAGCCTAGCCAGACAACGGTGGCTTTCGGACCTTTCCCCATGAATATCCAGCAAACAGCGGAACTTTCAGAATTAGTCCTTGCTTGCCTTTGTTTGAGCCCCCAGTAACTCTGGTCGTCACCACGAGCACACAAACAGCGCCTTTCTGTTTCCAGCGAGATCGACGAAGACGCCGCCCGCCGTTCGTTCGTCGCCTCCCTCATCGCCGAGAAAGGCGGCGCGGGGTTCTGGTTCGGCGAAGTCATGGGCCGCACCGCCGTCCCCCCCTGGGAACCTTCCGCGGGTACCGACCAGATGCGCGCGCTTGGTTCCAACGTGGAGACCCCGGTTGTAGGACTGGTCGGGGAACACCCCCGGGAGAAGGAACTGCTGGGGGGAATACTCGCGCTCACAGGGAGCATCCAGGGCGTACAGGTTGGTTGGCCGTTCCGGTTCCGCCTCGGGTTTCCGTAGGCGACTAGACGGCCGATCAATTGTGGATATTACCGTCTGCTTGCACTTGTGCGTTGTGCAGCGGATCCGTCTTCCGAATCAGCTCCCAACTCAGCGTACTTCAAACCAGCCAATCTTTTCTGCTTGCTCCCAGCTGACTTCCGCGGACTCTTCTGAAAGACCTCTTAGGTGCTTGGCAGCATTCGAGATCAGATGATAACTTGCAGCGGCTTTAAGCGCTGGAATTGAATGTTCATTGTCATCAGTCTCTTTTTCTGCACATGTGGTCGCCTTATCCAAAACGTGAAATGCTTCTTCAACCAGAAAGCAGAATCGCGCTGCGGTCAACATACCTCTCGCAAACTTCCTCGAAACCCCCTTCCCCTGCGCAGGTGGGTCTCGACATCGCGCGCGCCGCGCGCTCGGGATCGCTTACCGAGCCCGACCGCCTGCGCCTCTTTGGCGCGCTCCTGGCCCTCTGCCTGCCCCGGGCAAGCTCCCGGGAGCTGATCTTCGCCGCTTGGCAGCTGGTCGGCTTTGAGTCGTTCCTTCGGACGCCCGAAGGCGCGTCGGGGAACCCCCCGGACCGCTGGAACGCGGACACCGTGAACGGCCTGATCACGTACGTGGAGGCCGTGTCCGAAAATTCGGACGCGGGAGAAGCAGCGTCCGAGCTCGTCCGAGCAACGATCGGACGGAGCGAAGAAGAGGACGTGTTGGCGGCGGACTTGTACGGACTGGCGGGGCCGCTCGGCTGGGAGGCCGCGCAGCAGATCGGGGCGCTTTTGGTCGCCAGGGGGGGAAGTCTCGAGTTGCCGGTAAAACGGACCCCTGACTTCGACGTGTTTCGGCTTTTAGGCGGGCGCTCACGTGACGTTAGTTCAGACAGGATCAACAATATCGCGGAGATCTGCCGGGGTGAAGGTCAAGCCGAATACTTGGAGAGGGAGAAGAAGAGGATTGATGACGCGGCGAAACAGCTGACCGATCTTGTGAACATGTCTCCCGAATTCGTGGATGCTTGGGAGGAGGAGCGTCAGATCCGGACGGCGTTGGATGGTTGCAAAGGAGTCATGGAGTCGATATTTGAGAACAGGTAAGAAAGCTAGGCTGACGGCTCCCAGATAAGGGGCGCTCGGATTTTCAGCCTTCGACAGTGCTTTGCCTAATACCGACAGTGACGACGGAATTCTTGTTTTGGAGAGATCCTTGTCGGCGCTTGACAGTAAAGCAAGCTTTTTCGTTTTTGATTTCGCGGAGAGATGAAGATCAGATCCTGCGCTTGCTTGCTTCAGATGGTGTGATCAGGTTAATGATAACAGCGGAAATGCTCCTACACAGAAGATGGACTTCCAAGACTAATGGCGAGAAAGGAAAAGAAGAAAAGAGGAGGAGTCCCGACGAGCAGTCTCAAAAGAAGCGTTCGACTGCGTCAAAATTCCGCAGATTAAAGAGTGCTTCCATTTGAGCATGATTGATTCAAAATGGCAAGCTTCCATACGTTCTTCTCCGCAAACCCAACATTGTGATACCACGAATCTTCCCCTGCAGTTGGGAGGTCTGCAAGAAGGCCCTGCTGGGCGGAAAGAACGAGAAGGACACCGGAAGGTTTATGGACCTGCTGATAGCGTACCGCAACTATGAGTGGCGCAAAATCTGGTACAACATGGTCCTCCCAGAGGTGCCGCGTGACCCGGAGCTGGGGTTCGAGGAGCCGTCCGGTTCCTCGGTCCGCACGTCCGACATCGACGTACCGGTCTGGAGGGGAGTCCATGCCGGGGAGGCCGTCGGCATTTTCAATCGTTTCTTCCGAGACCGCTGGTGAGGCGGAATGCTTTGACCAATGTGCCGCAGGGTCTTGTTGCACACTTTGTCAAAACCGGCCGCCTGATCAAGTCTACTGCAGTGTGGCTAGTTACGTGATTCAGGAACGTGTTGCAGCGTGCAGAAATCGCATACCTGGATCAGTCGGCTACAGCCCACTGGACGGAACAATTTACCAACGATTGGCTCAAATGGGGTTGAGTTTACGAGCCGGAATGACCAAACCGAGCGTTAAGGACGTCGCTTCAAAACACTGGGCCCAAGGCGGCCTCTGGCTTGTCTTTTATTCCTGCGATCCTTGAACAAGCTGGACAAGCCGGTCCCGAAAATCGTATAAAATATCTAGGGATTCAATGGTATCTGAAATTTTCCTTCTTTGTACGATCGTTGCCCTTCACGGTCCGGGCTCGACGATTTTCGAGCCTTTTCAAGGAGCGTCGATGGACTCTCTGGTCGGAAGCCTTGGTCTCGCTGGATTTAAGATAAATGATTCCAAGCCAGACTGGTGATGGAGCGATATGCTTGGACACCATCGAAAAAAGAACGCGGGAGCTCTCGCTTGGTAAAGCCCAATCAACATGTGATAATTCCCTCCTTTGGCTGTTGGACTTCGCAATTCCTTTGCCGACCTTTTGTTTGTTGCATGCGTCACTGACCGCTGCGAAGCAGCGCCCCTGCCGCGAGATAACGTGTTGATTCGCATAATTTGCGGCTGCCTTGTAGACGACAGCATGCTGAACAACATTTTCTCCTTCAACATGTCTCAGAAAATCGTTTCGCCCTGACCCGTGACCTTGTTTCTACAACTACTTGCGCGCCGTCCCCTATTTCCATCGACCCGCGTCACCGGCATCCTTCAATTGCGGTCGTATCTCTGTTCCCCTTCTCCGACGCCAGGGACGAGGCGCTTATGTCAAATCACCCCTGATCTTCAACAAGCGTTCCAATCATACAACCAATCGCCTGCTCTCGTTCCGCTGCTCCAGGGGCAAAGCGGAATCCGGCATCGTCTTCGACGTGAACCTGTACGGCCCCGGCTTCCTGCGCGGCTTGAACGAAGTTGGAGACGCAAAGAAGCTGGTGCTTGTTGGGCACGTGCCACGTGTCGGCCAACCATACGGCGGCGTCCAGCACCCCAGGGCTCGCCTCTGGGACGTGTCCAGCCAGATGGGCTGGGCCCTTACGCGGCTGGCGCTCAACACCACAGAAACCGAGTTCCTGACGATCCGCGAGTCCGCGCGCGCGTATGCGCGCGGCTTCGAGGGCGCGCTCGCGGAAGCGCCCGGCGGCTTCCAGCGCTTCCCCGACGCGGACCCCATCGTCGGCTTCGCCGCGACGCGCGCCGCGCGGTTTCTCGCGGCGTGCGGAGTCGGGGGGGGGCTGTACGCGCGCGGGGAGAGGCCGGTCGACGCCTTGCGCGCGGGCGGGGCGGGCGCGCGGAGCGCGCTCATGTCCAAGACGAACTGGATCTACGAGAGGATGCTTGAAACGATCGATAAGCGGCTCTACAGCTTTAAGCAGATAAAGAGCTACACGCGTGTGCCAGTAGACCCGGCCTTGGAGCTCGTGCTTAGAGGTGAGCGCGCGCTTCCTACAAAGGGCAAAGGGCGTTAGTACGATCGAGCCCTGCTTCTCAGGTCGATCCTGGTTGAAGTCCCAACGAAACAAGGTCCCCTTTCCTTTATTTGCATTCTTAATCGACCCAGTCTAAGCGTGACAGAAAGACCTTTCAACTTAATCGGTTAAGCAATAAGAATCTGCCGTCGAGGCGTCGTATGTAGAAACGAATGGATGCACCCAGGACGACGCAGATGGAGGCTGAGTAAAGCCCGGATGAGACGTTGACTGGCTCCTGTGGATGGCTCCTTGACAAAGGGGTGTCTGGATCATTCAGGAGGCGAGCAACATCAATAGGAACCAGAGCGTGTGTTAAAGCCCTAGCTTCATGTTTATTACAGGTGGTTACGCGGATCGCCTTGTTTGAAAGCAAACATTGAGTCGGTGTGAGTCTAAGGATCGACCAGTGCAAGCCTCGAGTTTGTTTGAATCCATTCACAGAACAATCAGCCTGAACTCTTTTAAAGGTTCGGCTGCAGTCATGAAAAGATTCTTGGCGGTTTTCCAGGTGCGTTTCCAGAAACGCATACTCGGAATACGTGTGGCCCTGCCAGAGCTTAGCTCATCCTTCAGGCAGGTGTGCTGACGTGGATCTGTTGACCATTCGCAGAGAGCCTGAATGACGATTTCGACAATCTGAACCCCTATTACTTGGCGTGGCTGCCCAAAATCTCGGTATCCGATGCGGATCCGCCACCGCTGCAGTTGGGCCTGGACTACGTCGCCTCGTCGTTCCGCGATACGGTGAGCAAATGGGAGAGGCACTCACAAGGATTTTTGGCGGTTAAACATAGGCGGTCGATACGGGCTGGTTCAAAGCTGGTTGAATGTCCAATAAACTAAATTCGAGCAATAACCACGTTTTTAAGCATGGCTATCACGCGGTTATTGGTCAAAGAACCACACTAAAGTCTGGTTACTAAACCTGGTTAGCAGCCAAACCTTACTGTGTCTACAAGGTTTTGCAATAGTGGAGTATGGGTCTGACCGACGGCTCTTAAGGCCACCCTGCAACTTTGCGGACACGTCTCGGTCAGAATTAATTTCTACACCCCGCATCCAAAACTATTTCGTTCAAACTACATTCGTGACCAAGAGCTTCTTTCCATACACGGAAGAGGATGTCAACTATAATCGCTGTTGTGAAAGAATCTTAACTTCTATCTGCGCTGTAGACCTTTTATTTTTGACCACCTTAAGGGAGTACATTTTTTAGTCGTGTCTAATTTTATCAGACCTCTTTCTCGTTCCGGTTAAAAGCGTACTGCCATTCAGGCGCCTTGCTTACCTCGATCAAGGAGCCGGTTCGCAGCTCTTCTACTCAGCAAAATCTTCTGTTGTAACATGCAGACATTCACGAAGCAACATTAGACTGATCACAGACTTTGAAACCGCCTGATCCATCAAAGACGGCCCTCATCTTAACACTCTGGTGTGCGTTGACTCGCGCACAGGGATCTTCGGCGCTTGAACATAGTCGGTTACGGGCTGGTTCAAAGCTATTTGAATGTCCCATAACCAGACTCAAGCAGTAACCACGTTTTTAGCATGGCTACAACGCCTTTATTGGTCAAAGAACCACACCAAAGTTTGGTTATTAAACCTGATTAGCAGCCAAACCTTCCTGTGGCGCAGATCAGCTTCTCCCTCATGTTTGCCAACGAAGCGTACTACACGGAAGCCGCGGTCCAGCACGCGGTGGACATCCAGAACGCCAAGAAGACGCACCCGGGGTCCAGACCGCCAAATCTCAGCCCGGCCGAGTGGGGGGTCTGCGTGCAAGAGAATCTTGCGAGCTTCCTGGAGCATTCGTATGGCCTCCAAGCCGACCCGGGGAAGGCCCTGCTCAAGACTGGGAAGGTGAGACTTACAGAAGGATTTCGACTCAACTGTGTGAGTCCGTGTCTCCTCCAAGGACTCACAGCAGCCGATACTAGTGATCGCAAGTCCTCCTTTCGTTGCCCCTTGTGAAACTCAACAATCTACTTTCTGCTAAGAAGCGGCAGAAGGGTGAAGAGGGCCCTCGGCACTTGCGTCACATCCCATGCTGGTGATTTTCCTATCTTACAGCTTACTAGTGTCATTACTGATCTCCATCCCATACGCCGCAGTACCTCCACCGCGCGCTCGACGCGCTGCGCGTGACGCTGGAAACGCCGCGCCGCTTCTACGCGCAGCAGCTGCGCGCCGCGGCCGCGTTCGCGCCCCGGTCGCTCGCGCACCTGCCGCCCGGCGACGCGCTCCTGCGCCGCCTGCAGCGGCTCGCGGAGAAGCTCATGCTCATGAAGAACGGCTCCGAGGCTGACGTGTACGATGACGTCAGGAACACGCTCCTGGAGTGGTGGCGCGTGCACGACGCGCTGGGGAACGCCGAGAGGGAGGCGACCCTGCGGCTGTGGTTCGGCAGCGAGCGTCGCCGGGAGGACGGATGTCTGGTCTACGCCGTTCTGGCCGACCCATTTATGAACCCTTTGCCGAGGACCGTGATGACAGACCTCGTCGACGTGCTGACGCCGGGGGGTTCCGCGAGCCGCCCAGGGTGGAGGCGGAGCAATATCCTGAGGGTAAGTGTATTGTCTCCTAGATCCGATGTCTCTTCAATTTAGCAATAGTAAGCCCTAGCAATAGTAAGCTCCGACACTAACACTAAAAACCTAACCTACAAAAACACCCGCTCCGCACCCGAACCCACCCTAACCCCCAAACTAACCCTACCCGTCCCAGGCTGGTGAGCTTACTATTGCTAAAGCTTACTATTGCTAAATTGAAGATTCTTCTAAATCTGTCTCAGCCAGAAGAAGCGGCCCTTAACCAAACGTGCTCAGCGTTTTGTTGAACGGCCCTCCTGTCAACGGACATTCTTTGCGAGTGATTTTATGTCACTTTTCCAGGCGCAGCTTACGTGGGTTGAGGAAAATTTTCGGTGCGTTGGGCGGAACATGGCGGAAGCTCCCCATTCCTGGCCGCCGAATGTCAATCTTGTTTCTCACTCCGTTGCTTAAGAAGGATGAAGATTGTTCGAGACAACGGTTCTCGACTTAAGCTTCGCTCAAAAGAGACTGAAGGACGCTTAATAACTCCCCGTTCTGGCAACGCGACAACTCGGACGACGGAGATTGAAACCTTCCGAACACTGCAGACTCGGATAGTTCATGAGTTGAGATCAGCTTTTTTGACGATGACAGGAGAGTGTCAAATGGTTCTCATCCTTTGTTGCAACGACTTGCAAAATCAAACTCGGCAGATGGCATCGCGTGTGACAATCATCAGGCTCTCAATACAAAGCAAACACTTGATTCCGAAATGTCGAGATCGCACGTTGCTGTGTTGAAGGGCACCAAAATTAGATTGCTATAGTTTAACCAAAGCTAGGGTGCATCCTGGTGTGAAGTTACAGCGTTCTTACCTTGCTTGCGGCACTCTCTGCACAGGGGACGCAACAAATGGTGCGGAGTCTAGGGGCGTTTCTGTACGCTTTCTACATCACGGCTGTGTGGCCCCAAAGGGCCAGTTTGGACAGGACTCTCAGCTCCGAAGGCTTAGACGATGCGGTCGGGCTCGAGTCCGATTCGGACAGCTCCCAGGTACGCCTCTTGGCAGCTCATCTAAACTCAACTTGCACTCGTCCGATTCGGACGGCTCCCAGGTACGCCTTAGATGCTCATCTAGACTCTACCTGCACTCGTCCGAATCCGGACAGCTCCCAGGTACGTTCAGCTGCTCATCTGAAGTCTGCCTAGCAGAGTGATTGGCCTCAAGTTCCTAGGTTCTGCGGTTCGAGATAGCGTTCTCGAAAGCTCCTGGGTGCTGCAATGAGTCTAGGGTTTTTAGGTCTCGGGCCCCGCGGTTCGTCTTTCAGTGAATCCTTGACAGAGACAAGATTCGGCGGACCCTGCAACTCTCTCTGAGAACACCGAATCAGATCGGTCCTAAGACAACTTCCACATTCCACAACCTACAACCGAGGTGATACTTACATCCATTTGGAGCACAAACCTTACACAAGGTGATCGGAACTTGATAGAGAGCCTTGTTTTACAGCAGAATTCGGGACTGAAGTCGGGAGCGAAGAACCTAACGGTGCTGACCAACTGGAGGACATCAAGTTCCAACGAATGTTTTGAAGGATATCCGTCGAAGTTCTGAACTGAATGGAAGTCAAAATGCACCGACATTTGGGTAGCACCCAGAAGAGCCCACTGTAATTCGTTCTACCATTTAAGCAGTTGTTAACTTCTTAGACAAATAAAAGAGGAGCTGGACCCCCGCGCTAAAGCGGGTGCGATTTGCTCTGACCGTCAAGGTAGCATAGAGCCTGTAGGGCCTTTTTCTCTAGGTTGGATTCTCGCCTTCATACTTTCTAGGCTTGCACACTCCCTGAGTCTGAAACATGGTACGTTTGGTTCTGGGCGCAGGTACGTAAGACGGTGTGGATCGTCACTGGGGGTGACTTCACGCAAGCCGTCTCTGCCCCTGCCGCACCCGCCGGATCTGCCGCTGCTCCCACTATCGCGCGCGCAAAGCTGGGGACCAGAAACAACTGGAAGGTGAGGGCACCGCGCAACCTTTAAAGCTTCCTCGTTACTGAGACTGGTCTGACAAACTTGCTTGAAGATCGTTCCAATACCGCTTTCAGTACGGGCAGCGAATCAGTATCAGTGCCGCCTTGAAAGAGGATTCTGAGAGACACAGGACCGTTTCGCTCCCAACCAAACCTGGTTAAGGGGTGTTTGACCGGCAATATAAACGGTTGTGGAGCATGTAACGGGTGTATAACCAGGAATGTATTTAATCGTACTGAGACGGATATAATATTCTGGGGGGTGAAATTAGGTACGGATGCGATCAGGTAAAGTGTCATTCGTTAGGGCTTCTGTTGTGAGGGGGGATCACTATTTTGTCGGCATAATCTTATGCCAACATTGTGTAATAATAATGCACAGTGTATGCATATACAGCATAAACTATTATATGCATAATGTACCTTTTTTCAGCTTCAACTCACGGCTGCCTCCTTTATGCAGGTGCTCCCCGGGAAAGATGGCGGCGTGCGCTTCGCCACCTCCGACGGGCGGTACCTGGCACGCTCGGAAGACGGTTTGGAGCTGATCCTCTTGACGCTGCCGGACGATTACCCGGTGACCGGGGCCGTCAGGCAGTGCGACTGGCAACTCGCGCCAGGTGGCGTACTCTTTTCCGTTGACCCTGACAACGCGGACGTTCGTTCTAACTTCTGACCTCTGGTTAACCTCTTCGTTACCCTTTGATATGCTCGCTCGCGCGCTCCTGCCTTCCCTTGAAGCTGGCGGTCGGCTCGTCGTTTCGTTCTGTCCGTTCCATTCTGTTCCGTCCCGTTCCGTACTCTTAGACGTTTCCCCCGGGCGGTGCTTGCAGTCCTGGGCGCAGTCACAGATGTGCTCATCAAAGTGCCCGGGGCGGAGACTTACCTGGTCACCTTGACGGAACCGGACCTGGGCATGCGGAGTTTGAAGCTGCGCCAAATTGCTGGTAAGATTCACAACCAGGTGCTGCCCAGTGCCAAATCGATCGCCCGATTGGGGCCTTGCTGTCGCTTTTCCTTTGCAGTTACTAAAGTAATTGTTCTGAGGACCAATATCAAAAGAGCTCAAGTCAGGCGGGCGCAAGCCATTGGATCGACCAGGATTTGTGCTGTAGCTACAACCGTCAGTAAGCCAGAGTGCTATTTGGTTCGGAATAGAGTCAGCACTAAACGTCCTGAACTGTACGTTCGCCACTGCGTGAGCACTAGACACGAGCTGGACAGTCGCTTTTAATTATCCGCTCGACTCGAGGCATTGCTTATCACCGATAACAATTCAGCTGACTACGTCAGAGGGAGTTCCGCGAGACCGGCGACACCAGAAGGACGATTCTGGATTCTGATACTTCATCAGAGTTTGACCACGGTGACGGTGCATAAGAGTTCCTCTCCACTCTCGAGTGTTCGTAAAACCGCCGGCTAGCTTGCAACATTCCCTGACCTTAAGTTTCCATAACTTTTCACGATTTTTAACGGCCTCGTTTGTTGCAAGCCGGTGTTGAACAGTTACACCCGCAGGTCACTTCGGCTCCTAAGCAGCTCTTCACCAGCTCTTAACCAGCTTGTCAGCAGACAGTAAAGCTGTTCCCTCTGACCCGCCTTCGCTTATGACCGTATCTTACAGTGCCCGGCAGCAAGGAGGCGCTGCAAGCGGCCGCGGCCGCGGCCGCGCAGGAGCTGGCCGACGCCACGGCCGCGCTTTCTCAGCTGCCGGACGTGGCGGCCTTGGAGGCGGCGCTGAACGATGCCGTTTCCACGAGGGACCGGTACTTCACACTCAAGGGAGAACTGCCGGAAGGCGCGTCGCAAAACGCGCGCGACTTCTGGGAGCAGCAACTGGAGGGCGCCAGGCAGGAGGTGGAGCGGGCGACCCAGGCGCTCGCGGCCGCGCAGGACGAAGCCGCGCGCGATCCCGAGCCCGCCGCGAGAGCGCGCGTCGCGGCCGCGGAAGCGCGGAAGGCGGAGCTGGACCGGCTGGCGCAGGAGGAGCCCGGGGAGGTGCCCCCGGAGCACTTTTTCCGGTTCGTGTACGACGGGGCGAGCGCCCGGAACATCACGGCGTTGGAGGTGCAGGCGCTTGCGGTCGCAGGTGGGGATTGTAAACGGGGCTCGCTTTGTCGAACCGCAAGCGCGTTTTTTAAACGTGGCTCGCTTCGTTGGTATTGTGGCGTTGGACTCTGAAAGCCGGACAGGCCGGATTGTACTCAGTGATGAGATCATTAAAAATGCAGCGGCAATCGGTGATTGCTCTGGCATATGCGAGCCGGTCTAGATCTTTCAACATGACGGGTGAACAGATTCTTGCCTCAGATCTTCGGAGAGCTGTTCTAAGGCGCACTGTTTGACAACGAAACCTAAGCGAGTCGCAAGAGTGCCAAAAATGCACAAAATTTCGTCTCCAAATCAGTTTGGTGAAAGCCCCGGGCGGTTGAAGTATGCATCTGGCACCTGGGAGGCGGCTGACCACCAGCTACCGGAACTTTTACCAACCCAGTGTCCGCGAATGCGGATCTAGAAACTTGGCGGAATTCCGGATTGAGCAGCGAGTGCACGAATCTGGCTCCGTCAACGGGCCGTCGACGTACCGGGCAGTACTTGTGCATAAGATCTCCTGGTCCTCTCCTCTTTTGCCCCGACTGAGAGATTGTGTACCAAAAAATTTGAGATCTCCCAAGCCAGATTCCCTCACCTTCCAGCGGGGACAGGATTGATCAAAGCTCCAGAACCCGAGGCCAGAACGTCCCACGTACTCATACGTCACTAGTGCGTCACCTGAGGATGCACTAGTGACGTATGCGTACGTGAGACGTTCTGGCCCGTGAACCCGTGCAGGCAGAGAGCATGCACGTTAGACCATGCGCGTTTGACCATGAACCCGAAACTCCAACTGCTTTAAGCCTCAGTGTGTGACGTACCTGACACGTGTGGCTTCGTGCAGGGAGTGAGCAACCAGCGCCGGACGGAGTCCCTTCGTGAATGTTACAAAGGCGAGCGCGCCTTTGAGGTTGGTATTGCGGTCGCCACCTGATGCGTCATGTCTGCGTGAGCGTTAGGCCCATGGAACACGTGGCAGTCGTTCGGGACCCTGTGTGGGCGTTACCAGAAAAGCGTTGTCTACGTTGCAACGTGGCCCTTCGTCGTTGGTGTTGAGTAGCTGTGTGCAGTTCATTACTTGGAAAGAGAAACAAACGCTGAAACAGGACAAAAGCGCATATCTAAAACAGACTGTAGCTGGGCAGTGGGCTCGGGCAATTTTGGTGTAGGCATGAGCGGGGCCTGGACAGCCTTCCGGCCGTTGGCTGAATGTCGGCTGTTGGCTGAACCTGTCTCACGTGGGACTTCCATCCCCCCGGGTGGCCAGCCATCGGCAGCGCGCCGAGAAGGCACTTAGCAGTCCAGGAGACAATATTCTTAGCGCATAACTTATAACTTACTCAAAATAGTGTTGCACAAGTCACTAGCGTCCAAGATTCCTCGACTTTTTGGCTTACGGGTTCCTATTGTGCTATAGGGTAGCTAGCAACAATGTTGTTTAAGTAACATTATGTAGACCGTAGCCGGCTGTGTAAGTGTCAATGCTTGATGTCTGGTTATAGCTCAATGATCGCAGTTTCTTTTTAGTATATGGCTGGCGTGCTGATGCGATGCCTCAAATCCAACCACTAGTGGCGTCAAAAGCTATGAATACTCAAAAAGCCTATGTCGTTGATGTAACGCCCTCGTTCCATGGCAAGTGGCAGGCAGTACTAAGCCTTCGATCAATGTCCGGGCGGTAAAACCTGAATTCTCAAGTCAGTCTTTGCGAATGTTTATTTGCGCAGTGTCGACTAACATGATTTATAGGCGCGGCCAACCATCAATACTACGCGTAGGGGAGGGTGAAATTGCATATTGCATTCCATGGGGCTTGAGCGGGCGCGTCGGCCAGTGGTTTCACACTACAGTAGTAGAAAGTCAAGGACGGTCGGGCAAAGTAAGTCGGTACGTGCCGGGGGCTGCATGCATATATGCAATCGAGTCGCCCCCGCAACTGCCATGCATGCAAAAATCAACACGGAGCGCGCACTTGGATCAGGACGTCTACGGTTTACACCATTGATCGTTTCCTATTTTGAGCATAATTATGCGGCACCGCTTAAATCATTCGCGATTGGTATGACTTCGACGTTGAAGAAACGGGTTAGGAGCGATATAGTGCAAATATACAACCGATGGCCGCGCACCGTCCACTGCCTGAGCACACCAGTTCGTGAAGTTTCTTAAAGGCTCAAACTCGCGCGCGACGCACGCGGCGCCTGTGGCAAGCTAGTTGCATGCAAGTCGTTCTCAGCGATTTATTCCGGATTTACAGCCGATGCGTGCTTGTGCACCCTCGATCGAATACAAGCCCGGAACAGGATGAGGGAAAAGCGGCTCTCTCCCCGTCCCCGCTTGGACAAGACGTAAGTTCGCTAAAGACGACAAAACCACCGTCGTCACGAAGTTGTTCAAGAATCACCTACACATTTTGATATCCTGCGGAACACAGCAATCTGCGTACAGAAACCGGGTCCGTTCTCTGCTCCGTCCCCGCCCACACCGCTGTATTCCACGGAGTATCCGTATTCCGCTGCCAAAGCCACCGCCCACGTCCGGAATTCCGCTCTCGTCCACTCAAACCGATGATCTTCATTGCGTAACCGGCATGGTTCATCCCCCTCGTTCGCGTCGCTCCTTCTAGTTCCCGTCGCCGCTGCTTGGAGAACCGGGTTATACTCGACATTCGGAGTGGAAACCAGGAGCACTTTCGGTCGGAGTCTGCCCAGAACCGCCGGACCGAATCCCGCCAACGGTTCCGGATCCAGATGCTCCACCACCTCGATACACGTGGCAAGATCCCAGCCGGCGAAGCGCTCGTCCAGGTCCAACATCGACCGTCCGATGATCTCGACGTCTTTCTCCGCCAGCGCCCCGGCCGTTCCCCGCTTCTCTAGTTTCGCGTGGACCGCTTTGCGCGCACGCGCGAGCGCGCGTTCGGACACGTCCGCGCCCGCAAGGCGCTGGACGCACGTGGCTCTCTCCGCGACGGCTTCGAGGAAAGCGCCGGAACCACAGCCTAAATCTAGCACCGAAGCGGCTTTACACTGTTCGAGCACAGTCAGCGCGAAGTCCATTCGCTGGCTGGCGAGCGACGGTGTGAACAGGGCCCCCTCGAGCCGCTGCTCGCGGGGCTCCACGTGTCCACACAGCCGGACCTCGATCGTGACGTCATCTCCACTCTCAGATTCCTCCGGCTGAGGTTCCGAGGCAGCCATCCGGTCGTTGGGTTTAGCTAAAGGCTCTTCAGTGAGACACGTGGCAGTTATTAAGGGCTGCCACGAGGCCAGGGCCCGCATTTGGACGCTGCGCGTCTCCCCTTGCTGACACGTGTCGATGCACTGTTCGATCTGCGGCAGAACCGCCCCCGTTCCCCGGGGTACCAAGAAGCCCCGGTTCTCCTCGAGCACAGTCCCTCCCGAAACAATCTTGTAGTCAATGATCGCTGTGCCGTCATGCTCAGAATTCGAGAGATCTCCCATTTTTCCTTCCTCTTTTGCCGCTTCTCTAGTTAGCACCCGGGCGTCGAACAGCGCCTGCACCACGTGGAGGCCCGCCAGCGCGGCTGCGTTCTCGGCGTCCCCCGGAGACTCCCACCGACCGCCCGACGAGGCTCTCATCGCCTGGTGCCCATACACGAACTCCACTTCCGCCTCCCATCCCGGCTCGTCCTTCCTTTCCCTTTCCGGGCAAGATTCCGTTTTCGCTTCCGTGAGAGGTTGTAAGGAGGATTGTGCTTCCACCGTTTCCAGACTACTTCCTAATTTCGGAGGCCCTGTTACTTCCGTTCTTCGCTCTTCTTCCAGACGGCACGGAACCTTTACCCAGTCCAGCCTCCCTCGCATCACGCCAAGCCCGGGCTCCCCTTCGGTCGCTCCGACACTCTGGGGCTCATTCTCACCGGCCCCCTCCCCCTTCTTGGACAGAGTGTAAACAGGCACCTTGTCACCGGCCCCACTGCACTTGGGCTTTCCCAAATCGAACAGGAGAGTCTTTGGAGTTTTGCCTTCCCACCGACCGGACCCGGCGTAAGTGCGCGGCAGCGTCGCAGCAAGCGGGGCGCCGCGACTGAGCTGGTACATTCCCCGGGGGTGCCGAGAAAGGAGCAGGCTGGGGGGCAGGGAAAGACCACTTATGGATTTCAACAGTACGTATGCGGAGTAGTCGCACTTGGCTGGGTAAGGAAGCGGACTCGAGAAAACGACGCGAGAGGTAAGAGCAGTCTCTCGGCACCGCTGATGCAACCGTAGCAGCTTTCCAGCCTAGCGGAAGCGTCGAGCGGGCCTCGATTCTAGCGGCTATTGATTTCAATGCCCCACGAATGGCGAGGTAAAGATAGGTTGAGGGGTAAACAAAACGCGGTCAGAGGTGGGATTTAAATACGCTTCGCGTGCAGTTTTGACACTTTCTGGGGGGTCAGCAAACCCACGAAGTCGAAGACAGTCCAAACACCAGATCGGATCCGACATATTCACGTGTTCCCTCCTCCTCATGGCCAAGGGATAACGCAAAGCGATAAAAGACTGGACGAATGAATTAGGATTGCCAGATAGAGATACGCGGAAGCAACTACGTTCTGTGGCCAGAGGGTCGGAACAGTCTCATTTCTTTGAAGCTACGAGGTCGCTACGAGACGAACGTAGCTCGAAAGATGGCACCCCCCTCGTTCGCGAACCCCTCGCCAGCCGTGTGTTCCTTCAGTAACGCATCCACATTGGCGCTGGTTCCTGCCCCCCTGCTCACCTGTGCCAGTCCCTGGTGCTGACGTCATCCCACGTCAGCTTTCCGAGCGACGAGTACGTCGTCCCGACGGAGGCCACCACCGCGTCCCCGAACACCGCGTGCCCGGCTCCCCAGCTGGCCCTCTCGTTCCAACCGTTCCGTTCGTTCCGGTCGCCGCTTCCGTTCCTCTCGTTGCTCTCGCTCGAGCCACTCCTCTCATTGTCACAATCGTGTCCGTTTATCTTCTTTATGGCCGACCCCGTCTCAACGCCTGTCAAGGATTCCGGGAAGTCCACATCCGCTCCTCCCTTCCGTTCGTCAGAACCGGCCGGAAGGAATGTGAAGCTGCCGTCATCGCTGACGTGGGCGGTGGGGAGGGGAGTCAGTAGAGAGTAGATGCGTAGGTTGCTGCCGGACTTGCCAACGGTCCTGAAAAACAAACTGCAGGCTTGGATGCGTACCCTTGAGATCTGAGATCGGAACACTATTGAAGCAAGCCGTTCAAAAGCACAGAAACTGTCGAAAGAGCGTGAAAAATAAGTGTCCTCTCTCTCGTCAAGATCCTGATGAAGGCCACGTTGTAAGGTAGTGAGACTCATAAAGCAAGCGCATTGGATTCCCATCGAGCCCGTAACCTGTTCGCCAATTCTGTGTGCGATGAAGATGAATACAGAGTTACCGGAGCTATTGCCGCCACGAAAAGCTGGCCTTCTCGACTCCAACACTGGATACGAAGCAAGCTACCTCAAGTTATTCATAGCAACAACGTTAGTATCGGTGGGCGGAGTCCAGAATTTAGCAGAATTCGGATCCGAGCACAGAACACCACCCTTCCTTAGCTTCTCGTAAGTGACCAGTAGCATCGAATCTCCAGGTTAACCAACTGTGCACTCTTGCCTCTAGTACGTTTGAATGCGAAGGCTCACTCCTTGAAAACGAGAGCAACTACGAGAATGTCGAGCGAGCACCATTAATCGCGTCTCTGGAGTCAGCAAAGCCCTGCCCACCTTGAGATAAGCACCCGGTTGGCATCCCCTAGCCCCAGCACCTCCGCAATCTGCTCCAAATACGCCCCGCCCGGCTTTCTCGGCAGGGTGACGTCAGCAGGGGGCCGTTCCTTGTCCTGGGGGAGGAATACGGCCCGGAAGACTCCGGGGGGCGAGGAAGCCGGTTCTTGCGCCTCGGTCCGCGCTCGCGCGGTCGGGCTCTCTGGCCAGGGCTGAGTTCGCAAAACCTGCATTTTCAAACTCATACTTCGGGACCTGGGCTATACCGTCTATTAATATGTATGGATCCTAAAAAGTTCGCGGAGCAAGAAGGCTTTAGCAAAGGCTAAGTTGCGCGAGATTAACGAGTTTGTGAGGGCACACCATATGATTACCGAGCTGTGGACTATACGAAGACGAGGCATCTGCCGGAGGCTGAGATGCGACAGCTGATGAAACGATGCACCCTCGAACGGACAGTGGCTCGGTTGGGCTGTCGCCAGGCCGGATCTCAGTAGAGAAATTAAGTTGGCATAATCGAGCTTGGGCAATAGGATGCAAGGGACTCAGAAGACGGCAGTAAGAGGTTTCAACGGCCAAGACAACAGCCGAGTCGCGCCCTTGCAAACGGACAAGGACAGCAGAGAAGAAGGTCCCTAAAACAAACTTCCAAAATCCTTGTCTGAACTTGAAAGTGCAAACGTGTGCATTCTTAATGCAAAACGTGATGGGGAATGATGTATCTTGATATGAACTACTCTGCTCACCTTTGCTTGCCGTTGCTCCTCAAGCGACTGCCAATCCAGCACTAGATGCATTCTTTTAGCCCCTGATTCAAAATTTGCGGACTGTACAGTAATTAACAATCTTACCCCAAGCCCATCTTTCGTAAGCCGCACCCCTTCGCACGCGCGAACCGCTGCCGCCATCAGGGCAAGGCCTTGCAGGGGGTCCGTTTCTGCCTGGGGATGTAACCCCCGGATCGCAGCAGCTATGCGATTGTCGACCTGGGCAAGGACTGCTAGGGGGATAGGGCGACCAGTAAGAGCGGCCGTGGAGAAGAAGGGGGAGAGGGGAGAGAAGTGGGCCACGCTCTGCAAAAAGAAAAGGAGTTCTATGGGCAAGATTTTTCTTGAAAATGAGGCTGGGCAGAACTGGGCTGTGTGTATCTATGTGGCAGAAGCGACATTCTGATGCAATGCTTTGGATTAGGGGCCCGGACTCTCTAATAGGGAGTTGTTGCAAAGCGGCGCATGTGGAACGCGGAGGCACACAGGAACCAGGAACAAACACGGACTGAGAACAATCTACTCGAGAGGCACGGTGTATGAGAACTAGAGTCGACCTTGACTTTGTCAATCTCACTTGACCTGCTGCTTTCTTGACACCACGTTTGAATGCTGCTCTGGCAATTCCCATAGGGCAAACATCACCTTATCCGCCAGTGATGCCTCCAAACGGGACTTGAGCAGCTGCCATCGCCCAAAGGCTGACTCTCCGACGGGCAGAACGGGAGAAGTGCCTTCAGGCTCCGCATTGGGCCGACCAATCTGTAGACCAAGTTATCCTGTGTAAGTAATGATTGGTTGGGCTGGTTGAAGAGTTGGAGGCTCAGGTTGTTGTGAAAGGATTGCGTTGGAAGTAACTTGGGTCGAAAGGGTTTATTTCCGAACTGCCAGCTCAAGCTATATGGTCACCTCACAGTCCTTGTTTCCTATCACAGCCACAGCTACAATACTTTTTGGAGCAAAGTGGCTGGGCAAATGATTGGAAGAAGACTGGCAAGAAAACCTTAACTGTTTGTTCAGTTGGGAGGCTAGAACAGCATGTCCGGAGTTTCAGTGGTGCAAGGTTGGAGGACTTAAAAAACAGGTTCATGCAGCTTACTGATCAATTGCAAGGGGAACATCAAAAGACTCAACCAGGTTTGCAAGCACGACACACATATCTCCCATCTGCAGTCTGTGACCTTCCAGCTTGCAGAACATGTGGTTTCCATAGTGAACCACAATGCTGTTACTCACCGCCTGCATTGCTTTCTCCGCCGCTGCTTGTTCTGCATCCTTCTTCTTCTTGTATCCCCCCTCAGACTGAAACTCGCGGCCATCAGGCAGCTTCAGGGTGCATTGATAAGTGGGTGGTTTTGAGTCGTCCCCTTCTGTAAGGTACACAACCTTTTGCGCCCCCTCGGTCTGAAAAAGGCACCAATCGTTTACTTCAGACTTGGGCGTTTTGGCGGGAGCAGGCGCCATTGGCGTCAGTTGCAACCATGCGGTTGATCACACGTTTTGCACAGAAAGGAAGCTCAACGGGCAATCGCCAGCACCAATTTGAGGAAAGGAAAGGAATGGAAGATTACCTAAAGGCTGAAGGGATGTCCCCCTGAAAGTTTCAAGCTTCGAGGCGGAGCATACAGCCCCCATACAGCTCGAGCCGCGAGGTTTTGCCTTGCTGATATAAAGCGAAAGACAATGAAATGGTCCGTCGCGGACGGCGTCGGCTTTGCCGCCTTTTCAAGAACCGTCTATTTACCCAGTAACATTAACCAATCAAAATAAGCTCGATCGTCGGCCTGTGTAGGAATGGGTCAGAGTCACGGTGCCAGTGGCATTAAACAACCGGCACTGGAACGGGAGCCCGCGTTGCTGCTTGGGCAAAATTATTGCCAAATTTTGCAGCTTTCGGCCTGCATGGCAAGCAAAGGCTGCTATTAATAGTATTACGTAAATGTAGAGCTGTGTGCTATGTGCTATGCATGTAGAGCTCTGTGAAGAGCTTTTCGAGATCATGGAACGTGCAGAACTGTATGCATCATCGAGAGCGCAAGCGTTCTTCTGCATAATAGTGCGCCGATGACTCCAAGCCTCGGATGACAGCCCGAATTGCAGCTGCGCAAACTTGTTACCATCCAAAGCATCAATGCAAATGCTCAGTGACGATTGGATGATACGATGATGGAGATGATTTGCATTCGTTGCTCTTGCATATGTACTGCTCATGCAGAAAGTCATCACAAATGCGCCACGGTGGATGGTGAGGAACATACAACTCTTCTCAGAAGGTCTCATTGCCTCATTGAATCTCAAGGCCGCTTCTTAATTACGAGATTCGCGCGTCGGAGAAATGCGAAGTATCATGTCTCGCGACTGGCCTTATCCACAGTAGTCTTTGTTGACACCTAGATTCATGGATCGCCATTTGCACAGTGCATACTGCATAGGAAACAAGAAGTGATTGCCCTATGTTGGCTGTACCTGCAAACGCCTTATACTCATGCATATTCAGCATAAAGCGATTCGTAGTGATGTTGCGCTAAAAATATCAAACTCATACTAACACAACCTCAAGCTTTGGACAAGGGTGTTCTCGTAGATACTCTTGAAATTGGCTATCCGCCACAAACGATCCGTTCCCCATGGACTCCCGTAATGTCATCCCACTAGGGTAAATCCTATGCACCTTCCAGGTGGTCCAATATAAACCGACCTCCTTCCTCCTCTCAACCCAACTCGGCTCGTAATCCTCCTTTTGAAACGCCTGGAGTACCGCCGCATGGAGTGCCCAAACGCTTAGATCCCTCCCGTCTAAAAGCACCGGGCGGTATCGGAATCGTCCACTTTCCCTGACATACACTCGGTGTACTTCGCGGCTTGCGCCGGCGAGACTAGCTAGGAACGGGAACCGTGACGGGGCCCCGATCGCCGCCGGCCGACAAGTGCAGGGGTACACGGGCACTCTCGTGCTCAAACGTCCTTCGCTAATCTTGTCACGGGTATTGATACCGGGGGCTGTAACGGAACCGTCACCCGGGTTGGGGTCTGTAAGGGAACCGTCACCCGGGTCGTGGGTTGAAGCAGCAACGAGGGCGCGCGTTTTGTTATCCGTTAGTGCCTGGAGTTTCGTGGCGATATGGATGCAGAGGCGACAGGTGGCGTGGACGCCACGAACATCGTTCATCGCTTTGAAGTTGTCGGAAGCCTCGTGGCGCCGCCACTCCAGCATTTCCTGCAAAGATGATGCATATATAGGCTCGAAATATAAGAAGAACGGAGCTAACATTGGAAAGCTAGTCCTAAAGTTCGCTTGCTCCGCACGCGTTTGAAACCCCAAAAGCCCTTCTTGGCCCCCCCCGTTCCAGGCAGGTTATTTTGTTATAGCTTGAGCTTAGTATAAGTAAACCCGGAAGAGCAATTTGCGAATAGCGTTGGCTCCAAACCGTTAAACGTTTGCTTCGGGAAGTCAGGTAATCGTTGAGTCCAATCCAATCAGAACTTGATATCCGGAAGATTCCCTCGGCGGTGGGGTTATCCCAGAAAGATCTTGCTGCTTGAACTTGCTGCATGCTCTATGGCGTACGGAGGGACGGACGAAATGCAGTAAACCAAGTTGTTGAGTGCTGAAACAGAGCCACTGCCCTAGACATCATGTGAACTTCGGAGCGAGAGAGAATGGTGTCCTATTCGTGGTCCTTGTTTAGTCGAACCGATGCCTTCATGCAGCCACATCGGACTGGTCACCAGATCGGCCGTGGCAAAACAAGTATGAGGCCCTGTTCTGCGCATCTTCCTAGTGACATGCCAAGGCGACTTGACAGCCCGTCGAATAAACCAAGGAAGATGACTGACAGAGAGCCTAGGACTGCTCACCTGACATCTCAGCTGACGCATCTCATCCCATGCTCTAGGCCGACACTGTCTTCTGTGAACCTCGTCAAAGTCGGAGTCCGAGGAAAACAAACTTCGGCCACACGCACATCCCCCAACAACAGTCGATTGCTGTGCTGTGTCTCACCTCGTACGCGGACCGATTCTCCATCAGGTACTTCATTCTCTCGACCAACCTCGGCACGTCCTCTATCGTCCGTAGCTCCAGGAACGAGTTCGGCGCCGGCGCAAACTCAAAGATGTTTGGTGCGCCGATGACGATCGGCACCGACCCCGCTTGCAACACGTGGTAGAACTTCTCGGTGACGTAGTCCGGCCAATGGCTGTTCTCGAACGCGAGGTAGAAGAGGTACGTGCGTGCAACTGCGATCTTCTGCCGATAGCGGTCCCACTGCCCGGCTTCATTGCGCTCCTGGTTGTCGGGTTCTGCGCAAGGAATCGAAGGGGGAAAGAAGGTCAGCGAACTGCGGACAGAATGGCTGGCCTTCTTCCGTCGCTTTCAATTGGATGCGAACTGAATCACCCCTCCGTACAGACGAAAGGGGGTATTAAGCACTGTACATGCAAGGAAGAAAGATCCACTTTCGACAGCCAAAGAGTTTACGTGGCGCATTCGACACCAACTGCAGTCTCGTCTACCCCTTCGAAAGTCTGAACAAGATAATGCATGGCCAATTTCCCTTCAATGTCGGGGTATGAGAACCAAGGAATGCGGAATATAGAATCAAGCAGCAAGAGCTACCCACCCACCTGGGAACTCCTTGTTACGCTCGCACCACCCATACGAATCCACCTGTATCCCCAGCTCCTGCATCTTTTTGACCGCCTTTAGCCGGAAACTCTTTGCCCCGCAGTTGCTAATCACCGCCATAGCCGCCTTTTGCTTCTCTTCGAACGGCAGCCCCGGCGCAAAGTAGTTGGTCACGTAAGCGCCAACATACGGTATCGGCACGTCGGACGCGAGCTCTGACGTCATCACGATGTCGTACCCGGCCCTGTGCGCCGCGTCGATCGCGAGGCCCGGGTAATCGATTGGGGGCTCGACATTTCGGATGACCGCAAAACCGTGGGAGTGGTCGATGTCCTGCGGAGATTTTGGCCACTCGTCGGTGCTGGCGTCCCACTGGGTTATGGAAGCGGCCTCGGGGACGTGATAGGGTATGGGCCTGCGGGGATGCAAGCGATAGTCTCTAGGGGGTTCCTGTTATATAACAAGACAACGATGGATTCGTTGGAGTGGGTGTTGAGATTGGTTGAGCAGAAACTTTCGAAAGCAAGAGTCAGAGGGGGGCACCGCCAGCGCCCTTAAGCTATGAACCTGCTTGAAACAGTCTGTCATTTGACCTACTCTGAAAGTTCTGCCCTTCACACTCGATTGCAGTAAGCCGCACCACATTTTTACAAGGGACCCCAATATCCAGTACCGCACATTCCAAGGGTTCAAAAGGAAGGGGCCTGCAGGGTATTGACTGTTGGCAATCCCCCGGGCTGGGCATCGTGCACCAGCTGAAAATGTTCTGGAGCGCCTTCAGAGGCGGCCAACTTCACCAGCCTTTTCCATGCTAGAAACCGCAACTGCAGACCACCAAGGGGAAAGTCACACAGATGCTGTCCTTTTGAAGCCACAAGTGACGTTTGAAGCATTGTCCTAGCTATTTGCACAAAAGGGGACTTCTAATGCGCATGTAATGGCTTACCTGCTGATTCGGTGTAGCACAGCTCATCATTGCTAGACTCAAAGCCGAGACACCCACACTTCTGTAACGTCGGAACCCCTTGGTGCCCTCACAGCAGGATCCACAATGCACACTTCCTTCTCATCAGCTATTCCACCAAGATCACAAAAGGTGCGGCCCATACTTCAGCTTTCAGTAAAAGCGAGGGGCTCATCAACTGTGCCAGGACAAAAACTGTGGGCGGTTCCACCCACCTGCACTTAATGTCGCACCGGTCCAAGTCCTCCTTGGGCGCCACAAACCACTCAGGCAGCCCGACCTCATAGATGTTCACTGGTTCTTCATCAAAGTCCCGGCCGATCAGCAGATGCGCATTTGCCTGGTCCTCCTCCTCGAACCATGCTTTGCACATCTGCAGCTCGGAAGCGTCATTGCCACCTCTACTTATGTTGAACACCAATTGGTCTGAACCTGTGTGGAGTGTGTACAGGAAGAGGAGGGCCACGGCAAACCCTAATGCCACGGCAATCGGACGAAGATACTTGTACTGGGAGACGGCTGAGTCCCGTCCTAGGGCGTTGTAAAGAGGCGCGAGGTCAACAGCCATACCGGAGCTTATTCTAGACTGCACAGCTTCCCTCAGAAGTGAAATAATCAGGACGTGCGGATCTAGAGCTATGGCTGGACTAGTTGTACCTGAGTTCTGCCTGCAAACAACATGCGCGGCAAAAGACAGCTAAGATTACGGGAGGCAGTCCGCCCCTTGATACTAAACCATAGTGGTGGTATTGCATTGGCTCCCTCATTGGATTGCATACTTGGCCGTCTTGGCCTGCATTCTGGCATGTGGATTGCCTGCTGCTGCTCCGAGTCCTACAACTTGCAACTTCAAGGCTACATCATATTAAAGATACATGCTGTCTTCTGATTGTAAGTTTAACTCTGATCTGGGAGTGGTGCAGGGGAGGCCCAACCCTTCTTTCAACGAACTTCAAGATACATAACCGGCATTTACGGGTAGGAAAATCGCAGTCTTGCGCGTAGAAGTTTTAGAGGTTCCCGAAACCTGAGCGTCTCCACATTGGAAAGACCATCTCAAGTGAACTGTCACTGCCATCAGTCTCATCTCCTCGATTGATCAAATGACAAAGGAGGGGGAAAGGAGGGGGGCTGTGCTATTCCAGCTGAGCCGCATTCTAGCTTTCTGCATGCTTACTGGCTTTCCCAACGTACTCTGAAGACTGGCAGTGGTAGCTTTCGAGGCTTTTGGATGGGAGATTAGGACTTGGCAGCTGGGCCCGTGTTGACCAGCTGGTGAGTGCGTCGCTAGTTTGGAGCTGTGCCTTCCTGCCAGTCGAGAAGTGCTTGTGAACTCTGGCACCCCACTCTGATCTAAAAGGCCTCTGATATTGCAGTTCAACTCGGTGCCCGCCTATAGAATGAGAGGGTGAAGGGTCCAGGTTTTTTGTCATGCCAGGAAGCATGGGGAGGGCAGCGGAGAGCCGATGCTTTATATGCGTAAGTGCTGGGAAACCTGCTGAATATCCCAATGTTATGATTAGTTCGGTTCACTGTTCATTCATGCCAGCCAAGAAGTCAGCTTTGAGAGACGGTTATATAAGTACCCAGAGCATGTGGTTTGTATTGGGCAGCAGGTTCTCGGATGCACTGCCTGTCAGTCATTGCTTCTGGCGCTGCGCCATGCCGGCTCCTTTCTGTCCAGGTTCTGCTAGCTGTGCAACTTACAACCTGAGCATTACGCTATCAGGTTGAGAGGATCCAGGCCCCATCAGTGTTCTTCTACATGCACTTAGAGTTGCCCACTCACTTGTAGACAGGTTGTCGCCGTTTTCGAATGGGTCAGGAATCCCAGACAGCGACTTATCCACTTCTGCCTCCGATATTGTTTGCTGAAGGCCCACTGTCCTAAGATTCACAAGCGTCTCATTGCGAATCGTGTGGTCCATTTTGAAACTTCTTTCATTAGCAACGGGGCAAGAAGTTTCTAAGCAGACAGGCGTCGAGCTCACACAAACGTTCCTCATCACACAGGCGGCTCGGGCTGCCTACTGACGTCACTGACGTCTTGCCGCAAAGTTTGCTGCTTGGCAAGGCGCTATGCAAGCCTCCGCTGCTGGAGTACTGGGACGGATGCGAAACGCTGCCGCAAGTGGGAATGGCAGCTGGAAGAAAGCGGCCCGACCAATTCAGGTCATCCTTCTTGTAAGCATCGCCGTTGTGCCCTTATTCGTCCTCCACCTCCGGGACCAGTCACGACACCTTTCACTCCGCGATTCTGTCCTAGCCTCAGCACCTGTAACACCAGCGGCCCAGGATCTGAGCGGTCCCGGCCGGCAGCCAGTTTCTTGGCACCGGTGCACCTCCAACCTCGCCTCAAAATGGAATCGGGAGTTGGTACCCAGGTCGAGGGCCTGCCACTTCCGAAATGTTTGCATCTCGAAGGCGTCGGGAAACATCCAGTACTACGTGGAGAAAGGCGCGGGAGGGGGGAGTCTGGAGGAGGATTTGGCTCGCGAGTTCCCGCCGTCTCTGGTGGAAGATTATTGGATGGAGTGGAAGCACATCCTCTTTTGGCCCGATACCAAGGGCATCGTCGTCGGGGTGGATGTCAAGTACGAGGCCATGCCTGAGGGTGCGGTTTATGTGAACCAGAGTACGGTCGTTTATGGGGATCCTCACTTCCCCGGCAACTTTGGTCACGACATAGGCGACCTTATGCTACCTATATATAGGCTTTTACGTCTGTACAATCTGTTAACAAGAGATCTGCTCGTGGTCTTCCAAAACCGGGACTGTAGAGACTACGAGCCTAATACTGGGGGTGTATGCGCGCTGCATGAGAAGCTAGGTCCTTGGCTCACTGACCACCCTTTTGTCAAGCTCAATAATAGTGGAGTCCAGGGGAGCGATCTAGTCTGCGCCGAAAACGTGGTCCTTGGGATGGCCCATTTTATGATGTCTTACGGCCCTGACATCGACGGGATGTTTGACAAACTCGTCGAGCACGCTATGGCGAGGTATGGAGTGGGGCCGAGAGACCATCCAAAGGAGCAGCGGATAGTGGTGTTCCTTAAGAACGGAAAGCGCCGGCTTCTAGATCCGGAGGGGATTGCGGAGAGGCTAAGAGGCTCTTTTAACGTGAGTGCCATTGCTGTGGATATTGCGTCCCTTAGTCTTGCAGAGCAGATTAACCTGATTAGCAACACTACACTTGTAATAAGTCCGTGCGGGGGTGTTTCCTTCTCCGCTGCCTTCCTGCCATACAATGGGGCAGCAATATTTATGGGGTATTGGAACCCGGACGCGAACCGGACTGATCAAATGGAAAATTACATTTTTGATAGGTTTACGCGCTTCCACAGTCTTTATTATCCAACCAGCCCAGCAGAGAGCGACTTGTCAGAGGCTGCCGACTTGGACGCAAGTGATTGGGGAAAGTATAGGGAGTATGCAAATGTAAAACCAGAGTATGCGAAGTTAGAGAGCATTGTTTTCAGCGCCCTTATGCGAGTTGAGATAGGGTACGGTTGGACGGCTTCGTTCAGAAGACCTTATAAGTTGGAACCTTAGAAAGTGGCCCTCAAGATGAAAATGCTCCGCGCGCATTGACTTATGCAAGCACTGTTTAGGCACCCTAGTAGTGTTAAGAAACCGGTTGATGTCAGTTTGCAATGAGGTCGAATACAAACATGCGGGATCATAAGCAATTCGATCAAGAAGGTATGTTTAACGAGTACACTAGTAAAGAGGGGTTTTCAACATGCACTGCATGCTAGTGACCACCGTGACAATGGTCGAACCAAACCTAGAATTGTGCGAGGTCCAACAAGCATGGGACTTACAGTGTGAGGGCAAAAATGCTTATCATCCTGCTTCTCACGAAGGCAGCGCAAGAATCAAGGGCGAGGCGCTTTGTTGAAGACGATAGGCTTCGTCATGAGGAAGGTTATCAACTAAGCTCCGATTCCTAGTCTTTTTTGGAAGACAGCGGTTTGCGTGCAGAACCCAGGTCCGTTCTCCGCCCCCTCCCCGCCTGCCGTCACTGTATCGAACGAGTATCCGTATTCCGCCGACAGAGCTCCCCCCACGCCCGGAGGTCCGCTCTCGATCACTCGGACCGGTGGTCGTCGTTCCTTAGCCGTCGTCCTGGTTCCCGTCGCCGCTGCTTGGAGATCCGGGTGAAACTCGACACTGGAGTGGAAACCCAGAGGCGGCACTTTCGAATGGAGTCTGCCCAAAGTGACGTATTTTGTCAACGGTTCCGGATCTAGGTGCTGCACCACCTCGATACACATGGCCAGTTCTTAGCCAACGAAGCGCTCGTCCACGACAGTCCAACATCGACCGTTCGATGATCTCGACGTCACCTTAACTAGCGCCCCGGCTGTCTCCCGCTTCTCTAGTTCTGTGGATGTAGAAAGGCATCTCATTACAGGCTACGCTGCACCGGGGCTTTCCCAGATCGAAAAGGAGGGTTTTTGGTGTTTGCTCTCCCACCAACTGAACCCGAAGTAAGCGCGGGGCAGCGTCGCGGCAAGTGGGGCGGTGCGGCCAATCTGGTACATTTCCCGGGGATGGCGAGAAAGAGCAGGCTGAGGGGAAGGAAAAAGACACCTTAGGTACATTGAAAGCAGGTATGCAGAACGATCATCTCTGCTCTAGATCTCTCTTCTTTTGAGCCCAAGTTCCCAGAATTGCGTTCTGAAGCAGTTGTACAGAACGAAAAACTTCGTGTCCAACAAACGAAGTGGGAGACGAGAGCATGCGGTTGCTGGCGGAAAGATAACTCAAAGCAACTTTGGAGTGGTGGAGCGGCAAGCGGTGAGGATGCGCTTCAACCGTTCTGTTACATTCACCGTTGACGAAGAATGTGAAGAAGCTGGAGAGACAAGCTAAGCTGTCAGAGGTAGATTGCAAGGGACAGAAATACTTCACAGCTTTACCTAAAGCTTCGACTGTATTTGGCCATCCGAGCGACTCCAAAAAGAGCGGACATAATGCGTTTCTTGAGCCAAAGCGGATTCCTGTCTCTTTCTTAGGGCCACAGAGAAAGGTTTTGCAACCAAGCCAACTAAGCAGAGACACGCCAGGTACACATGAGCCATAGTAAAGATGTTATATGGCCTAGGAGCTTGAAGAATTCCAATTTCAAGTACCGCAGTGAGCCGAACGTCGGTGAAAGCAGATCACGCTTCTCGTTCCTGGCCCCCCCAATGAGGGCACATTTCAGAACGTGATTACATAGGCGCTGCACCCTTGATCCCCTCCTCACCTTTGCCAGCCCCTGGTAGTGACGTCATCCTACGTCAGCTTCCCAAGCGACGAGTACTACGTCCCGACCGAAGCGACCACCGCATCTTCGTAACACTGCGTGCGCGGCCATGGCCAGCTGGCCTCTCGTTCCGCCCGTTTTGTCCATTACAGTCGTTCGTTCTCGTTGGAGCCACCCGACCCACCCTTCGTCTACAGCGATGCTGCCCGTTCGACTTGCTCATGGCTGTCTCCATCTCAAAAGGTGTTGCGTTTTCCAGGAATCCAGCTTCCCAGCATTTCGCTCGACGGATCCGGCCTAGGACCCCTGGGGTCAGTTGCCGCGCTGGCGGTTTCTCTACGGTCCACCGACCTTTGGATCAAGAAATCCAGGAAGCGGAAATCGACCCCCGAAATAGTAGCCACAGTGCACACTTATCTCAAGCCCGCTTTTCATTAGCTGCGCGCTTCACACGCGTGCACAGAAGCCGTAGCAGGGGGAGGCCTTCCAAGGGGGTCCTTTTAGGCATGGGGACGAACCCCCTGATTGCTGCAGCTACGCGGTTCAAGTCGAGCTGGGCCAAGTACTGCTTAGGAAATGGGGCGGCCAGTAAGAGCGGCCGAGGAGAAGAAGGGGGAGAAGGGAGAGAAGCGGGCCTTGCTCTGCCAAGAACTAGTGGGGCGGTATAAGAGAAGTATTGCTCTACGAAGCATGTGGGCAGAAGTGACTTTTTGATGCGATGGCCCTAGGTTAGGGAACCACATAACTTGGTATGGATCTCTGGCACGTCTGAAGACAGGAGATAATAGGAAGCAGGGAACAAACACACGCTGGGGTCAACTTCCTTGAGACAGACAGGTTTTGTATGCAACAGTCAATCTTTTAATTCTGTCACTTTAAATTCTTTTCTTAGACACCACTGTCTAGTACGGTTCTGGAGATTCCCTTCCCTGCAAACCTCACCTTCTCTGCCAGTCTGCCAGTGACGCTTCCACCAGAGACTTGAGCAGCTGCTATCATGTCTTCAGCACCACCTGCAGGCTTCGCATAGATCTGTGGACCAGACCCTTCTGCTTGTGTTAGTAAGCAAGAATCAGTTGGCTGGTTCGAGTTTGGGGCTCCTGTTGCTGGATGAAAGAAAGGCATTGAACGAAACTAAGGATGGCCGGTCATATCGGAGGTGCCAGCTCATGAACGCCTCTGTGGGCCTCACAGTCACTCTTTCAACCACCGCCACCTTGGGAGTTTGAAAGGCTAGGCGGTAATCAAAAGACTGGTAAAGTACAGCTTCTCTACCTGAAGATGGGGAGGCCAGAACAGCGGTTCGAGGATTCGAGTCACTAAAGAGCTGACGGACTACCACAGAAAGTTGCTCAGCTTGCCGCTGTCGGCAGTGAAAGGATGATCCAAATGAAGACTTAGAGGGTTGCACAAAAGCGACACTCGACTCTCTCAAGTGCAAGGCTGTGTACTTCCCAGCTAGCAGCATATGCGGTTTTGTCATGGAAGCACAATGCTGTCAGTTCTGAGCTCACCGCCTGCATTGCTTTCTCTGCCGCCGCTTGCTTTACATTTTATGTTTCCTTCCTTAGATAGGGATTGGCAGTCATCAGGCTGCTTCAGCGTGCAGTGGGCGGTTTCAAGCCGTCCCCTTCTGTATCATCATGGTACGGTACACACCTTTAATTTGGGCCCTCTCGAATCACAGAGGCCCCAATCAGTCACTGCAAACTTGGGCGTTGTTGGCGGGAGCGGCCGCCATCGATTGCGACCATGCGTTTGTTCATGTTGACTGCACCAATCTAAAGGAGCCATAAGCTGCAATTCGAAGAAAAGGGACGGTCTCTCTTGCTCTGACCCTCAAAATCCAGGTGGATCTGTGCCCATGCAGGGCCATCATGCTTCAAAACAGGAGGCGAAACATGAAGTTGAAGTTTTCAAAGTGTGCACAGCGTTTGGCCGGCTTTGCTCAAAGTCAAACTCGAAAGGGAAACCGAATGACCCGTCAATTACGCCGTCTTTTACATCACCGTCTGCTTGCGGTCTGACACTTTTCTACCACGATGCAGACTTTCTACCTTCTTTTTCTGGGCCCAGAAAGTCTTGCAGTGCCAAGCGCAACGAGGAACCGGCGCTGGGACGTCAGCCCGCATTGTCGCTGGCCCGCTTGCTTTCAATGATGCGGCTGGGCCGATTTGTTTTGCCAATTCTGGCCCGCTCTTCTGCTGGCCCGCTCTTCTGGCCGGGTTTGTTTTCCCAAAAAATATGGCGCCTCCTCGGGCTCGGGCCTTTTGACTGCAAGGAGCTACATAGCAGCCACAAAGAGCTGGCAGGGTGGTGCATGCAAACCACTCACGAGTCGGAACCTCCTCTTGCATTGCTACAAAATCAGGCCCACTTGGACACAGCTGATCAGCAGCTTGCGCAACAGTAGCTGAGCGACATTGTGCGGGCAGTGTGCATGATAGCAATGGAGACAATCTACGCAGTCGCCCTCGCTGTCGCGTTTGTGCTGCTCATGCAGAAGCTGATCAGGTTCGCCTTGGCTGACGGTGAGAAACAGCCAACTTTCTTAGCCGCCATCCTTGCAAAATGATGCTGCTCATCCTGAGTTTTCAGATTGCTCTGAGAAAACCTCACTGTCTAGTATCTTTCATACTAAACTTTTTGACATAGGCATACCATCAAATGCCACCTTTATATACTAATGCCACCTACATACTGCTTGCATATTAAGAAACTCTGGGCTGCGTTGATTCTGTTGTTGATTGCGAACGCCTCACTCCTGATCGAAGCTGGCAAGAAAGGGGCCAGCATGAGCCCTTTTCCGACAGATTGTTCGCCTCCCCTTTGAACGTTCTGGAGATTCAAAGGACGATCTGGAGTCAGGGGAAGGAGGTTCTTCTGAACACAGAGCATCTTTTCATGTGTGTTTGTTGCCTCCAGCATGTTATAGCTCGACAATCTGCCTGCGCTTACTGGTGATCAAAGGCGTCCTTCCGTGCTGAGCTAATGGACTTTGAGAATGAATCTAGAAGCTGGACCTAATGAGAGTCTGCTGCGCACTTGAGAACTATTGAACTTTGTCAAATGTCATGACCACATTCTCCGATCAGAGTCAAGCGGCTGAAACTAAAAGTGGCAGATCATGATCTTAGCCGCAAGCTAGGATCTGACATTCCAGGGGGCCCTGTTGCAGCTGATCTAAGACTCCTTGCCGCCGGGCCAGCTCCCAAAGGCACCTTCAATGGCAAAGTGGTGAGTCCCCCTTGGTTCATTTTTGCAGTTCTTCTTGCAGGATCTTGTGCCTTTGCTTAGAAAGCGTCAGGATGATTTTAGCACTGCCCTCCCTGCTGTCAGGCTGTGTTCAAAACCAATGTCAGGATAAAGGGGCTCTACATCACTATTGCATCGTGCTTTCTACTTCTTTTAATAAAAGTGCCTGCAACTTCGCCTGGGGATAGTGTCTCCACAGCTGGCTTTTCAGGACTTCAGATTGAGATTTGCAAATTCCGATGCCTCCATCTGTCCCCATCACTGATCAGTCCTGTGCTTTATTTTGAAACACTGGAATCTTCCTACTTGTACAGGTATGGATCACGGGGGCCAGTCAAGGTGAGCTCCCACTGTCTCATTCCAAGTTTCCTTTGAGGAGGCAGCTCAAAATCAGCATATCTTAGAATCTTGTTGTGCTCACGGCCGCAAAGCAAATGGCTGCCCTTTTTAGTATGCGCTTCTCTAGAAAGGAAAAATCAAGCAGTTAAGTTCATTGACTCGATCCTCTAAGAAGCATGGATGCAGACTACCTCGTCCGCCAAGAAGGTCTGTAGTACAGTGGCTTGTGCTCTCAGGTCTGGTCTTACATATAAAATTTGAGCTGGCTAATGAGACCAGAACTCGAACTTGTGGTACCAGTCATTCTACTTCTTACTTTGAGTGACGGAATTGAAGGGATTTGGTCACAGCTGAGAAAGAAGTCAATCAAACATTAATGAACCACGCTTGCAATTGACGCTCGCACAGGGACGGATTGCTGCCATCAATACGAGAACGGCTGCGTTCATCGTTAGAAGTGCATCCCGTTGTGAAACTGTCGAACCAGGGACATCAATCTGTTCTTGGTTTGCCTACCATCCGTTTCGGTTTTAAGTCGAGCCGTTTATTTTGTGCAGGCATTGGAGCGGTCATGGCCCAGAAGCTGTCAGCGGATGGAGCCAAGCTGATCCTTTCGGCGCGCCGCTTGAACGAGCTGACTCGGGTGGCAGCATCTTGTACAGGTGAGCAGTGGGGTTTGCGCGCAAATTTTAGGAAGGTGAGTTGGAGGTCAATCAATGGCGCTTTTCATCGACGATCAAGCTGTGGGAGCACCATCCGGAGAATATACATGAATTTGGACGACCGAACTTTGTATCGCGAGGAATCTCCTTCTCCGCTCTTCTCCAAGCAGTTTAAAGCGGGCAAAAAACTTTCTGAGATAGTCTTCATGTCCTGTCCTGTCGTCTAGTGGGGCAGCTACGACCAACGGCTCTTTGAGACTCTGGCACCTAAGTGTTTGCTGTGATTGTTGCTGCGATTGTTTCGACTTCTCGAAGGGTGGCGTGTAGCCCTGTTTGACCAACGAATCGTTTTGCGGCACCAAACGGTCCGTGGAGACACAGAGAGGTGCAGAAATTGTTCACTGGCGCTCTGAATGGTCATGAGGACATGGCTTGATTGGGTGCTGAGAGCCCATTTAAGCTTCTTCCAACACCATTGCCTCAAATCCCGGAACGGTGCCTTTCTCTCACGCTTCACGGTGTGGTTTCTGTTTGTGGGGGTTTCGTCAGAACGAGCCCCGCTCGACTAAACTTCTGTCGGAAGGGTCTTTGTGTTCCGTGCTTCCGATGACGGCTTGAGCTTGTCCTAATGCTTTCCGCGACGTTCCTCCACCATGCCTCTGTATCTTTGATTCTGTCGTGTCTGGCCACGACCATTCATTGTTGCAAACCTTGAGGAGGCGATGATAGAAAAGTTGTCCGAGCGGAGATCGTTTCGGTCAATGTTATCTTACATATGAAAACAATTTGTGAGGGTATCTGGTCGCGGAATGTCTGCTGATTGTGCAATCTAATCTGACTTGTAAGCTTGGATTGACTTGAGCTCCCTTTTTCTCGTTACCCTACATCTGTTATCCTTTCAGCTTGTCAGCGCCTGGGTTGAGTGAGCATTTGCGCAGCAAATGATGGGCAATAAATGCAGCAAATGTCACGTGTGGGGATGTCCACCATCCTGTCCAGAATCTGCAATTTGTGCGCAGTGATGAGCAGACATGTTCTTGGCCGTCAAGGTCAGGAATGACTGTGTCGGTTGTTGACGCGGCACTTTCCGCAAAGATTGGGACGTATAGCTCCAGGACTTAGATCTCGGTAATCAAGGTCAACTCTAGATAACGCAAATGACAACGTCTTGGAGCCGATTCAGCAACGCCACGCGCTTTGGCCTCCAGCAGCCGGTTCCCCGATGTTTGTCGGTCTCATTGCAACCTGGTACCAGAAGACTAAAAGCATTCACTGTTGAGGAGTGAGACTGTCGATTGTCCATTTCTCTGATGGCTGGAGGCATACGACGAGCCCTGCTTTTGATTGCAAGAGCTCGAGTCAGGAACTTCATGTGCACACAGCTCATTCTAGATTTGAGACGTTTGCAACAGGTGCTGTTGCACTGCCGTGCTATTCACTATCTCTCTGATTGCAGCGATACCCTTCGTTGTGCAATCAATGTCGGATTACGGCTTACTATTCATTTGCAACAACCCAGGGCTGTAGCTGTTGTTCTCAAGAGTCCGCATTGCATACGGACACTAAGAGTCGACGTCCCTGTTTATACCACTTCCAAAGACTCGCCTACTTTTGGTGATGCACCGATGAGTTGAATTCGTTGATCGAACCTTGGCGAAGATGGCTCTGATTGGGGCAAATAAACCCAAAATCTGCTCTCTCAGGTTCTGATGCCGTTTCCGTGGCCCGTCATCCTTTTGCTACTTTTTTCTGACTTGACGTTCTGATTCCGTTCAAGTTTTTACTCTTCCCGATGGAAGCACTGAGTTGTTCTCCTGCGGGTCCGTGTCTTGGCTTCCTAGCTCTACGTTCTGGTGAAACGATCGAAGCGGTAATTCCCGGACGGACACTTGCCCCACAAATTGTCTGGCTTGTCAGCATTCATAATGAAGACTGGGACTGGCCAGTAAGCACAGAATGCCAGTCTGCTTTGAGTCTCTTTAGTTTGTGAAACAGAAGTTAGACTGGTGAATCGTCTTTAACGGTTTTGATGTGGCCTGTTTAAAGTACCAGAAAGTTTTCGTCGCTGCTTGAGTGGCACTGTTTCAAACTTAAGCTGCGCTTCCGTCTGGCAATGGGGCTCTGGTTTCGAGCTCTTGGCGGCTCAAGCAATCAATCTGCAAGATTTGACGTTGCCACCTTACATTCAATTGCATCCGCTAAAAATGACGAGCGTTTGATGGTTGAACCCAGGATGAGTCAGATACCAACCTTTTGCGTGTTCTGAAGTCCGAGGGGATTGGTCCAATTTGAGGCATAGAAGCGGACGCGCTTCCAAGTACGGAGCCTTTCTTGAGAGCCCCGGTTTAAGGGCCTGTTGGGATCCTGAAGTTTCGCTGAGCTTGGGCTGTTGCAAAGTCAAGGGCCTGTTGTTTTTCCTGTTGTACGTACATTATATTCTGCTCATTTGATGCTTGATCCGCTGCCGTCTTTTCTTCTCTGTTCTGAGATGGCAATCACAAGCGCCCTCTTCCTGGGGTCAAAATGCCCAGCAATCAGGGTCAGATCCGTTGGAGCCGTCAGTTGTTATTGCAAAGATGAACGGCGTGCATAGAAATTGAGATCAAATCCAGACAATGCAATGAAGGACCCTCCGAGAACTAGCGCGTGCTGGCCATCCGTTGCTTCTCGCAATAAGCGTACTTTTTCCGGCGTAAAGGATTGTCGAGGTCAACTGGGCCCGCCGCCACCTAAAGAGCGGAACATCGTTGGAGCGCAGGCATATGTAGACACTGAATCTAGCCAGGGTTGTACAAACAATCACGAAACAGCTAGTTCATGGATTGCAAGATAAGAAATTGGGGCACCGCGACCCCACCCGCTTCTCTAGTCATTCTAACGCTGTGCGTCTCCTACTTCGCTTGTTCTGCGCTCTTTCCTTAGATCTGTCTTTCGATCGTTCAAAGGAGTCGTACGTCCGGCCCTTCTTTTGTTATGAGAAGAGGACTTTCCGTCTTCTACTGTTTTACTGCCCTTCTTATGCTCTTGCTCGCAAAAGTTGTATGAGTCAAGTTGAGGGTTGGCTTTACCCGATCAGGGTCCTGGCAATGTACTGAACCGTTTTGTTGATGCATGTTGGATTTGAAACCACAGGCTTAAACTGCATTGCCTTCTGGCAAGCTTTCTACGTGGATTAACCTCCAAGTCCAACCTTTGTCCTGCCAGCTCGTGAATTGCGGAGTCCTTGCCGTAGCAAAAGAGTGCAGTCTGTATTAACATTGGATATCATTCTTACGACCACACAATCCGTGCTCGTATGTTACCAGGGCCCTCGACCTCTTCGTGCGCTCTGCCGCTTTCCAAAAGGCTGCAATGACGAGAGCCAGTGTTGGGCGCTTGAGGCACAGAATGGAATGGTAGTTTTCATGCCTTGCAACCTTTTCGTTTGAGTCCCCAAAGAAGACTGGGCGGACTTGTACAAGCATCGCATCAAACGTCGGGTCTGCTCTCCAAGGTCCTTCGGTTTTCGGATTGAAAGTGTGCGGGGCATAAGCCATCTGGCAAGGACTCCACGCTGTAAGCATACTCTCGGAGTCGTACTTTGATTCTGGCCAACTCACCGCCTTAAAAAGTTGGAATCAAAAGGGCGGTGTTATTGATGAATTTTGATCCTTGGGACGCATAGCTGATGTAATGCTGATACCCCTCCCAAAGTTAGCTACGGCGGTTCTCTACCACGCATAGACTGCAAGAAGCGATGAACATGTACTTGTCAGAGCCAAGGACCAGAACGAATTCGCTCACTAATGCCTGACGTGAACTTGACCACTTGAGCGCTTCCGATACTACCAGGGTACGTTTTTCAGCACGATTCTGTGGCTTGCAAGAAAGACTCAATAGACGCGTACTCTTGGCCACCCCTGATTCGGGTTATCTGCAAACCGGCCTGGAACTGGGGCCTGACCCTGGTTCCGTTGCCTTCGTTCCATTAAGCCGCGATACTTTGATTTGGCCCCAACTCGGTCCGACTTGGACCCAAATGGTTCATTTTGAATAGTAGGAAGTGACGAGTGTGGCGGAGAAGTTGGCCTTGAAAAGACTTTGGAAAGCGATGAGGTGTGAGAGTTCTGACCAAGCCGTCGCACTTCTGAATTCTCTTCCGACGCTTTCTCTTCCGACGCTGCTCCCTGCATTTTCCGAAAAAATTTGCCTTTAAGTTCGTAGGTTGCGGGCGGGGTGCTTTTCAGGTCAGGGACAGCTTTGGTCCATCCGCTGTTGGCTGGTGGCCCCTATTCATGTTGCTTGTTGGGCTGACATTTTTGATTGGTCTGGTCAGAGTTGAACGTTTGGTTCTATCACCGACTGATTTGTGTTGCAAACGGCCAAGCTGTTTTGTTTATACAACGTCTTATTCTTTATTCTTATATCCGGTTCTTCGTGCCGGTCGCTTCACTTGCCTTATTTCACCTCAAGTTCCAGCTTGACCACCATGCCGATTCATTTTTTCGGGGAGGTTGCTTGCTCCTCGAACCAATGCTGCTTGGTCGGGCGAAAGGCAATGAGGAAGAAAGTCGCTGGAAGGAATCAGCTCCAACGAGGGATACTGTCGCCCCCAATGCCTTGAGCCCCGGGCTCCACTCTTATCAGGGGCTTCAAGTGTAGTCTGGCCGTTTTTTTATGCTTAATTGTCCGCCCGAAGTGGTTCGGTTTTCCGTTCTTGCATATTTGCCGGAGTTTAATCTGTCCGGCAAAAGCATCTGCGGTCTTGGCAAAATATCGCCCTTGTGTTGTAGGTGTTCAATTTGGTCTTGCTAAATGGTTCCTGATTGTAAAAGCGAGGTCGTGGAACCGAGCTCCTTGAAACTCGGTCATGCTCCCCCAATTCTGCAATGCGTTGCGGCGCTTTGCATAGGCACCGGCCCGTACGAAATGGAACTGCCCCCTTTTGCTGAGTACAATTCGTGCACTGCGGTCGTGCAAGCTGCTTCCGGCTTGTACTCGCTGACGAGAGGGGCCCAACATGGTTAAGGCTTCCTTGACTTTCATCTGAGAGTTCCCCGTGTCTTTCCTCCTCACTTGTGAGCTCCTCCATATGGTCATGAGGAAGCATTCATGGGTGCAAGGTCGCCCAGCTGTTGTGTTCTCGTACCTCTGACACCAAATTGCGGTGGTATTGTAGTTAATGATACGTTTTCGTTTATGAGCTCTTAAGTACGGACGTCGGCCACAGTAGATTTGGATACAGGCCCTTTGCAATGAGGACATGTGCTTCCCCAAACTGCCGTCCTTCTTTTCCCGCTGAGGCCGAGAAATGTTCGTTTAGATGCTCAGCCGTCTTGTTGCCGCGTAGCCTCTACTAACAAAAGATCCAACATTGCACTTTTGTGCAGCTTGTGATGGTCAGACTCGTCAGCGCAATGCAGTCGTACTCTTCTTCTAGAGAACCTCCTTTGTTTGACTCCGTAAAAGCTTTGCGCGATTATTCGAGCTTCCTCATAGTCGAATTCTCCGTGGGCCCTACCATTTTGCAAAGGCGATGGCGAAACGCAACGGTGGGTCCTAAAGGCCCAAAGTTGCTTGTTTCGTATGTTTTCTGATGCTCTACGAACTGCCGGTGTAGTAGTTCCTGTTCCCTAACTGTGAGGTTGTAGGACATACACTTCAAACTGGTCACCTGATCATGAAAAAGTCAGTCCGTATCCGGAAAGCATCGAGCAAGGACTCCCCGCTATTTAAGTGTGCACATTCGTCCTGACCAATGCGCTGCTTAAAATCCAGACAACTCAGCAATGTTCCACGGTAGGATTAGGTGTAGGCATCCAAGCTTTTGTATCCGTTGATACTCGTCCCAGGTGCCTTTCCGGCACCTTTTTACTCCTGGTGTCCCCCCAACTAAAGCTCACGATAAGCGGGTAATCGGTGAGGCCAAAATATCCTGTACTTTATCATCGATATCGCGTGCTCGCTCGTGAGGCCATCATACTCGTCTGAGTGTTGATTCTAACGCTTGGGTGCGCTTGCGACAATCAGTAGCACCATCTCTTTGGCTCAAGCCGTTCGTCTGCAACAAGTAAACGAATGCACGTGTCCTGGCAACCCCCTGCTTCGCGTCGCCTATATACCGGCCTGGAACCAGGGCCTGGCTCCGGCTCCGGCTCCGTCGTCATCATTCCGGACCGGAATCCTGCGAATGGACTTTAAGGCGATTTCGCTTTGAAGTCAACCCGCCCTGTGGGCCACTTCAAAAGACGGGTTTATGCTAGCACGGCACTTGATTCTGCTTATCACAAGTTACCGAAAGCGATGAAATGTGCGAGGTTTTGACCATTTCGTCACAGAAAGTACACGAGCATTGAAGCTGCACTGGCCCTGACCTTCGCGATACCCTTGATTTCACTCCCCTATGTGGGTCTGTCTGTAAGTTGCGATCCGATCTACGTTCGAAGTCAAACTGACTCTGCACCGGTTCCCTACTGCTCTATGGCGCAGCTCCTACTTTTGTTCTGCCACTTCACATTATTTTGCGAAGTAAGAAGGTCGTGCTCTCGATTTAAGTAGGTTGCACGTAGGTTGCACGGTACAACCGAACGGTCTGTCCGTACTTCCAACCAAGGGTCTGCTTCCTTTTCTGGTTGCACTATGGGTACATAACGTTGTTGCTCATAGTGCCTCAGTCCGCTTGTGCTATGCACTATATACCTGTTTGCAAAAGCTTGCTTGTGTCTGGAGAAGTGCTGTTGGGACTCACAAAAGGCAAGGAGGAAGCAAGTCTCCGAGGATAGACTGGATTCCTCACACTTTCAGCTTCGCGCCTACCAATGCCTGAAGACCGGTTATCAGCATGAGCAGGTGTTATTCGTGTCATCTGGCCGTTCGCCATGCTCACATCTCGGCCCACGGCAATTGAACCCCTCCCTCTCATGTGCTCGTTGTAAACTGATTTCTTTCGGCGAAGGCATCAGCGTCCTTGTTTCGAAAAACATTCGATGTAGGCCAACTAATCCGGTTTCCGCAAATGGTGTGGTTCGAGGCAAGATTGTTGGTACCGAGCTTCTCTGAACTGCCCTCGTTCTGCTATTTTCTGAGGCGCTCTGCGGAGGCGACGGCGCATACCCATTAAAACTATTCCCTTGGATTGAGTGCTGTTTGTTTATGCGTTGGCATAAGCTTTCACGGCTTGGGTTTGCTGTTGATAGGAGCCCAAATGTAGTAACTAAGAAAACTGCTTCGTTGGCCGTCTGCTCAAATCTCTCTACACATCTACTTGCCCCTGGCCTGCTGAAAGCGTGTGGCTGGAGCCGTCAACGGTTGTTGAGTAGTGTCTTGGCGCGGTCAGTTTTCGAAAGCAGCTGTGCATAATGCACAAAATCATCTCTTGAAAAGAGGTGCATGCCCCGACGCGTGGAGGCTTCAACTTCACTTCGCTGTCGTGTTCGAATATCAATCACCTGAGGAGCGAGGCGTTTGGCATAGGCAGTCACTGTATCTGGGCACTCGTCTGCATGGTTCACGAGAAAGTTAGCCGGTCAACGGGAAAGGGAGACTAGGATGTGGGGCAAGCGACCTCACCGGAGTTGTTCAGTTCTGACGCCGTGCGACCACAACCTTTGTTCCTTGAAGTGCTTGTTTTTCGCCTTACTTTCTGCCGGCCTTCTTATTGTCACAATTAGTGCGTCCTTCCTCCGTCTGTCTTGCTGTAAATCCGTTTCCAAGACAGTGGGTACAAAAGCCAGAAGTGGATTCTCACGTTGCACTGAGGTCTGTTTTTTTGAGGTAGTTTGAAGCTGGTTGGAGGCCCGCGGCTTTCTTCCCAAGCTTCTGACGACCAGATTACGTGCTTTTTTCATGGGGTCAATGTCTGATCCATGCAGCTCGTGATGCTTACATTTCTCAAGAATAGCGGGTAAGTGCCATTCTTCAGGATTTTAGATACCGCTGATTGTGACCACAGCCTGTCTTTTGCGCAGCGCAAGACGCTCTTGTTGGGCAGTGTCCTTGCTAAAAGTCTGACCGACCGACTTTGTACGCGACTTTTGCCAGCGTTCTCTACTTCTTCTCTCGCCCTGACTCTCTGCAAAAGGCGATGACGGAAATCAGCAATGGGTGCTAAGGCCCAGTGTTTCTGGACTTGGGATGCCGTTCACTTTGTTTATTCGAGTTCCCTGCTCCAGAACTGTGAGGTAGTACGAGAAACGCTAACGACTGGTCTATATCCATGGTTCTTCGATGTTCTTGTCTGGGATTGTCGAGCAGAAGAACTTCACGCTGTTGTATGCACAAAGCGCACTCTTTGCATCTTTTGCAGAACTTTTGCTTGTTCGTCTAACGGGTGCGTCTAAAGTTGGAGCCCGGGTAGCTTTCGAGGTCAACGACAGTTCTCATCGTCCTCTGTTTGCTGTTTGCCCCTATCCATGTTGCATGTTACTCTGGCGCTTGTGTTTGCTCGATCAGAGTTGTATGACTTCGGTTGGGCCCCAAGTCGGGTCCCACTTAGAGCCGAGCCGCCCTCTGGTCCATCTTTGGTCACTGAAGTAAGGAGCAAAGCCCATCAGATGGCTTTATACACATGCTGAAAGCGATGAGGTGTGCGAGTTCTGACCATTTTGTCACAGTCCGTCGCACATTTGCACTGACGCTGAATCACCCGCGCAATCACGATACCCTTGCTTTCACTCCCAATGTGGGGCTGTCGTTGAATCGCAGTCCGGTTGACCTTCGAAGTCGAACCAAAACTCGGATTCTCCCTTTGGCTTGGGCCCGTCTCTTTCGACCCTTGTCGTGACTTCGTCGGAGTAAGGAAAGGCGTGTTCTGAATTTCAGTACTCTGCCCAGTCCCAAGCGGTCTGCCCATCCTTCCTACCAAGGGTCTTTCTCTTGCTCTGGTCCCACTTTGGTCCTCATTCTGGAGCCCTTAGTACCTCTTCCACTTGTGCAGAGCGCTGTTCGTTGCCCTTGAACGACTGCTCTTGAGACTGGCAAGAGGCAGTGAGGAAAAGAGCATTGAGGAGGTTGGGTCCCTCACACGTCGATTGCTTTGCCAACGCCTTTGGGACTCTTTTATTATTGAAGCAGGGGATCCCCTTTGTCCTCTGCCGTGCTCAAACCTAAGCCCGCGGTGCTTGGATCCCCCTGTTTTTGCATGCTTGCCACGCTTATATTTGTTTCGGAGAAGGCATCCGCGTTCTTGGCTCATGATCCAGAACGATAGACCGAGGCCGTTTGAATCTGACTTGCCAAACGTTTTACGGTAAAGGCAAGAGTTTCTTCTTACCAAAACCCTCTAGTGTCTGTCGTGCTCACCCAGTTCTAACTAGTGTGGCGGCGTTTTGCATAGGCTCCGGTGCATTGTCAACACCACTGCCATCTTTTGGTGTGTGCACCTCGTTCTTGCATCCCTGCAAGCTCTTCGCGCTTCTATACGCAGGCGGCAAAGGCCACAAGATTGTCAGGTGCTTACAAGGCTTCGTTAACCTTCTTAGGTGTCCCTATAAGCACGCTGCACGTGCTCCCTTGTGGAACTTACTGTATGGTCATGAGGACGCGATTCCGGGTGCAATTAAAAGTCGCCCAATATTCCTTGTGGTGGAAGTTCTGACACCATCGCAGCAATTTTCAGTTTCCGACTCATTCCACTCGTGAGCCTCTACGTACTGTCGTTGGCCGCAGAAAACGGTGTGCAGGCCCCGTGTATTGAGAACATTTGCATTCCCATACCGCTAGCTCCTCTTTCTGGTTTAAGTACTTTTAAAATTCAACATATGTGCTCTTTTCTCCAGAATTAGAATGCAACGCAAAAGGTTACCTCATCTCCGCAGGTCCGCATGCAAACGACGTGTCCATCCTCACACTAGACCTGAGCGACACGTCCCAAATTCCCCGATCGGTGGAGCTAGCCCAAAAAGCGTTCGACGGCCAGGGGATCGACTACCTGATCCACAACGCAGCCTACGCGCGCCCGGTGAGCGCGCCCAGGAGCATTAGCGAGAAAAGTGGTTTTGCTGGCTGCACGCATTTGTTTGGAGTGCTCCAAACGAAGGACTTGTTCTTCGCAGAAGTTGGCTGGTCCAGAGCGCACGGCCTTTCGGAAGAATTGGACAGTCAGAATGATGGGAAAGAGGACGTAGCTTGCATGCGAGGAGGAATTGAAAGCGGCAGTTAGAGGGTCGGGTATTATCAGGGTATGTCTCCAGTACGACGGGAGTTCTTTGACTCCTGGTTCCCTGTGAGCTCCTCACTTTAGCAATAACGCAGCGGCCTCAAAACAGCGGCCAGAAGCTTCCCTGTGGAAAAAGTATTCACTCCTTTTGCGGCACCAAAGCTGGGGTTTCGTGACATTCACTCTCTCTGTTATAGGGAAAGAGCGCCCTCCTTGAGATGGATAAAATCATCACCACCATGGAGGGGCGCTCGACGCGAGCAGACTGTGTTAGTGCCCACCTTCTCACCGACACCGTTTTGCATTTTGCAGAAGCTCCCCGTAGAGGACTTTCCGGAGGATCTGACCAAGGTTAGTCATCTCCCATCCCTTCTGAGTCCTTTCGTCTCCCTCTGTTACCCTTGCGTTTCTTTCATTCCGAATCGTTTGGTCTGCCGGTTCGCGCAGTACCTCATAAGCAGTCTGTCTCCCTCTGTTGACCCTTGCGCTTTTTCCCGGACTGTTTGCTGTGCCCGGTCGGAGCAGTCTAGATTCTTTCGAATCTTCACCAGCGTATCGAGGCTAGAAGCTCCAAAGACAAGGACCGAGGCAAAACTCAGTGTGTGAATCCGATGTGAAAAGACATGCAAGCTTCTTGCCACCCTCATCGTACTCTGTTCCGCTTCAGGCCACGTTTGCGGTGAACGTACTGGGGCCGATTGCTCTGACGCGGGCCGTGCTGCCGGGGATGCTGAAGAGAAAGACGGGGCACATAGTTGTGGTGAGTGCCCCGTTTTCGTATTGAAACCATCCAAAGCACAGACAACGAGACGAAGGACGGTCGAGTACGCTTTTGGGGTTCCTTTGATACATTGGCGGTCGGGCATCCTCCATACTTCTGTGATTGGATCGAGCGGACTCGTCTTTGTGGTAGAGACCCAGATCGCTACGGCTCTGAAGACTTTAGGCAGCCGTTTCCCTCGCTTCGCCGAATACTTATAGAGCTCGATTTGCAGTCTGCACCACCTTCTAGGAAGGGTAACTAGCGCCCTTGTTTCCATGCTATCTAGGGCTGAGGTCCTCACTCAAGCATCGGCAACTATGGGGAACCGCGCATTCCGTGCGCGGACAATCGCCTTATGTTCCATGTGGTCTGCGCAGTTGAGCAGCGCGGCCGGCAAGATCCCGAGCCCGCTGCAGAGCGTGTACGCGGCGACAAAGCACGCCATGCAAGGCTACTTCCGGTCGCTCTACTTTGAGGTGGGTTTTGCACTCGCCGTTCTGGAGAATTTGCCTTGGCAAATTCGTTTATCAGTCTCAATCGCAAGTTCTTCCTGAGGGGGGAACAAAGGATCTGTCTCAAGGCCTTTCGGATGCACCAACGTGAGAACTATTAGCATCCGCCTAGAAAGTCGGGTCACTAATGCAGACAAGCCCAGGCGCTGCTGGTCACTTGGGCGAATGCAACCCTCAGAACCTCCGCGGCTGGATGGTATAGCGCCTTTGACTTTTGCCTCGACGAACGATTCTCAGCACTGTTGCCATGCGCAAACAAAACAAAGGCGGGCGATGGGCAGATCGGGGAAAACGCTGCCCCAAACTCGTTTCTTACAAAACCTTCTTCCTACAGACCCACGCTCAAGGCATCAATGTCAGCATCACCGATCGAGTTTGCTTTGAAGAGCAAAAGAATGGGTGACCCACAAACATTTTATGTCACTGAATCAACATCTTTTTGCTACAGACTCACGCGCGAGGCATTAACGTCACCATCGCCGTCCCCGGCCCCATCGCCAGCCGGGTCGGGGCCGGTGCCCCGGGCAGCTCCCCGGAGGCGTCCGGGGCAAATCCAGCCGTCCACGTGGCAGATCCGACGGCTCCGGACGTAAACGCGAACGAGTACGCGGAGGAGGAGAAGGGCCGGATGACTGTGGAGCGGTGCGCGGACCTGATCCTGGCGGGAACGGCGCACCGGTTGCCGGAGATTTGGATCTCGAACCATGTGAGACCGGCGCTTTAAAGAGCTCGGGAACAGAGGTTTAGGGCTCTGAATCTTGAGTCCGTTCTAGGCTGGTTACGGCAAAGGTTGACGTCTGTCCGGTTCCTAATGATGCGGTAACGGCGCACCGATTGCCGGAGGTCTGGATCTCGAACCATGTAAGACCAGCGCTTCAGAAAGCTCATGAACAGAGGTTCTGGGGTTCGAATTGTTTCTTCGTTCTTGGCTGGTTTCGACGAATCGGCTGACATCTATCAGTTTCTGACTTTCGCGGAGACGGGCGCACCGATTGCCGGCGATCTGGATCTCGAACCATGTAAGGCTGGCGCTTTGGAAATCTGTAACCAAAGCCGACGGATGTTGCGTGCCAGTGAGGGTTTTTCAATTTTCCGTCTGTGGCCCTTCAAGGGCGTCCAAGTCGGTCAACGTCTGTTAGTATTGGTGATTTCTCGCCTTCTCACCTTCAAAAGCCGTTCCCCATGAAGATTGCGCTCTCATTGTACTCAAGTGGGCGTCTAACCAAGTACTGCGCGGCTTTCTTTTGACAGAAGGTTCGCTGAAAGGTTTCTCTTCGACTCCCCCGTGTTGAGTCAACGCGAATGCCACTTTGGATTCTCGACGACACGATTCTGGACGACAAATAGATTCCACCCCTTGTAATGCGAACGCGGTCGTCGCGGGCGGTACGCACATGCGGTTTGTCTCAGCTGGGAGTGTTCCTACGCGCTCACTGCGATCTCAACGACATTCTCAAAACGTCAACCAGGCTTTTTCTTTCCTTTTTTGCAGCCGGTGTTGGCCTTCTTGTACGTGGCGCAATGGCTCCCGGAACTGGGGGACCTGATCGCGAAACGGGTATGCCCTGCTTTCTTCCCTCCTTTGCTTTCTCTCTTTGTCGAGCTTGCTTCGCTTGTCCGTAAACCACCTGTGGGAACAGGCAGGGTTATTTTAGTCCAGCCGTGACCCCATCAATTGAGGTTGATATTCGATTGCTCACTCAATCGTGGAAGCCTCGGTGTCTCCTTTTTGAAGGTCAGTTCAGTGAAGCAAAGAGGGGGCCATGTTCAGCTGAAAGTTGAAGCGCGATGGGAGGTGGTTCAGAGAAAGCCTTTGCGCCTCGGTTCTGGCCTTTGTAGAACCAAAACTCTGTAGCTCAAACTGCAGACTGACTGGGGCATCAGAGGCTCCCTACTCTCGATCTGGCAAGCACTTGCATCTGTGCCAGACGGGTCGTGTGAACTCGCCATCGACGTGACACTTCTCGTGGTAAACTCTATGCGTCTATTTGTTGAAAGAAACGGGGGTTGGCCTGCTCACGAGAGCGCTTCAACAACGGAAATTCTCTGCTGAGCCTGATGAGGCCCCTCTACTTATCTCAGGTTGGCACTTCCCGAGTGCGCCGCTACCGGACGGGCCAAAAGGACTCGTACTCTCTAGCGGCCTTGCTTGGATTTGGTAAGAAGAAGCCAGAAGAGGCGCCGAGAGCCGAGGGAAGGAAGGCTGAGTAACAGTAGTTTTTCACACTCCCTGCTTCGGGTTACGTCGAAGGCGAACATGCAGACTTCGAGTTTGTTGGTCTGGTAATTACCATGTATAAAGATCCTTGAGGGCCGCCTGCTTCATTGTTCATACTGCAGCCTCGTTGTGGGTCACTCTTATTGCATGTCATTTGTGCAGTGTCGTGAGTTGGCAAAGTGACATGCAGCCGCTGATTTGGTTCATACCTTCATGCAATGATTCTATCATCAATTGGCCGTTTCCAGAATCTTAAGTAAGACGAAAACTAGGGATGGACTAGCCGCAAACGGTCGCTTCCGTTGCTGCGACCAACCAGCAGCGTACGTGGCATGGTGTTATATAAGAAAGCTCTCTACTTCCTATAGTGTTTCATGTTGAACGCTTTCGTTAGGCGATGCGCGATGCGACGTAAATCCTCCATGTAATTCCGACGTCTACGAGGTCTGAAAGTCTCCCACATGCAATGATTCCTAACCTGGTGTACCGTCGTACCCAAGAGGCAAAGAGAAAGAGCAAACTAATTGATGCGGGAATTCCAAGGTACTTGTTCCATGCATGAAGCGCAGCGTCCGTAGTACGTGCGCAGGCATGCATATCAAAAAGAAGGATACAGCCTTTCGTGAACGGACTGATTGATTGAAGAGCAATTTCATCAAGTCGATGTTTTCAATTCGGGCCATCGTACGGCCAAAGTGAGTTATGCACTCAGAGCCGATATATTCTGCAATGTACGAAAACGTACCCGGAATCATGTTTTCAGGCATGCAATAAAATCGCCCCACCTTTCACAGCAACTCAGCAAATGGATGAGAAGAACTCACATCTTGACTATGATTTATTTTAACTACGTGCGGCTTAGCTTCCTCGACTGGGTAATCAAGCGGCTCATAGACTGCAGCCCAGTGCCAAACATTGAGGCCAAGTGGCGAGCGGCCGCGACTCGAACACGAAAAGCCGCGAGACTCGGAGACCCAAGCAGGTGGCAGGACGAGTACTTTGCTAATGTACGTCCTTTCAAACTCTGCGTGTTCTTCGTGATTAATTCTTATGAAAGAACGAATTCGAGTACTCAAATTCAGAGCAGTACTGGCAACATCCTGTCAACTCGTCCATCAAGCAAAGGTTACTCTCAACCAACTAGACGACCGCGTCCCTCAGATTCTTTTCCTCATGCTGCCTCGGTCTCATTTGAATCTCAAGTGACGTAGCTCGATCAAAAGCACACAAAACAGGCTAGCAGGCTGCGCAGCCGCCATCCCGCAAGATCGCGCAGTGCTCGCGCAGTCATCCACACACCGGTGGGGACTCGTCTTTTGGATCCTGACTTGAACTACGTGGCTTGCTCACTCCCTGCACGGATGCACAAGCGTCAATAGACGGAACGCGCGAGAATCACTTATTTGTTTGTCCTGTACCCCAGAACTTCAAATGCTGACGTTCTGCTGGAGAGAGATTCTGGCGAAAATGGGTGCGGGCCGTTACGTTAAGCACAAACTTCCAAGCAGGCGCGCAGATCTCGGAGGCCAGTTGTGTCTTTTCCCGATGATTTAAACGCATCCTTCGCTCATTGATCTTCTGCACAAGTGCACTCAGCTGTTAAAAGTACGCTTAGATCCGACAACTCGACTGCCGTCCCTTTAGAGCTGCGCTCTTCACGGTTGGCACTAAAGTCCTGCAGCTGCATTTTTCCAACCTTTTCCGCCTGGGTTAATGCGCCCCACCTACGATCGCCAGCGCCTGCACCTCCAACGCCGTGATGTACCGGGCGCTCGCCCCGCCGTACAGGAACCGGAAAGAGGAACCGGGGAGCGCCGGGGGCGCCTCCTCCGGCTGCCTTGCCTCCCTGTCGAGGTTTCTTTTCCGCGCCCTCGCGGCCTCGAATGCCTTCGCGTTCGCGGTCGCGAGGGCCGTGGTCGCGGCCGCGGCGTCCCGCGCGGCCGCCAGCGCGTCGGTCGCCTGTTGTACCTGCTCCTTGGCTTTGACCAAATCCTGTGTCATCGCGTCCCGCACTCCGCTCGGCGCTCCGGGGGAGAGAGTCTCCCGGGCATTGGCGACCCGGTCCCTCTCGGCCGTCGCCGCAGTCAGCGCCGCCTCCGCGGCCTTCAAGCCCGGGAAGTCGAATAGCGGCGCGGCCGCGACAACCGCCGCTTCCGGTGCCTGCTTTTTGCCGGGGACTGTGTGGACGGGTGAAAGCCGTCGTCAGCCAAACGGGTCAATCGAACCAAACCGACCGCCCCTCACGCGAACGGCAGACAACGGACACTCATCAAGAGGCAAAGCAACGACTTTCGGACTCGCTTGCACCGGTAGTTGCTTAGAGAGTTGGATCAGCGCGTCGGAAGAAGACCGAAAAAATAATCAGTGGTTTGAGCGAGCTGTTTATGGAGCACTAATATTGGAGAGTGACCAACGGAATGCCTGACTCTCAGCAGTGGAGCATCTGATCCGAGAAAGTGCGTCGTTATTGCTGTTGGAGAAACTCCATATCAGGTAGAAAGCCTGTCTCTTCCTCTTAAATCAAATAGTAAGGCCTCCGGCTGCGTGCCACGGTGGCGGTAGAGCTCGAGGCGTTGTTCGTTTCAAAAGCCGCATCCGTATTGGACACCGGTACTGCCGTCACTTGTAGCGCAGCGTATAGACGAAACAGTATTTGCAACGTAATGGACCGGGGTCACAAAAGAACAAATAAATCACAAAGAGAGGTACTGTAGGGCTAAAACTTAATCGGGCTGCAACCGACTGGAAGCCACTTCGTCACGCGCTTTGCGCCTCGCATCAACTGTAGTAGTGAAACTCACCGGCTATAATGCGCAGCGTCAAGGTCCGCACCGGGCCCTGGCCCTCGAACGGCTTTGAGATCCACGAATAATAGAGGTACGTTTCCGTCTCGGGCACTTTGATGAGCACTTCAGTCACTGCGCCAGGGACTGCAAGCACCGGCGGGGAACACGTCTGAGAGCCTGATATGACGCCCAACATGGACGGTACATACTTTTCGCCCCCAATTGAGAATCAGTCCTCAAAGGCGGGGAGACGGCCCGCTTCTTCCTCTGGTCTGGACCCCGATTCATTGCATGATCGTTCAATGAAGCCGAGCAAAAGTGAGAGCGGAAACGTACCTTGGACGCTGCTGACGAAAGAGGGAGTGCGAACGCGACGAGACGACAGAGATTGATGGGTCCGAAAAGGAGGAAAGACTTGTTCGAATCAAAAGCAATTCGTGCAGCTTGAACATCTGTCGGCTGGCGCGCTTCAAAGCGCACGGTCACGAGAAGAGCACCTCGATAAGTTAGTTAGAAAGGAGTCGCCTGGTATCAAGCCGAGCCCACCCCAAAGGGATTCCGCCGCATTTTTGACAGGGCTTCGTTTGACAAAGCAAGAACCGCGGACGCAGACTCTACCGACTCTTGGCACGATAGACCCCAGGTACATACCGTTTGCCAGTTGCAGCGCCAGGGCGACGGTGCGCTACCTAGAGCAAATCAACGGACAACCAAGAGCTATTGCGCAATGTGAGAATCAGATTGCATGTTATCAAACCCGATTCTTTGAGACAAGCCTGCTACAAATGCCAAGTGGCCAAGTGCAAATTACTTCCCTAGAATAGTTATAGCAAGCCCAAATCATAGTGAAAACGAAAATAACAATAAAAAGCCAAACCCAAATAATCACCAGCTCCGCACCGTACCCACCCTAACCCCCATACTAACCCTACCCGTCCCCGTACTATAGTTTCAGCCTACATCCTCATGTTCTAGAGAACGATAAGTGCAAACGAGATGAGCGAAGCACCTGACACGAGTTGCCAGTCGATATTCTTGATGACGTCAGTAGCCTGCTGGTCCGCCGGTGTCACGTTTAAAAGTGCCGGCTCCAAGGCCTTGTCCGAGCGCCCCAGGAAGCGCCCGTCGGAAGAGCAGAAGCGCACGCGGCCGCCTCGCGCGAAGAGCACCTGTCAAACGGAATAAAACCACCAATGAGAACCGGGGGCATTTATGCCCGCCCGTGCGAGAACAGCAAGAGGGGCACAAGGTTCACATAAGAACACGCTCGACGGCTTTCCAGTCTGCAGGCGATCTGAGGCTTCAGACGTTCCTGGTTTGGTCAACCCGAACCAGTTTCCACTATAACCACGCTGACACTGAGTTCATACGTCGAGTGTCACGATCGTCCCATCCAAGGACGACCAATCACTCGACCTTCCCTGCCGTACTCGAAAACAATATTCGAAACAGGTGTCGAGCCATTGTGACAATCCTTCCTCGGTGCATGAAACCCCCGCGCGCGCTAGAAGGCTTAAGGAAGTTTGGCTGCTAATCAGGCTGGTAATCAGACTTGAGGCTTGGGTTATTTGGTGACAGCTTAACGGGGCTTTAACCTTGTTCCAAGGCTGTTTAACGCCCAACTTTGGTTATTGGACTGATAACTAGACTTTTAACCTGCCCAGAACTGTCCTTGGTTAAGGGCCAAAAAGTCCTGTGCTAGGCGGCAGTCTCACCTTCCACTCGTTTTTGGAGCCCTGCTTGGCGAGGCTGGGCGCTGCGCCTTGACCGGGGACGGGGGTAACGGCTTCAACGGGATCCAACGCGGTGACGATCCAAACCGTGTCGCGTACCTGCGTCCGAACTCGACACCTCAAGGCGTGCACATGCAGGGAGCTTTTGGCACATAACCAGGGCTGGTCAACACCTTGTTAGCAGCTAAACCCGCTGCTTTATCAGAGCCGGCTTGCATCCTGATTAGAGACTCTGGTTGGACGAGAAACATTTCCTGTTGGAGCTGAAAACCCTAGTTAAGTAAGGGCAAAGCCAATTTGAAATCAGGTTGCAAAACGAACGGACCCTCTTTGTCCAAACCACCTAGCTAGACCCTCAAACGTGAGGCCCCCCACCTTAGCGGTAGAATTCTGCTTTTGAGATTGTCATAAGGATTGAGTTGACAGCTAACCATTGCTTCTAGTGAGGCGCCGAAAAGCTGATTAATAGCCCAGCGCATAAGATCCAAACGCTCGTCGGATGTTTCGATCGCACGCCACTCCTCGCAGCAGGATTGTATCAAAGATCCATCCGCAAAGAAAACCAAACGCCGTACGATCTTCACCAGCAAGTCTCGGAGTCTGGTGGTTCTCAATCCGAAGGGATGATAACATAGCTTTTTAGGAACGGCGCTGGAGTAGGCTCCTACTTGTCTGTAGAATCACCTCCTGAAAAGAGAAAGAAAACTTCAGATGGGCAGCGATGTACCTGCCACTTGTCCAGATCGGACATGAGCCTGGCTGTCCCTTCCAGGCCTCGAGAGCGGACGCTCCGGTCCAGACTCTCCGGCAGGGGCCATACGGCCATACTGTAGTATACGTACAGGAACGCGCCCAGCCTCCGAACCAGCTCTCGCGTTTCCTGCGCGCGCAAGAGATGGTCGCTTTTGTCATGATTGCCCCGAGAGCAAAGCAAAGTCAATTCATTTGTGCAGGACAGAGTAACCACGATCCGGAACGCGGCCAATCGAGATACGAAGATCACTGTGCACAGAACAAAAGCTAGATCTAGGTTGGGCTTGCTCCGCACCCGTCCCTACCCCGAAACCCCAATCCGGGCGCTTTCGGTAGGCCACATGGCCCTTGGTCAATGTGAATTCGATTATTTTGTGACAGTGCTGCATCTGAGTCCTTAGCCAAGATGACATTGAATACACTGAAGACGCCGTCCCCTTGTTGTGAAGGCCAAGAAGGAACACTCACGGCGAGAGCCGTCTTCCGCTGCTGTTCTCGGCCGCCCGGCTTCAGCAGGTTCTCGAGCCAAGCCCGCGCGTAGTTCGGCAATCCGCCCCGGATCGGATCGAAGAGAACCGTGTATACCAGACAGCCGTCCTCCCTTCGACGGCCGCTGTCGAACCAGAGCCGCAGCATCTTCTCTCGTCCACCGTCGCCCGGCTCGCCATCGGTTCTCCACCACTCCAGGAGCGTGTTCCTGACGTCATCGTACACGTCAGCCTCCGATCCGTTCTTCATGAGCATGAACTTCTCCGCCAGCCTCTGCAGGCGCCGCAGGAGCGCGTCCCCGGTCTCGAAGTAGGGGTTCACGCACGCGGCCGCGGCGCGCAGCCGACGCGCGTATGGGCGGTTGGGGGTTTCGAGCGTCACGCGCAGCGCGTCGAGCGCGCGGTGGAGGTACTGCGGAAAATCGAGACGGCTCTCGTTCAGCGTCTGGTCCAGAGGCCGGATTGGGTTGGTTTCTATGTGCAGGAAGGACTTATCTACAGATCCTTTTGGAGAGCGATGTAATAGAAAAGGCACCATAAGAGTGGGGTGCTTCCCTACGACGTGAGCGCCTGCGATGGATTCATATTGTAGGGGTTAGGGTCGGTAAGTTGGAGGAGACGTATTTGATCCTGTACCAGCTTGTTCGAAGTGATGGTCTCTTTTGACACACGGATCTTGTCGAATGTAAGACAGGAAGAATATTTCAAGATCCGGTTGGGGAAGGCCAACTGCGGGTTCCTTGTGAGTTAGGAGAATCTGACTGGATCCGCACAAGGTCTTGATTGCTCAAAAATCACTTGGGGGAAAGGAATTGGGCAACGCTTTAATAATGGGCGACACACCAGCGGTATTTTGGCCTTGAGTTGGTCTAGGGCTTATGGGGTAATTGAGTGAACGCTTTAAGCTGCGGCAGAAGACCTTTCTTTTGGGTGCGTTCAGAACAAAACAGGTGCCTGGAAACTTCACGGAAAAACTCTTTGTTTTTTGGTCGCACTTACTAGGGTCCGCATAAAGCATCACAACACGTCATCGATCAGTTTCCTGATGATCTTTCTCCGAAGCTGATGCACATCCAGTTGGAAAGATGCACCAACGGGGGTATCGATTGATACTGCACAATTGGCACAACCTGGCCGCCTGGTTCGAGCCCGATTTCAGTCGAACGCCAAAATTCGCCCAATATGCAGAATTTGGACCCTGCGACGACCCGGATACCACTCATCGAACGGCCCAACTTCTGTAGCTCGAAAATGTTATAGAACCCTATGATTCTAGAACCCAAAAGCTTGAAAGATTTAATCGGAATTTAGGCGGCTATGTCTGCCCGAAACTGCAGTATCTAGGACAATCGATACGGCCTAGTTCGTCAGCTCAAAGACGACAGCAACCCAAATCAACTTTCGCACCGAAGTGCAGTCTGCAAAGCCTAACCTTCCCATTCTTGAGCAGGGCCTTCCCCGGGTCGGCTTGGGGATCGTACGAATGCTCGAGGAAGCTCGCAATATTTTCCTGCACGCAAACCCCCCACTCTGCCGGGCTGAGGTTGGGCGGCCGCGTGCCCGGGTGCTTCTTCTTGGCGTTCTGGATGTCCACCGCGTGCTGGACCGCGGCCTCCGTGTAGTACGCCTCGTTGGAAAACATGTTTGACCAGCATATCTGCGCAGGAAACCACGGGGTTAACGAGCTCGGAACGGCGCATACGGAGCCCGCCCGGCGTTTGGTTAAGAACAAAACCTAATCTGCGCGGGTAAAAAGTCTTGCCAATCTTGACAGAGCAGGTTTAGGATTGAGTCGAGGAGGAACGAGCAAGTTACGCCTTCTAGATCAGGTGATTGCAGATCAGATCGACAAAACAAGTTCAGCTTTCGGTTGACGAAGAGCTGCGCTGAACAAGGGAGTCGCCGCAAGGACTCTTGACTCCTAACCAAGCGGGTCAGGATGCGCGCAATTGCTTGATCAGGTCACGACGGACGCGCAGGTGTCAGTCACACCGGACCAGCCCTGCTGAGCTGAGCCGCATGGAACAGTGACATTTCGCTCGGTCATTCGGTTTGGCTGAAGTATTCGCTCAAAGTGGAATGCCTGTGACTAGTCCTAGAGGATTACTTTTCTGTAGACTGACCGTGTCACGAAACGACGTCGTAACATAGTCCATTGCCAGCTGGAATCCTTCGGGACCAGCAGCTCCGATTTCTTCGAATTTCAGGGGTTCTATTGGTTCGAAGCGCGAGCCGTCCCGCCACTCTCTGAAAGGAACGGCGACGTCGTCGAAGTTGTCTTCAACCATGCCTGCATGAGAACGAGAGACCAACATGAGCACCCGAGTCAGCAAGCATCACGGGCCGCTCTGGCAGTGCCACGTGGCCAAGTTTGGAACCGACTTAAAACGTATCTGACAAGCATACGCGTAAAACTCTGCTTTTCTCTCGTAGGGCCTTTGAGTGGCGACCTAGAACGGGCAGCGAGCGAAAGTGTGGGGTTAATGTGAGGAAGTGGGTAGGTTTTTGCGGAGATTGGCGAGGATTGGGCTTTCGTAAACTTCGGTAACCTTCGCCTTATGTGAGCTTTCGGTGCTTTTCGGTATTTCTTTTGCTATACGTTGGTAGAGATACCAAAGCTCTGCGAGCATGAGGCCGAGAGCTTCTTAAGCCACAGGAGAGCCGCAACAATATGCAACAGCTTCAACAGCCTGTCCCTTGTCTCAGTCAGGCGGCTTCAAAGCTTCAGAAGACAAACCACTTCGAATTCGTATTCTTTCGCGACTCCAATTCTGGAGAATCCAAAACAATCACAGAGACGGATTCATAGCCTATGGAGCTCTGCCAAGATCGTGCGGCTGCTCAATGCGAGCTCAAATCAGGACCCCTCTTCAAGTCTAAATCACATACGACAGACACCGTCACAAAAGTCCCGTCACACTTCTCACCCGTGATCGCCGCCAGCTCATCGGCACTCCTCAGCGGGGGCGTGTAATTCTTGACTTTCTCAAACGCGCGAAGCCTCCGGTCGACTCTCAGGAGCGTCTGCTCGTAGATCCTGTTGGTTCTGCCCATTAGCCAGGCCTTCGGTTCCGCCGCCTGTTCCGCCGGAACCGCCTCCTCCAGAAGATCGACCGGCCGCCCCCCGCGGCGGTACACGTCCCCACTCCCGGCGCCGCACGCGGCGAGAAAGTCCGCGGCCCTCTTCGGAGCGACGCTGGTGAGAATGTCTCCGGTGTTAAAGGGCTCCAGCTCGAGCACGGCCGGGACCAAAAGCTCGAACGCGCGCGCGTACACCTGCACCGCCGCGCGGAACGCGAGGAATTCCATGTCTCGGCTGTTGAGAACTAGGCGCGCGAGCGCCCAGCCCATCTGGCTGGAGACGTCCCAGCGCCGGGCCGCGGGGTGCTGGACGCCGCCGTATGGCTGGCTGACACGTGACACGTGCCCGACGAGCACCAGCTGGTGAGTCCCCTCGACTTCCTTGAAGCTCCGCAGGAAGCCGGGCCCGTACAGGTTCACGTCGAAGACGATGCCGGATTCCGCTCCGTCCCTGCACGAGCGGAACGGAAGGGAGGGACGCTGTGTATCCTTTCAAGGGCCTAAATTCAGCCAAGCGTGCGGATTGACGGCAGGAATGCGATGCTGTCTAGCACGAGCGCTTGTTTGGTTGGTTGGACACGTCTTCAGCACTTGACAATCAGATTTGGCGCAGTTTGCAGTACGATAAATCTCTGGATGTGTGACCGGGTTTGCTTCATTATTCAATTTGGTCTGCATCCGCTTTTCAATTTTAGTAAATACCATTGAGGTGGGTCGTGCACGCTGAAGACCTGACGAGACTGGTTGCACTCAAGATCCTGAAACTTGCAAAAAAAATCCGTCTAAGGAAATGATATTGATTCAAGGCTGTTGCTACGCTCTACATCTTTTGAAATCGACAGTCTCAGATGGAAGAAGACAAACGGACATACCGTCTATAAAGTTCGAATGTATCTGATGCCGTGATGCGGCTGCCTATTTGTTGACTCGTGTGTTTCGAACGGCAATTCTGTTGTTCGGATGAAGATCAATGCTCGACGCTCCCGCTCACCAGCGTAGACGGAACTCGTGGTTGAAGACCTTCACCGCCTCTCCGGCTCGGGAGCCTTTCCAAACCGGCACGTCAATGTCGGACGTCCGGACGGTGGAACCGGACGGCTCGTCGATGTCCGGATCCATAAAGCCCGGGTCCTCGCCGTAGAAACGCCTCACGGTCGGCAACACCATCGTGTACCAGATCTTGCGCCACTCGTAGTTGCGGTACGCTATCAGCATGTCCATAAGCTTTCCGGTGTCCTTCTCTTTGGCCCCGCCCAGCAGGGCCTTCTTGCAGGCGTCCCAACTGCGGGGTTAGAGGCAACATCATTAGATGGTAACATTAACATTGTTACCATCTAATCGGTGGTTAGAGCAACATCATTTTGGACCGTTTTATCGGGGTCAGTCAAATTAAGATCTAAAGGAAAGAAGCGCGAAGCTCCCTTGGAGGAAATTTAGCGGGGGCGAGGATGCTTTTAGGCAGATCCCCAACCCCATATGAGGGAAAGAGAGGGCCACCCAGGAAGGCGTCACGCTGGCACCGCTTTCTCGCAGGCTCCTCGGTTGCAGACCACTCTATGCGGATGCTAGGGCTCACTAAAGCTACAGCAAAGTGCCAAGCAACTTTCTCCAAATGCACGCTGGAACAAATACGCAGGTCTTTCAAACAGGTCTTCCGCTTCCGCCCACTCCCCGGGGGTTCCTACTAATACTTACAACACAACAAGAGCAGTAGCCAAACAGCAGCGCAGCTTGGCTACTCACCTCTTAAACGTTTTCATCACGTGCTCGCAGCTTCTTAGCGCCACGGTGATGCCCTTGGTATTCTCGAACCCGTCGACACTTGCGGTGTCGTCGTCACTGAGACCCTTCAGGCCCTTTGCCGCTTCGACGAGGCTTTTCGTCACCGCGTCTAGTTGCTCCCTCGCAACCTGGCAGAAGCCCAACAACGCCTGGTCGTCCAACAGAAGCGAGGCCTCCTCGGGCGTCACGCGCCCGTCGACCGCGAACTCGCGCGCGCGGCCTCTCAGAACCTGGAAGGCGTCGAACCCGGGGGCGGGTTTCGCGGGCAACCCGACCCCCCCCGCGTGCCAACCGACAGCGCGCCAATCTGCTGCGCGACCTCCCACCCGAGCGGCCCCGCCAGTCCGTACAAGTCCGCCGCCAGCGCAGACTCGTCTTCTTCGTCCCGTCTGATCGTCGCCCGGACGAGCTCGGACGCCGCGTCCCCCGCGTCCGAATTTCCGGACGCGGCGCTCACGTACGCGACCAGCCCCGCCACGGTGTCGCCGTTCCAGCGGTGGGGGGAGCTGCCGGACGCGCCTCCGGGCGTCCGAAGGAAGACCTCAAGGCCAATGAGCTGCCACGTGGCGGACAGCAGCTCCCGGGAGCTTGCCTCGGGCCGGCAGAGGGCCAGGAGCGAACCGAAATGCCGCTGGCGGTCGGGCTCGGTGAGGGACCCCAAGCGGGCGGCGTGGGCGATGTCCAGGCCCACCTGTGGGGGGACGACGGGTCAAGGAAGTTCAGGGTCGAGAAAGGATGCTGATCCTCATTTTGACGAAGAGGAAGCATCTAATACACGCATTAGGATGGCGGCAGAATCCAGATCAAAATAACTCGATAGAAATGCTTGGAAGGTTTTGAGAGTCGAGGGCCGCTTCTCAAGCTGTCAATCTTCTTGGGAGAGCTACGAAGCGCCTGAAAGCTTCCGAAACAGTCCGCGGAGGTTAACCGGAGCGTTGCAGAAACAAGTAGCAGCTGTTTCGACGCGAGGTTGATGTGGGAGCTGATTATTGCATTTGACGGCTCTGATGCACACCTCAAAGCGGCTACGAAGATACTCCGCGGTTGCTTCTCCAACAGTACGAAGATCAACATTTTCGGTCGACCATACATTCTTGGATCTGTTGCCTGAGCGTACGTTGTCTTGTTCGACCTTTCCCACCGCCCGTGTATTCCCATCGATGGCAGCAGTCTCTACTCGCAAGAGGAATCTTTCCACTCAACAAAACCCAACGCAAACGAACAGGCAGACGACAAAATCAGCAATCTGTCCGACCTCATGCCGCAAAGGAAAAACCGCAACGGAGAATGGAACGGTCAACCGACCTGCACGCCCTGGATGCTCCCGGTGAGCGCGAGCATCGTCCCCAGCAGTTGTTTCTCCCGGGGGTGTTCTCCGACCAGTCCTACGACGGGGGTTCCCACGTTAGAACCCAGCGTGCGCATCTGGTCGGTCCCCGTGGAAGGTTCCCAGGGGGGGACGGCGGTGCGGCCCATGATCTCGCCGAACCAGAGCCCCGCGCCGCCTTTCTCGGCGATCAGGGAGGCAACGAGAGAACGGCGGGCGGCGTCTTCGTCGATCTCACTGGGAACACAAACGACCGCAATTGTCAGCTTAAAGTGGTGACGACGTGAGTCATGGTGAGCTCAAAGAACGCGGTTGGGCAAAAAATAGTTTTAAAACTTTTTGTCTCTGCAGCATACCCGTACTGATGCTCGAGAGACTCTTTTCAACCTGATGCTCGGACTCGGAAAAGGGGTTGTTACAGTCAAAATCTGTCAGGGGCTGACTGTCCAATCAGTTTGCTTCTGAGCTGTAGAAGACATAACTGGGGATTTCAATCAATTCTCAGCGGGGCGTCAAGGAGTGAACTTGTTTTCACCGTGGACTTGAAGGGCATCAACCGAGAGCATATGGAAGAGAAAGCGCGAGTGGTGGAGCTATGACAGTCGCGTTATTTTAAAGTCCAACACGTGGACGGTACCGAAACTCGAATCTCTAACAGTAGCGATTGGAAAGGCAACAACGCTCGAAAGGAAGATCAATCAGTCTATCTATGCAGTACGGGGTGTCTAGAACGAAGCCTCACCCAGCATACTTAGCGACGAAGTCATTATACGCCGCCACCTTCGCACCCAGTTCCTCGTCCCAGGCGAGAAACGGGGGCGGGTTGGTAATCTTCCTTCCGGCGGTCATTCTGGTCGCCAAAGCGTTTCCGTCGACGGATCCGTTCGCAAAACCGGTCGGCGATCCGGCCGCCGTACCGTCGCCCCTTCCGTCGTTCGCTGACCCGACCGGCCGGATCTCCGCCGGAACGTCCGCGGGCGGCGGTCTCCCCGCTGTCGCGGCGTCATACGCGTCCCAGAAGTCGAGGTCGTATGCGAGCCCCGTAACAACGCCCAGAGCGGAACGAACTAGCATGGGGTTGTTTAGCGGGGCGATCAGTGAGTAGATCGCAGCGTAAGTGGAGTTGATGTCGGGCGAGTCTTTGGCGGGGGTGTCGAGCGCAGGAGTGCCGGCAGCCACGCAGGCCTCCCCCCCGAGACGGCGAAGTTCTTCCCAGAGGACGGCACGTGCCTGGTCGAGGGAGCCGCTTGCGCCGGGGACCGCGGCGAGCACTCTCTGTTGAAACGAAGCGTGAGGGAGAAAAATTAGAGACAGCTTCCATGTGGGGAGGCAAAAAGCACATCACCTCTGCGAACGTCGATTGTTTGTATACTGCTGTGCAGAACTGATCAGGAATGAAAAAGTTCTGGCCGGATCAGAATGGCCAGATGTTGTATGCAGAATTGAAAGATTTCTCGAAGTGAATATCCTCCAACCGGTTGTTTGTGAATCCAAGGCCGACAATAGCCAGCAAATTACTGGAAACGCTAACTCCTTCTGTGATCTCCTAAACCATATCCTCACGTTCATCTTGGAACACGCCCACTCTTTCTCGAGAACATCTAAGAATCTTTCGAAGCTAGGCATTTTGGCAAACGGCCCGGAAAGGGCGCCCCTCTCACCTGCAGATATGCGCTGACCCGCTCCGCCGCCATGCCGTCTCCCGGGGGGGTCTCCAGCAGGTCTACAGGGACCCCCCGCGGCGTGAAGTCCGCGCTGGCGGGGTCGCGGACGGTGTCCGTTGACAGCCGTCGAAAGGCCCCCCGGCTGAGGATCTCGAGCAGAGCCGCGTCGCCCGCCAGCTGGGCGGCCGCCCTTAAACCCTTAAACCCTCCGGCCGCGAGCGCCCGAGCGTAGATCTGGAAGAACGTTCCGAATATTGGTTTGGTTGTGCGTAGATCCTTTTTGCTGAGAAGATGGAAACCGCTTCTCTGCTTCTCGAACCGGACATGTTTAACGATAAGATGCCCTACGGGGCAGGAGAATCGCTTCCGATGAAGGAGCTCTCTGGTCCAGCAAAGTGTACTGGACCATCATATTGCCCGAGTGCAAACTTCTGAGACAAATGTTGGAATCAGCGTTTGTACAGGGAGCATCATTCGTCGCTGACGTGTATTCAATTGCTTCTGGTCAACTGTTCCGCCTGAGACACTTCCAGTTTCAGCGCTCGCTCGGTACGGGTCGGGGCAGGCGTGTTGTGATGGTTGAGATTAGAGCCTTAAAATCTGCGAGAGCAACGCGAGCGTACCTGAGAGGCGTCCCAGTCAAGCGCCGCCCCTGGCGGGGCGTCCTTTTCTCCACTGGCCCCTGGCGGCGCCACACCTGTCTTCCACTCCAGTATCGGCTCCCGACGTTTTCCGTTCGGTGGATTTTCCAAAACCTGCAAGTCCTCGGGCGCCAACCCGCTCTGCGCCTCGAGCTTGCGCACCACCGCCGTCGTGTCCACCTCTCCCAAGGGGCTGTCGTCACGACGTGACGTCACCGTGCTCGGGTTCGCCGTTGACAGGACACGCGGGAGAGCGCGCCGGGTGAAGCTTCCTCCCGGGGGGGGGACGAGCGGTAGGACCTCCCGACCACTTCCGTGTTTCAGTTTGAAGATGGGGCGTTGTGTGAACCGGCCCTTCTTCAGGCCCCCCTTGACGGCATTCATGACGTCAGAGAGGCGGGCGGTGTCCCCCCCGGCAGCGAGGAGCGTCCCGTAGAAGAAGTGGCTGAACGCTCCCACGGGGCCGCCGTTGATGTTCGCGTCGGCGCTCGTCTGAGACTCCCTGCCAGGGGGGTGATTTTTAATGAGTCTCGATGATAATCATACAAGCTCAAGTGATAATGAGAAAGAAGTTCGAACTCAGAAGGCAACCCCAGAAAAGTGCCTGCTCCGCATTGGTGCCCATCAAAATCAACTTATTAACCACACCCGTTCAAGGCAAGTATTTGTCCTGTTACAAGTTGGGCCTCTTAAGTTGTCTAGAATCCAACTGATTGCTTGCGGTGTGCTACAAATGGATGTTTCTCCGACTGCTCTCAAAATGTGAATCAACACACCCCGATGCAAGTGGAAAGGTAAACAGCTCTGGGTGCGCCATTGATGGGTTGGGCGTTACAGTATTGGATGCCGAGGCAAGTGGGACGATGACGAAAGCAGAAAGCACATTTGGAACGGCTCGCATCACGCAGATAGCGGTTCCTCTCAAACCAACTTACCACACAGTCCTGATTCTGCATTCAGAAACAGGTTTTACCAACGTTGCAAGGTTCTGCAAAGTCCGTACTGGTCTCACCCGCAAGCGGACCACATGACCGGAATCTCAGCGACGTCGCCCGGCGCGTCTAGAAGGCCCGCCGATTGGGAGTTGGATCCAAAAGGGGCGTCAGGGCCACGGGTCAAGCCTCCCTGCTCGCTTGGAGACATGAAGTTGATTTTCCGGTTGCGGAAGGGCGGGGAGTCTTCGGACTCCTCCGGAAGCCCGCGATGACCGGAACCGGAACCTGGAGGCGAACGAGTACGCTTCGAGTTCAGCCTTAGAGCAGTTTGGATGACGTCGTTTAGATCGCGGCCCGGACAGGCAACAACATCAAGATGATCGGAAACATTGGACGGCTGGCCACATGGAAGCGAAGCTAACGTTTGGAGCATTCTTCTATGCTGCAACCTAAAGGCCAGGACAGGTGCAGAGAATGCATAGATAGAGTTGCAGAGACCTTGCAAGTGACACGAAGCAAAGGCAGGAGAGACAAGCACCGTTGTTCTTTTAAACCAATCTGTCATCCTTTCGTATATCTTTATATTCCCCTTTTATGTCCAACACCTTTTCACAACGAGACACGGAGCTCTGCAAGTCCTTCTGACACTCCAAACCTCACATCAGGTGTCCCTTTTCCCAGCTTTGAGACCAGACTAAAGGCAACGCTTCACATGCTGATACGTAGCCAGTGATTCTTTGCTGAGCAAGACTCAGACAACCGGGCAAAAAAAAAACAAGACATCTGTCGACAAAGAGAGCAGCGAGTTACCCGGAGAGTCGTCCCCTGAGTGGCAGCAGTCTAGAACGACCACACCCCACACCCCCCGGCGGAAGTTGAGAATGAGGTCCTTGAACTCCTCCTGTCCGATGTAGTTGTCGAAGCCGTCCGGTCCGGACACCGTCATGTCCGAAGGGCACAGGACCTCCATCAGCCCGTCCCATTCTTTGCCGGTTGAGTCTGGAGCCTGCATCACAATAAGTTGCGGGTTTATTCAAATGCTGCAAAATCTAGGTCTGAAGGTTGTGCTCTCGCTGAAGCTGCAAAAGACAAGCTTCCTGCGTCAGATCAAAGTGGATTGCTCGAAGACTCTTCAATCTGCAACACAACTGTCAAGGCTGTGCTGCTGCTGTGGCCAATAATGCTGGACCAAAAGGAGCTACCAGTCAGATTAAGACGCTTGCAAGAGAAGCAACTTGAAAAATGCCTGAATGCTGACTGCTGAGGCTTTGAACTTTGGAACCGAGATTTTGACAGGCTTTGTATGATCCGCTCAGGAATCTGGTTGTGTCCAAGCAGAGTCGTCAATGCGAGCAAATTTAAGCTGGAACACTACTTGGCGAAAAGAATGCTGGCAGGTCCATTGCTAATAAGAGTAAAGGAACCTGCGTGGTTTGAGAATCCATACAAACCTTTCTCTTGTGAAGCAAGGAGACCAGGCTAACTCGCACAGCATCAGATGTCACATGCAGTTAGCACGGATGCATGCCTAATGCTTGCATGCATATCAACATGGTGACTGCGGTTTCGTTCCAAGTGAAATGTTTGTAGGTAAGAGGCCCTACCTGAGCGCCATGGCCACTGCAGATCCGGAGAAAAAAAGCTGTGTCAGAATCTGAGAGCAAAAATACCACAGGGTGCAAGTTGAAGTCAGCCAAGCCAAACGGTTGCAACATCACCACACATTTGAGGCACAGACAATGTTGCACATATACCATTAAAACGGCGAAGTCATAACCCCTGCTTTGACACCGTGGGATGGAAATGCACGACAATAGCAGCCTTGTATCAATGAGACTCTTCTTTTGCACAGGTGCTGTAATCTGCAGAACCTGGGTGCACCAATTGTGATAGCAAGCAACTTCCCAATGGAGCTTCTATAAGTATGATTACAGTCAACTGTTCGCCTGGAAGTTCCATCCATTTTCAAGCAGGATTGCTCTCCTGTGGCTTCCTTCTTATGTGTCTCTCACGAGCTCAGGGCCCTTATCCTCCCCTCTTCACATTCCCATCTTCTGGTCGAGAACTCACCTATAGTGGAAGTATGCAGTGTCACCTTCCTCGCTCTCTTCAACGAGCTGGTTCAGGTACTGCACTATGTTGGTTTTTGTTGGCAGCGCATGCGGCCGCGAGAAGGGGCCCGCATCTGCCAACACCTGCAGCGTTACAGGAGGTAACACACGTTTGTATCTTCAAAGCACTGCTTGACTGCTTCACCAGCGTTTTGAGCTGCACTCATTGCTGAGAACGGTGCTCCTTCCAACACCCAGCTGAGCATCCTTCAAACAGGACAATGTGGTGAGACTGCATCTATTTATGCTCAGACTAGCTTTGAATGTAAACCACTCCTTCTTTGTGTTCATGGGTGAAAATACCCTAGAACCAGGATAAACAGTGCTGCAAGCCTCGACAAGTCTCCAGCGAGCTGGAGTGCAGCTCCATACTGCAGGCCAGACTGCACTAAGTGCCATCTGCTGGTCTTCACTGGCTTCCTTTAGGGAGCCTCAATGCATTTGCAGAACCCTCAATTCAGCAGCCTGCAACCCCCAAGACTTACAGGCATGGCATTTTGAGCTAGCTTTTGAGCTCGTAATTGGCTGCTCATTGCCAGCAGCCAGGCCAATGCAAGCACTCACAACAAGGATCCCTCAGCCCTCAGGCTCCTCTTCAATACCAAACACTTGCTAGGATATTGGGCGACGCCGCCGCCAACTTTGATGGAATCAGTCTTCAGACTCGAGAATAGTGTTTGCTGCCGTTGCACCAGCTCAAGATTCTTGACCTTCATCTTTCTTACACACGCCACAGCTTCCCCTGGATAAGAGCAGACATCCATGGTGCTCACCATAATGTCGCTTTCCTCAAAGCCATACACACTCGTCAGCAGCTCACGCGCCAACTCCACGTCCTTCGTGCACCCATAGAGGCGCGGCACCCCACGGTCAGATTGTACGTAGTTCACAGCCACAAGGAGGGCCCGGCGCCGGCCCCTGTATTTTGCTCCGAGCTTGTCCAGGCCCTCACCCAATCCGTCTGTGCCATTGACGGACGCCGCCAGGTCGCGCGACCCAATGCTGCGAGCTGAGATGAGACCTGGCATGACGTCAGCAGGGGGCGACAGTGGGAGGGGGGGAAATAGGAAGGGGGCTTTTGTCAAGGAAACATTTCGCCTGGAGGGAGTATGCTGCTAGGTATTTAGCTGTCAGAAGCCGCTAGCTGGAGAAAGGAAGGATTTGAGGTTTGTACGAAGGTCCTGTTTAGCAGGGTCAACTTTGGCGATCACTGAAGAAGGAAGCCATAAAGACACGGTTGGCGACTAGCAGCTGCCAAGCTGAAGCATGCCATCATCCTTGGTCCCCGTGTGAACACTGCAGAGAGTGTTGAACTCATCTGCATTATGCAGTTGCTGTCGTCTTCGAGTTACTATCTGTACGGTGAACCATTGTAAATAGCAACACTTCGGCTCTTCACACTTGTCCGGCCGCCACAGCATCTCATGGTATCCTGACTGACGTGCCTAGGTGGGTGCACGGTGCTACCTAGGCACGAATGCAGGACAAGGGTGACCAGTTTGCAAACGACAGAGAAGTAAGTACAGTCTGTCAGAAGCTGCTAGGTAGGTATGTGAAGCTTACTCTCAGTACCAAAGCGGCTTGATCCAGACTCCAGAGTGACTGGATTGGGACCCTTGCCATTGCAGTCCCAGGAGTCGCATGCGGCAAAAGCCGGCCGAAGCGGGGTGGAAATTCCAAAAGCCGACGGCAACGACAAGTACCCGGCTGAAAAGCCGACCCATACCTGGAGAGGGCGGGGTTGAAGCCGGGAGAAATGGCCGATAACAATTGATAATCCAACTGGAAGCCAGAGTACCCGGCTTCAAGCCGACCCCGTCAATATTATATGCCGACCCCTGCTTCGGAGTGTTGCTGGCGGAGCCTATATACCTATAGGCTATAGCTCTCCTCAGAAAGGGTACTAGGTACTACCTGCAGAATACCCACCTGCCGTACATGCCAGCGCGGCCACACAGGCCCCTACTCCAAACGCCGGGAGAACGGAGAGGCGAGAAAAGTGGGAATAGGCAGATAAGGGAAGATAAGAGGGCAGACTAAGATAAGAGGCGGGGCTGACTGAAAGGAGGGAGAGATTTGGCTCCAAAGGGCGCATTTACACATCAAGTCTGTACATTTCGCAAGATTATGGAGTACTGCACATGTACGCGGATTACGCGTACGTTTTGCAGTCGGAGAATGCATTAGGTGAACCCTTGAGCGGCGTGAACCGTCGATGTCTATCGACGGTTTCAATCTGCTCTCGTGGCTTCTTGTATTGTGTGTATATTTTGTGATTGACCTTTTGTGAGTTGGTTTGTTATTGGCCGAAATGGTAGGAGCGTTGGATATGAGAGCAGAGGGTCGACGGTTCAAATCCCACTAGAGAGCATTTCGCATTTTTCCTAGAGTCAGGCCACGTGTCAAGAGTACACCATGTACGCTCTTCTTGTGTACACTGTGTAACAGAAGTCACTCTATCGCGTTATCTTCGGCAGTCTGTTGAAGGGCCGCAGACTGGTTTCGGGTCGCCCTAGGACGTTACGCAGTCTGAACGTGCCAGTCGAGTATGCATACTATCTGTTATATGGTTGGCGTTACGTCGGGGGAGGGGGGTTTCGACACTACATATACAATACATACTTTTTGACAAAAGATAACGCGAAGTACAAAACGGGCGTGGTAGCCTGACATGCAATCGTCACAGTCACGACTTCGATTGGCGGAGCCCGAAACACAAACTCATTGGTACTACCTACCTAGCTAGGTACCTGAGTACAGTGAGTAGAGTGGAGGCTACGCGGCAGCGCGGTGCGCACTGCGGGGCCCGGGCTAGTACCGTATTCAGGTAGTTGGTATTACTTGGTACAGTACCTATTCGAACCCGTACCGTTGTTGTACGTTCGAGACCGTACGACATGTCGTCATCTTTGTGACCACGATGGTCGACCGTCGACCGAAGCCGCGTGTGCCTGTTCGACTAATAATCGTACTCTTGAGATTGGACGGCGAGTAAGAACTTTCAGAGCCCATCGACGGCAAGACTGAGGTTTGCGTTTTAACGGCGCAACCTGTACGGCACATACTTTTAATCACCTGAAATCCCGGATGACGGCCACTGTTATCCGCAGGGCCGCGTGCGCAAACATCGCGATTCGAGGCATGCGGCGCGACGTTCGGCGGCTGACGTGCATGATGGATACTTTCAACTTTGTGTAGGTTTTTGAGGAGTCGGGAGTCAGGACGGTACATACGGTAGTAGCACTGTCAGGTGCGGAGTCATCTCCTCTGCACGGATTGGCTGAGCATAGAATAGGTACACAAGGGCTGAACTTTGAAGTTTGGGTTTAATATCCAGGATTGCATCCATTTCATGGTTGCAATCCTACCATCCTTGTGACACCGTTGGAGCCGCAGTAAGTGCTGCGGGTTACAGTTGAACACCGTATAAGGTATGTACTGAGTCTGGTGCTCCAACGGTGGGTCCCCGTTTTTGGTGGTAGGTACACCGTACCAGGATATGAAAGGAGCAATCTCATTTACGGTTGTCATAGGTACCTGTTACTACTACTAGGGAGTCTGCTTCAGCTAGGCCGTACAAGCTTCGACGAGGGCTTCCTGTCTCAAAGTGCCCACACTCACCTCACACTAGAGCTGAGCTGGCTTCGAAGTTCGATCGAAGGACTAACGTACTCGAGCGATGCATTATGTACCTGAGAAAGTACCTGATGCTTCAGAGTTCAAAGTGGTTTACAAGCTGCGGTCGCTGAAGGCAAGATTGGCAAACAGGTAGTGCCAATCGGAGCCGCCTTTGCTTCCCCTTCCCTTGGCTCTTTGGCTCTAGAAAGCAAACGTTTGTCCACAACGGTTTGCAAGCTGCAATTGTCAATGGCATAAGAGTCCACCTTGCCACTCCCTACATCTCAGCCCCAGACGCTACAAAGCTCCCTAGCAAAGCATCGCATTGACCAAACACCCGCCGCCAGCTACCATCGTGTCCCTATATCCTGAGTCCCGTATCTCAACACCGCATTCGGCCCACTTTCCTTGCGCTGAGCTCCACACCAGCAATGGCGTTCAACGCGTCCACCCCCGGGAGGTCGAGCCCCCGAGACCTCACCGACAGCGGGAGCCTCTTCCGCGAGTTTGATCCCACCGCCTTTTCCCGTTCAATCAAGAGCGACCGCTCCCCCTGGGCCGCAACATCGTCTTCCAGGGGGGCGCGCGCATGGGCTCCCCAATACCTGCCAGCAGACCCCCCTACAAGGGAAGGTGGCAGTCGGGAGGTTGGCGCGAGAGACCCCAGTCGCCCTGAGCGTCCCCCTTACGTTCCCTCCAAGCCCTCCGCACGTCCTCCCCCCACCTCGGCAAGGGACTTCTCAAGCGCCCCCACACGCGGCGGCCCCACATTGGATCACGCGCCCCGAATGCACCTGACGCGGCTGCTGGCGGCATCTGGCGCAAGGGGCCTGGAGGTTGTTACGAGGATGGCGAAATTGGGCAAATCTGGGAGCCAGAAGGAAACCAATGATCTGTACAAAGGGGTGAGATGCCTGCACTGATCGAATCTGCCCAAGGGCTCAGTCTGCTGATTGAATCTGCCCAAGGGCGCAGTCTGCTGAGGTCAGGAGCTAATGGGTTTGAGTTGGAGCCCTGTAAGAGGGCTTGCAAAGGCTTCTTTAAGAGCTCTCACCGCTGCATTTGTGCTTTGTCTCATTCACATTTGCTTTGACACTGCAAAGCAGGTTGCTTGCTCGTTGCAACTCCCCAGAGATGGGGGGCCCCTATCCCTTTGCCACATTTGTAGAAGTCTAACCGCCACTCTGTTGCAGTGCACTCTTGGCCACTCTGTCGTGATGCACAAGTTCGGGACCCCTTCTCATTGCTTTTCCGTCTCTGTGTGCCAGCTGGCAGCGATCGGTGGTCTAGACGCGGTGCACGCTGCTGCATCTCTTCTCGGCGATGACGTCAACCTTGCCAGAGTCAATGGTACTACTGGGCCCCGTGCGACTCGCGGCCTGATTTCGCCCCTTGCGGCTGCCTTTGGTCTGAACACTCAGGCCGACTTTGACGCGCTCACCCAGGTACCCTAGCGAGCTCTGGCTTTGATTCTTTTTGATTTTATATTTACATCATCCTAAGTTTCATTTCTCATTTTTACTTCGATTCTGATTGTAGTCTTAGGTTTACCGTAGAGTCAGGATCAGCTTGCTCTTTGAGGTGGGGTCTCCAGATTTGGACAATCAGAGCTAACGAGCCCTGACATTCAGACTTGTGATGCTCCGAAACTGGTTTTGCTGAAGGGTTTGATCTTCTGGATTGAACTGGCAGCCCCTCAACGAGCGGTCAAAAGGCTGTGTTGATATGGTGTTTCGCTTACAAGGCCTTTGACCTGCAAAGAGTGGCAATGTCAATGCAGACCAGTTGACAGTCTCTTTGGCTTCGACACAAAGAAGTTAAGTGAATGAAAAGACGTCTGGGGGCTTAGCCAGGTGCGAGTCATAGAATGTGTCTCTTCAGAATGTTACGGCTAGACTCGGCTTTCCTCTGGCGGAGGCTGTTCTTAGCAGGGGGCCGGGGCGTCGATCTAGTTGTCCGATGTCTTCCTGTCCCAACTGCAGCATAGTCGATTTTCCAGCTTAATACATTCGTTCGTTCTGCAAAGGCTGGTCTTAGCTGGGGGGCGTCGATCTAGTTGTCCGATGTCTATCTCTCCCAACCGCAAAACAGTCGATTTTCCAGCTTATCACATTCGTTCGTTCAACCGCAGGGACTGGCTCAGCTGGGAGGCGTCGCTCTAGTTGCCGACGTAGCGGCGGCCGAACCCGAGATGCAGGCAGTCGACGAGAACCTGCACGACCTCGAGAACGCGATTGGGGTGAGTACTTCGAAGGGGGACTGTTACCCAATTCATTTTTGAGTGTATCGTGTCCAACCGGACTTTTTTATCCAATCAACATTGGAGTCCACAATCTGGGCAAAGCACGGGCAAAGCTGCCAAGCGGAGCAAAAACGCAGTGAAAGCTCGCCGAAAACTTGTGCGAGTGCTTCAACGTTTCCGCAAAGCCAGCCTTTTTTCCCGAGCTTCCTTATGGTCATGGCATCAAATACCAGCTACGTACTCTCCCTCGGCGCTCACCCCTCCCTGTCTCTTTGCTTCTTGACTGCTCAATTCGATCTTTTCCTACGCGTCCCCTCCTTTCATAGAACCTTCACCTTTCGTTCTCGATCTACTCCAATACGTTTTGGCTCTCGTTCGAACGACGGTCTAATCCTTCTAATAGCGTTATCTGTCTTGGCTTTTTATCCCCGGCCCGTCACAAACTCAAAGTGCGTCCCCTGTCTTCGTGACGTTTTGGTTGTTCGCCCCACTCCTCTTCGTTTGTCCCAAATGCCGGGAACTTTCTCGTCCTTCAACCGAGACGACTTTTTGAAGACCACCATTTCTGGTAAACATCCTGATTCTCTTTTCCATCACAGAACGTTTGCCTGACTCAGGTTCTGATTGCATCTGCTCCTGTCCCTTTCCTCCTTATTCCCATCGTCCAGGCTAGCGCGCTGTCTTGTGAAAGACGTTGTTTGCTGTTTTTGGCTTCCACGTCGAAGTAACTTGATCGAGGCCCTTGACACAGTTTCCCTACCTTTTCTCAACCCTCTGTCCATTTCCGCCCTGAAGCCATCCTTCCCTCCCATTGACCCAATTCTCGGACTCTCCTTTTCCTAGTCTCAGGCGAACCTCGGGCTGGCCCCGAACGCGCAGCGCCCCAAACACACTCCAGCCGTGTTGAAACTTACCGCTCCTAACCAACTCCTAACCGCTCCTAACCGCATCAAACCCAAATCCTGACCCCTCATCCCCAGGCGGACCTCGGGCTGCCACCCCAAACCCGCGGCTCGCGCGCGGGCCTCCCCGATGACGTCACCGCGACGCTCCAGCAGGCTGGTTTGGGCGCTCTTTCGGACGGCATCAGTTGGGCGTCCGGCGGAAAGGCGTCCGTCGATCGCGTGCTGGCGACGGTGGGCCCTGCTGGCGCGGAGATCGTGCGGTTCCTGGCGGAAGAGAGGGGCGCCGTGCGCGACGCCGCCAAAAACGAGGCCCTCGCGCAGATCGCGGCGCTGGGCGGCGTGGAGGGGCTGCACGCGGCCGCGGTCGCGACCGGGGACAGAGGTGGGGAAACGGGTTTGGTTCTAGCCTCATTCACGTGACCCATTGTATCATAGATTCAGTCTGCCTAAAGCCTATTCGATAGGGATTGCACCGTTCTGTCAACAGTGCATGCAGTGTCGTATATTTGCAAATTGCTTTGTTGAAGCACAGCTTGATCTGTGCTTTGCGGGTCGATGGAACTTGGACGGGGAAATTCGCGGACTTAGAAGTATTTCGCCCTCGTTCGGCATTTGAAGCAATGATAACCTGTATGAATTCTTAAGGAATCTGAAATGGAGATCTAAATCTACACGCAAGTTTGTCTGCACTGACTCTATTCCTCTGCGGCTTGCTTTCTTTCAGCAGCAGATACTTCGACTTGTGTAGCGGGTCCGACTGTGGCTTCTTTTCGAACCACGGCCTCTCCGTCTTTATTTCCCGCTCTCGTCCCTGCTTCTTTCTTCCGACGACAGGCTTTTTATTTTCCTTCCCACGGGCTTCTGTTTCCACCTCGACTTCTCCATGCGCAGCCCTTTGTCCGTTTGGACCCCTCCTCAAGCCTAGTTCCAGAACCACCCCCTTTCGTCGTCGGTTCGCAGGTCTTTCCGGCGACTTTTCCATGCACTACCCTTTTTTCGTATCAATCCCCTCCTCAAGCCTGGTTCTTAACCACCTCCTATCTCTGTCGGTCGCAGGTCTATTCGGCGACATCTTCGGCGGGATCGCAAACGGCGCCATGTTTTGGTGTCTGCTTCTTTCCTCACGCCTAGTTCTAAGTCACCGCGCCTTTCTTCGTCGGTTTGCAGGTCTTTTCGGCGACATCTTCGGCGGGATCGCAAACGTCGGCATGGGGATCCTACAGGGCGGTATGGGCGGCGGCCTACCGGGCGCTCTCATGGGGGGCGCCGGGGCGGGCCTCAACCTAGTTGGCAGCCTGATCGGCAACCGGGACATCGAAGCCAAGGCTGCGGAGAGCAACGTCGTGCTCGCCAACCTAGTTGCCGTGGCCGGGCCCCGGGGGATCCCCCTGGTCGCCGAACTGCAGAGGACAACTGACGACGCCAAGATCGGGCTGGCGTACCAGGCGAGGCTCTTGAGGCCGCTGAAGAATTATTTGCAATCTTTCGTTTCGTTAGGTTTTCGATGGCCGACACTAGAAGCCGGATTTTGGCGGTATGTCGAAAGCCTCCTTTCTTTCAGCAAACTCATCGATCGGGTCCCTGGCGTGCCACTTGCTGAAGAGTGCGAACTGGACGGAGCGCACGTGCTCGCTGAAGAATCAAAGTAACAGATTGATAGCAAGCAGATTGCATATCAACTCTGATCAGTGAGTCAACTCAAGCTCCTTCTCCAATCCGCCCACTTGAAATTGCACTTCTCGCCCCGAGGTTGGTTTTGGGAGCAGACCAAGCCTCTTCGGATCTGCAAACCTTCTCTACAAGTGGTGGAACCGTCACATCTGACTGAACACGAACGTTTTTCCCTCGTGAGGATTGCTGTCCCTTCGGTTTTAATAGCTTGTCTCTCGCTCTCATACTAACCTCACGCCCCTCCTCCTCTACAGCGCTTGGCGTACCTCGCGGGCGACGACGCCCCGAGCGCGCTCGCGGCCGCGGCGCAGCTTTCCGGCGACCGCGGCCTGCTGGACATGCTGAAGACGGCCGCCGGAAAGGCGGGCAGCTGGGCCGCCAAGACCGGGACGGCGCTCGCCAAGGACGCCGCCAAGCAGGCGATCCACGGAGCGCTCGACGCGTTCAACAGCGGTGCCACGTGGCAGGACTCTCTGCAGGTGCTCAATGGAATCTCGGATCTTTCTTCTATGATCCAAGCTGAGGCTTCGAGTTAGCGATCTGGGTTCTTCAGTCCAGTTTGGAGATGGATATGACGGGTCCCTCATGGTGATTGGGCTTACAGAACGTGCTTGTCTGAACGTCTGAGCCCGAAGAATAGCGAAACACTATGGGCGTGACTACAGTATTTACAGAGGATTTCCTTGGTTAGCAGGTGGCAAATCTTCCGTTCTGGATCGCAAATAGCGGCGTTGTTTGGTAAAAGGACGCACGCACCACTGCTTTTGTGATTCACAGCAAACGCATCTCGTCTTGTATTCAAGTAGACTGACATCTCAAAGCGAAGCCGTCCTCTGCTTCTATTTTATCAGGCGGGCTTCGATCGCGTCAAGAACGAGTCGACGATCGGCAAAGCCGGCAGCGCGGCCGCGGGTTTCCTGGGCGGCGGCTCCCGGAGCGTGGAGCGTTCCCGTTCCGCTCCCGACACCGGTTCCGGTTCCGATTCCGACCTCACCGAAGACCAGCGGAGCGCCCTGCAGCAGCTGGAGAACCACCCCGAGATCAATCCGGTACGCAGGAGCTTTTCTGACAGGATGTTGAGTTGGTTAAACACGGATAAAGGGTTAACCTGAATTGCATCTCGCGTTAATCGAAAAGGTACGCGCATCAGATGGGGGGGTTAAGCTGAAGGGTTCTTATCGTTTGATCTGGATGCCTTGTAGACGCTCGAAGCAGCAAAGTTCTCTCGACTGTCCACCTATTCATCTTGTTCGCATGGCACTTTGTTGGTTGTGAGATGACTTCACGCGAGTCACTCTGGTTTTAAGGGAAAGCCAGCTTTGCGCAACGCCAGGTGCTTTCGGTTGCTCGAGATTCCGGTCTTATCTCTGGCAACCATTGGCACTAATTCCAATTTGTCGCCCGACATTGGGTTACGGACAACCCATATTTACGAAACCAAATCTTTGCTTTCGACGGCACTGATCAAACCGCCTTCTTTAGATTTGTCTCTCTTTGTGTTGCCGCAGTTGCTTCTGAAGTAGGCCCACGTGCTGGCGACCAGTTCCAATTCAGACGAACATCTTAAACAAAAAGGACGCATTTCGCGGGCGCTTTTAAAACCACTGAACAAAAGCCGACTCTCCACGTGTCGCCGCAGTTGCTGCTGAAGCAGGCCCACGTTCTGGCGACCAGTTCCGAGTCAGACCCGCATCACGAAACCAAAGCAACCCATTCGGGGCCGCTGACTCCTAAGGCCAATTTATCAGATTCCTTTCTCTTTTTTGTCGCCGCAGTTAACGCTGCTCCCCTAAATCAGGCCCCTGATCTGGCGATTGGTTCTAATCCATACTACTATCTAAACTATTTTCAGATACTAGTGTAGCGCCATTTTGGGGCGCTCTCAGACCCGGCAATCAAAGATTGACTCCCCGTTTGTCGCCGCAGTTGCTTTTGAAGCAGGCCCACCTTTTGGCGACCAGTTCCGAGTCGGAGCTCCTCCCCGGCACCCGGAGCATGATCCAGGGCGCGCTGATCGGCAAACTAGGGATGGCGGCAGGGGAGCCCATCGTCGAGGCGCTGGAGAACCGGACGTACCTTGGAAACGACGACGATGCCACCGAGAAAGTCTCACGGGCAATTAGTGGCGGGATTGCTCGTGCGCGGAGCCTGGCGGGGACGGCTGGCACGATGACCTTTGGTGGCTAGAAGGGAGCTCGTGGATTGAATAAGAGTTGTTAGGCAGTAAGTGCTCGTAATTGAGGCTAGAAAGTTTTGAGGGGAACGGGATTTGCTACTTTTGAGGGCCGACTTGACAACCGATACAATATTTGGTGGTCATGGCTTTCAGGTTTTTGTTGTAGGACGAGAGTTCCACTAAGTTGCCTTGCTCTATCACTCCGAGTTTGACTCTTATTGGTTCAAGTCAAAGGAGGAACGATGCCTTAGGGGGCGGGTTTTTAGGGGCGGGTTTATGTATAGCGAGAAACTTATCGGCTGTATGTTTCAATCCAATAACGTCTACTTAACATTGGTCTTCAATCCGGTCAAAAACATCGTTCCGGCACGTTAAGAATGTTGGCATCAGAGACTCTTTTTGTGAAGGAATTGTTTAGCAGAGAGCCATATACTCGATGACTACTTGAAAAGTCACCCACACAAGAACGAAATTTGGTACCAAATGTGACGTGGTTAGATCTTCACGCCGGCGACTTGTTGTCAATTGGCTGCTTTGAGTTGTAGAACCATTTCGAGGACAGTGTGCCGGCTATCATGCCGGCTCCGACTTCACATTGCACATGGTTAGTACTGATAATTAGACATATAACGTACCGTCATATGTAACGGTATGTACCTCCGCCGCGCGAGGTCCACGCGGATGAGGCATACACTTACGTACCATGTGCGACATTGCAACACACATCATGGATTGGTAGGTGGGGGCGCCCTGTTCTGAACATATATGTTGAGGCGGCAGCTTAATTGCGCTGCAGGCCCCACACGCGGCTGCCGCCACGTTAAGACTCAGACGTCGGACACGGCGATCGCTGTTACTGCGTTCAGTGTATCTGTCTTGAGTCGTGGATAAAAGCTTAGAAAGTTAGTAAGCTTGGGAAGTGCATGTAAGGCATTTATAAATGCATCTGACTATATATCCGACATTTCTCCTGGGACGGCGCTTATCCCATCACTGTGTCGAGTTAAAACGGTAGCATGCCATGTACGCGGCGGCAGCCTGTACGGTCCTGATTCGCAAAAGTCACATCTCATGCGGCAGTTGCAATTGACGGCTGGACTGCATGAATCTCAATCCTTCAATTCACACAAGAGAACTTCAGCTCACGTGCATGAAAGCTTATTAACGTTGATTCAATAGTCGCGTTGCTTCTCAATGGGGTATCTAAATTGACAGATCCATACCTCGCGTCGTCCCATTGACCATATCTAGATTAGGGCTAGCTTAATGGAGTCTTTCGAATTGTGATGTAGTCCTCTATTTATTGCCGCCTCGGTCTCGCCGGGCACCTTCGAATCAAGGCTACAGTTATGATAAAGAGTCGTCAAATCCGACGCCTCTCGTTATGTTCATCTGGGGAGCACTTAGGTGCTTTCAATGGCTGGTTCTAAGCTACCGCGCGCCGAGCATCTCCCGTGTCAGGGACGCACACAACTCAAAGAAGTACATGGTCGGCCCGCTTCTGTGGCATATATCTATCACGTACTCCTGTGGTGCTAATCTATAGAGAAGCAGCTCGAATCGCACTTCGACCATTTTTAACTGCGGGGCAATCTGCCCCGTATCGGTCGTTTGACTACCTTGCGCCGCCAACGGGTCTGACTGCCTTTCCGCCCGCGAATCGGGCCTGTATCCTCGTTTCCGCTGCTGCCAGGCGCCGTTTCTGCCATCCGGCGCCTGACCGACCGGGCTGTTTACGTAACCCAAATTTCGGCCGCCGCCGTAACCTTCCTGCACGTCCATGCCCATCTCGCCGTTGAGCGACAACACCCGCTTGCCCCGCTTCCGATCTTTATTCCGCTCGTCCCGCGAGCGGGGCGCCTCCGGCGAGGCCTCGTGAGCGTCGCCGGCAATGTGCCGGCCATATGGTACAGACTCTGCGTAGCCAATGTCTCTATTTTGTACATGTGCAGGCTCCGCCGCCTGCTGGGCGGCATGTGCCCCTGCCACGTGGCCGCCCCTGGGGGCACCGCCCTTATTTACACCGGCCCCAATGTCGGGGCCGGCGCTCGATTCCCTTCTCTCTCTTGCGTCCCCGTTCTCGACCAACCGCTCGGTGACCGGAAGGTCTTTCGCTGCTCCGAAACCGCTAAACCCGTTTCCACCCGCAACCGACGCAAACCCGTTCCGCTGCCCGGCAAACGCGCCCCACCCCCCAGCTCCGCCGGCACTACCCCGAACCGCATCAGATGCGAACCCCGCCTCCCCCGTACTTACTTCCTGCGCCGCCTTTCGGTTTCCGAACAAGCTCGTGCCTTTGCCGAAGACTGCGCCCACCCCCCCCTCCCCGTCAGTCCCGCTGTCAAACTCGTCGCTGTCCCCCCCAACCGGAACGATCTCCCCAAAGTGACTCAAGGCAAACCCGTTCGGGCCCCCCTGAACCCCGTCCAACAGTTGCTGGTCCGCAAATGGCGGCATCCCGGTGTCTCCAAAGGGTCGAAAACCTCCCCCGACCGCGTAAGGCTCAGCAGACCTCGGTCGCTGCGGCAAGGGGGGGCTGACCTTCTCGCTCGCCGGCGGGTTTGGCGAACCCGCCATGGGGTAAGCCAACCCGTTTGGCCCAAACCCGTGCCCGAACAACGCAGTCTGCTGGAACCGGTTCTGCATAACCCCATTGGGCGGCCGCCCAAAACCGTTCTTCCCGAGTCGGACGGGCGTGAACGCGGAAAATGCCCCGTGCTGGAACGCGTTGACGGGACCGTTTGACACCGGGCCCGCTCCAAATCCCACGGGCCCCATAGCAACCCTGTTTTGTGTCAAGTCCGACTCCCTTCCGTCATTCCGGTCGGTAGACACCGCTTTTAAGTGAACGGAACTGCCGTTCGACTGCCCGAACGGGTTGGTTTCCAGCGGCTCTCCATACGGACTGAACGCCCCATTCCCATGCCCGTTTGTACTGGCGCCCGGCCACCCGTGCTGCCGGTAAGCCGGGCCAAACCCGACCTCTGCACTAATCGGGCTCAAGAACGGTTGAGACGAGCCCGGAGACCCGGGATAGACCGCCAGCGTTTGCGGTCGGCCCGGCTCCGGAACCAGGAGGGTTAGTAAACTCCGATGTAGCTGCATTCGGGGGGCGGTTCCCTCGACGGCGCCGAACGGGCGGAATTCCGTTTGGAGCGGCGGCCGGCGCCGCTGCAGCGCCAGCTCGCGCGCCTCGGGGGGGGCCACGTGGCAGGCCCACGCGCACTCAAGGTGAAACTCCGACATCCGGTTCCACTTTACGGCCATGCCCTGGAGTAAGAGGCACAGCCGTTGCATCGCCTCGCAGGCGCGGTTTGCCCGAATGTGGAGCGGCATCCCGGAGCCCCATTTCGGCACCCCGGCAAATCGGTCGTGACAGTGGGGGGTGGAGTTGGCTGCGTCTGGGACCCCCCATGCGGTCGACTCCCCAGTCTCGTCTTCAAGGGGATCCCCCAGGGTCAGTGCGTGCAGGGCCGCAGTCGCAGGTGGGGGCACGTGCGCGGGCTTGGACTCCCCCCCCGCTAGCTGGTCGACTTCTTGATGTCCCCTAACCGGGAGCGCGTTCACACCCCCCGGTCCCGACTCTGCTTCCGGCTCCCCCCCTCCTGGAAACTCCTCGCCCGAGTACGGCCCAATCGAGAGCTGCAGCCCGGTGTTTTGAACAACGGGCCCGGTCGCAAGGGGGGGCGGCAGCAGGGGCAAGTATTGCAGAATGAACCACGGGAAGAACCAGGGGTGCCGCCGAATCTCCTGGATGGTTATCCGCTTCAGCGGATCGACGACCAGTATGCGCGCGATCAGATCCACGACGCCCGGAGTGAGGGGGACTTCGCCGGGGAAGGAGTAGGCCCCGCGCTTGATGGTGTCGTAGAGGGAGGCGACGGAAGGGTCGTCGAAGGGCAGGCGGCCGCACACGAGTGTATAGAGCACGACGCCGCAGCTCCAAATGTCGGACTCGGGGCCGGCATATGGGTGACGGGCTGAGGAGGGGTTGAAACAACATGTCAGAATCCTGCTGACCATTTTCAGAGTTATCGAAGGAAAACAGGGCATCAAAATCCCGAGACTTGATAAATACGACGACTCGACCATTTGCGAGGATGTAACGACGTGCTTGCCTTTCAGAACTCCCTTTCACGGAAAACAGCTCGTTGCCTTCCTACGTTCGAGCTTTCATTCTTGTATGTCGCAAAAACAACGAAGCTGGAAGTCCGGAAAGCAACTCTTCGACCGGAGGCTTTGAGATGGACAGGACCGTAAGGGGCGCACAGCGAGATATAGAGCAGGAACGTCCGTCAGGATTCAAGGAACGCAAAGCGGGAAACCAGGTGTCGGAGAGCCTAAAGGCAGGGCGCGGGGACACGAAACAAAACTGGGAAATAGCCAGCAAAGTGGAGATGGGTCAGTTTGGAATGCACGGCAACAGCGAACCCGCGGAACAACGGGTTTTGAAAGGTTAAAAAAAGAAGCCAAGAACGCGGACTAGAGCAGGATAAAATGAAGAAACTAACGGCGGACGGGATTATCGAGCTACTTACCAACCACTTCCGGGGCTGCGTAGTTGGGGCTCCCGCACCAGGTCTTGAAAAAGTTGCCGTCTGTGATGGCATTCCCGAGACCAAAGTCTGCAATTTTCACGTTGCGGTTCTCGTCCAGAAGGATGTTTTCTGGCTTCAGGTCTCGGTGCACGACCCGCCGATGATGGCAGTAAGCGACGCCTGGATAGAGAGACGTTGTGGTTTCAACCTCCCCGAATCGGTTAATGGAAGGAAGCTCCAACAGATATCTGAAGGTGCTAGAAGGGTGTGAAACATAATACTGGAGAAGTGCAGGAACTTTGGAACGTGATGACCGTCAAACGCGAGTGGAAAATCCAACGCAGGGAAGAAGCCAGCAGCAGAACAAGGTGGACCTCCCGAAGTAGTTCGTTGTCCACGGAGCATGGCAGGCTCTTCTGAAAGCGCCCCGAATTCTGCTCCACAAAAGTCTCAACGGGCTACTCAAGTTGCACACGGAAACAACAATGCTCACCACTAAATCCCGTATTTCTGAAAAGAAGCGCGGGTCGGGGCAGCTAAACTCGAGAGGCTATACTGTCAATACAAGCTTTCACGCTGGTTTTGATTGCCGTTGCGACCAAAGACAGACTTTCTCGTTCTTACGAGATCGACCTGAGAACTCAGAAATGCTTACGGCGAGATTGTTGGAAGAAAAGGCAAAATGCTCACGCGCGAGATTGTGCGTTTTTGTCAACAGCAGAAGTATACATGCCGAATAACAAAGGGGACAACACCCAGTGCCGCACTGACCTGCGATAATCTGCTGGAAGATCCGCCGGGCCTCATGCTCCGGCAGTCTGGTATTGTCCGTGATGTAGTCATACAGCTCGCCGCCCTGGACAAGAAACAATCAGGCTCAGGAGCAGCTCACTGATCGCAGGATAGCTTCTCAGAAGCATAATTGGGACTGGCAGAGATAGAGATATCCAGCAACGACGGGTTCCAACCAGCTTTCGCAGGAGCACAATGTTTGTGAAAGTTGGGGCAATGTTGGTGTTGGCGCAAGATCCTCATAAGCGACCAGAGGAAAAAGTGAAAAAGAAAAATCCACATACATGGCTGTCATCTGATGCAAAGATAGAAGATAGGACGTTTGAAATAGATGGAGAAACTGTGAACGCTTAGAAAGGGATCTAGAAGCATGGGCATAAAACGCCCTGAATTTAAGAATCGACCAACCTATCCTTTAGCCCAGGTACGGCAAGCCCAATACCAATGAGTAAATCCTTTAAGGTCTCCTACCAGCTCTTTCCTTCCATGTACCGGCGTCTCACCGCCACCACGTCCCGCCACTCAGTCCCTGATTATCCCCAAATTTCTCAGCCGCAAACACGTCAGTTGACACCCCCATCTCTCCTCTCACCTGCGCATACTCAGTCACCAGCAGGATGAAGTCCGCCGTCTCGACGACCTCGTACAGGCGGATGACGTTGGGGTGGTTGATCTGGCGCATGAGGTCAATCTCGCGCCGCACCTTTTGGATGCTGCTCAGGCCCTCCTCCCGGATCTTGTCCTTCTTCAGCGCCTTGACCGCCGTGCGCACACCGCTAACCCGGTGCTCCATCAAGTAAACCTGCACGGACCAGAAGGGGGCTTAACTACGATGTCCTCAGACAGTGTTTCAACTGGTGCGACACCGTGGGAATTGGCCCACTTTTGACTGTCCTTTTCACTGTATGAACGCCCTTGTTTAGACTGGGGCTTGTCCTTCTTCAGCACCTTCACCGCGGTGCGCACGCCGCTAACCACGTGTTCAAGTAAACCTGCGCATAACAAAGGGGCTCGTTCACACTGATCCAACTTTGAACTGGCGCTGCTTCGGATTTGTCCTTCTTCAGCATTTTCACCGCCACACGCACGCCGCTGATCTCACTCTCTAAAACACATCCTGATTGTGTCCGCCGCATCAAAAGATGGAGCCTACCAAGCGAACTAGATCAGGTATACTGCCAGATACTACCCCCCATGACACTAGACACACATCAGCCCTGCAGATAGTTCCGTGCTCGAGGGGTTTGTCTGAAGTGGGTGTCAGATCTTCATTCAGAACCTTGGCGTCCCAGACGCAAGTCCCCGCAAAAAGGACGTCGCATAATCTGTGATGAATTTGTTGGTCCGCCGGCAGACGAGTTGCTGCTTGTTGCCAATTGCATGTAGTGATCCACCTCAACGCCCTCTCTTGAGAGGGAACAAAGCATTGCGCCCCCATTCGCAATCAAAAGGCTGGAGGCATGAGCTGAGCAAGATCTGTGCCCCAAGTCATGTCACAATGTACCAAATGTGAGCAAAGGTCCCAGATCTAGTAGAATTGAGCAGAAAACGGGACAAAGAACAAGTAGACCTGCATATCCCTGAGCCCCACCCAAACATCAAAGTACTGTGGTAACCAAGCTTAACCTCAAAGAAGATAAAGCCGATTGATGTTCCCCTGATCCACAAAACTGCTGTACTCTGGATCAGCTGCCTGCCTCAATTGGCATCTCTTGTAGCGCATGTTCAGAGCAGAAGGGGAGCCTGAAAGCGACTGCAATTATGAAGGACGTGATCCCATTTCAGATCTCTCCCTTCAAATTGTCACGAAAACTCCAAATGCGCCCCTGGTTTACCAATATCCATATATTTAAGAATGTTGAAACATCATATTCAAATAAGCTATGCTTGCCATAAGAGAACCTTTACTGATCCTTGCTTAATAACCCAATCCAGAATTATGAGTTTGATGAATGCAGCCAACCTTGCCCAATACCTGCAAGTTTGCTCTCACAGAGCGTTGGGGAGGGTTAAGGGCAGTTCAGTCTTATCTCTGGCATACAACATGCTGTTCCACAGAAAGTGTTTGCCATACAATCCTCCTCTTAAATTGACACGTAACTTCAGAGCACTCAGGTCACACTGACCAATAGAGGCAAATTTTAAAAGTGACAAAGACCACCCCAACTAGGGTACAGCTTGGAGGCCAACAGAGTGCATTTTTGGTACTCTAACAAGGAGTCGGCGAGATACTGTAGCCTTAGGACAGGAGATTTCAGTTCTCTCAAGCACACTTGTCACCTAAAGCAAAAGCAGCTCAGCCAGTGGGGTCTTACAAAATCCAGGGATGGTGTTCAACGTTCAAAACTTGAAGATCATGCCAGTTAGAAGCTGTTATAAGATTCAAGGAAGACTTGATGCCTTCAATCAACCCAATCAACGTCATGCTATGCTGGCACCCTGAACACAAGTCCGGACACAAGGACAGGCAGCACATCGCACCAAAGTGTGAAGGACAGAGGCGCATTTCTTCAATCAATCAGAATCTCAAACCACTGCGCTCAAAGCTCCTCAGACACAAAGAGTTGTTACTTGTCTACTTTCCCTCACCTTCCCAAAGGTGCCATGGCCAATCGGATTCCTTGACTTCAGCTGATAGTGCGGCAGCGCAATCTGCACCTCCTCCCACGAATGCTGTGCCCTAAATGAGGCAGTCCTCCGGGCCCGGCCCCCGCTCCCATGGGGGGGCCCCACGTCAGCCATCAAACAGATACCAACCTACCCCCCGTCAACATTGAAGATTCCTTCGTCCACCTGAGGGCTCCCGTACCCGCAGAAACTAGGCACGGGAGCTTCCTTGTCGCAATCTCAGCAGAAGTAGTGCTTCTAGCAGACCTTCCTTGATCTAGATGCTTCAGTGAGATCTTGCACACCTGAGATCTGGAAAGCGAGTTCCTCTATCTTCTCTAGAACAGGTGACCACTTTCAAAAGAGCACAGGATACAGACTGCTGCCAGACTCCTATCTCGAAGCAATGCTGTCCTCACCAAGCCCAATCAAGAGCACCATTACCAACTGAATGTTGATTAGCAGCACCAGCATTCAAAGGAAGATGCACACTACCGCCAGTATACGTCCGACATCCGAGGACACATGGCCGATGCAAAGCGCTCGGTACGCCTCCGACAATAGCTGAAAGGCAAGTCTATCCAAAGATCTTGATCAGCTTGCTCCCAGGATTCTAGATGAGCCACGCAAGCAGTATTTGATAGAAACCCACGGATCACGCCATTGAAATACTGCGAACGTCCTTGGGTTTCACGCCTGAAGCCTGTGAAGGCTGAAGAGAGAACCAAGTTCATGATGCTCCCTCAGGATGCCCGCCATTTCTAGCCCTAGCAACTAGACTGCTGCAGACTGCACACTGCTGAAAACCCCGGAAAAGATTGACCGGTGAATGCGTGCGATAACTGTACCAGAAGCCGACACGACTCGCAACCCTGGCCGTCGAATTCTGATGTACGGTCAGATCTATATATATGTCAGATCACGCTATGTAACGTTGCCAGGCTTTTGGCGCCACACCCGCAGCAGGTTCGCCCGCACCTAGTTGGCGTTGAAGGCGCCCTCTGCAGCGCCGTAATTCAGGTTCGCTCTTTTCTCAAATTTTAGGGTTTGGCAACTACACTGACAGCAGTCCAATTTCAATGGAGAGCGCTGTTCCCTTCTGTAACTTGTAAGGAGAGTTGCTCCGTCCCATCTCGTCTCGATCTTCTGTTTGATTCCGCTTCATGCTGGGCACTGTTCAGTGTGATGCCCGTGCACTTGAGCTGCCGCAATGAAGAGGAAAGCAAACTCTGGTGCAGATTGTTTCTACCTTAAATGTCAAGAGTTTGAGAACCAACAAACACACTGGATTCTCTGTCGGCAAATTGGCATCACTCCAGGCCAATATCCACCTGCGATCATTCACCATATACCAGATTCATGTTTCAGTCTATTGACAGCGCTAGATAATGCAGCTAGCCGACCTTTGTAGGCAATAACGCGTGTTGAATCCTCAAAGATTGGCAATGGGAAAGACTCCCATCATGAGATCTGCATTGCTACCCCCTTGCACCACTATAGCGGCTCTGCTAGTCCTGGTCATCTGTCTCGTTTTATCGGTTGGATTCGTGCTCCGAACCGACAGTGGCCAGTTTAAGCTGGCAGAGCAAGTAGAGCGCACCGTGATTTGCAATTGCACGCCTTTCCAGATTGTGGCTCACTCTCCCCCTGATGTTCCTCTGAAGTTACCACCGCAACCGCAGCTACCGCAACCGCAGCTCGTGGAGAATCCAGAGCACTATGTCAGTACTACGTGCAGAGGGGCATACAACGATACCCAAGAGGAAGAGAAGAGGGTTCGAAAGAGGTGAGGCTTTTGTTGTTCTCACTCCGTACTGCTATGAATCTGCTGAAATGATGGGCTAGCCCCAGGCACTGGGGGGGGGGTTGATGACAAATGACAACAGATCAGCCAGATAGAGAAAGACAGGAAAGTAGAACCAATGCTAGTCTCCAATTCACTGAGAAACATGTCAGCTGTGCGACCTTCCACTATCCCTCATCAGAGTTGAGGTCTGTTGGCACAGTTTTTTTCTGGAGCGCCGTTTTTGCGCTGCGCTTCAGTGATGCAGCACCTTCCTTGCCATCTGCTAAAAGGGTACAACAACACTGGGTCTAAGCACGGGCCAAGCACCAAGAATGACCATTCACAGCCAGCAAACAAGTCTACGTCGGGGTACGGGACTCCATCCTTACTTTTCCCGGGTACGGGACTCCATCCTTCCTTTTCCCAAGCTTTCAAAGTCAAGAACAGTACTTCAATGATATGTACTACTGGCTTTTTTGAAGCCTTTCTCAGCTCTGAGCAATGGCCTGTTTTGGTTGCAGCCTTGAATGGAACCCACGGCCTGACAAGTACTTGCTAGCGTGGTGCCTGATGGGGAAATTCACCAACCGACTCATCTGCCACATGAAGTTCATGACAATAAGTGCACTCCTAGGCCGTACCCTGATCTGGCCCCAAGAGGACTTTCAGTTTAATTACACGACTGCTCTTGACATGCCACGGGTCAAACGGTGCTTCACGCCCGAGAGTCAACGAGCGAACAGCGATAAAGTTCCTATCATTTTGACCCTTGAGGTGAGGCGCTGATCTGTTTCGCCAAATTTCTGAGATTCGATATTTAAAAGCAATCGCAGCACTTGCAAATGTAAGGGCTGGTGCTATTACCACGAACCTTGGAGGCATGCGCTAGGAAGGGCTCCGCAAGATGAAAGGTTTCTTGTGGCTAGCTTTTAAGCAGAGCTCGCTGTTACGGTTTGTGTACGGTATTGGAGACCGCAAATTGCGCCAAAGAGTGAAGGCAGTTCATTTTGGGATGGACTTCGTACGACGTCGTAAGGCATTCGGCTTCTTGTCATTCTTCATTCGTTTTCTGCGCCATCTTCTCGTCCCGCTTCATTCATTGTCTACGATATCCTTTCAACTTTGACTTGATACGGGTCTTTCGTCAGACTTCCCACCCCAGTTTCCAACTTTCGAGATTTGTTTTCCAACCTTGAGCCGTCGGATATGGTCGACTCTCCAATCTTATGGTCAGCAATCAGGAACTCTGCTCAGAGATGTGAAAATCCAATGGCAAAGTTTGATGCAGATAGCTGTACATTGCAACGTGCAGGAATACCGTGAGCAAGGTCACAACGAGAACGTGACGATTCGCTGCCTCCAAGCCGATTGCCTGTCCCGGGTTGAAATGGCGGAGCGCTTTGACCAACAAGGGTTTGCTTATCACGAAGATGAGGACAACCCCGATTGGGGCTTAGAGTTTGGGGCCATCACGACGTTAAAACAGGTCCAAGACCGTTACGCCCCCCTCCATGACGTCGGCGTTCTCGCGATCGGTGACCCTTACGGAATTGACATAAGAGAAGAGGAGCGAGGGGATAGCGCGCGCGTTGTTGCTCGTTGGACGGTAAGTTTAGAATCGAAACCACTCAGACTTGCTCCTGATTGATGAAGAAAATCTGTAGCTATTGGTCGCTTCTCTTCCAGTATATAGAAGGGGATGCTTGTTCAGAAGGCTTGTTGGACTGAAGCTTTGCACGCTTAACGTTGAGCACTGTTGGTGCCAGTCGGTATCTGCACAACTTCGTTCGCGCACTTCGACAGATTACTCTTGGGTTTTTCTTGCTCACATTTAACCGGTCATTTGAGACGCTGGTTCCTCCTTTGAAATGTTTTCTTCTGACCTCTGCAGAGTACCGGAATCGTTAACAGTTGGAATCTCCAATCAGGTAAAGTATGCCGCCTTCCCTCGTTGTCGGTCGGGTCTATCCGAGCTCTGTGCTTGTTGATTTGTCTTCTTGGAAGTTTGCACACCTGGAAAACCGATTTTTGAATCCTATGAAAAGCGGGCATCGTCTTCGAGGGGGCCTCCTGGCGCCCATTGCAGAGCACGGGTCGCAGCAAAAAAGCTCGGCTTCTACAGCCGTCAGATCGTTCGTCCTTGCCGTCGGCAGGCAATCTGACGGCTCAGAACTGCGCGCCCGCGGTCCTGCCGAACGAGGCGATCATGGTCGCGGCGCGGAACTTCGTCCGCGCGTTTTTCGGAGCGATCCCGTTCCTGAGTATACACATCCGGCGGGGCGACTTTTTTGAATTTGATCAGTGAGCGCACCTCTTGTGTGTCTTCTTCGAAACTGGTTGTTTCGATTCGGAGAGGAAGGAAGCAGCCTTTAAAGTCTTCAGACGTTGAAAATCTTTAAGGGACTGATTCGTACCTCCCTTCCTTGGAAACGGGACCACATTCTGGCGCACGAACGGCCTCTTGATTTGTGTCTTCAAAGCGACTGCGCAGGCGTCAGGATTAGTTCGAGGGATCGTCGGGCGCCTGGATCATGGGCTACTAGTCTGGCAGAGGTCGAGTTCTGGGCGAACGCTTGCTGTTTCTTCGGTGTGGGTCAAACCACCGAGCTGGAGGTGTCGTCCGTTCTGAGAGAAGCCGTGGAAGGAGAACGTGGACCAGATTCGGGCCTTTCCAAACCCCCCACCGTTTTGTACTCTGGACTGCGCACCTAGAATGTAGCTTCCCTGGCCGCACTGACTTGGGGATCAGCAAAGTACCGGCACTTCCCCGGTACCTCTTGCTACAGCCGTTAGCGGTGCAGGTACAATGTACAACCTACCGGGTACAAAGTTTCGCAAGTTCAGGCCGGACCCCCCGGTCGGACTTACCGACCCGGGCCCGCGCGCGGTCGACAGGGTTCTATAAGTGGGAGTGTCCAAACAGTGGGAATTTGGTCCACGTTCTCCTTCCACGCATTCTGAGTCTCTTGAGCACTCTTGGCTTGCAGCACTCTCCAGGACCGTCCGCTCGTCCTAGTAGAGGTCTCAGACTCTCAAGGCAAGGTTCGCACCTTGTGTATGTGAATCTTCAAACCTCTGAAAATGAAGTGGCCCGCTCTTTCAATTGTGTTTTCCCTGCGCAGTTTAATGCCGTCTATCACGGACGTTGGTCTGTGCATACGAGCCACGCTCCTAGTACACCCGGAGATGAAGGTTGTGTTTGCTGCAACCAATGCGAGCCCTCCCGAGTTAGCTTTGCTCAGGTGCGATGCCATGCGCTTTCTCGACCCCGTCTTGCTACAGCACTTTTCGAAGCAACCTTTGAGTTTTTGTTTTCGACTCAAATCAGTCTGATTTTCCTTGGCATCAGGTCGACAAAGCTCCCTAAGGCCTTCAATTGAAGCTGCAGAGTTCCCGGAAGTAATCACTTTAGAAGCCGAGAGGTAATTTTGTGATCTCGGGACGCCTTCTGCATTCAGAAAGAGTGAGAGAGAAGAACAAGAAAGAAGATAGAAAGAAATGCTGCGATATAAGTGTTCCGAATTTGTTTGATAAGGAAGCGAATTTTGCTGTTGAATTGGACCCGCCTGATATTCAGCTTCTCAAGTTCGCCACGCCGCTGTGCTGTCAAGCATTGAGGTTATGCATCGCACCTTCTTTCTCGATTGAGCGGCTGCTTCCAGCCCAAAACTAAGGAAGAGCGCAACAAGCAAACACTTTTTCCAAAACGTGCGATCCCGATTTCTGTCAAATTGCGCAACCTGTCTCCTCTCAAGCTGACGGCTTTCGGCTGACGGGGTTGTGCCTTTCTATAGACTTAGCGCGTCAAATTTTCAAGATACAGTCGTGCATATGAGTCCTGAGGGACAAAGTCTTCACATCGCCATTCCACGTGCTTCTACCCCCTTGGAGTGGCCGGCGATCGGTCGAGACATATGTACTCCGGCTGTCGCTCTCCGACCTGGCACTGACATATTCGTAGAATTTGCTTTCAACCCTGCCCAAGATCTGTATTTGACAACCGATTATACCGGGGGTTTATGACGGCCCTTATACCATCTTAAAAGTGGCCGTCTGCGACCAAGCGGGCACCCCGGGGCGCTCTCTCGTCGCCTGAGGGGGAACAGGTCCCCTGACGCCCTCTTCAACGATCGCCCACTTTTTCCCTTCCACAGGCAACTTGTGCAAGTGCCCATTGTTGTTCTAGACAATGACCACACAATTGCCGCGTCGTGGAACAACGTCCTCGAAAACCAGTTTGGCGCAAACTGGAACGAGGATACTCTGGTAAGTCTCTACTCAACTCGTTTCAATCATGCGGGAGAAAAGGCGCTTTAACAAGGGAAAGCATAGGGACGTCGGCTATTTGTTTTCCGGTTATTGAATCGAGAAGAGGAGGCCAATCATCTGAGAGAGGTCTTCGTGCTGTTCAAATACGGTAAAGGTGCTCATGCCGAACTGCTGTCAAGTTCGCAGAATTCGGGTCGCGCCCGGTCTAACACAAGGGCTTCAGATCATGAGTGGTGAAAATGAAAACGCCGAAATAGCCAGTGGCTTTCAAGCTCGGTTGTTTTCTCCGCATCATAATCAGGATCGTGTCAACAGGCGTGATTTTAATCAAGTGCATTTCAAAACGGGAGGTCATGTGTCTCTTCCCTCACTGAACAGCGCGATCGATATTGGGGTTTTGATTTGAAGTATATTCGAGTAAGGAATACTTTGTACACTATCCGCCATGGAAATACATCTAATCGAAGCAATATCAAGGTTTCGTCTCTTAGAGGAGATATTTTTGGACCATGCGAGTAAGTTGTAACATCACTGCTTCTTTCTTGCAGATCTTGTCTATGCTGGACAAGGCGATTTGCAGCCTGTCGACGGTTTTCCTGTCAAGTAGCCTGTCAACCTTTTCCCTGGACATCTTGAGAATACGGCGCGGGCTGGGAAATGTGCATTGCCACGACGGGGACTTCTGCAAAGCCATGCAATATTGGTATTGAGTTGTAAGCTGAATTAAGATGCTGCAAAATTGAAGAATTGGTACAGCAATGCGAGTAACACGCGTAGGCGTCGAAGCCCACAAGTGCTTGAAGCGGACTATACTTTTATGCTGCCCACTAACCTTGCAGCCTTAACCGTCATGTTGCACGCAATTTAGGTAGTCCGGATTCAGCACTAGATAGAGTAGTTGGTTATGTTATGTTTTTTATATGTCAGCATCTGCGAAAACAAGTGACATGAGCAATCAAAAGGTTCACAAGGTCGTCGCGGTTTGCGGAGCTCAAGTTCCAATCACGTGTTGCCGCGTGGACTCATCGTACGGTTGCAGCCTCTGCAAGCGGTTGATCGGCACTTTTCTGTCTCTGCCCTGGCCACTGTCTGAATTATCCCACTTCAGTTTCCGGTCAGCGGAGTTGGGCTGCGACCTATAACCTAGCTGCAGCGCGCTGAAGCCTGTCATTCACTTAATTACGTGCCCGTTATCGTGAATTGGCATGACGGTTCAATGGGACCGTCGCGCGCTGGGCGACCAGGCACCATGCTATAGGCGGGGACGTTGAAGCCGCGTTTGCAGTACCTGCACGTGCCAAAATTAAAGCAATAGGCATATGCTCAAAAGTAGCCTGCTACATGGGCTAATGACAGTCATTTGAATTGAGCTGGCTGTGCATAACTTAAGCACAAGCCTACATTCGTATACTCGATCGATGATGGTGACGAGTGAGGAATCATGCCAGGCTGCAATGAGGGTGTCAATGGGGTGCATTCATTGAGAGGGCGCAACGGAGTCAGATGCGTCATTGACCGGCCGAAGCTAGGGAAACCGCACTGATTGAAGACCTCCGTGCCCGCCGGCATAGTACAAAGCAAATGACTGCGGCCACAATCATATTCATACATACATGCAACATCATTCGATATGCATTCGGTCCAGACTAGCAACTGCAGAAAAGCGGCGAAGACCGCGCAAGTACGGTGAATGATTGTGAAGGTGTCGACCGTGCAGGAGCATTTTGAGATGGTTCCCTGCAACCAACTAGGCAGCCAACAGAGGCATTACAGCACCGTCGCCCCCTTCCCCGAAGATGCAACAATCAATCTCGCCCAAAGGTAACACCTTCCTCGTCGAAATTCAAAACTGCTTCCGTGGTCAAAGCGCGCCCTCATTCCCCCGGGCGGGCGTTTCAGCTACCCGCGGACGATAACTTTTCGAAGTTCTGCCGTGCGATCGCAATTGTGTCGAGCTCTTCGCGCAGCTTGTCCCCTTTACTGGCGTCAAGCTCCTGGACGTTTGCGGGGACTTTTTCTTGGTAACCGGGGGCAGCCATCTTCTTGGCAAGCGCCTCGAGCTGCCTGCAATACAAGAAGAGCAGATGACGTCAGGGAACTGACGTCACACGCACCAGCGGGACCGAATCTCAACGAGTGCAGGGAATGCAGCTGGTGGGGGCTCCTCCCTTAGCTGACGTCAGCTGGCGCCACACCGCCACAAGTGAAATGCGCTTCGCTGAACCACTTCGCAGGCTGCATAATGAGCCGTCACCACAGGCGCCCCAGAAGCGAATCCTTGCCCAAAGTCTGGCGACACTGCTCGGAATCAGAAGCCTTTTGCGGAAGATGGTCGAGACTCTTTCGCTCACGGTAACTACCTCTGTGCATCCAAGAAGTCCCGCTGAATGCGAAGGAAGTAACTGAGAAGGCCCATATAGACCCTCATTTTACGCGAAAGGTACCACTACACTCCCATTGGATGGCCAGAAAGATCTGCTGCAGAGGCCCTGTTTGCTCACTTGTTGATCTCGTCGCTGCGCTTGGCCAGCTTGGCAATCTCCTTGGCCGCGTCCACGAGGCCCTCCAACACGAGGTACGCCTGGATGTTCTCGTCGACGATGTCCACCGCGGCGCCCGCGGGGGGCTCGCCGGACGCGCCGAGGACCTGGACGTCCGAAGCGGAGGCGAGCGTCCGGACGTCCTGCACAAAAACGGGGGTTTTAGGGTTCTATTCTTCGAGGCTTTAGGATCATGCACAAATGTGCGTGACGACTTCCGTTTCGCTTGCAGCAACTTTACGAAAGAGTGTGAGCTACGTTATGAATGTAAGCTGCGGGAGGTATGTCGGACGGGCCGAGGACCCCGGACGTCCGAAGCGGAGGCCAAAGTCCTAATGTTCGTCACAGGATCCCTTCGCCCACTTCAGGGTTGTGGGGTTTTAGGGATTTTAAGGACTCAGAGCTCCCATCTAAAAAACAGCGTCACACATTACTCAGAGGTGGAGTCATATCGAGCACATGTGGCTGTTTGAACATGTAAAAAACGTTTGCTTTGCTAGATTGCAGCGAAAATCACCACCCAGACACGAAAGAAGCTTGCAATTTGTCACCAGAAACATTCTCCGAGCAATGTGAGCGCGGCTCTTCCAAGACGTCGGCACAGCGCAATTGCTTACGAAAGGCAACCGTGACTACTTGATGCAGTCTGCGACAGAAAGTTCAATGTCGCATCGAAACGATAAAAAGTAGTTGCCATACCTGCGCCCCGAGCTGCAGCGTCTGTCGCGCGTCCTCCGTCTTGCACACGAGCACGAGCGCGGGTTTCGCCTTGGGCTCCAGCTTGAACTTCTCCCGCAGGGACCGGACGGTATGTACCGCGCCGTCCACCAGAGCCATGTACGCCTCCGCCTGGGGGCGGTGCCAACCGGGCACGACGCGTGGGTATTCTGACACCTGCCACGTGTCAAGAAGCCGGTTGGGATTCGTTTTTTGGGTGGTTCTTGATCCGCATTTCTGCTGTATGATGTTTCTTCAATATCTTCTTGTCCAATTTCGCAAGAACGAAGAGGCTTCAATGCATCATACGGTAAGTGCCCCTGCACGCTTTTGTGGGCACTGCGAGAGCTCCTGTGTGGCGAACGACACGAAGCGTTCTCGGGGATCGAAGAGCTGAAAGTTCACTACCAACGTCCTTCGCCAAACTGCCACTTTCCAAAATTGCTACCGCAATCAACGGACCCGCTGCCGCCACAGCGCGCGAAAAGAGGCGCAGGCGTCGTTTTCGAACGTCGCTCGTTTTCGACTAAGAGCGTGAAGAGAACTCAAGCGTGCAACAGCGTTCTGAACTTGGATTCCGGTAGATGTCCCAAAGAGCTACCAGCAATGGTGGCGTCACCGCAGCCCGGATTTCATCGATAAATGTGGTTCCGACCAGATGCGGTCGCGAACTTCTGCCAATCGTCTAAATTTTGACCGGAGAATTGACGGCACTACCCTTCAATTGTCCGGACGGCGGCAACCTCAAATAAGTGGCTTGTCAGGACATCTGGTTAGCTTTGATGCGAGCCATATGTTGGCAGGCCCAACAGTAGACTCAACTTTGGGTACTGTCATTAGTTCCAGCCTGTAATCCGTAGTGGATCCGTTAATACGTTTAGCTTCTTGTTGCAGCCGGCACTGCAGAATACCTGTGTGGCATGCACTACGGCAGCCTTTGCCACAGCCCCTGTGACAACGGCGTGCTCAAGTCCCAGCATTTCATAAGTCCCGTAACCCACGTGATAGGAGAGCACTGTACTTTCAATCTCCAAACTGCAGAATTCGGTGATTGAAACCAGGTGCTCACCATGACCGATGGCGCTGCGGCGAATCTAGCCCGTTTCGCCACAGCTCTTTCGTGACAGAGGGCATAAAGGGATGATGATGCATGGACGAGCGTTTCGAGATCCAATTCTTGGAACCGATTACGAAGCATAATTCGGAGACACGCAAAATGTCCCAAGAACTCACCAGATTCGACGTCGCTGCGGTGGTGTCTGCCCGTTTTGACAGGAGTTGCCAGAGGTCTTTTGCGACCAAACGCTTAGAGCTTGTTTCAAACCCAAACTTTCATGTAACCTCAGATGAGACAGCCGACATCGGTCCGCCAGTCTAGGACAAGTGCTCCGCCAGTCTAGAACACCAATCTAGAACAAGTGCTCCGCCAGTCTAGAACACCAGTCTAGAACAAGTGCTCACCATGCTTGAAGGCAATGCGGCGAGTCTGCCCGTTTCGGCAGGCGTTGCCGAACCTCTTCCGAGACGAAAAGCACGCAAAATCTGTCGGGTTCAACGCTTTGAGCAATTGCAATTCCGCAAAACAATTATTCGCTCAGTCCCAAAGCTTTCCCAGACGGCGCCGCGGCCGCCCCCGCGCGTTTCGGCAGGCGCTGCCACAGCTCCTCCATGACAAAGTGCTTAGAGCCTTTTCAAAACCCAAAGTTCCCCTTTAAGCCTGACGAAACGTCCGACATCGGTCCGCCAATCAAACAAAGTGCTCTCCGCCAAATTCAACGAAAGTGCTCACCATAATCGATTGCGCCGTTGCCGCCCCGGCGCGCTTCGGCAGGCGTTGCCACAGCTCTTCCGTGACGAAGGGCATGAAGGGGTGCAGCAGTCGCAGGCCAGCCTCTAGGCAAATCCAGAGCGTATCGCGCGTGCGGCGCTTCGCGGCCGCGTCGCTGCCTTGCATGATCGGCTTGATGATCTCGATGAAGACGCCGCACAGCTTGTACTGCCAAAAGTCGTACACAATGGTCGTCGCTGCACAGAAACGGTTCTGGGTTGTTAGTCTCTACGACAAAGGAGCTAATTTGTGGCGAGGTGACAAAAAGGTTCGCTCGAGAGATGTTTTTCGTCACACTTTGGTTAATCGCACGTGCTGCAAATGGTTGCCAGATGAAAATATCAAGAAAGTAAGTCAGAGTCCTCTCCGCCCGGAATGGCAAGATTTTCCGATCCAGTTTGACAACGAGCTGTTTCAGTCCCAGTGAAAGACAAGCAGGAGAACCCCGTGCAAACAAACTCGTTTCTAAAGATACGTACAAACTCCCGCTTCTCCTTCAATCCCGGGAAACAAAACCTCGAGAAAAGCAAAAGCCTTTAGTCCTGATACCCCCCTGCTGAGAGTTCCCACTTCTCGAGCGCCTCCAAGTCTCTGCAACTGCCTTCCTGAGCATACAGAGCAATCCCTACTTCTCCATCTCACCGCGAAACCCTGAAACCTTAGGAGCCTGAACACCCTAAAACGTTGATGCCCACCTGCTGAGAGTTCCCACTTCTCGAGCGCCTCAACGGTCCCCGCAACCGCCCGGTTGAGCATGCTGAGGATCCATTGTGAGCCCATCTCTAGTTGCTCCACGTCCAGGGTCGCCGACGGCTCGAAGTCGGGCCCCAGGTTCATCATCGCGTACTTGGTGGCGTTCCATAGCTTATTGCACCATAAGCGGTAGCCCACCACGCGCTGGATGTCGAGGTTGATGTCGCGGGCCTGCAACGGGTTTTTGGAACGCTGACCTAAGAGGTTATTCAAAGGGGTTTTGTCGCTTCAAAGGGTCGCAACATTGAGTCCACGGGTTCAGAGGACTGAAGCTTTGAAGTGCAATGAGTGGGCTGACTGACCGGAAAACAAACGATCTGGGGGTCACTGAAGCACAAAGCTTCGGAGGGTCTGAACCAAGCAGCTGAATGGGAGAAGCCTTTGACGGTCCAAGAATCGATCATAAGGAACCAGAGGTTTGCAAAGATTGAAGTAACAAGATCTTATGAGAAAGTAAGAGGCGATATGAAGCAAAATACTGTGTTCGCTTCATGTGCTTACAAGCGGGCAGGATGAGGATCCAAACGCGTAGGAAGCGAGAGTAAATCTGAGAAAAGCTGAACTCGCCGCCTCTTTGACCATACCGTTTCGCCGCTTGTGCTCTACCAAAAAGACTCTTCTTCCTCCTTTGCGTCACAAACCGCCCAAGAAACGAAACCAAAAGGGATAAGCACCAAAACAAAGCCCCTTCCCACCTGCGTCGTGTATGCCACGAGCGCAAACCGTAGCGCGTCAGCGCCGCACTCGGCAATGCCGTTGGGGAAGTCTTCAGATTGCCCCTTCTTCGCAGTCGCGACCTCCTTCGGGTCCAAGTTCCCCGCGTCTAGTTTCGCGTGCAGTTCGGCCAGGGTGATCCCCTCGATGACGTCAAGCGGGTCGATGACGTTGCCCAGCGTCTTGGACATCTTGCGCCCATGCGCGTCGCGCACCATCGCATGCAGGTACACCTGGGGGGGGTTGGCGAAAATGGGTTACGAGGGGCGGTTAGAATGGGTTACGGTGCCCAGGTCCATCCATCACGTGCAGGTAGGAGATTTGGTAAACAAAGGGTTACGAGGGTCGGTTAGGATGGATTACGGCCCCCGTGCACGTTGCGCGCCATATGGGGGGGTTTGGTTAATAAGGGTTACGAGGGTCGGTTAGGATAGGTTACGGCGCCCGTGCGAGTCGCGCACCATTGCATGCAGGTTCACCTGGGGAAATTGGTTGACTGGGTTTACAGAGAGTGATGTAGACGGAATCACTAAGACTCGCTTACTTTTGAAGTTGAACTTTCTCATTCCAAGGTAAAGCCTGAGGTGTTAATGACGCCTATGCACGCAGTGCGTGCGTTCACAATTACATGACCAACAGTAATAATTCCACAAGCAGAGCACTTGAGGGTCAAACAGTATACTGCGTAGCACTAAAGCACATGAGCAAGAACAACTTCGTCAAGAAAACGGCACTTGTCTCTTTCGATCGGCACCTTCACTTTGCGCCGCAGACCCAAAGACACCTCAGAAGCAATCTTCGAACCACTTCTCCACGCTCGGAACATCCCAAACGAAACTCAGAGAGCATACTACCAAACAGTGCTGAATCAATCGGCGGACTCCCTGAGAACGGCTCCTCACCTGTTTGAACGGTACTTTGCCCGTGAGCCGCATCCCCATCATTACCATTCGCGCCACCCAGAAGAACAGAATGTCGTGCCCCGTTTCCAGCAGCTGCGTCGGGTAAAACTTGGCCAGGTCCGCCGTTCCGTCCGGCCACCCGAACACGGAGAACGGAAACAGCCCCGAGCTGAACCACGTGTCCAAAACGTCCGGGTCCTGCGCCAGAGCAGTATCGAATTCAGGTTAAGATACAGTTAGGCTGAAATGGGTCAGTGCCCAAAAGCGCGTGGGGTCAAGCGGGGTTTTGGGGGGGCTAAGGTGCACAATGCGTAGGATTGTATCCAAACTCTTGCTTTCAATGCGTCATCCTGCGCCGATCTGTGTATCTCAACCTGGCTCAACTCGACCTGTTGATCGCGTACCGATGTTCGTTGGGCTCGCTAGGGGTTGGAATAAGTAGGTAAGGACCAATTGGAAAACCTGTACGCTGTTTCGCTCCGCCTCTAGGCAATAGCTGAAGAAACCACATCGACATCTACCTGCGTCAATTCCGCAATCTCGGACGGTCCGAACCTCGCCTCCGCGGCCGCACGCGCCTCAGCCTCGTCCCGCCCCACCACCCACCGGTCACTCTGTTCCGTTAGGAGCTTGCCGGAATCCGCCCGGAGGGTGACGTACCAGGCGGGGATGCGGTGGCCCCACCACAGTTGCCGGCTGATGCACCAGTCGCGAATGTTTTCCAGCCACCTGGGCAAAGGAAATGTGAGGTTGAGTAACCAAGGACATGCAGGCGGACCGCAAAACCACGAAAAGGCTGGGGGACGACCAAGAATCGCAGCGCTGCCGTTCAGATTTTGACGTCAAAAAATGGACGCTCGAGATCTTTTGTTAGAAGTTGGTCAGACACGGTTTGTCTAAAACCCGTAAAATAACCGGTCCTGCCAAAATCTGCGACCCCCTGCCTAAACCTTGCAGACTGGACTCCTTATGTTGGAATCGGACGGTAGCGCTGCGATTTCGACCATCGCGGAGTTCTGCGATCCGCCTGCATGGGCCTTTTGACGTGTCTCGGCGTACAACTGTCGGGCTCCAGATCGAGCGAAAAGGCCAGTTTTGAACACGCAAAAGCACATTAAATGAAGCCCATTGCGGGCCGGGCATGTTCTGCAGAGAAGCAGGATGCCCACGATGGCGCAGAAAGTGTCACGCTAGTGGCGTCTTGCCCGAGATGAAATGCGGCCTTCGGAAGATGAGTGTGTTGAATCACCATTGCGATACGTTGTCAAGGGTTTCTCGATGAGCTATCTAAGGTTTGTTACTCCCCAGAAACGAACAGAAGAAGCAAAGAGAGTGGCCGGACACGCATACTGAAGAACCCAGAAAAACAAATGAGGTATCGTCGCACCTGAACCAGACGTCCTTGAAGACAGGAGGCACAATCTCGAGCTCTCCGCTGCGGACCGCGTCGCACGCCGCCTTCGCCAGGTCGTCGCACTTGACGTACCACTGCGGCTTAATCATCGGCTCAATCACGTCCTTGCTGCGACTGCAGATCCCCAGCCGCATCGGGTTGTCCTGCAGGACGAATTTCGCGATATGAAGTTCGTTTAACGTACACAAACCTCAAAAGTGACAAGTTCCTAGACAGGGCTGACAGTGTTAAAAGACAGGTTTTCATAAGTAGCGCTGCAAGAGGAGTGTTGGGGGCTCAGAAAAGCGAAGCGCATAACGTCATAAAACGGCCTATCAAATCCAAATTATTACGTCCAAGGTCGCGGAACAAGCTTGGAGTCAGGAGAGCTGCAAACGACACATCCCGGGATCAATGCAATGTGCCTCAGAAAAGCACAGTCCGTCCCGTTGCCCTGAAAGCAAGGAAACTGGTCCTGTTGCGTAATCTATCAAACTACTCAGCCTGAATTCTAAACATCCATGGTTTTTGTGTAAACTTCCGCCAGTTGACCGAAATGACCCAGCTACTCTACAACCGGAGACAGTTCTATGCCTTATCCGCAATATAATCTCTCGAAAGACGAGGATTTAGAAAATTAGATTTGGTCATGAGTACATGAAAGGGGCTTTGAATGAAGCAAAGGTTAGCACGCCCTCACCGCAACTCCCCGATAGAGCCCCTTCTCCTGCAGCGCCGCGACCAGCAACTCCCGCACCTCGAACCGCTTCTTCCCCGCAAACTCCGGCCCGCCCGCATCGTTCACCAATCCGTCATCCGTGAGCATGTTGACAAACTCGAGGTTGTGCCGTTTCCCCACGGCGAAATCGTTTGGATCGTGCGCGGGGGTGATCTTCACGGCGCCGGTCCCGAACGCCATGTCAACCAGCTCCGCATCGCAGATGATCGGCAGGCGGCGGCCGTTGAAAGGGTGAACCACGAACTTGCCGTGTAGGTGGGCGTATCTGAGCGGGAAAGAAGTGGGTTAGTCGTTCTGATCTGAGCTTCGGCTTGGTTGCAACAGCAACGAAAAGTTTTTGTTAGCAAATGCCGCTCGGGGCTTGAAGGGCTGACCACGAACTTGCCGTGGAGATGAGCGTGCCTGAGGGGAAGCAAAAGGTTGAAGATGTGCGGCACGGGGGGGGAGAAGAGGGTCGATCGTGTCGGCGAAGGGCTATTGAAAGCCTTCCTCAACTTCCCGCTTCGTCTTGCAGCTGGAATCGAGCATTGGATATCAAAAGGGAACCGTCCGCGCATTCGTGGTCTCGATTATCACACCAACAGACAAATTCGGTGAGGCGACGCGAAAAGCTTGTTATGTATGGCTCATGCAGCGGCACAAGGTGCACCCATGTTTTTTAAGAGCCAACCGTATATGGAAAGTGGTTTGAAAATACAACAACTATGAAGGAAGCGTACAGACGCAATTCACAATGGCCCCTCACCGACGATCTGCATCGACCCCGGCGTCTTGTCTTAACCAAAACAGAGAACCCTCGTTTGTTTATTGTTCGAACAGAAAGTTCAGCAATCTGGAAAGGTCGCAGGTACAAAGTCCGCAAAGCAAGCCCCGCTCATCGAGGGTCTTCGAAATGCACAGCGTTGGTTCCCCTGATCATCTCTGACCGTCATGAATGAACGCTCCGGTTGACTTAACGTCTTTCAAGCGTCGGAATCCTGTCTCGGCCTGCCGGAAGACGCAAGTCTTTCAATCAGAATGTTGCCCTTTCAGACTTTTGCAGTTGTGAACCACACAAAAAGCGCTAGAGAAGCAAGAGTTCGGTTAGCAAAAAGGCGAAGACATTTGTCAAACGAAGTTTTCAACGTCATCGCCTTTTTTATCTCATCAATGTTCCAGATGAGTTCTTTCAAAGTTCTTGCTCAAGCCAATAAAGACTATCCCAGTATCCAATATTGAAAACCAGAAAACCAAAAGAACGAAACTTACCGAGGATCTTCCGGATGCACCGCCACCGCCGTATCGCCCAGCATCGTCTCCGGCCGCGTCGTCGCAACCACAATCTCCCCCTCGCCCCCTTCCAGCGGGTAAGCAAAGCTGGTTATCGCCCCAAACTCCACCAGGTTATCGCCGTAACCCGGCACGCGCAGCTTCTGCCGCCCGGTCAGTTCGACGTAGTCGACTTCGATGTCGGACACGGCGGTTTTGAGGACGCAGTCCCAGTTGACGAGCCGGTTGTCGCGGTAGATGAGCCCGTCTTGGAACATGCGCACGAAGGCCTCCTTGACGGCGTTGGAGAGCTTCTCGTCCATCGTGAAGCACTGCGGTAGAAAGAGGGAAAAAGTTCATCGTTTCGAAGTTTCTGTTTTGAGACTTTGCGGTTGTTAGAGGTTGGCGGTTGTCGCGGTAGATGGGCCCTACTTGAAATATGCGCACAACGGCCTCCTGACGGCGTTCGGGAATTTTCTCGTCCATTGTAAAGCACTAGACCTGATGAGGTCTGATAAGCTTCCGTGGCTTTTATGTTTCAGAAATATTGCCTTTCAAATCTTGAAAACTCGGGGTCGTAAAGTCAGTCGGGTATTGGAATTTGGAGTTCAAAAAAAAACGAAGCAGTCCCAGTTGACCAGACCGTACATGAGGCCTTCTTGGTACTTAAGCACTAAAGCCTCCTTCAAAAATTTCTCATTCTCCGTGAGGCACTGCAGGGTAAAGGAGTCTGTGGAAAATAAGGTCTCCGAGGCACCGTGTCTTCCGTGTTTATTGTTTTGGGGTCTCACCAAGACTTCATCCACCTCGACCAAAGCGGAAGCCGCGGTTCGAAGTGATAAATTGGAAATCAGACGGAGACACCATCTCCCACGTGTATCAATCTCGGACGGACACAAAGGCATACCAGAGAACTCGCGAAGTGTGGCATTGTATACCAGTCAACAAGGCGTTTGAAAGCAGAAAAACAAGCGCTTACTTGGTCGGACATGCCCTTAAAAACACCTTGGGCAGCAACTCCCTTCAGACCAACCGATAAATCTGAGATCCTCTCTGTAGAGTCCACTTATGCCAGATGCGCAAACAATGCCAGGACCCAATCGACCGCTCGATAGTGAAGTCGGTATAGCTAATCCGGATACAAAAAATCGAGATCTTTATCACCCTCTGAGAATCTGGCCGTGCAGCGTACCTGGCGCGACCAGTCCACGGAGGAGCCCAGCCGGCGCAGCTGCCCGAAGATGGTGTCGCCATACTCGTTCTTCCACTTCCACACCTCCTCCACGAACTGTTCCCGCCCCAGGTCGTGCCGGGTTATGTGCCGCTCCTTCATCAGCTTCTTCTCCACGACCACCTGAGAGACAGGGTTACGCAGGCGGGTTAAGGATGCACGAGGGTACGGTTACCGAGAAATTATGCGTCGCTCCATTAGCTTCTTGTTCACACCACCTAGAGAAACAAGGTTCAGCTGGCGGGTTAAGGATGCAGTAGAGTATGCGCTGGAGGATGAACCAATTCCAGCGAGCTGGGGGCTTTTCCTCAAAAGCCTGAACTTCCAAGTCCTATTCCAACAAATCTTTTTGATCCATCCCCGTCGCCTCATGTAGCGGGCCAGATATCGTTAATGAAGGTGAGGACGAGATATTACGGAGGTTTAAGATTGACTTGGAAGGGCGGTTGGGCATGGTCTGAATGAGGCTTCAATTGCTGCAAGGAGCCTAGCGTTCGTGGGCTCCTTCTCGACCATCACTGGCAACAAGATGAGATCGTACACTTTGTTTAGACGGCAAAGCGGGAAAGCTGGAAGGTTCGAGCGGTAAGTCTGACAACGACAAACCGATACAGATGAAGGGTAAGTCCACAACAGAATGTGGACGAAAGAAGTCAACGGAGACAAAGACTTGAGGGAAGGGCGTTTAATGGCTGCATGCGCCTCCAGATTTTTTTACTAGTCCAGAATGAGCAGTCCGGTCAACGGAGCAACCCACCTGAGTAGCAATTCCCGCATGGTCGGTGCCTGGAACCCACAGCGTGTTGTAGCCGCTCATCCGCTTCCACCGCACGATCGTGTCCTGCAAATGGAAGGCAGCCACGTGTCAACACACGCTGAATTTACGGGATGGCCTGGAGGTTAGGGACTGCGTGGGGCTTTCAGTACAAGACGGCGGTTTTGGTCACATGGGTCAGGCAGATGTTACTAGGGGTCCTACTTCATTATGGAGCATGAACAAAGCGGAACCCCTCACGGCTATGAGAAAGCCGTCGAATCTAGACGAAACACCTCCAGTTGCAGCCGCAGAGACAATGAATACGGGGTCGTTGTGAATGGCAACACTGAAGCTAAGAAAAAATGGTGCCCAGATACCAACAATTGCAAGTGAACTAGAGTAGTAGTAAGAAAAAGAAGCCAAATTTTTGCGGACGGGCTTGCCTGGATGGCGTTCGTCAGGGCATGGCCGATGTGCAGAGCTCCGGTTACATTCGGCGGCGGGATGACCTGGCCGGAAAAAGAGAGAGCTTGAGATCTCAAACGCTCTCATAGTATGAGAAAGTGATTGAAATGCACAACAAGTATCCTGAGGCCAGAAATTGTGCATCTCTTTGTGTCCGCGAGCTGATCATGCGTTCGAGCACTTGCAGCTCGAGAGAAAACCGGATCGCCTGAGTCCAGGTTAAAGAGCGGCTGAGCGCTTTGGGGAGAGGAGGTTGACCAAGTACCCTTTACCACACAGAGCCCTTTCGACACCGATGCGACACTTTCGTACGTCCCACTATACCGGAACGCAGTCTTTAGGGTGGAGGAGCGATCTCCAAACAACGGTCAAACAAGATGAAACACGGCCTTGACGCAAGAGATCGCTGCGCTTGGCCGAGCGCTATCTCCTTACTACGCTGCAACTCAAGAACTGCAGCGAGAAAAAAGAACACAACGAGAGAAAGCAGATAAGCAAGAAGGATGTGCTCACGATGACGTAGGGTGGCTTGTCGCTCTTCAGGTCGGGCTCGAAAAAGCCGCACTTGGACCACCACTCGTACCATCTGCAGAAGATGGCAGGAAGTGACGTCACTCGGCCGCTCAAAACGTCACTGTCCGGCTCGTGGATCTGTCACAAATCCGTTCCGAAGAAAGGGGCGCATACTAACACAGCTGTGATCTAAGACAGCGAATTTTCAGTACAATAAGGAAAACGCACATCCTCCTTCGGAGCAAAGAGAGTAGAGACTCGCCCCTTCGAACACCAAAAACACCGTTTCAATGATGGAAGGAAGCAAGAGAATGAGAGCCAAAACACAGATTCCGTTAGCAGGCTCCCGGCGACCGGGAAAGCAGGATTGAAGGAAACCAAAAACGGGGCATGCAATCACGAGACAGCAGGCAACAGACTGCAAGATACTAGTAGACTTCTATCTACTCACGAGGCTTCCACTGCCTTGGGATTGAAAGCGGGGGCCATTGCAGGTGCCAGCTGTTTCTTCTCCCCTGGTGTTGTGGGGGGGTCTGTCGAGTCCGCCTGGAGGGCTCCTTCCGTGGGGCCGGCTTTCTTCTTCTTGTCGGCCTTTTTGGCGTTGCCATCGGCGCCGCCCTTGCCCTGAGCGGGTCAAATCCAAAATGCAATCGTATGCGTAGTTGAGGTACTAGCTGCTAGCTATTGTCTAACCTGCCTTTTCTGGGGGTCTACCTGTACGCTGCCTTTCCTGGTTTTGAAAACATGTGAAAATTGAAAACAGACGTAAACGTCTCGCTCATCCAAATGCTTAACAGCAAACAAGATGATTACAGATTCAACACCCAGGGCTTTAAGAAAGGCAGAGGCTTCCGATACTGGTGCTCCTGCCAGTAATACTGGATGGCAAGGAGACTTGGTTGGAAGGCGACTCACTTTGGCATCCTCCAATGCCTTGGCTGCCGCCGCTTTGGCTGCGGCTTTCGCCTTCTTTGCCTCCTTTTCTCTTGCCTGCAGAAGCTGCTAAAAATCAGAGACTCGGCAGTGAGTTAATAGAGCATCTTGCCTGGAAGTTTCTAAGTGGTCCGATCTTGGCTGAGGCTCCGTTCCAGAAGACTGGGAGGCGGTCTAAAGAACTGAGGGCCTGTCCCCAAAATCTTAGAGACTGTTGGAAAAAGCCTGCGCCGCTGTCAAAGTCGATCATGAGAGGCCGTGCTGAATATGGCAAAGAAAATTTCCATGATGAAACTGACAGGCTGTGTGCACAAGGCTGGTAAGCTTCTGTCAGCACGTCTGACAGAATGGCCTCTGAAAGCCCCTCAATCTTGCCCCAGACTGATACGAAGAAGCATAAGAAGGTCTCGCCCTGACACTCTGGATCCATCAGGTGTGTTCCTCTGAAATGTCTTCGACAAGTACAGTCTGGCGATGCGCCCCACCTTCTCTTCCTTCTTTTTCTTCTTCTCCGGGTCTTCTTCCTCTTTAGGTGCGTTCGCTGACGCGGGGGCAGGGGGCGCCGCATCGGCGGACAAGTTCAGAGCCGCCATTTTTTCAGGCAGCGGAGCCGCCTCCGCTGCCCCGTTGGCCTGCAAATTCAGCAATGATGAGACGTGCTTGGGTTTGTTAGCGGCCTGTTTCTTGCGGAGGTGGCATCGACTAGACCAGTCTCTGCTTTTGTTGAATTTTCTGCCTACCTCGAGCAATAAATCATTATGGTCATCAAGTGAAGGAGTCAATGAGATGGTCAAGATGCAGTAAGTTGCAAATGCTTGGAGAGCCAGGTAGCTCTGAAGAGGTTCAAATAAAACACCACTCCCTGATTTTTGTTTTTGGATCTCTGTGCATGGCACAGATGCATTATCCTGCTTCAAGTAAGGCTACGTGGTTAAACAATGACAAAAACCCTGGCCAACACTACAGACCCCTTCATTGACAACCACTTCATTGTTCATTAGGAGTGGCAGACAAAAAAGAAACAGAACTGCAAAAGTGATGCACAACAGCCCAAGCGCAGACGTGCAATCAAAATTGCCGGCCAATGATCTGCTTACTACATACAAAATCAATGAGGAAGGCGGAATGACGAGTACGCCCATTCTGGAGCTATTGGTCAGCAATCACTAACCCCATCAAGAGACGCCATCTCCTGTGTATGGCCGGCCCTACTAGCGACACAAAGTTCGCCGGCTTCCCCCAACAGCTTTTTCTGATTTGCCTTGAAACAGAATGCCAGATGACATGGAACAGAATGTCCCGGTTTAGAAGGAACTCAAAGGCTGAACTCTTCCAGTGCCCTATCTGCAGAAGAGCGCTTCGCCAGCCCCTTCAACCCCCGCAGCACACAGAACACAATGCCGACTTGACGATTCTCAATGTCTCATGCAGCAGGCTGCAGCCTGCTGCCTCCAGGAGTACTCGGGAGTTGTGTCACCGTCACGTTCAAGTTTGTAAACGGTAAAGGTCTCTAAACATCGGTAACGGCTCTATTAGATAACCCAATCGCAAACCTGCACTAGGAGTAGACTGTAGGAGACCACACGTTAGATCACAAATGGGGCATGGTATAAATGGGTTCGATGTTGGTTTAGGAACTAGAGAGAGGGAGCATTTGCTACCTGATTCAGAACTGTTCATCTAGTATTATGGTTGATTGGCTCTCCGCAGTAAAGTGCTTTACACTTTTATCTAAGACACTTTAATTGTCTGTAGCTAGATTGTCAGGCATCCAGGTGGTTGAGGCCAATTGAGCCCTTGCACAAAAACAGAGGAGAGGTTGGTTCAGCCACGCTTGGGCAAACTGCGATGGTGCGAAAGTGTGTACTTTGCGATGAAAGACGCGCCGTGTTGCGCAGGCCGAAAACGCACCAGCAGGTAAACAGCTTGTCTCAGCCTTGTGTCTTTTGGTCTCTTTACGAATGTTTTGAATGATGGCTCCTGCCGAGACGGAAGGGATGATGTACTTGCAGTTTTTGACGTTTCTAAAAATGTTTCCAACGTGTGATGCCCAAGCCCCTACGTACACAACTTTTTGCTTTCGATGAATTGGTGGTGTGTTTGCTCATTAAGAAAGAAAATTTTTGAACAGCAGCAACGACTTTCTAAAAGGGATCAATGTGTAAAAACAGGGACTTCAGTCACTGCACTGATTGAAAGGAAAGAGGAAGAAGAAAAAAGTACAACGGATGCCAGTGGTGCCTCAAAACAAGTGGAGCTAAGAGTTTCACAAGCAGCTATTTCACGATCCACGTCTCAGTAGCTTGAGTCGAGCTGTTGATTGTTTTCAAAATCTCTGTTGAGGGATTACTTTCTTCTTTCTGAATCATAAGCAGCTGCAGAAGTTGCGTGCAAGTAGCTGTTTCTCTCCTTCCTCTTCTTGTTGATTGTGCAGCTAAGGTGTAGAACAGTATCTGGAGAATTTCATCATTTAATTTGTGCATTCTGAAACCGACATGGTAACTAGAAGTCTACAGGGCATGTGCGGTCCCCCCTGTGACTACAGTTATCTGTTTGCGGAAGGGAGCCAGTTTGTGTGGACTCAGACGTTCCCGATTCCCAGAATCTCTCCTACCAGTCATGCTTGAACCCAGCTCCTTGATATCATCGTTTCTTTTATCTTCAGGGTCGATCTCCCTTCGATAACACCGTTTCTTTTTAACTGCTTCTCTTCTCTCAGTTTGTGTCTCTATTTCTACCTACCCGAAATCCGACTCTACCCACCGAATCACTATTCATCTGATCATGACTGACCTCTGAAAACAAGTCTGTTTCCCCTGGCTACCCTGGCCCTTCGTAGAAACGCCTGTTCAGCCAAATTGGTTCGGTTCTTCCCTGCTCAAACTTCAGTCTTTTCTGTTACTCCCAGGTATGTAAGGACTGCTTCTTTGCCGCATTTGAGGATGAAGTGCACCGCACAATAATTGACAACCGGCTGTTCAAACGGGGGGACAGGGTTGCAATCGGGGCATCCGGGGGCAAAGGTTTGTCCTTCTGCATATTCTGGTTTGCCTACTTGGTTCAAGTAAAGTTTCTTGCGGAATCACACAATTTCGAAGGATATGAAGTCTGTTTCATCACCGACTTGGGTTTGGTGTCGACCTGAAGTTGATTTCGTTTCTGAGCTGGGTTAGCTTGAAAAGCTGGGGTGGTCATCGTGACTTTTGGTTAGGCTATCCAAGAGCAGCCAACTCATGCTGTGATTGTGTGTGCGGCAATGAAGAGCAGGTGTATCCTATTATTCTCTTCTAAGATTCCTGTCAGAATCCTTTTCCCCCACGCATGCGGAACTGTGACAAACCCATCAAGTGGCAGAGGTTTGCAGCTTTCTCCACAAATCACCAGTTATTGTTATATGACCATATTGAAGCGAGAGCTTGGCAGGGAAGATTGTCAGTAGCAGGGAGTTACGAAAGTAGAGCGCTGTATGGTAGCTGGCCGCAAGTCTGTATTGACTATCACAAGCCAGGTCTTCTGGAACGTCAGCAAGTCACGGGAGCCTTATCTGTCGGTCAGATCATACTTCCCTAAGATTGAAATGCTGATCTATCTACTCATCAGAGAAGCACTGACTAACAACGGCACAAGATGCGCTATTCCCTTCACGCCCCGGTCTCTGCTGTCGGCCGGCTCTGATGTCTGTATCAACAAGGACACGTTTGCGTGTGAGTGTGACTCTTTCTTCTCCGTTCGTGGACCACATTCGACGGTGTTGGCGGTCATTTTGGAAGCAGTTCGTGCCTCCTTTCAGCCAACTTTGACGCTGTGAAAAACAGGGGAGTGTTTACTGCGTGCCTAGGTTTCAGCCGGCTTGGACGCTGTTTATGATTAAACTGAACTTAACCTCCAGTTATAACCATAGTACTCTGCTCGTGCACCAGATTCGACGGTGCTGGCGTACATAATGAAGCTGTTGAACGACCGGCACGGCTACGGGCTCGACCTTTTCCTGCTGTCCATCGACGAAGGCATCACTGGGTACCGAGACGACTCCTTGGAGACGGTCAAAAGGAACGAGGAGCAGGTGAGAGGGGTCTTATCTACCGGTATCAGAATCATGTTTGTTTTGGTGGTTTAGTGCAAATCGGGCACGTTTTCCGGTCGGGATGACCTCGGTCTGCGGAGGGAGCAACTGTTCCAACAACGAGTGCGTTATCGAACTTCATTCCGCTTCCTTACAGTACGGCATCTCCTTGAAGATTGTCTCCTACAAAGAGCTCTTCGGCTGGACGATGGACGATGTTGCGCGCAAAATCTGACACAAACTAGTATTGACCTAACACACGAAGATGAAGATTCCAGGCCGCGGTTTTCTGTTTTGTACAGTACAGCATCCCCTTGAAGATTGTCTCGTACAAAGTGCTCTACGGTTGGACGATGAACGAGATCGTGGCGAAACCTGACACAAACCAGGGTTGACCTAACACACGAACATGAAAATCTTAGGCTGCAATTCTCTGTTCTCTACAGTACGGCATTCCCTTGAAGATCGTCTCGTACAAGGAGCTCTACGGCTGGACGATGGACGAGATCGTGCGCGAGATCGGGCGTAAGAACAACTGCACCTTCTGCGGGGTGTTCCGGCGGCAGGCGCTCGACCGGGGGGCCGCGGCGCTGCGCGCGACCAAGATGGTCACGGGGCACAACGCGGATGACGTGGCAGAGACGGTGCTGCTCAACATTTTGCGGGGCGACATCGCCAGGTGGGTTTTGGGATTCGGAAATGCTTTTGGCAGAGTTTGGGGTTTGGTATCGAGGGTTTGGGGAGAACGTTACACCCATTCAAAAATCGGCAACGACTTTGATCGGCCTCCGTATTGTCGCCAGGCAGAGCCGATGCGTGGCGAACCCCACGGTTAAAGGCAGAGTTAAGCAACTGCATTTTCGACACCCGCCACTGAACCGCTAATGGAACCCATCCGCCGTCGACGTATCTCCAGGCTCAGCCGACGCACGACGACCTTTCGATTTGTCGAGCTCAACGTCCGCTGTCGTTCAAGCATACGTCGACTCATTACCAGCATACCGTGTGACGATTTAAGCGCGCAGGCAGAGTGCCCTCAGATATTGGGCTGAGGGACAACGTACCTGTAAAGAACGGTCGGCTGTGTTGAAAATCACGACAGATTGAGATTGTTCTGAACGTTTGACACCTGTTACCAAACCGCTCAAGCCTTTGATCGACCTTCTTCGTGTCGCCAGGCTCAGCCGATGCGCGGCGATCTCGACGGGAGACGACGGGGCCCTCCCTCGTAGCAAACCGTTTAAGTACACGTACGAAAAGGAGATTGTGATGTACGCCTACTTCAAGAAGCTCGACTACTTCTCCACCGAATGTGAGCTCCTCTACTTCCAGTGTCCTTTTCCTTCTTTATTCACTCGCTTCTGTTCCCTGTGTGCAAATCTATCGAGAATATACAAAAGGAGATTTGTGATCAAGGCCTTCTTGAAAATGCTCAGTTTGCCTCTCCACAGACCATTACTTGCTCGTGCCAATTACCCTCTCTCGTTTGCGTGCTGAGGCGTTCGATTTAAAGCGCGTGCGAAACGGACAGTGGAACTTGTCCGTGTCGTCAGAAAGCTCCCCTGCAACTCCAATGGAATGCGAGTTGCTCCTTAGCCAGATTTCACAGGCGGCGCTTGCACACATGAGAACAGCGGGCAATGCTTATGATCCTTCACGTTCTCATGCTTGGTTGCCTGGCTAGTAAAAGACCCCTTTTGAAGCAGTAAGATCCGCCCACATCGTTCCGTTCCTAGAGGAAAGGAACGAAGCGAGTCACGCTCTCCCCACATGCATGCGGTGATTATTTGCTGGTCGCTTTGACGCAGGTATATACTCCCCAAATGCTTACCGGGGTTTCGCTCGTGAGTACGTCAAAGACCTAGAGGCGATCAGGTGAGCAGTCTCCACTGCTTCTGAGCGTTCGCGTTTCGTTCATCAGGAAGAATGAAGTTTCGTGCCCGCACGAGCTCTAAAGGTTTAGAGCAGCTACAGCAGGCTTCGTACGGTATCGACGCCGACTCATTCGTCCACCCCGGGTGTTTCCATCTTTTTACGAAATGCCATTTTGACAAACGGCCATCCGTCATTGGCTCCAAGAACAGCCATCTTAGATGGAGCCCATAGCTCGTTCTTCTGAACGCAATCGTCGTATCTAGCAGCCAGGCCTCAACTTTTATTGCAGTAAGTGAACCAGCCAATGTGCTCTTTCGTAGGCCGCAAGCGATCCTCGACATCATCCGTTCCGCCGAGGAGTTCCGCTTCTCGCTGACGGCCAAGATGCCGGAACAGGGCACGTGCGAGCGTTGCGGGTACATCTCCAGTCAGAGGTGGTGCAAGGCGTGCGTGTTGTTGGAGGGCCTCAATAAAGGTCTCCCGCAGCTAGGGGTTAGCAAGAGCAGAGGGAGCGCAAAAGCGCCGAGCGCTTCCTCTCGGACGCCCATCTTTTTGGCCTGAGGAATCATGTGTGAGTACTTGAGATCATATGAGCGCGGCAATGATGGCGTATAGGTGCTTGATGTTGCATGCCATGGACTTATGCGGAGCCCTAGGACGCAGCCCACAGTACCGTCAGCATGTCGAGTCCCGCGATCCACTCCAAGTGTCCGAAAGTACTATAACACATGTGTTGGAGAACTTTGTGGCTGGCTAGGCTTCTTGTCCGGTTGACCATCAAGCGTTACCACTTCAGGGGGCTCTTCAATGGGGGACTAGGTGCGATGAGTTTGCGGTAATTGGTTGGTGGAAAGGCGTTGCACTGTAATGTCTATACTGGCGGTCAGGTGCCAGCGGCTGTTCAAGCGTACTTACCGCGGCATGGTTTGGTTTCAACTAAAACCTTAAGAGTGCCGGTACAGCCTGCTGTATCGGCTCGGTGGCAACTGCTAGCACGGGCCCCTTGTGGCTTGTCGTAGCAAGAGCTAAGGGCCCTCTGCTCCCTTGAAAGACAATTGTGACGTAATAAGTGGACATGTGCTAGCTGGAGCCTGGGTTGTCAACAAGGCCGTAGCCGGAATTGCAAGTACCGGCAGTGGGTAGGTCCTATAATGCGCGCGTTCGACAGGTTCTCGATACGGTATGCTGCCCGGCCCCATGCAGGGCCAGTACGTAAAACACTGAGGGCCTGGAGGCTGGTTTGCAAATTATCAATGCAAATTAGCCTGCTGAAACCTCTGGACGATCGCCGCGGCTCGGTTGGCTGTAGAATTTTATCGACGGTTGCTAGTACACCACGTGGTCTGACAGGGTTTGTCAGACGGATTCTGACTTCTGACAGTGACAACACCCCATCATGCACTAGGCTCTGGTTAGAACCCGCGAAAGCTGCGCAGCGCTAGGCTGGCCGGCTGTATCACAAGCCTGTGACAAGGTACGGTATCCAACAGCTAGAGGGTACAGACTCTGCCTCGGAACGTACAGCAACGTAGTGCTCAGGAAGTGCGCATCATATAGGGAGCGATGATTTGGCAGCTCTGCGCACCAATCAAACTGCTCACGTGGCAAAGCCGGTACTAGTACTGAACAGTACTAAACCCGGAATAACGTAGTCCAGCTCAGTCGCATCTCATGTAGATCTCAGTGTGAGTCTTCAGACAGTGGGGACGAAAGTCAAACTGACATGGTGTCAGGGTTGAAGGGGTGTGCGCCCTACGTACCTACGATTGGAATAGGTAGGGCCGGTTGACTCTACTCTACTCTCGCGAACCAGCTGAAAGCAGAAGGCGAAGCTGTTACTGTGGCAAACGGCAGCTTTCGAAGCTGATTACTGATCTGCATCTTTGGTTGGTGGACTTTCAAGCTGGGTTAAAGATCTGCGAAAGTGGGACTCTGGAAGAGTGCAAGTACAATAGGGTACACCACCGCAGGTGCTGCCGCCTGCGCCATTCCAGGTGAAAAGTACGTTTTCTGGCGAAGTAGGTATTATGACCTCTTGCGTCGGGCCAATTACCTCCGTGTACGTGTACCTATCATTGATGGTTATTTACGTACGCTTCCCCATAGCCTTCGGTAAGTCCAGATTTCAAAGAGGAAGCTTGTCAAGTCCCGAGACCCCATCGTCAACCAGCGCAAAACTCCGTGCATGACAATCGCCTCGTCTCTTTCTCCTGGTTCGATCTCCGCTTGGGCGCCAATCATCAGCTGAGTCTCTCTGGTTCAGGGTCGGCGCTGGTTCCTTCGGAGGGGCGAGTCGCCTTCTTTACGAAGAACCAGCGCCGGCCCTGAACCAGCAGCACCAAGAGTGCATCCGTGGATCAGCATTCTGGAGACAAGCAAAGCTTTGGAGTATTTAGGATGCAGGCATTTGCTTTTCACCGCGTCTGCAGAGAATCCAGACAGCTTTCCTTCGAGTTCATTCGAGCCAACAGTCATCGCTCAGCATCAGCAAGCAGCAGGTCAAACGACTGTCAATCCGCCAGGAGTAAAACGTGACCGACAGTCAAGGGATGGCGACCAACCCGTCCACTCAGGGGAGGCCACGTGGCGAGTTCCTGCACGAGACGCGGGGCGGCGTGGCGTTCACAAAGCTGCCGATCCTGCGGCACGTGCTGAAGAAAGAGGTGCGCACGCCGACAGCTGTCTCATTTAAGAAGAGTGGTGGATTGAAGAGAAGCTGTTGAAGCATTCTTTGTATCCTTTTGTGAGATGGAGTCACGGTCCATTCAAAGGGCCTCAGGCGTTCATCTGCTGCCATGATTTGAAAAGGGTAATGGAGAGGGGCACAATAGAGTGAAATGAAAGGAAGATAGCCTTTTGGGAAGCTGGCGAGACCTCTGGATGATTTTGAAACCCAAGGGTTCTCTCCAGCTAGACAGTTGAATATTCCCTCGTAGTCTCAATCATCAGGTCTGTATCTGGAAGCAGTAACTTCTGGTCTCAGCAAAAAGACTCTGCTTCTATCTTTCCCTATCCCGTTGGTGGTGCGACTTCCCAGGTTGTGCAATAGGTAGTGCACATCAGTGTAGCAAAAAGCGACTCAATGAGAAGTCTGACTGCAAAGCACCCTTCCAACCGCCTCTCTATGTCAACTTCTGTGCATAAGCCAACTTAGAGCGTTTGGAGGTGAGCACCAAGATGTCGCCTGCCCGCTTTGCTCCCTTAGAAAACAAGATTGCCCTTCTCTGGTTTATCATGAAGTTCTGACCCCACAGAAACCCACAAGCGGATTGAGCAGCTAACAAGCTCGGAAGTTGCACTAGGGCATTCGAAACTGGATGAGCTGGAAATGAAAGTTTATTCGCTACTTTACGAAGTTGTATTCTCACGATGCATTTCGATGTAGCTGCGGCCCTGACCCTCTTTCCTTTCCTTCGCAGCTGGTCCCTATCATCCCCCTCTTTGCCGCCATGGGTGCCGCCATTGGAATGGTCGGCTGGATCTGTGCCAGGGAGCTTTTGGGCTCCCCTGAGATTCGAGCCAGGTGAGGGAAACTCCGACTCAATCTGCCGAGCGGCCTTTGGACCTGAAGATATTGCCGCAGTTGTAAGCTCCGAAGATGTTGCAAAGCGGATGAGAGGGAACGTCCATCCCAGAAAGTGACCTTTCAGCTGAACGTGATTTGACTGCTTGAGTAACAGTCCTTGGAACTTTAGAATCACCATTTTCCTCCATAAGACCTTCAGATCGACTTTGACCTAGCGAACCAAGTTGGAGAACTGGCCAGAAGACTTCAGTGTTAAAGGCTGCTCCAGACTCCACAAGAAATCATAAATGGAAAAACTGCCTGCTTGCTTGTGTCCTACCATGTGGCTCGACAAAACCTTTTCACAAAGCTGCACTCCAACAATCCTCTGCCTCGTATTCTTTCCCTGCTTTCAAGTTTGCTCAGTTTTAAAGGCACTCTCTCACCTTGCAGATTCCATTGCTTGTCTCAGTCAAGCGCTTGTGCTGCTTCTGTGGTGGTTCACATAGATCATCGCTGCAATTTGACCCGAAACTCGAGGCTCACTGACAAAGTAAACCGCTCTTCTCGCTGCCTTTAGGCTGAATAAGACCACGCGCTCGACAGGAGTTGCCGAGCTCGAAGACCCGGACCGCATGGAAGAGTTGGGCAAGAACCACCTCAAGAAAACTTTCCTCCGGGACTTTGTTCGGGTGGGTGTTTTCTCCCCACTCTAGTTCCCCAGATTATAGTCTCAGTCACCTTACGCCACTGTCTAGTTGCTTCAAGGTGTCTTCACTTCCCCCGAAACACTTTTCCGCAGGCCGTTACTTCCCTCGGGGTCCTTTTCCCCCAACTCCTAGTCTTCCCAAGGTCTCTTTCTTTCCAACCTTACTAATCTCAGATCTTTTTGCCTTTTGAATTTCTTGCATTGCTTCGCAGAATCCTCCTCTTGCCTATCCTCAGTTGCTCCAAGCTCTTTCTTTTCAACTCCTGGTCACCCCAAGCACTTTTCTTCCCAGCCTAGACTTCTCAAGCCCTTCTCTACCCTTGCTAATGCCCATCCTGAGTTCTCGAAGTAGAAACCGACTTCCGTTTGCAGAACCGTCGATCTGACCGGTGTACTCATTCTCTTTCTTGCAGAACCCCATGTTTGCGCCCATTCTGTGGTTCCAGGCGATGCCCAGCAAATTCGAGTACAAGGAAAATCCAGTAATCGTGCAGATGAGGGAAAACGCTGCCAAAGAGTGAGTCGCTCTGTTTCGGTGTCAGCTGCTCTGCCTCTTTGAGTGACCAATCTATTTCACACATTGCGATCCTATGATAAGAACTAAAAGGGCTCGCAGAAAACATGTTCCTATTATAAGCGAATCCAATTTGCTATGCTTGAAAGGGCTCACGAAAGTGAGTTGTCTCAAAGAAACTGGTCTGTTACTAGGTGTTGGGTGCGGTTAATCTGGATGCTCGACACCATAACACCGTCGGTGTCCAGAGACCGTCTCTCCTACGGAACGCAGAGCTCTTGAACTGAGTTCAGATTGCCGCACGCAAACAGCCGTGGAGAACAAGTTGTGCTTCAGCGGATTTACCTGCCAGGAGTGACAATCGCAAGTCGCACTTCTAGATGGCTGCTTCCGGAAAGTCTGGCTGCAGCCTGAACAAGAATTCCGTGAAAGGGAGAACTTCATCTTCACAAATGGAAAGAGACTTCGCACGGTAAAAAACAAAACAAAAAAGAGTAGTACTTAGCCAACGAAAGCGGCCACGCTGACCGCTGGAGCGTCGTTCTACAGGTCAATCAAGGGCGGCGCGCAATCGTAAAAGCAGTTCCCGCAATCGCGGAGGTTCGTCTGATTTAAGTGCGCCCCCGCCCACATTCACCGACCGAACAAGACTTCCAAGACGGGTGGCGCGGCTTGAACCGTCAAAAAGACTTCCGAATCGACAACTGCTCGTGTGCTTCACAACAAGAGCTGCCACGAAAACATCTAGAGAAGCGATCTAGACGGTTTTTGACGGCGGCGACTTCCGACTAGGATCGCCGGCATCAGGCAGTCAAACGTCATTGCCGTTTCTAGAAATGGCCTCGTGCACGGGCGAGAAAACGTAGTTACAGAAATTCGCTCGGTTTGCTTTGCAGCGACAGGCAGGCCAACAACCTTCGACGGACAGCACAGATGTAAGTAACAGTGCATTCGGTTATATAGTTCATGCGTTACGTAATACCGATAGACAATAGGTATTACCATTCGATAGAGAGCTCACGTGTAAGTAACAGTGCATCGCATTAGCATTTACGCGTCGAAGGAAAGCGGAGCAGACCAAGAGGCCGGTGCCGCGCCGGACTATGATTGGAAAGAACAGGTCAGGATCGACGCACTGCATTCATGCTCTTTTCCCTCTCACACTAGTTTGCACGAGAACTTTCGCCCCCCGGTGACAATTGCCCTTCGTGCCTCGTGTCAGAAGTAGTACTGTAGTACGGCTGGCTCGATGATCAAACAAGCGGCATGTTTCTGTGGTTATGATTGTGGCATGGATTGCACCACCGCAGTACGATTCAATGAGCTAATATGAAAGACGCTTTTATCATTTTTGCTTCGAGTCTAGTACTCTTCCATCGTACTTTCGGCCATATGCTCATCAATTTGAAATCGTGCGGAACGATCTGTATGGAATCAGGTCTGTTCATGGCACCGCAGGTTCATTGTGCCGTCCGAATTACTGAAATTTCTAATCCAATGTATATCACAGTCTGTATCCTGGTCAAATGTGTCAGCGTTTACAATCAACTGCAACGTGTCGAGCCCATGGCTTGTAGGTTTGCAGATTCAATTCAACCAGTCCCTTCGTATCTTTGAATCAACTGCCAAGCCTCTTGATCAGATGTTGCTCTGGGACGAGATTGACAAGAACGCAGTTCTGAGAAAGTTATGTACGTCACATGCCTTGCCGCAACGAGGATCGGTTCATCATTTCCTTTTCACCGCTTGAATCCGGTTGACAACCCAACGCTAGGAGAATGAGTAGGTATGTATACCCAGCCCATTCACGTGAGTCGCTCGATGAAACATTCCATAGCACTGAAAGACTCGCTTATTATAGTAGCCGATTCTCGACGTGCTTGCGTGCATGCACAATGAGCGTGATCTGTACCGGCACGTTTCCATCATGATTTGTCCTTCGTCTCAGCTCTGAGTCTTGTGAGTCCCTCCCAACCTGGACTCTCGTCCTCCGTTGAACACTGAACGTGCAGTATCTCGAGTGGTTGAGATTCTCTCATCCGCTGCTGCCATACCGCCACGTGGGCCCCGGTTGTGGGCACCGGAATGACGCGCCGCGCCCGCGAGCGCGTGGCACCCGCGCCCACGTCGCGCCCTACTCGCTCCGTGCGCGCGCCCGGCCGCGAAACGCGGCTCCACTGTCTGGATCGCTAGTTCTTGAACTCTAGGACCTAATCGTGTTCTAATCGTGTGCTCTGAAATCTGTTCATGCTCTCTAAATGCTCCTGGAGGGAGGAAGTTCCGCATTACCGGCAAGCGCCAAAGTGCGCGCGCGAGCTGTCTCAGGACGGCGCGAGCTATCTCAGGAGGCTACTATCCGGTCGGACAGCTCGGACTTATTTGCGAATTATAAGCGGCAGGTATAATAATCTCGCCAGCCTGGGACGGGTGGGGTTCGTTCGGGGGTTATGGTGGGCACGGGTGCGGAGCAGGTAGATTGTGGGGTTAGGGTTTCAGTGTTAGTTGGAGCTTATTACTGTATACCTGGCTCTTATTATACCTAAATTAGTCCGTCATCGGTCGGACTGTTCCCTTCTGACCGAGTGAGGGCTGCGGTTGGAAAGCCCCGCAGACTCACTGACGCAGACACCATGCACGAAGACGACTTGAAAAATAAAGCAGCCCTCGGTGCAAGCGATAGTTGCCAGACAAAAATCCCAAGCTGAGACCTCATACGACAGTTGCGATAGGCTCCATTTCAAAACCACCGCGCGCTCTCGGCGCAGGTCCAAAGTCTGTTCTTTTTGCTCTGTTGGACATCCACGGGGACTGAGATGCTGACCTTCTATCAAGGGAAAACGTGCTTGTGCCGGTGAAGAAGGTTGAGAAGAAATCTGCATCAGAGTGCTGGAGCAATGGCGGATTCGCGCAATGCGGACCACCCGCGCGCGCCCTGCGGCTTCCCAGACCCGCCCTCGGGGGAAGCTAGCGGGGAGTTCATGCACGAGAGAAAGAAGCTGACGCCGGTCACCCGGCTGCCTCTCCTGAGAAAGATTCTGGCGAAGGAGGTAAGAGGCCGGGGTTCGAGTCAAAAGTGGAGGCTTAAGTCTTCTCTGCGTCTGTGAAAGAGGAGGATTTGTGGTGGTCATAATTTCCTGGATGCCCCAGCAGATTCTTTGAAGACAGGTGATGAATTTTGACCTATAGATGCTGCTGGCGTCCAACGTGAGGAGGAGAGGGTGCATGCAGCGTTCCATGAACGGACAATTGACTCTTCCCTTCATTTGAAAGGGTCCAGCAAAACTCGTCGAACAACTGTATGCGAGATCAGCGAAATGTGTTTGGCGGCCTTCGATTGCATGCCTTCTGGTAATACACCATTTCTGTCTGATAAGCTTTCGTCTAAACTGCTGAGCAGAAGAACCTTGTTTGCGATACATGCGACGATCTCGCCTCCTCACGCCTGGGTTCTCGTGCTGCAATAGAGCATTCAAAAAGTGTATGGCAGTGCAAGGGCAATTGAGAATCACCAGATTTGCAGAAGATTCTGAAATCGAGTCAGATGTGATGCCTTCAAACCAAACGAGATGGTAGAAACCAGTCTTTTGTTTTTTTGGTGACATCGCTCGCATGACCTTTGGTGTGACCTGCCTATAAGCTGAGAAAATTTGACCTGAGTGGGAGAAGGAACTTCATCGAGCAATTCAATATTACAGAAGATTGTATTTTTCCACTTTCTAAGTAGCCTCCCGCGAAATTCGTTGACTTTCGTAAAACGACGCTCGATGAGGTGCCAAATCCGGGTCCGTGTACGAACCTTCCTTCGTATATGGACGTGGCAAACAAGATGGCGGTTATTCCATTCTTGGAGTGCTTGTCAAGCGCGCTTGAAGGATTCACCGACCGCCAGACAGCGCACATTTGCCTCACTCAATGAAGCAATCCGCGTCGAACTAGAGGAGCAGGAAAGCTGAAAGAACCGACATCATATATATCCTCTCCCCGCAGCTGAAGCCCATCTGGCCCCTCTTCGGCGTAGTGGCGTCGGGCTTCTTCCTGGCGGGCTGGATCGTGGGGCGCAACCTGGGGAAGAACCCGGAGATCAGGCCGCGGTACGCCCCCCACGCGCGCGCGCGCGCGCGCATTTCTTTTCCTTCCGCTTGCTGTGCGGGCTCTCACTCCTCGTTTCCCTTCCTGCTCACCATCTGTGTGCGCGCACATTCGCCTCTGCTTCGCGGCCCCAGTTCTTCTCTTTCCAGACACTGTGCTCTCGCGCTCGCGCGCTCTGTCCTCCTTACCTTTCCCTTGCCTCTGCTGTGCTCGCGTGAGGGAAGATTCATCTTTTAAAAGGTTGGTTTGATGACTGTTTTTGTGATTTTCGGGTGAATTTCATAACATACTACATTGCTGGATGTCTCTTCTAACAAAGAATTCATTGCACTCGAGACGTTCCGAGCGGAAGCCTCCTTAAAAGGACCGGCGCGCAACGAGATGCCGGGAATTGATCGCAGCGTTACGGACCGGCACTACTAGTCACGTAATACAACTTGGCGGGATGTCCTGTAAGCTGACGTGAGCAACCGCTTGGATGCTGACGTCGCGTGTGTGCGCGCGCAGGTTGAACACGGAGAGGTGCCGGAGGCCAATCGCAGCGTCAATGGCTGGAAGGTGTTTACAAGCTCCGCGAGGCTCTGAGTGAAGGGCGTTGCACTGACGTGAGCAATCGATTTGAATGCTGACACCACGCGCGCGCGCGCGCAGGCTGAACAAGGAGCGGAGCCCGCACGAGGTGCCGGGAATCGGTCGCAGCCGCGCGCCAAAGGAGGCTGGAAAAGGGTCCACAAAATACGAATGCAACCGCTTGAATGCTGACGTCACGTGCGCGCGCACAGGCTGAACAAGGAGCGGCGCGCGCACAAGGTGCCGGAGATCGGTCGCAGCATCACAAGGAGTTTACAAACTCCCGCTGGAGTTCAAGAGATGGGCCGGAAAGGCCACGTGAGCAACTGAGTAAGTGCTGACGTCACGTGTGTGCGCGCGCAGGCTGAACAAGGAGCGGCGCGCGCACGAGGTGCCGGAGATCGACGAGCCGGAGCTGGTGGCGTCGCTGGGGCAGGAGTTCCTGGAGCGAGACCTCCTGCGGGACGTCGTCAAGGTGGGATGCGCTCCCGAGTGCCAGTTGGCCGGGTGTGAATCCGCTCCACTTTAGTATTCCGGATGTGCTCCTTCTTTGGTCGGATTATGTCGAAAGCGGTCCAGCTTTGAACGATCACGCTGTGGGTGAGCTTTCACCTATTTCTGCCTTGGCAGTCTCGGTGTGAGTGCGCTTCACCTTGTGAATGCACAATTTCTCTCTGTAGGCGGCGAGGAGGTTTCGTTCCATTTCTCCGTCGCTTGCAGATGCGGTCCAGTACGATCTTTTCCGAGCAGTCAAACTGGTTCAACTTTGTGCTTCTTTTCTTCGTCACCTTGTATGGGCGCGCAACCTTCTCCACCCCGATCCACACTCTATTAACGGATGGTTAACACAATGGGAACGCTCCCTTCTTCCTTGAATGGCCCCAACTTCTTCCAACTGGGTCTGAACGGACTTCTTCTTCTGATGGAGTCTTTCCAAGTGCACTCCTTTCCGACTCCAATCAAAAATCCTCTGCGGATTCGTCGAGCTGTCAACGCGCCTACCTTTCGAAAGGGTGCGAAGGCGCTGCTTCCTCTCTGTCGGACTCTGCGATGCGGTCTCTTTACATAGAGGAGAGTAAAGGAGAAGGTCTCCCTTCCGGTCTTCGTGGCAAACTCCCGGGAGCTCGTTACTGACCCGTCTGCCTGCTCTCCTGCGCCCGGCAAAAGTCCTTTTTTCGGCCTGTATAAGAAGCATACAGGCCGAAACAACAATTCGCTGGGGATTTGTTGCTGACCGGTTCCTTTACCCTTTTCTGCCGGCCGGTGTACGAGAACCATGACGATGCCCCGGAAGGTCGTTACCAACCTTGTCGCTCTTCTGTACCGGGCAGAAGTGGCCGGTATTTGAGGAAGGGAAAATCCCCCGGGAGCTTGTTACCGACCGTTTCCCCTGCTCTTGTGTGCCCGGCAGAAGTCCTTTTTCCGACCGGTGTTCGACATTATAACCATCCCGCGACGACTCGTTACTGACCCGCAGGAGCTTGTCGCTGACCGGTTCTCTGCTGTTTTGTGCCCGGTAGAAGTCGTTCTTCCGGCCGGTGTTCAATATTGTAACCTTCCCCCAACGACTCGTTCCTGACCGGTAGTGACGCTCCAGGAGCTTGTTACTGACCAATTCCCCTGTTCATTTGTGGCTGGCAGAAGTTAAGTCCGGCCGTAAAATCGAGATCATGACGACGCCCCATGAACTCGTGACTAACCGTCTTTTCTGCTCTTCTGTCCCAAGTAGAAGTGGCCGGTGTTCAAGATCGAATCAAATCTGAAGGGACTTGTTACTAACCCGTTTTCCCGCTCTCCTGTACCGGGCAGAAGTCCATTTTCAAACCGGTATTCGAACTTATGACGATGCCCCACGAGCTCGTGGACAAGGACATGCCGGGACCCAAGAGCGCCATCACCTCGAGGCTGAAAGAAGCGACCGGGAAACAGTGAGCCCGCCGTGACCATTCTTCGGTTTCCCAAACTGCTTTGAGCATTGCGGATGGAATTGGTTGGAGTAGGTTAGTTGTAGTGTGTTTTTCTGTCACAAAGCCCAACGTCGCAACTGATTCTATGGATTTCTTAAGCATTGCGTCGGATGTCTGCTTCTTCCATCTATTCAAACTCTACTCATGCGCGCGACAAGAGTCGAGCACAGATCCCGAAGATCGTGATCTTCGGGATAATGGTAGCAAGACCTGGAGTAAAAGACCTCCTTCGACAAACAAAATTGTCTGTGTCGCGTTGCCCCGCATCACTTCGTTCATAATGGAGCGCTGACTACGAGCTGGCAGGAAGAACCTAGCTGTACTCGCGTTGCAGCTGCTCCATCTTCGTACTTCAGTTTTTAGAACCTGCGTAACGATCCCCAACCAATCTACGATTGAACAAGTGCAAGGGTTCTCCTCATAATACAGCATCTGCACTTCTTATCTGCGGAGAATGTGCTTCCCCGTTCTGATTTCTTGGAACTTTCCGTCCGTAAGTCTCGCGAGACACTAGCGAAGCCCAATCGAGCTTAATTTGGTTCGCGTACGCCAGAAGGTGGCTTGACATTGAAGCTTCGAACTATGATGCAGGTCGCTGGAAGAGGGCACCACCAAAGCCCGTGTGCAAACTTGATTAGAAACTTCAGGGACGTAAAGCAACTTCCTCGAGAAGGGACACTTGGTCCGGTTGGTTTCAAATGGGCATCCAAACTTGGTCGAGCTCGAAAATAGTAGCCGCTGCGTTTGGTCCGACTGGTTTAATTTGCCTTTTGATCTGCTCGAGCTCGAGAACAGTAGCCGCTGTTCAGAAGTAGTACAAAACGAACGCCCGTCCACGTTAACAAAGAGGTGGATCATTGCACCGATAGAGACTAATCCTGCACTCACGAGCCAACTCTGCGAATTACGTACAGAAAAGCCGTTTTGGCTCTAACCATAGGCGGGGTTTCTAATCACTACGACATTATAAGCAGGGAGTCGCAGCCTCTGCTGATTGGTCATTTATCGTGTCAAGATCATAGCCAGGCCGGTCAAGACCAGGACTCTCTATTAGATTGGGAGGGAATCTGTCACAGAAACCGTCCTGAACGGTTCCCGCACACTGACATACCGTTAGTACGCTCACAATGATCGTTCTACTGCAGACATGCAGCGGTTGTACTGCCCCATGCAGGCCGATCTACACATGACGTTTCAGTCACTCAATCTTAGCATAAGCGGCGTGTACCGTACGTCCACTGAGTGAGTCACCTGCATATGATTGATCTATTTTTAACCAGACAATCATATCGGTCTTGCACGATTTTTTCAAGTTTGCATGCGACGCAAGACCGCGGAATTATGCAAACAATAGCTATTCGACGCTTTTACGCCGCCGGCAACCGCGCACATGCTGTGCAATTGTCATAATTGCAATTTGTGATGCAGAATTGGAACGAGCTTCCGATCGCACGCTACTCCACACGCCACATATACAGCGATATAAATAGTCTACGATCAATGCTGAAATGAGTTCCGCGAAATTGCATAAGATCATTAGGTGCAACAAACTTAGTCTCGACCAACTTTCTCTGAGCAGCGCGGCCTCAAGGTACAAAACTTCGCAGCTTTGTGTTTCGGTCCTAGGTGTTGCCTCACTACGTAATTAGATGTCTGCTTCTGGTAATATGTACACGCAATCAACGTAAACTTTTTCTATCTCCTTGATCCTTTCTTAGAAACAGACTTCTTTTCATTCACAGGACCATCAGAATCGCTGCTGGACGCATAATCAGACATATTACTTCCGTCCTCATCGCTTGAATCTGATTGACGGGTGTGTCTTCGCCCTTTATGCACAGAAGCAACTTCATCGGTATCTGCGTCCAGTACTTCCAACCTAGCCGCATCAACAGCCCAAGCGGCAATCTCTTCGACTTTCTTATCATCTTTCTTATGCTCCTCAGAAAGCTCCGAGTCCGAATCCAAGGAACCGTCCTCTTCCTCCCGGTGCGAGTGCTCACCCGCAGCCACTTCCAGCCCCGGTACCTGTCTTTCCCTCCTGATACGGACGTCGTCGCGCATAGCAGCTAGCAACGCCTCCACTTCCGACAGCTCTTTCTGCTCCTCTTTGATTACCTGGTCATACGCCCCCTCAGCCTGGGGAACTCGCACGGACTGCAAATCTCGAAACAGAGCGGAACTGGGGTCTATCGATGACGATGCCGATCCTGGCCGTCCATTTTTCCTGCTACTCCGGTTAGCGCCCTCACCACCGTTTGAGAATCCAGCCAACACTTCACGAGCTCGCCGTTCCGTGTTGTCCAGATCACGAGGCCCATCTGTTGGTCCTGCCGGCGGGGCTGGCGCCCTGCCAGACTTCGCAGAAGAACTTTGCCTTCCAAACAGGCCTGCCAAGGGGTTGCTCCATGACTCCCTCACCTTCCCTCGGCCTGCGACCTCCACCGCTTGCTTCTTCGCCCCCCCTCGTGAAAGATCGATGAATGGCGCCCCAGAAGGTCCAGCAACTTGTTGGGCCGCTTGCTTCTCGCTGCACTCCTCATTGGCCGCAGCCACGTCGGTTGCCGTTCCGTTGGTTGTTCGCTTCTTCAATGAGGCATACCTCTCAGCCTCCGCAGCGTTGCCCTTGGAGACATCGACGTCCGGCAATCCCCTCTGGTTTGCCCCCCCCTTCAGCTTTCGAAGCCTGCTTGCCAGGTCGTTCCCTAGGCTTGTTACATCATCTGGATCGGGCTCCACATGCTTATCCGCAGCTTGCACCACAGGGAGGCCCGTCTGACCATCATTTCTCACTCCATCTTTGGGCCCAGACTTTGACCCAAACTCTCCACCTGCACCTGGTCTGGACAACTCCGGAGACAGCTTCCCCTCTGGAGGACTGTTCTTCCTGACCTCCTCCTTATTAGACGTTGTGGTAGGAGGGCGGCCTGCGTTTGCAGCGCTATTTTTTCCGTCACCTTGGGAGTTGCCGTTTCGAGGAGCTTTGAGAGCAGCCAGCCTTGCAGCCAAGTCGTTATCCAGTCCCCCATCCTCGTCTTGCAGGTAGGAAGGCGTGAGCTCGCCAACATCAGCGAAGGCGCCCGATTGGCCTTCGCCAGCGCGGTGGCTCCCCAAGTAAAGACTCAGCATGTTCTCATCCTCAAACTGCTCCAGCAGCTGGTTGACATCGGCATCGCTGACTGTACCATAGTTGGGGATGCCATAACCAGGTGACGCCATGATTTTCAGAACTTCCCCCTCTTAAGTGTGCCCCATGGAGCAACGGCTCGCTTCAAAATCCTTGCAGGAAAGATACCCCTTGTACTACAAAGAGCAGTGAAGACATCAGCACTCGCCAATCAGAAGCGCCAAAGCGTCCACCGTCTTGACAAACCGAAGCAAAAACGAGCTAAGCAGGATGTACGAGAGAAAGATGTCCATGTTGTCAGTTGTTCCAACACCTCAGGCTCAAGTGCGACACCAAAGCTCAACGAAAACTGGCTGCAACTTGTACCCCTCCCAATTGCGCCTCCTCTAAGTACTAATAGAAATTGAAGCACTGCAATTTGCAAAGCGATCTGACTTCGACAAATCCTGTCCGAGTGAATCATGGAAAACGATCAGATCGTTTTCCAGCGCGGGAGGGTTGCTGAAGCAGTGAAGGACTGAAGCATAAGGAAGGCGCTTCCTCTACGCTCTGCTTTCCATAGGCCGTGACCTCTGCCACTGGCGAAGTAAGCAGGCTCGCTTCCTGAACCACCTCCAACATTCAGCTTTAATCTCTCTTTGCTGTCGAGTGCCACAATCAAACATGAGCGGATCTCGGAGCATGGCGCTCCTGGGGAGGCGCCTACTGGCACCTCGGGCGGTCGTTCCAGTTAGAGGCGGCGCAGGCCAACCCATAGGAAGCGCCCCCCCCCCTTCCAGTCCGGTCAGTCTGGGAAAGCTTTGGCCTCCTCAAAAGTTTCTTTTGTTGTCACCGAGGAGCGAACGTTTGGTCGATCTTGATATTGCTCGTTTTCTCAGTTCACTGTGGGGATGCATCTGTCAATGATCCTGTCCGGTAGTACAAAGGGATCGTGCAGCTGTTTGAATGCACAGAAAAGGCCACATTTAGGCGATGAATGCTAAAGTACGTCCACACCAGTAATTGGATAAAGCACCATCTATAGATAGCACATAACTGCAGTCCTATACTAAATTTGTGATGTTGAACCAAAAGTGCGTGCTATGGCTCGTTTTTGATCGATTCACCGCTGTCAGAACTCAGGTTGAGAACATGTAATCGTCGATGAGGCCACAGACGTCACATTTGTGATGCATTGGCACACAATGTGCACTCTGTTGTAAATGATGGCGAGGACTGCAAGTTTCATCGACAAAAGATGCACCGTTTGCTGTTCTCACTTTGGTTTGAGCAGAATGTGTTGGTTGCTTGCGGTTCTGCCAAAATGGTTTTATGTTGGACCAAGCCAGAGGTTGCTAGCAATCCGCAGGGTCATTCCCCCTCCGTGCACACCTTTGGCCATGTTGATGATTGTGCCTATCCTGCATCTAGTCTTGCACTGTATCTGCATCTCATTTTTCTCGACCACGCCCCAAATGAAGTTCTGTCTAGATCCACTCTGGTCTGATGCCTATCTCTACATTTACCGCCAGGTTTCTGGTTGAGCTATGCACTTGACACAACCATTCCTTTTCCTCATGCCTGTATGTCGCACGGCTCCAGAAAGTCAGATATCTGGCGGTGGAAACACCTTACATGTACCACTCTTTTTTCATCATTCTCATTGAAGCAAGAGTGGGCGGTCGTTCCTTGAACTGGAGTCAGAGAAAGATCTAGAGAAGCACCTTGGGTGATTGCTTCTTGAACCAGATTTTACATTCCAATACAGAATACATCTTCTCCAATCTGCAGTTGCCCGAGAGTGACGAGTTGACATGGGACGATGGCAGCGCGACCCCGGAGCCCTGCCTGGACATCGTTGCACCGACGCTCACCAAGGTGAATGTCACTTCTTGATCCCCCTGTGTTTCAGAGTTGTGCTCCTCCATTTTGTTATCCTATCCTCGTATTCTTACTGTTGTTTCTACCTTGATACTGATTTGCTTTGGCTTGTTGCCTCCCTGCTCGCTTGTTTTCTTTGCTGACATGTGTTCCGGCCCCCCTGTGAGCGCTTCGCTTGCATTTTGGTGAGGTCAATCTCCTTAGGATTGTGCATCCTATCCAGTTGCACGGGATCATGAGGCCACCTTACAAGCTCTTTCCTGCCGAAAAACTGAAGTTGCTCGTCGTTGTGGTTCTGCTTATCTGAAAACGCTCACTCTCTTTCTGCATGAGAGCCAATGACTAAGGTGTTTGTAGGAGTGTCCGGGTGTATTCTGCTGGTCTATCAGAGACCCTGTATGTTGACGATGGCTATCCAGCTCCACCTGCTGCCGCTTTGCATGCCATAACGTATACCTACAAAATGAACGTTTGTTCGCAACTCTAGGCTTGTTTTGTGGCTTCTTTCTGACTGGATGATTCTATTATGCGAACCCTTTGCGGGTTTGTCGAGGCCAATTGCCACTCGCTCGATTGCAACCCCTCATCGGACGATGAAGAACATGAAGAACATCTATTGCTGCCAAATTTGGTTGTCGCTTCCTGACGTTGCAGCACAAGAGGGGCCGGCGGAGCCGGCCGAACTTCCATGTCTCTCGCCATCAGTGCTGACAGCATTCTTGTTTTAGATGCGAGCATTTCAAGTCTAGACCGCTCATTGACCTCCTCCATTGATGACGTGCAGTACGAAGCCCTGGCGTACTTGTCTTTGGGCTTGAGTGGTTTTGCGGCTCTCCTCGGAGTAGCATGGTACAAAGATAAAGCGTCGACAATTCCATACGTGAGCACCCTCCACTCTGACAGTCCCATCTACTCATCATTTTCCATCGTGAGTAAGAACCGTGTGCATAATTTCGAGCTAGGCAAGGCCTGCGGGATTCCTGGCACCGATCTCATTGTACTTCGGGTCGACAAATCTTTGGTCTTGAATTTTTAAAGATAGTGTTATAGATTGACAGCTAACAAAGTTGTCCTGTCATATTGCAGACGCCTCGAGAATATCCATACGACAATCTTCGAGTAGAGCTAGGGAAAGAGCCAGCCTCGTGAGCTCTTTAGAGCAAGGGCAGGCCGCACTGCTTGTTTTTTCCTTTGTACAGTAAATTTACTGATGCCGTGCCCGATCCGTTTAAACCCGTCTGATCTAGAGGCTTGCTTACATTTGTATGGTGTCGATCTTCAATGGATAACTTGATTCGATCACATTAGTTTTGAAAAGCCAATTCCGATCAGCGGTTCCGTTCCGAGGAATGTTACACACATGGCTCCATGGTCAGATACATGCATCAGAGCATGTGCAAATTGCAACCGTCCTAGTCGCGCCGGCTTCCTGTGCCCCATCCGCCTTCAGCCTGTTTTGAGATTGAGCGTTCAGAACGTAGTACAAACATTAGCTCAGGAAGGAAGGGTTGAAATGCTTGTGCCGCCATGGCGCGCGCACAGCATAAAACCAATGTGATCGTAGACGCGGTATACCCATGAGAGCTTTAATCCCGTACTCACAGCGTACGTTCCGATTATGGTGACGAATTTCGTCGAACAGGCTCGTACTATTATGCAAATGAAGCGCGCGCACCGTGCTGCGTCGCACATGTAATATGATGGCAGAAGGCCGCAATTTCAATCAACCGTCTGATGCATGTCGATCCGGCAACGATGACGCGCACCGTGTCATGATCGCGACGTTGCATGGGGGCAAGCTGCAATATGTCATGGTACATAAGCTGAGACTTATAGGTCGATTCGGATCGAAGTTGAGAAGGTGGGCTCAACTCTTAGGCTGCTTCTTATGTTTTTGGCGGCGTTTTTGGTGGCCCTTTCGATCTGCCAAGCACGTTCCTGTGTCGACCAGTCGTCCGGCGCAGCACCAAAGAGGAGGACGATCCTAGTGGAGCCGACTCCTGTCCAACCCTTCTGTCAGAGCGACAGACTACACTGACCAGATATACCAACACGACCGGACCAGTTCTATCACTACAGTTTGGTAAAACAGCTAGTATGCTAACCGCCGCTAGCCAAGAGCTTGTCGTCATAGTGCCAAAAGCACATGTACGGGCCTGGTGCTACTTCAACATAATGCTTTTCTTCCCTGCATCATAAGGGACTGAATCTTAAGTTACTAGATTCAATGCCCGAGGCCCTCCTCCTCTTCCCAGGATTGCAAGTCCTATCTGAGATCTCTGTCATATTTTAACCCCTAAGCACTAGCCCACGCTGATCCGTCTTCGTCCCCCCAGAAAAACGCGTTTGTCCAGCCCGGCTATCAACCTGCAAAAGGATCGAGGTGTCTGCATTTGGGCTTTACTTCCCAGGGGGAACTGCCGAAGCGTGGGCATCAGCGGGTACACACTGAGCGGGGGCTATGGCTGGAACCCAGAGTGAGAATGGGCTCTAACCCAAGCTCGTAAACGCTCCCGAGCGTCTCCAGATTTGGAGCACTGTGCTTCTTAAAGAGGGGCTCTTGTTCCTGAACTGGAAGGGGACCGTCAGGCTACTGAAAAGTGGCTCCAAACGCTCACCCTTTTGAGCTCAGCCTGAATGACTCGCCCTCACACGAACACGTTTTTGCTTAATACGTGCCCCACAACCCGTATTGCAGACCCTCACGTGCTCGCTTTCAACCTTCCTGAGATTAAAAACAACCCGTCCTTTGATCCTGCCTTGTTGGTAATTAGTTCGTAAGCAAAGCCAGTGACTTTGTCGCACCTGACAAGCAGGACCCTGTGCTGCGCCTTTCAACCAGCCTGCTGCAAGAGTAGATCGAAGTCCCTTGTTGCAATCGATCATTTCGCAATCAAAAAGTTTCAAAATCGACTTTTGCAAGACAGAAACTGAAGCGACGTAGCTTATCAACTTTTCGAAACCTGAGGGGACAGTGCGGCGCCCTTCCAACTTTTCTTCTAAACAAAGTCTCAGAAGTGATGTCTACCTTCGTGTCGGGGCGGATGCTCTTTCGCTACGAGATTGACTGATCGGAGAAGCCAAAGACCAGAGAATAACCTATTCTGCAAGTCGGGCGGCTCGTAAATTCGAGATATGATCGAGAAAGTTCGTTTGAACCACAGCCGACGTTTGAGCTTACAGTCGCCGCTTCATAAAGTTCGTGTTAAGGCCAAACATTTACAAGCTTGAAAACCACGTCGGGTTACCCCAGTACGCCGTTCATGCTCCCTGTTAGCAGGATCCAGGACCCCCTTACCATTAAAACGTTTTCAAGAATCCGTACAGATCAGGCACGCGGGCGTTCTGTCCGTCCCGGTTCAGGTCCACGGCGGAACGCTCTTGCGGTGGCGCAGTGTTCTTCGCCACCCCCGGGGAGAACGGCGCCCACGCGTCACTCGCGGTGTGAGCCAGGTTGAGGCGCACAAACTCCAGCTCTTCGGCTTGCGCCGCTTCGACGACCTTCCGAGGGTGGAGGATGTCGTACACCAGGCTGTCCGCGCTTCGCCATTGGACGAGCAGGTCCTTGTCCCCGTGCAAGACCTCGTGCCCGAGCCGGCTCTCGACGGCCTCCCTACCAGTGGCAACACGCAGGTCTTTTTTCACGAAGAGAGATGTTGGACGTTATTCGTTTCTTTTCACACCGAGAGACATGCCAGATCAGGAACTCTCTTGCCACGGGGCGATTAAAGGTCAACCGGGCGTTCATTAGGCTTTTGGTCTAGATGACCTTCTCCCTGAAGAGTCGGGCTAAGAGTTGGTAGATCGTTTCTTTTCACACCGAGAGACATGCCAGATCAGGAACTCTCTTGCCACGGGGCGATTAAAGGTCAACCGGGCGTTGGTTAGGCTTTGGTCTGGAGGACCTTCTCCCTGAGAAGTCTGGCTAACTGAGTTGGTAAATCATATCATTTCACACGAAGAGATGTGGCAGACAAAGAATTGTCTTGGCCTAGGGCGATCAAGGGTCAACTCGGCGTGATCAGGTTTTTGTTCTAGATGACCTTCTCCCCGAACAGTCTGGCTAGAAGTTGGTGAATCATTTCTTTTCCCACGAAGAGACAAGCGAAACGAAGAAGTCTCTTGGCACAGGGCGAAAAAGAGGGTCAACCGGGCGTGGTTAGGCTTTGGTCTGAATGACCTTTCCCCCGAAGAGTCTGGCTAGAAGCTGGTAAACCGATTCTTTCACACGAAGAGGCGTGCCAGACGAAGAACTCTCTTGGCACAAGGCGATTCAAAGGTCAACTGGCCGTGGTTAGGCTTTGGTCTAGATGACCTGTCCCTGAAAAGTCCGGCTAGAAGTTGGTCACAACTCAAGCGGTATCAGTTCAGTGCAAAAGCTCTCATGTGGGGTCGTCCGAGGAGTATTGCTCGACAAGCCTCCGCAATCTTGGGCGAGCCACGTGGCAGGGGGCGTGAGAACAAAGCATCTGGGATCTCCTTGACGAGCCACTTAACCGTCACTGGGATCCGAGTGCCATCTAGCTTGCGCAGGGGCGCCCAGAATTCCATTCCCGGGAAACAAAGCACCTCGCTTGAAACATCCAGAAGCGACAGGCTATCCGCATGAGGCGCCCGGCCTTCACACAAAAGCCGGCACTTGCAAATAGTCTGGATTCGTAAGACGACAACACTTTCACTCCCCTGGGGATTCGCGCACAGAAAGCTCTGGCTCCTAACCAGGCGGGTTACCAAATCGAATCTCTGGTTAAGGGACAAATAACCCGGCTTAACCTTGTTCTGGGGCTGGTTACCGCCCAAGTCTGCTTATTGGACATATAACCATTCTCTATCAGCCCTTAACCATGGATGTTCAAGGGCTTAAAGCATCACGGCGGCCATACTGCTCGCGCTGGCCCCCACTATGACCGTGATGTTTTGGTACTGGATGCACGAGAACCCTGGCAACCCGAAAAACTCCGAAAGCGCCCCCGCGCCGGTCATGGGGAGGGCCGAGCTGCACGGGGCGGGGCGCTTGACCAGCTTGTGGTACAGCGCAAAGCTCTTGTACAAGGGATCAGTGTAGGAGCGCTCGCCGGCGGTGTCAAGAAGAATTTTGACAGCGCCTTGCGGAGCGCCAAGCAGCCAAGAAGTGTTGCCCATGGTTGACTTGACCACAATCATGGGATAGGTGCGGTTGTTAGGCCCATTGTCCACCTCCGCCACAACTACCCTGCTGATCCCAAAGCACCCGTCGTCCTCGCAGCGCAGCAGCCGGTAGAAGCTCTCAATCGTCACCTTCCCCCCAAGTGTGTTTGCGGTGTAAACCGCGCGCACGGAAGAACTCTTGGCCGCAGCTCCCTTGGGGGTGTCAGTTTGTAAAAGATTATTGACCTGGACGTAGGCGTTGACGCGGGCACTATTGCGCTGCAACAAGATTGAGTAGAACTCAATCCCTGGCTGTGTCAGCCTGAGCTTGTTGAGGTAATAGAAGCCCAGCTCGGGCGTCAAGGTGGGAGGGACCGCAATAAGGCCCTGCGCAGAGGTGACAGAGACAATGGAGAGTAACAGGAGAGGGGCTCCCCATAGCAGGAGGAATGTGGGCATCTGTGCTGTTGAGCGGGTTGCTCTGCTGGTGGAAATGCGGGATGGAGGCACAGCAGGACCCGTGCTCAGGCTTGGAGCCATCATTAGCGTCTCCAGGACTGCTGGTGCTCGTGCTGAGCTCATGCCACTGTGCGAAAAAACTGAAGGGCGGCTCGCTTGAAGAGCGTCTGCAAGGAGCTGGCCACAGCTGGGGCGATGATTCATGAGCATTGAGTAGTCAGGACTCAAGCACTCCCTTGAAAGTAGTATAATTTGACACCTTATTATCATCTTGAGTACGCCCGGTAATGACACATTTTATTCGTTCTGTGATTGGTCGAAATCCTTTACCATTGACTTCGTTGACCACAAAGTCACCTGACTTGAAGCGCACCCCACCCTAGATCAAAATTCAAAGCATCGACACCGTCCAGCTTCCGATCTAACAGCAGCTAAGATGTACACCACTGGTCATTTAAGGCTATGCTAATACTAAGTTGTGTGGGGCGGTCTCCCCTACAGCTTCTCCCGAGCAACCTGCTAGTTTTAGTGTCATCTAATTTAGACTAATTTCACTCACAAACAGACTGACTAAGTTACACTAATACTTTCACTAAAACTAGCAGGTTGCTCGGAACTAGCTGTAACCCACAAAATTTTAACTTTGAAACGCCGGAAAGAAGTGTCAGGTTTGAGCACATTATTTGACCCCACTTCTGTGTGACCACTGAGCAGAAGCTGGTTAGCAGAAGAGTTGGTTAGCCAGATGACCCGGCACCTTAACTTGGCATGAAACCCGACTCCGGAGTAAGGTGGCCATTCTCTTTATAGTATGTACGCTGTAGTTAGCTGTCGGTTTGGCTACGGAACGCAGCGGCCAATTGCAGCCGGCCACATGGCAGGACTTTTGAGTTCGAGGGTCGAAGCAATGATTGATTCCGTTTTCGGGGCGGTCCCGCGGAGTCTCGGCCGCCTCCTCCGCGAGGACCGTCCGAGTCTCTGATTCTCCGCCCTCCACCCCATCATGCATGCACCCGGCCAGGCTTAGAGTAGACTTACATTGGCACGGGTACATGGGTTTGTAGCAACTTTTTCCGACGGCACGGTTACTTCGAGTTTGGCGCGAAAGCACTCGGCCGGTCACCCGAACGTAGCCCCTTGAAAGGAGCAAATCTGCACATTTCGGATCAGACGGTACTGTACCATGTAGATCTTGGGTACTGAGAGTGTACTGACCAGGCTTCCGAGCCGTCCGATCCATTCGTTCCCCCCACGCGGCAAGCCCGGATGAAGTAACGGTGCGCCGTTGGCCCCAACCCGTCTCGGCGGGCCAACGGTGCCGTTGGTAGATAATCGCGGGGGGTTCCGAAGAATCGACCGAGTTGATCGATGAAGTAACCGTAAGTAAAAGTAACGGTGCCAATGTGCGGTCCGGTTGCAGTTAAGTTTCAACAGTAACCGTGCCAATGTAAGTCTACCCTTAGCCACTCGGGAAATCCCCCAAGCCTCATGTGCTGCCACCGAGTCGGGTCAAAAATATCGTACTACGATATGCTGTAAAAGCGGCATCTTTTCAGGTCGCTGAATCATCAGCTAGCTCGGGCTGCGCAGAAGTGGGCGCCAGAAAATGGTGGAGGAGCCCGAGTTTGATGGCCATGGCCAGCAGGGCCCTTCAAAAGGTTGCGTCGATCTGGGCTATATACCAAAAGAAACCATCAGCTGTTCCTAAGTTGTATTTACGCTGAGCGGCAATTGCATGAGAAGCATGTAGGTGAACGTGCGCATCGCTGCAGTTTCATGAATGACTATCGTCGGGGTGTAGCCTGTACAAAATACCTAAATAATATTTGCAATATAAACCCGTCAGACCATATTGTCCATGCACACCGGTTCATATGCAATCAGGATCTGAAGCTAGTTGGCCATTCGACCGCACACATTCACTTGATTTGACAAAGCTGAAATCATTCACAGACGGTTCCGGCCAGCTCATGCAACAACAACATTCGGTCTGGACAGCTGCTATTGCAAACTAGACTACATGCGAGTTGCCAACAGGATTGATCAGACGTCTTCTCAGATCAGCGAACGACAACGGCCTAGAATTGTGGGCCTCGGATGTCTCAAGACACAGTCGATGTGCACCATATCAAGCATCCGTTTGTGCATAAGTGTGAGCAAGTTCTGTGTACGAGCACAAATTGTGCTCTCTGTCATCGTGATATCCCCTGCACTACAAATTACCAATGATAAGCACTTACTCTGTACAATTGACCGTTGGCATTACTGCAACTTTGACATGAATTTATCAGTGGGCAAAGCTCAGCGTCGAAATCTGTCCTGACGCTAACAATCAGCAGCTCTGCATCTACATCTGCGTCAGCTGAAGCTCCTCCTTACCGGACGCCCTTCGCCTTCTCCCGATTGGCCCTCTCCCCACACCCCGGTCGTTTCCTCCCCATCATGCCACAGCCCACTTTGCCCCTGGGAATCGCTTTGCTCGTTGTTTACACCGACTCCTTTCTCCGCAAATGACTCTTCCGCTTCCCCGTCCCAGGAACCTCTAGACCGTTCGCGCGTCCTGCCAAACCCGCCCTGCGAGCCCGACCCTCTAAGGCTCCCGCTCCCTGCCCACGACCGACCGCGCGGCCGCCTCTCCGAAAAGACGCTCGACGCCCCGAAGTCATCATGCAACCGCGCAAAAGGCCCTGTTGCTGGAGGGGCCGCTTCTTCCTCCAGCCCGAAACCGGACTCCTGCCCGCTGACGAGGCCCCAGGGACCTCTAGAGCTTCCGCCGGGCCTGCCTGAGGCGTGCCCACTTCCGAAACGTATAGAGGTGACGCCCGTCGGGTCGGCCCGGCCGGCGCCCTCGCGCTGCATGGAACCGAAACTCGGCCACGGGTCGTTATGGGCGGAGCTAGCGTTGAGCCCGAAGGGGTGCGGTTGGAGCAGATCCGGCTGCGAAAAGTCCTGCACAGCGGGAAGTAGAAAAGCGAGATCAGCAACCTATTGAAGTGTCGAAAGTTGCCGCTCTTTTGGCTGCAAAAAAGTCCGGTATGGAGTGAAAGAACGGATCGGGGGCTACAAGCGGTGCAGGTTCCCTTCCCCCGCCTATTTACACTAGCTGTTTCCACTCGTGGTTGCGCTTCAACGGTCTCGCATGTGCACTGTGTCCGAGGAGGTTTGCGGAGTAGCTTTTGAACCGACTCTTTCAAGCCGACTCCGACGGAAGAGGTCAACGGGTTTCTGATACCGCCTGCAGTAGTAGTCCGTAGGACTTCTATTGTTGACCGACACTAGTATCAGCAAGCCAAGGAGATAATCACTGCGGCTTGCTCGAAAAGCTGTGGCGAGACTATACAGATCCATGCTGAAAAGCCCCTTGTCGCAGGATTCTGAAAAGCCCAACTTTGGAAGGCTAACCAAACAGAAACGTAGTCGTCTACAGAACAGCACCCTGAGCGGCACTGCAAAAGATCCACCAGAGGCAGATGACGTCAGCAGGCGCTGACGTGAGCACTCACGTCCTCCTCCTCCTCCGGCTCCTCCATCACGCTCGCCACCCCAAAGTCGACGCCCCTCCCCCGGACTGCGTTCCTCTGCAGCGCCTGGTCCACGAGAACCCGGTCCATTTCGCTCTCGGACATCGGCCCGCGCCGCGTCCGAGCGTCTAAACCCAACGCCCGGCCGTCCGCTGCAAAGCTACGGGCGTCGGGACCCAAAACCCGGTTGTCGGAGCCTGCAGTCCGTCTGTCCGAACCCAGCAGTCGTCCGTCCGAGCCCAGGATTCGACCGTCCGAGCCCGTTCCCCGGCCGTCCGAACGTACATTTTGGCCGTCCAAAGCCCTCGCCGCGCCGGCCAAGCCCCCGCCCCGCCCGTCCGAGATCATCACCCGCGTCTCCATCGGCCGGTCGGCCCCCTCGAACCGCCCGTCACGGGTGACGTCATCCCCAGAATGTGCCGGACGCAGATGTGCACCGCCGTCCGAAACTTCCGTCTCGCCGCCGCCGTTTTTGGACAGCGGGTCGAGCTCGATCCCGGAGCCTGTGGCGCGGGCGGCCTCGTAGTACCGGTCCAGCCAGTACAATTGCGTGGCCTCCTCGGGGTTTGCGCCCATGGTCGCGAGAGCGCCGGACGCCGCCAGGTGGCTGTCGATGGCGGGGTCAGGGTGGTCGCCGCCTGCGGATTTTTGGTTTAATCTCTTCTCGATCAGGTAAGCAGGTTAGTAGGTGAAATCAACGTTGAACCCGTCTGATATTGAAGTGGTTAAGCAGGAATGTAGGTCAAGTGACTGAGGTTTGATGAGGCACCAGCTTGGTCCTTGGGGCTTGGGCCGTTCCCCTGTGACGATTTCTTCCGATTACGCGACTGCCCGCTAAGCGTTCAAGGAGGCTGCCTCGGGTGGCTATTGAGACAGTTGCTACCTGATTCTTCGCATTAGAGCGTTCGTGTGTAAAGTTGCCGGGAATCCATGTTCGGAGGATGTCCTTGCTCTAGCAGGGTTGCCGACATGAGGAATCGGGGTATTGGTACAATAGAAGACAGGAAAGAACAGGTTGATCGTGATCAAAAGCACACGCTTTTGTTTGCTTAACAGGAACATGCATAGCTGTTCAATAGCAGCTGGCTCACGGACTGCAAACAAAATTCTCCTTTGCGGTACATAAGAACGAGGCTAGCTTCAGATCCGATAAAAGCTTTGGACTGCAAAACAAGAAATATGGAGACCGCACTGCCATACCCAATCGCAATAAGATGAATATGTTGAAGCCACTGCGAGAGAAACATTACAAACTTCAAACCGAGGTGCAGAAAATTTGATATGAAAGATCAGTTAGATAAGCCGCATTTGTGGCTGTTTTTAGTTGGAAAAATGGACGAAAGGTCGTTTCAAAAATATGGGTCGAAAGTCGGTGCGAAACCAAAGAATTTTCGAACATAAATATCCGCACCAGCGTGGTGCCAGTGGGAATAGAAGTGCGGGTATGTGAGAAGGTTGGATGCCCTTCATTATAGAGTTCCTCAGAAGCACGAGGGGGTTGGCAACGAATGGTAAGCAATTGCACCAAAGCAAGTATTGTCTTTCTTTTGGAAAAATTCTGATTTTCCAATGCAATCATATGCAGACGAACAAGAAGAAGAAGAAGCCGCTACTCACCAGAGGGCATCGGCAAGCGGTGTCCAAACCCTCCGCCAGCCCCGTCCGCGCCGTGCCGCGAAGCCACCTTCCGGTACGACCCACTGAAGTGATGACTCATCGCCGCTCGGGGGGGGTAGTACGGCGCCGAGTTGCGGAGCACGGATGACGTCAGCGGGAACGCTGAGCTGGCGGCCTCGTTGCGGGTGCGGAACGTGGAGAGCATGCCGAGCATCTTCTGGCCGTTGGGGGGGGGCTCCCACGTGGGGTAGTTACTCACGAAACTGCGGGAGGGGGGCGGACCAGGAGATAAGCGTCTGCTGCTTTTCGATTCTTCGATATAAACAATTCTAAGCTCCTGGGCCGCAAGAAGACGGAAACCTCTCTCGTAGTACTGGTTAGCTGAACGCAGAGACTCGTGTTGGGCGCATCTTCGCCATTCTGCGCTTCGTGCTTCGCTTCAAACCAATTCACAGGAACCCCTCCTCCCAAACACCAGTGGAGGGATATATGGACGCATCTCAGACAGTGGAGGAGCAATGCAAATTCGCACACAAAGAGTACGCCCAAACCCCTTTCAACAGTCTTCTGCCTTGGCTTCGCAGGACCTGACGTCCATTCACTAGGTACACTAACCCGGAAAACTCAAGAACCCTGTGGTTACGGCGAAAGATGAAATCGTGAGTGCAGACCCAGTCTTCGAGTTTTCTCTATTCACCTGTTTTTAAAACGTATTTATTTTCTTCCACTTCATTGCTGTGCTATCCTCGAGCTCAGATAGCCTGATGCCTAAGCAGAGCGGGTTTGAGGCAAACCCACCTAACCAGACCGGGTTGGGAGGCAAACCCACCTGAGGAACGACTTCTCCATCTTGCCCTGAGTACTGCGCTGGTCCTTGACGGCGTCGCAGGGGGAGCCGTACTTGCTGTTGCCGTGGTGCGCAAAGTCGAAAGCGCTCAGACTGCAAACAGAACAGCGAAAAATCGATGTCGATTTCTATCATAACAAAGTATTTCTGCAGTGTGTGCTGTGCCGCATGTGCTGCAAATCCTAGAATCTGAACCGCTAGCTGAACATGAAAGGACTGTGGTTTACGTCAGGCTCGAGGTGAGAATTAACTCTTAGCGCCGACTTTACCAGTATGGAAGGCAGTCTCTGCGCAGTTTCAGCAACCGAAAAAGTGCTTAGGGCACCCCTAAAGCGATTTCAGCGGACCCGCTTCACGGACGTTTTAAAGTGGGTCAAGTACAGAGAAGCGTATCGACCAGAAGGGCTGGATTGGTCTGCCTCGCCAGCTTGCCAGTTTGATCTCAGGGTACCCAACCGGTGTTGCACGCTTCACAGGGTAAAGCCGTGCTGACGTGATGGTCTTGGAGAAACGAGCCTTCCTTTGTCCACATGACGCAAAGAAAAGGGTTGGGACTCCGAACACAGAGATGCTTGAGCGGGAACTGAATATAAGGTCAGGATATCCATCGACGTTATCCATCGACGTTGTAGGCTGTGAGGCGTTAAGAAGTGCTAGGTGACGTGATAGTGTCCTTGATATCAACCACTTCTGAACCGACGGAGGAGTAGGGAAAGTGAGTGAGAAGTCATCTGAGCGGTGACTAAACATCAAGAAGCTTGACCCCATAAATGTTGTATGCTCTCAGAGCTTTAAGCACCGTAGGAGACGTAAAGGACTTCCATTGAACCCACCATTCCGAATTCGAGGGAGGAGAGGGGAAAAGTGACAAACAAAAGTTGCGCGCGTCGGCCACTGACCTGCAGACGTCCCCAACGCCATCGACCTGCGTCGTGAAGTCTTCGACGAAGCGGAGAATGCTATCCACGCACTGCACGAGCCACCAGAACGAATGATCAGAGTACGAATAACCCTGGTTGTGAAAATAATGAAAAGGTCCAGTCTGGCTGTAAGAGTAGGCACGAACGTTCTAAAAATACGAGTCACTCTGGTTGTGGATTGGGCTCATAGAACGAAAGTCTTCCGCAAGCAAGGCAATTCGGAACGGGTAATCCGGACGGATGCTAGTCAACGATTGCTTAATTCAAACCGGATGTCGTCGCTAACTACGGCCTGACTGAAGCTCCAAACTTGTCAACTTCAACCTACTTTTGGGACTGACACATTGACCGCAGAAAATGCAGAAACGTGACCCGATGCCCGCTCTTAACTGCAAAACACTCGTTTCGATGAAAGGGCTGATCTATAACAACTTTCTTGGTCCATACAATCTACACTCCAATGGGCTAGAGTCCATTGAGCTTCGGCCAATTGTGAACGCTTCGCCCTCGACCCTTGCAAGTACTCCAGAATGTACATCAGTCTCCCCTTCGTCGGGCATATGTAACTTGGAACAGAAACGCAGGCAGTCCAGACTGCATAGCCGTAGCTTCTCACCTTGGGTACGTAGAACCAGAGCAGGAACGGCGTGATGAAGATTGAGGCCATCTCCTCGAAGAAGAGCACGAACTTGAACTGCATGATGAAGCAGATTCACCATGTTAAGACCACCCGTACCAGACATGAACCCTAAATCTGACCTGCCTCGGACTGCCCGACTTTTCCATCTCCCGATGCTCAATCCTTGCAGTTTTTACGCTAAAATCAATTCGGCTCCAATGCTCTCATTAGACTTTTCATGCAGACCTTTCTATCTCAAACCTTTGTCAGGACGCTTCCGTTCTTGCCTTTCGAAAAAACACCTGATCCTGCGCTGAAACGGGCATCACACAAACAAGCAGAGCCCATACTTTCGATGAGCACGAACCCACCTGAAACAAGGCCTCGAACTCCCCTCGCACTGCGTCCGTGTTGGCCTTCCCCCGCCAATGCTTGGGCATGTAGTGCGTGTAGCGCGCCGTGTACTGCATAACGGCCTCGGGGTCGAAGACCGTGAACTCTTCCGTGATGAGCGAACGGCTGACCGCTAGGATCGTGCCGAAAATGGCGGCATACCAAAATAGGTTCCGTTCGAATAGCTGCGGACGACGAAGGTAGATAGATGTTAGTACTTGATAATGCTGATGGCTACGGGGTTGAAGACAGGATCTTCTTCGTGTTGAGCGAGCAGTTCAAAGCCAAAATCGCTATCGCTGCGGACCAGGCAAGAGGATTGGAGCGGTACCCAATTGAAGAGGAACCCAACAGATCCCGCACAATTCTCGAATTGGGAACCGAACTAAAAAGACCTGAAACTGTAGCGCCAGCACTTGATGCATTCGTGAACTCTCCGCAATCACCTACTTCGTGAGTCCGACTTCAAAAGCAGTAAGCGGCAGGAATAGTAAGCTGAGTATTCTGAGACGTCTGGGATTAGGTTTGGAAATTCAGGGTGGGTAAAGGTGCGAAGTGGGTCAATTTCTTGGTTTACGGTGGTTGGGAGCTGATTGTTGCTGAAGCACCTTATCCCTACAGTTCGACCGTAATACTTACTTGGGCCTCGAGCAGCGTCAAAGAGGGCCACGCCGAGAACGAATGCGCCGAATGCGCCAGTGTCAAAGGATATCAAATCGAAGAATATCAATCAAGCACGTCTGTAGCAACAGCAATTAAGGGCAAATGTAAGGGCGTTCAAGATCACTTACTTGGGCCTCGAGTAGTGACTCGTCGAGTAGGGCTACGCCGAGAAGCACGGCTGCGCGGGCGCTGGTGACGAAGTCCACAGATTCCTTGTATTTTCAAAAACCAGAATAACATCCAAACATAGCCAAAATAGCCGAGCATCCATAAGCTCATTCCAGATGACTTACTTGGGCTTCGAGCAGCGACTCGTCGAGTAGGGCTACGCCGAGAAGCACGGCTGCGCAGGCGCCGGTGACAAAGGAGACGAACTTTGCGACCATGGACACGATGGGGGAGGGGAACTGTTTGACGTAGGCGACCGCGTGCTGGTAGCTGGCGTTCAGGCGTCGCTGGAATAAGTGATCCAACTGCGAAATAGGGGGAGATGCTGGATTCAGAAGAGGGAAAAGGAACAACTTTCAGCAACATGAGAAAAAAGATCGCTTTTCAAACTCAGACGGCGACTGATGGAGTGCTGCTTGATTGGTTTGATTCAACTGCTGAACGGAAAGAGATGCTGATCATCGGAAAAAGTCTCAGAAGGAAACTCTTCAACAATAGAAGAGAAGTCGCTTTTCAAAAAGAAGAATCGCTTCTTGGTTCCAATTGTCACATGCACAGCTGTTCAAGCGCCACTGGAATAAATGATCCACGTGCGGGAGGTGAGTTGCTGGTTGTCGAGGAATCTTTGTCAGAAGAAAAGTCGTCAAACAGCAGACGGAGGATAAGGAAGGCTTGCTTTATCATTTCAGTGTCTTACAGGCCACGCCACTTGATTCTGCTCATTAAAAAAGCTGGAAAGTCTGACCTAGCAGGTTTGGGTGGATGTAATGAGCAAGAGTGTGGTTGACGGATTGATTGACGGATGTTGGTGAGATAACAGAGCATGTGAGCAGCTTCTCGCTCTTGTCACGCAGAGGAGGCAAAGAGGAACCGACGCGTATCCTGGCCAGAACACCCCGACCATCGATCCCGTCCAGGAGATGCAAAAACATCAGACTGAGCGATCTTCTGTCGGGCCCTAACTAATGTCGTTTAGGATGGGACACAGAAAGTGACCCTGCCCGCAACCTGAAACGGCAATCCGGAAGAGTGAAAGAAACGCACTTCTTTTGACATTTCAAGAAGCTCAGGTAGCTCCAAACTCCTGAAGCGACTCACTCAAACCCTTAATTCTATACCTCTAGGACCAAGAACTTGCAACTTGAGCTCCTGAAAACCTTGATATCCTGAACCGCTCACCTCATTGAACTCGCGGAGGCGCCACTTGGCGAGGTTGGACCAGCGCCGGCTGCCCACTGTGCCCGGCTGGTGGTAAAACTGCTCCGCGTTGCGCATGAAAAAGTACATCAGCATGAAGACCACCAGGAACGGCGACACGAGCGCCATCCCGACCCCGACCATGCGCAGGCGCCGCTTCAGCCGCTCGGGGTCGCGGACAAAGTCGCGCCGGATCGCAAAGTTGGCGTCGAACATGTGGTGCAAGATGCACCAGTTGAGGCTCCACTCGAGCGTCTTGGTCAGGACGAGGTGCCTGGTCCGGTTTTTTCGGCGCCCGGGTTTGCGAGTGCCCGCGAAACCCGGAAGGGGGGCCGCCCCGGGGACCCAGCGCGGCATCTCGAGCGCGAGGACGTTCTTGTTAAGCATGCCGATGGTGTAGTTCTCCTTGCGCATGATGCGGCTCACGATGTCGTGCGCCGAAAGCTCTTTGACGATGCACAGGCGCTGCCGGGACTGGAAGCGCACGACGCGGTCGACGAGGTCGGGCCACGACATCGTCTGCAGCTCCTTCTCACCCACGCCCAGCCTGAGAAGAAGAATTGAGACGGATATAAGCTGTGGGCAAATTGCAGTAGGCTATGTTCGCGATGGATTCAACCAAGTCGAGTTACGACATCGTCTGTAGCTCCTTCTACCCACGCCCAGCCTGCCAATACGAAGACGAGAAGAGTATAAGCTATGGGCCTACAGAAAAGTATGCTGACGACGCGATCAACGAGGTCGGGCGACGACATCGTCTGCAGCTCCTTCTCACCCACGCCCAGCCTGCCAAAACGAGAACGAGAGCAGGTTACGCTATGAGACTACAATGTGGTATAGGCTTTGAGAACAATCTGCCATGAGGCACAATCTACGACGTGCTCGGCAGAACGCGTATGATTTTACGAGAGCAATAAGTTATCCCCCGGACCAGGTCAAATTGCAGTCCGATCTGCAGCTCCTTCACATGGACGAAGAAGCGTAGGTTCGAAAGCAATTCTTTTGCATCCTTATAGAGCCCTCGTTCGTACAATAAGAGGGAATGGCGCGGAGGCGAACCCCACAAGAGTCTTGCAAGGCAAGAACTCGACGGGTCATGGTTTTGATATAAGGAAGGCCCTCGATTTCTCCAATCGACCACCAATACTGAGAACATCGGACTAATGGTTTAGGCCAACCCCTTTTGACACCAAGATGCCGAAACGGTGACTGAACGTGGAGACATACACAAAAGAAAAGCACCAAGTATCGCTAACAAACGTGACGCCGCCAAAGTCCCGCACCTCGAGCAACACAATCAGCCACAGAAAAGAAGCACCGGAAAGGGAACCGGCTTGACGATTACGAGACAAGGAACAAATGAACCAACGAAGAGACAGAAAAATCGACCAAAACAACAGAAGCTGACCCCCTCGCGCACCTTGAGCAGCTAGCTAGCCAACGTCGGAGTCACTTCTCCTTACATGTCAAAGAGAGAGAGACTAGGAAAGTGCGTGATGATAAGAGAACGACGAACCGAAGATATTGGAAGAAGCAAAGCTGACCCACCTGGCGTGGCAAAAGTCGCGCACTTCGAGCAGCTCCCTGAGCTGCAGGAAGAAGCGCGCGAAGCAGAAGGCCCAGAAGGCCGAGAACATGGCGAGGTACACGACGGCCATCGCCTTCAGAAACGTCATCGGGACGAGCGGGTGGCGAACCAGGCCCTCGCGCACCAGGTCGCACGGCTCGTGTCCCGCCTCTGCGGCCTGGATCCCGCACTTGGCCTGCGCGGGTCAGGAAGCGGGTTAAGAACCCCGGATCTCAAGAGTTGATTTCAATGATAACATGCTGTCAAAGAGATCGTAGGGGAGTTGACTGCTTAAGATGCGCCTGGCTTTCGCGCACCAGGTCGCACGGCTCGTGCCCCTCCTCCGCGGCCTGGATCCCGATCCTGGCTGCGCAGATCAGGAAGCGGGTTCGGAAGCGTGGTTAGTAAGCATGGATCTCTTACCATCATACGAAAGATTTTCGTTTTGATTGAACCATTGCTGTCATAAAAGTTCGCCGGAGCAAAGCGTTTTGTAAGATGTTGACAGCAAAAGCCTGTGCCTGCCTTTGCGGCCTGAGTTGCGCGCTCGACGTGCAGTGATTGCAATCTTGGCTGTCGAATGGGCCACCTCTGCTGAAACAGGAAGGTTCAGATCCGGGGACACTTGCGAACTAACTTCAGGTTGAGCCCCCTTAATCCGCATCTGTTTCACCCGTTTCACACGTTGCGTCGTCAGCCCCCCCACGTGGCAGACTATCAATCACTCACCCTTTCACGACCTTCTGAGTGGGACCAATGAGTGCTTGTGGAAATCGTGAAAGACTTCCTGGAGGGCTGCCGCAAGCACTGAACAAGGTCGCTGCCCTCAAGCAACCTGCTCCAAGCGTGTCAAGCGGACCCCAAAGGGGATTGTTACCTGACTGACTAAGTTAAGACAGAACATCACGGGACTGATAGAGCACATATCTGGGCATAATGTGTGCAAGGCAAGTCGGAAGAATCTGAACAAACCAGTGCGGTGCTTCTTGCACGGGTCAATTGTGGAGTGGCGGTCGATGTTGGGCCCACCCCAGACCTTTCAGAGGTCGGTTAGACGGCCACACCGATTTACATTGCAACATTTCAGTCCTGGATGGTATGATTACGACTGAAGTGACCAGAATACATGGGGAAAGTCTCATCGACAGGCAAGATAAAAGCTCATACGAGTTCCGAAATATGCGACGAGTATACATAACCCGAAAATGATAACAAGCGCTCACCTGCAGCAGCCACGGCCAGTTGACGAAGAGGATCAGGAACCCCGAGAACACAATCGTAAACCCGAGGGTTAACAGTTCCACCACCCACTGCGTGACAATGCACCAGAAGCCCTTGTTGCAATAGTAGTGATAGAGCCTCGCAAAGAAGTGGTCCAAGTCGCTGATAAGGTCCCACTTGAAGCTCTCCCCCCCCAAAATGTTCTCCGGCTCCCCCCCCACGAGCGGCTGGGCTTCTTCCCCCCCAATACGGGCGCGGCCCTTCCCGGGGGGGTGCATCTCGTTTCCAGGCCCCCCCGGCATGGGTGCGTATGACCCCCCCGTTAAGAATTCGTCCGGATCCATGGCAAGCAACTCAAGGCCGAGTCATGGAGGATAGGGACGGGGGGACAGAAGGCAAAGGGAGACTGTGGGACAACACTCAGGACACTTGGCGTGCGTACAAAAACCTGCAAAGGTAAACGATTTCAAACGTGAGCAGCTGGCGCTAAACAGCACTTTGAACAAAATGGTTTCACGGACTTTCGGCCAACCATATCAGGAGGTTGAGCTTGAACAGGTTTATGAACAGAAACCGCAATGTTGCTTCCTTGTAAGCGACCGCCGGAACGCCTTTAGGGACTGACGAGGTTGCTGCTTCACCTGATTGGCCAGTTGATATATCAAGTTTCATAACATGTATGTCAGAATGCAAATGGTCTCAGTATTATCGACTCGATGGCATCGATCCCAACGAGCTAAAGCAAAAAGTAGACTGGCTTTGTTCTTTACTAACCCTTTTGAGTATATCCAGTGAACAAACGAGTTGCATGCTTGTCAAACGTTGTGGTTGATGAGGTTTTGTCTGACTCTAAGGAGTCTCCTGAGATCAACATGCATGTTAGGCTTAGGGTTTGACAAGCAAACAGTAAGCACACTTGCAGCAGACAGTGTGAAAGGCCCAGCAGACTAACAACTATCGACACCGCAAGTGAACTCAAAAGGGTATGATAAGTAGTGGCGACCATCTGCTGACAGTCAGGTGGGGTAACCTTCGTGTGCTGCTGCTGAGATTGTGGCCAAACAACTAAAAAGACTTGTGGAAGTATTCCGGCAGTCAAATTGTAGTGAGTAGCAGCGCCACAACGAGAAACACTGTCTGTATCAGGAAAGCTCCTTGAACAAGAAGGGGATGCCTTCCACCTCAGTCAACCAGTAGGTATGGAACCCAGAGCAAACATTTATCTTTCAAATCACCCTTCACCTAGTCTGTCGCCTTACCAGATGTTCAAAGGTCCAAGCATGCCTAAGCAGTGTCTTGAAATGTGCAACACGTTGGTTTACCAGACACAGATTTAGGTAGAAAGCCTTCACAATAGGAGTCATTGCCAGGCAGATGTCGCCTGCTTCTTTGACAAAGAAGGTGACAGCAACTTAGAAGTTGGAATATGGCGCCTTGCCTCTTGCATTCCGCAGCTCTCCTCTTCCCTTGTGCTTCCCAGCCAGGAGGAATTCCAGGAACAACCTACCCAGGGCTACGACCTACGGCTGGGCTTGCCATCCAGCAGCCCCCAGCCAGGGCTCATATTAGCGCAATGCAACGTCCGACTCGTGTCTTGGGGCGCCATGCATGGCACCTGCCCTGGTGCCAGAAAAGTTCTGTAGCCAGGCTCGAATCGGAACACGCGACTTCGAGCGGAGAGTCTCTTTGGAGCGACCAAAAGGAAGGGATCTCGGGTTCCGTGGTCGCTTCAGAGAGTTCGAAACCTCTCTGTCTGATGATCTTTCACCACCGTCGGTTGGTAAGCCCTCCACACTTAGGAGCCGTCGGATGGCCCGCTTTTCCCTCGGGCAGACTTGCTAACTTCAATTTCACTCCGACTTGGGGCGAGGTTATTTTGAAAGGAGTGGCGCGAAGGAAGGGCCGTTTCTGGTTAACTTTACCTTCGACTCTGCGCAGCTTCACAATCTTTTACGAGACACATTGCATTCGTCTCGTCGAATGGTATCGTTAAACCACGCCGTAAACCTGGTGTTTCAAATTCCGGAACCCACCTGGTCCCATGCAGCTATACCGTATGGAGATGTGGATTCGAGACTCTGCTCTGTCTCAAAGAAGCACATACTAGGTATTTAATGGCCTTGAGGCATTCAAAAGGAGGGTTGCTTTTTGATCTTAAAGACTACCGTACGCGCACGCTCATTTAGCACCTGCCTCCGCGAAATATTTAATTTCGTTCGTTTTGTGTTTTCGCACCGGGTACTAGCCGAATATTTTGAACATTTCGTATTTTCGCAGAGGCGACCCCTTATATGTTAAAACGTACTGCAATTTGAGAATTTTGCACCTTGCCGTGCGGCCGGTACGGTCCCACCGACTTCTAGAGCACTGGGCCAGCCCAAAGAAGTCTACTGGACCGGTTTTCTCAGGCGTTTTTGGCATGTGATCGGCAGCGATCTTATTGCCCTGAATTTTAAGCAGTTTTCGCATTTTCGCATCACCTCTTGCAGAATTAATATTTTTTTTCGCACCGGCCTGAAAATAATTATTTTAGTGCTAAATGAGCGTGCGCGTACGGTACATCAGCTACCTACTTCATTGACTTGAAATGCTGGAAGGCATGTGCTTGCGATCGCCAGCAGAGCTCTCCGGGTAAAAATGCGGGGGCAGTAAGCTGAGAAGATTGAAATGAGTAACAGCTGACAGCTTGGAGAGCATTCAGGACTCTACGGGTCTCATGTACCTAGCCCGTACCTATATTGCCTCAGTTCTGCAGGAGAGAAAGTTTCCGTCATATGTTTGGAAGTGAAAACTCTTTGAAAACTGTAGCAATCACCTACCTGCAATGTGAGTACATAAATGAGTCCCTTGCAGAGAGAGTACTTCGAGCGCACCACCAATTGAGAAAGGTAAACCACCAGCTGAATTGGGATTTGACCAAGATCTGACACAAAATGGAGACTGATGGGGCCACAACAGAAGGACAGACTGTAGCGATGGACACAGCGACTGCCACCACTGCAAGCACGACCCCATCTCCTTTCAGCACTCCAGAGAAAGTGCCTATTTTCGGTGAGTCCTTAGCTCCCTACTGGCATTCCTCTCACAAAGGAAGGTTTTGGAGTATGCTCAGGAGTGTACATTGGCAAGCACTTACAACATCTAAGAAACAGTGCTGATTTAAAGAAGTGTTGCAAACCATTTCTGTTTTTGATCCTCAAAAACTCCAGGACAGCCACAATCAACCTCTGTATCAGGATCTTGCGTCTTGTTGTATCTTGAAGTGCAGAAATGAGTTGTCGTCTCAACTGAGATTGACATAACCGCTTGAAACATAAGATGAAGCCCAAAACATTCTACGTTTCCTTGATCATCCGACGATTTTTCCGCACTTCCACATGTCCTGCCCTGGTTACCCTGTGACAGCTCCTGTATGTCTCTGTCTGTCTTGCAGTTGAGGTCTGTTTGAAGCCGACAAGCACCGCCTCTTTGGACGAAGTCAAACGCGCAGTTGAGAGGTCAGCACAGTGACATCATTCTGAAGAAACTACATCCTTCTGTGACTTTCTGATCCTGGCTGTCAAGGTGGTGCGAGGCCTGGATCATGTTTTGCTGATGTGAGCGCTGACAAGGGCATGTACTTAATGGTCAAGCTCAATAGCTTTGAGCTTACCCAGCAAGCATTGCCAAAAATTATCCTGCTTTCGAGAACTTCAACGAGGCTAGCAGTCCCTTTTGCCTTGATTACCAGCATTGTGACAGCAGCATGTTGGCAATGGAAGTTGTTTTCAATTTCATTACAGGATGCTGAACAAGCGAAGCCTGTCCTATGTTGACGGGCCAATACCCTACACTCCTGGAGAGGACCCTTTCATCGACGCGCATGTCCAGAGCATCAGCATATGCGACACAGGTATAGCCAATAGAGCACAGCTTTAGTAAAAAGTTCCTTCTCTGCAGTAGCATTTGTTTCATTGTTACTTCCAATCAGTCTACAGGTGGACAGAATCTGGCCACTTCATGATAGCGGGCAGCTTGTTTACGACGAGTAACATAAGTTGTCAATGGAGGCTTTACTTTCAATAGTAGAGGCCAACCAGAGTCCGGATGACGCAGCACCAGGAGAGATGAGTTGGATCTCATGTGGTGCCATTATACATTTGACGTGAGAAAGTGATTGTGCAGATCGAAGAGGGGACGACCAGCGGGTGCTTCTCTTCTGGCAGGTGGCGCTTCAGATTCATGTGTATCAGGTGAGGAGGCCCCTTCTAGCGTGCAACCTAATCATCGCAGATGTCTTGATTTTTGAGGGTTATCGATGCATGGCCTAGCTTTTAAGCAACTCAGTCTCTGACTTACGCACAGTCAGGTGCTTCGCTGAGACCATGCAATCCCACCCATGTCGAGCTGCTGTTCTGATCTTTTGGTCATGCACATGGGAATCATTTAGAGAATCTCCTAGACCCTCTCTTTTTATTCATTTTGAAAGGTCATTTAAGAAGGCCAGACCACATTCAATCTGATTGAAGCTGGGCAAAATTGAGCTCGCAGAGCACAGAAGAAACCTATCACGTTTCTTGTTTCTACAACAAAACGAGCGGTGCCGACTGTTTCTCAGCCCTTTCTCAGCCTTCGTCGGTCAATTCAAACCTTTCTTTTCATGGAAAGTTACTAGAATCCGAAGGAGCAAGGGCAGCGGAAAGCTAGAGAACGAGATGTAAAAGCCGATATTCAAAAATTGCATGGGTCTCATTGAGCTCACTTGTATCTCTACCTGCTTCTGGCCTTCACCTCAAACCCTCATGGATTGTGCTTAACCCAGCCTTAACAACCCGATTCAACGCACAGCAAGAACGGTCCCACAGAGGAGGTGGACGACAAAAAGGACATTAAACATTCTGCTCGTGGACCAAAGAGGACCAGATATGGTCATTACTGAGCTCCCTCCCCTTAAGTCGGCCTATCTAACTTTAACCAAACCAGCACCGAAGCGAGGGGACAGCCCAGCAGAGGAGATGGAGGGCGATGAAGACATCTGAAGTCTCTCCTGTTGCCTTGACAAGTGTCGTTTCGTTTCTTCGGTGAAGCAGCCAAAGGCCATTTTGACCATCCTATTCGTGCTTAATCGATGTCCACAGCTCAGCGAGAGTGATCCGGCAAAGGGGCTGGAGAATGACGAAGACTGTGCCGCATTTCACTTGTTGCCTTGTCGACCCTACTGATTACAAGCCATTCTTGATTTGGCCTAACCCACCTTTGACCGAACCCGCAGCTCAGCGAAGACGACCCGGCCGAGGAGCTGGAGGGCGACGAAGACATTCCACGAGTCTCCTAGGAGTCGCCCTGAAAATTCACATTGTCGTTGAAGTAGCCAAGGGCTTCCTTCAACCCTCGTATTCCGCATTTTAACCAGTGCCTGAACCCCGCTTAACCCACCTTTCACCCAAATCAATAGTTGAACAAAGACGGCCCGGCCAAGGAGCTGGAGGGCGACGAAGACATTGTGACGTCCACGAGTAGCCTACGAATCGCCCCAAAAATTGTTATTGAGGTTAATCACCCTAGGGCTTCCTTCAACCCTCGTATTCCGCAATTTTAATTAGCGCCTAAACCCTGCTCAAGCCACTTTTAACCCAAACCCGCAGCTCAGCGAAGACGGCCCGGCCGAGGAGCTGGAGGGCGACGAGGACATTGCGACGTTCCACGAGTGGCAGCTCCCGGCGCGCGACTTCCACGGCCTGTGGGAGAGCCTTATCTTCGACACTGGGGTCAAGCAGCGGTTGCTCCGGTATGCCGCTAGCGCGCTGCTCTTCTCCGACCGGGGGGTCGACCCGCAGCTCGTCTCCTGGAACAGGTGAGCGGGCTGGAAGTGGCTATCCATTTCCGAATGGAAAGAGATTACAATCGGCTGCGTATCTGACAGCTCCGAGGGAGGAAGCAGCCTTCTGAAGATCGTCGGACGTTCGAGTTGGGGACTCTCTGCAGGCTGCAAAAATGAAAATTTTCAGGAATTAGAATTCGCCGTTGTTGATCCGATTGGTTTGGAAGGTTGGACGTTTCCGTGGAGGCGCGACAGAAAGAGTTTGCCGCATCATTGTCCAAAGTGCAGATTCGGATCTCGAAGGTGTGGGAAGGAAAGCTGATGGTCCAAGCAAATACTCTCAATTTCCTTGAGTCGCTGACGTCATCTTCCCTGCCCCAGGGTAGTACTTCTGCACGGTCCTCCCGGGACGGGCAAGACGTCGCTTTGTAAGGGCCTCGCGCAGAAGCTGTCAATCCGCTTTCGTGACAGGTGAGCGAAGATTCGTTTTCCGTATATTTTGCCCATAGCAACAGCCACCGTGACAATGCTTGTCCTTCTTGTATGTCGCATCCATGTTTCTCTACAAATCAGATCCTCTCAGTCGACCAATTGCACAAGATTCTGCCGGACATTTCGGCCTTCTCAAGAGCTTTTCATTCTGAACACATCACAACTACATCCCTACTTTGGCTGCCTTTCATGTTGAGCGGCATGCTCTTAGGTTCCAGGTTCTTTCGCGTTACCTCCTCGGCTCCATCGTGTTGAAACCCTCGAACACGTTCCACTTTGTCAACTATGGAGATGTGACGTCAGCCTTTGGGTCGAACCAAGCCCCGAGCTCAGGAACGCTCCGGTGACGTAGTCCCGACATTCGCTGACGTCACGCCCCGCGCCAGGTACCCGCAGGCGCAGCTAGTATAGGTGATACGCGGCCATGCTTGAGCACAGGAGTGCTCTGGTGACGTAGTCCTGCCGCTGACGTCACGCCCCGCGCCAGGTACCCGCAGGCGCAGCTGGTGGAGGTGAACGCGCACAGCCTGTTCAGCAAGTGGTTCTCGGAGAGCGGCAAGCTGGTGACCAAGCTCTTCCAGAAGATCCAGGAGCTCGTCGAGGAAGAGGGGAGCCTCGTCTTCGTGCTCATTGGTGAGCGGATCTTGAATCCCTAAAGCTTATGCGGGAGTTTGAAAGGAGGGCAGCCTTCTTCTCAACGGTGGGCAGGTCTGATTCTGGTTTGCGGTTCCAATGTTGGGGCCTATGTATGGAGGGCGTCGGATACAGGGGCCTACCTTAACATAAACTGTCGTCGGTGTGCGGGTTTTGGTTTACCGAGTCTTTCCGAGCTCTGTTAAATGTCAGCGCATGCGGACGAGGGACGTCAGAGTTTAGCACTCAATGGACCTGACTTGGTACGATCCCTCACTGGTGGGCAGGTCTTGGTTTATGTAGATTGAGGCTTTAATTTGAGGTGTGAGGGCGACAGTCGATCACGCGTCTCAACGGCGTTTCATCTCGTGCCGAACACTGTCGGTGCATGTCCTACATGGAATAGAAAAGCGTTCAGGCAAATTGCGTTTACAGACGACCAAGCGCGGGGCGTCTACAAATCGAGTTGGAAGTATGTCAGCTATCGGGCGAAAATTTGAGCAAAGGGCCGCCGCAGAAGCTTGAAAGCTGTAACGATATGCCGACCCGTTGCCGGTACTTCGGGTAAAGAGAAAGCTCCGTCAGTGACTTGTAGAGTGACTTGTCCTGTTCCTTGTTACGGCGGATCCCAAACCGTCTTTGAATCTAGAGGAAGAGGGTGAAGAACGGGAATAGGGGAAGCAGGATCAAGAATCAGCTTTGGATGAAGAGGCGTGTCTTTTGCGCTGCAGATGAGGTGGAAAGTCTAACAGCCGCCCGGCAAGCAGCGCTCTCGGGTTCGGAGCCTTCAGACTCAATACGGGTGAGTTGTTCGTTATGTCCTCGAGTAAAGAAAGACAGATCAGGGCGCTTTCCTTTGCAAAGGGAAGCTTCGAGTATCTAAACTTCAAAGCGAACAATGTCGATCTGAATCCTGGTAGGAGTCGGATGAGCGGCAACTCTCAAAACGGCATAGGTCACTCAACTGCGAAGCGTCAAGAGGATTCCCGCAATCCAATCTGCAAACTGCTCTGAAGACGCGCCAGGCATTTCAGTAAGAACGAGCAAAACTAAATTGGAGCTGCGCTCCAATCATGTGGCGATTAACCAGGATAGGAATGGAGCTGCTCATTTTCGCCGGCTCCGTCGTGCCATGACAATCCTGGTATTAGATCTTTGTAGTCGAATGCTGACCCCAACTCTTGAAGAACGCCTCTACTCTTCAGGTAGTCAACGCGTTGCTCACGCAAATCGATGCCCTCAAGACGCGGCCGAACGTCGTGATCCTGACCACCTCGAATATCACAGCCGCTATAGGTAACCCTTCCTCTTTTTATTTATTTGCTTGGTTACTGTCTGGTCTCTCTTCTGGTCCCCTCTATAGTTACAGCAATACATGGTTCTACAGAGGAAATTGCGCAGTGGCGCGATTTAAAAGCGTTCCCGCCTCGTTCTTGTTTACCCGAAATCCGGCTTGAAAGATGTCTGTGGCTGTCTCTTGAACGTAAGAGCAGGCCGGGTGTTTCGGTAGTAAGAAGCGGACGTCGGAGCTTGTGGATCTTGGCTCTGTTCAATGGTCGTTGCGTCACCCCGCATGTGCAATCATACGTGCTGTAAGTGCCCGTTATTCACAGCAAATGGGCTCTTTCTGGTCTCAAATCGCAGCAAAGTCAGCTTTGCAAGAGAGAGCTCCGCTTGGTTGAAAAGGCTTCCTTTTTCCATTGAGGTCGCGTTCGTCGACAAGGCACAGTCCACCTCAGATGTTCGAAGCCCCGAATCTGACATCCGAAGTACTGCACCGCAGAAGTGTGAGATGTACGATCGGTTTCTGAAGTCCACGCTTCCTTCAGACGTCGCCTCGCCCTAACTTCAGTACCTGAAAATGCATTGCCCCTCGAGAATCAGAAAATGATCCGCTTTCCGCAGACGTCGCCTTCGTTGACCGGGCGGACATCAAGGCGTATATCGGCCTCCCCTCTCTCCAAGCCCGGTACGAGATCCTCCGGTCAGCGGTCTACGAGCTGGCACGTGCCAAGATCATCGCGCTGCCCGAGGTGCGCCAAGGACCCTAGCTTTGAGCATTTTACAGCCTTTCACTTCGCAGAATTCACCAGGAATTACTGGCAGACGGTTCTGCACCATGCACCGGTTTTGTTCGAGCGCCTTGCAAAAAATGTCGTCGACACCCTGCCAGAGACGGACTGTTTGAGCTGAATCGAATGACCAGCCAGCCTCCGTGCCAACGAACCGTAATGGAACTGATGGATGTCACTTCTGAAGTTTGGCTTTTGGCCTCTGTGTCTGAATGAGAGGACTCATCCAACGGACCCTTCATTGTCTATCCCGGAATTTTCCTCAGAAGAGCACCTACCCAAGAAGATGGTCGATCTATTGCTTGCACGATTCTGTCGCCTGCGAATCCACCTCTGATCATCAGCTGACCCACTCTTCGAAATCACCGACTAGAGTCGGCGTGTGCGACAGCAGCGACTCCCTTTGAAGCGACCGGTCGTGAGATTTGCAAGGCCTAAGGCTTCCCTTTCACTTGCACCGCAGGGAAAGGCGGAGGCGTTCCTCCCCGCCCCTTATTCACACCGGTCGGCCTCGGCTTTTAGCTCAGACCCTGGGGGCCCTTCCACGGAGGCGCGAGAAGCCAGCGAAGCGCTGCTCGAAACGTCACGGGCCTGCGAGGTACGGTTTGTCTCACCCCTGCCAGGTCTCCTTCGCTTGCGACCTTTCTTCTCTTTGATTTGCCCACAGTACAGATGTCCTCGGAGTTCGGGCCCCTTGAAATTCGACAGAGGGCCTAGACTGTGAGGCCTCGCATAGAACACGCAAGCACATCCTTCTGCGCTATCAAGGGGTAAACAATCATATGATTTTCCCCCGGACAGGGCCTTAGCGGGTGGGCCCTTCGAAAGCTCCCCTTTCTAGCGCACGCGGCGCCAACTGTTGGGCCCTGTGTAGTCACCGCAAGCACTTTTGCTCCGCTTGTTTGGCGCACAAACAATCAATCCTCCTCTGTAAAGGGCCTCAGCGGGCGGGCCCTGCGAAAGCTCCCCTTCCTGGCGCACGCGGCGCACGTCGGCGGGGGGCACTGCACGTGTCGGAGCTTCATAAGCGCCCTGCACACGGCCATAAGCAGCGAGCTGGCGGACCGAGAGGAGATGGACGGGCGGATACGGGGCACGTGACTCTGCTGGTGAGTGCCGAAGTGGGGGCGAGGAAAAGACAAGAACACGTCAGGCTTATGAGGCTGCGTGACGTCACCAAAGCTTGCGCTTGTCGTCGTTTCCAGTCGACGCTCGGCTCAAGAGCCTCAACCTTGAGTTGCTTGTTATCATTCGGCTCTGAAAAATAGAACTTGAACGGTAAAAGGTTCTGGGCTATGCTAAAACGGCTGCCAGCCACAATAGACACAAACTTTAGGAGGCGCTCCTCCGCTTTCCTGGTGACTTGCCACGATTCATGCACTTTAAACGTGCCAGTAATTTTGTTCCCCTCCTCCCGATGATGGCGTGTTGTCGAGTTTGCTTACACAAGTCGAACTTTCGCGTTTGTACCAAATGTCACGGGGCCTACGCTTCTCACTAGAGTCGCTGCTGCCTTTGTCGTCGTAGTTTGAACACGATTGAAGGGACCCTTAAATGCCATCGTCGTAGTTTGAACACAATTGAAGGGACCCTTGAATGCCATCCGAATGTACTTCGCTCCGTTTGTTGTGGGTGTACTAACCCCGTCGTCGAACTCAAGGTTGTCTTTTGAACTCCGCTCTCCTGCATTGTTCGCCGATAAGAATGTCCCCTTTGACCTGAATTACTATTCCAGACCCTCCGCAGATCGCTTCATGCAGTTGCTGGACTGACCGAGCCAACCCCAGACTTGAGATATGTCCCGTTATTTTGCAGGTCCGAAGCGGGCGTCAGCCGCCGTTCTGACAGATTTTACGTTGCGACTTGTATTCACAAGCATTCATTCAAGGTGCAAGAGTCCAGCAATGCACCACAGTCGAGGGACGCAGATGTAAGGTCCATAAGATCATGTTGATAACTTTTCTCCTGAAACAGCTGCCTTTCTGAGTTGCTAAGCAAGCAGCAGGGGAAAGCGTGAACGCTACGTTCAAAGCAAGGCCGCCAGACGCAGCAGATTGGGCGAAAGGCACCCGGTGCCTTAACTCGAGCGTTTGATGAGTACAGTTAGTGTAACAAGAGACGCCCTCGAATGCAATCCGATGCGCATCAATCATCGGAGTATGCGTATGCAGTAGTTTTGATCTGACAAGCTTCCGGCACGTGCGGATTTCACACCGTTGACGTATCAACATTCACGCATACAATCAGGATTAGTTTGACCTCCGCATTGAAGCGGACTCAAAAGCGCTAGGTTTCTAAACGATGCATGATCATCAGGAGCTAAAAGTTGGATCAGCTGAGAGTCATGTTAAATTGTGTATGGTAGTGATCCGTACGCGGCTCTCTGTACATGACATAGCGCGAGCAACCGCCATGGCCCGGCAACTTATTCAATGGCTGCATGGCGCCGTCGATCTTTATAGCTCGAGAAAAGGTCGGTGTGGGAGCCTCAAGTGCCCATCCGGGTTTCATGGAGTCGCGGACCTAGCTAGAGTCTGTTATATTAGAAAAACATACCAGCGCGTGCCCCCGTGCCAGTGCCAGATCAACCGTCTGAGATCTGAATGGTTCACAATCAAGATTTCGAGATGGCTCGATTAGCTGGAGCTAGCAGTGACCCTTAATGACCATGCAACTTCGGCGTCAACCTCGCGCCGCCCAAAACAGTTTCAAGTCAATCTAAAAGCATACTTTGTAGGCCGCCGCCGTGCAAAAGAACCGACATTCCAGTTTAATTATGATTATCTAGATCGATACTAGGATAACACTACTCTGCTCTTCGGATCTTCGTTTGCCGGCCCCATACCCGCGAGATCCGAGTCCACAGTTTTCGCGTTTGGCACTGCATCCCACTTTCCCATTTTCGCCCGGGCACCGTCTCGCCTCCGCAAAAGCTTTCGATCGAGTGATTAGCACTCCTGAGTGAGTCTGGTTCGCCTTCGAGTGGAAAGGGACCTGACTGCAAATGGCGGCACATTAATTCATGCACCCGTCTCGCGGCCAAGCTAGAGTTCATTAATTACCCAAAACCTGTACATGCATGCCAGCAATGTAGGATGTCTAATTGATGATTACATGGGTGCGATTTGACGTAGGTCCACTCACACCAAGATCGACATGACACGACACGGTAATTGGCGTGGCAAGAAGTCTACTAAAATCATAGTCTCCCGACGGTTGTATTCGCTCAGATTTCGATGGGCGGACCCTATTGCAGCTACTGATGAAGCTTAATGTCAATTGGATCACGAAGCACTGTACGAAGCATCTTAGGGGCTATCATAGTACGAGTATCCTGCCTCCAAGCTCGTAGTATGTCTAGTACGTGGACACTTGCAGGTTCGTGATGTTCTGGAGAAAGCCATTCAACGGTCCTATCAGACGGTAAGTTCTTGTTCAAATCTATGTTGCAAACCTGGTCTATGACGACAAACGCGCACTTAACCGAGCGCCGCCAACTTGATCGAGCGGGCCAGCGCGAAAAAGCGGACGTTGAAGGCGAAGATCGAAGGTGGCACATTGGTAGGGCTGTCCACAATGACACTGCGGATGGCGACACCAGTCGCGCCCGAGAAGCGGCCGGTGCCGCCAACGACGGCGAGGTCTAGTGGCACATTCGGGTTGACGGGGCCCTGGACATAAAGAAACGACGATTCAGGAATAGGAAGCTTCAGAAAAAAATATATATATACCAGCCTGGGACGCGTTCGGTTACTTTGGGAGGTAAGTGTGGGCACCGGTTCGGTAGCAGGGTCTTGGGTTAGGGTCTTGGGGTTAGGTAAATCTGAATCAGATCGCTAACACTAAAGCTTACGATTCGTAGATTGTCGGAGACATCTAATATATATACCTGAATATGAGCACATTGGCTTTTCTCAGTCGGATGGCCAAACCGATCAACCGTGAACGGTCAACAAGTGACGTCAACATTTAAGTCTGGGGAACGACGGCGAACTCAGAACGCTGCATTTGAGTTCCATTACTCTCTGGCTCAAGAACATCTGATTTCTAGGGTTCAGAACAGTTATTTGGAATCGAATAGCTTTTGTTCAAAGCGGGGTTAACCAAGGGGGTTGACAACGATCCTCGAGCTCTTCAGCTGCAGGGGAAACCTATTTCTCTTCAACGCAGACGAGTTCAAGTCGAAACGTCTTCCCAAACCACTTAGCATGGGGCGTTGTTTTTGAGCGTCGAAGTTAAAGTTAACAGAGAAAGTTGACCGCCAGAGAAGAAATGCAGCTTCAGAAACCGGGTACGTACCGTAAAGAACCTGGAGTTGTGCGCGCTTGGAGAACTCTTGAGTACGTACAAAATGCTGGAGTTTCTTCGCAATTCAAGAACGTACAAGGTCGTACCTAAAACCTAACCGCCACAGAAATGTTGCGGCCTTTGGAAAGCGGTACGTACCGTGACGGAGAAGCTGGAGTTGTGCGCGTCATTGAAGATGAATGTGCCCAGGCACTCAAACTGGATCTGACCCGTCACAGTGAGGCCAGCTGTCACGAAGCAAAAGCCCTGGAGCCGCCCCAAGGTTTTCGTTCGTGTTGAAGTCGACAATGGCGTTGCTGCAGTGGAGGAATGACGTACGAGGCTGACGTGAGCCAGAGTTCAGTCAAGCAGACGCATAGCGTGAAGTCAGCGCGAGAGAACAGTTTTAACTGTTCATAGGCACACCAGAGTATTGAGGCTTGATTCATTTTCCTACAACATGGTTGGTACTGGCTCTTTAACATGCTTGAAAGTCCGGCCGTCAGGAGTTCTCGTTTCTAGAGTGCCAGCTTCGCATACGTCATCAGCCACGACGGCAGACGTGAAAGCTGTTCATGACTTAGAACAGTGCCTCGACTTGCCAGAGGAAGGTTTCGCTCACAGGGGGCTTTTGATCCCCACCAAACTTGGTAAAGGGTGTTTAACCAGGCCTCAAGCAGTCTACTCCAGTGTAAGGGCATCAAAACCATGCATGCCTAACCAGGCTTGCTTAGGGTTTAGGTTTTGAATCAGTTGATTGCTCACTTGACCACCAATTCGCTTCCAAAGGTGGTGCCTGTCAACAAGAAAGTCTCAGGGGTCTGGATCTCCCTCAGCTGGAAGTCGAACTGTTTGTACTCCAGGTTTATGTTGCCAGCCGAGTGCACGCTCGCCAAAAGGGCGAACGCCAGCGTCAGCATCACCTGTACGTGACGTCAAAGCCAAGAAAGGTCAACTAAGCTGACATCAGCTTGTGCTTACAAGGTGAAGGCCTGGTTCTTGGCAACGAAGACAGAATTAAGACTCCAAGAAGACAGTGCAGGAAGCTCAATTTCAAGTCAACGGGGACCTTGAAACCCTAGGTCATGGATAGGGTCTTCTTGGACATGGAAAGATCATGAACGAGGAATGCAGGAAGCAAACTCAAGAAGACGTCCAGGGAAAACCCTTTGAATCTTACAACGGGGAGCCTGAGATTCTACAGTAGCTCTGCATGCTAGGCTACGGTTTTCATGGACGTGGAAAGATAATGGAAAGGTAATCTATGTGAGACCGCTTTAATAATGGCGTTACACTGGGTGTGAAGAAGCGCGAAGAAGCGTAAGAATCTTGATGACTCACTCAAGACGGCTGAGATGCGCTGGATTCAAAGGGAAACTAAGAGGAAGCTCCACGCGCCCCAATAGACAAAGCAGGGGGAACCATCTGATGAAATTCTAGTTACTCAGTTCGATGAGGAGTTTCAGAAAGCAAGTAGAACAGACAAGTAAATAGCATCAGCAATTACTCTGAGGGTTCGCAAATCCAGCATGGGAATATTGCATACACCATCTCAAGGAAGAGAACTTACCATCAGTTTGATGGAGGCAGCCATCTTGGTTGGTCGACTGAAGACGTACCGGTTCGCGTGTAGCCGCCTTAAAGTTGAGCTGAGAGCTTCGACTATTTGACGACAAGAATTGTTGACGATGTGCTGTAGGTTTTCTGATTGTATGGATCTGGTTTGCTCTGTTTATATAGCTTCAAAAAGGGGGCCGCTCAGAAAGCACATTTCATCCTTGTAGGCACTGCCTCGAGTCTCCGAAGTCCCATGAGCATCTTTTCCCTCTTGCTTCTCAGCATGCGCCTAAGCTCAACGAGACCAAACCTCGGCCATTACGCGAAACAGCTCGAGCGTCTAGTGAGGCGTCTATGCAGGCGTGAAAATCAATGTCAGTAGTATACGCGCTTCCATTAAGCCTCATCAGTAAGTGAGCGATGAAGGTTCTAGTGTTAGCCTCATCAGCAATCTGCAAACAGAATGAAACTGCTACAGCATACGAAGGTTACCAATCACTTCAAAGAAGACGCCCAGACCAATCCAAGAATATACCTCATGATAAGTATCATTACGCTTCCGATAATAGTGTATTAAATTGCCGTTGGACACCACGAAAGTGCATGACGGCCTCAAGATATACAAGATTTCTTAGTGAAGATTTTGAACGGGTTTCTGTATCACTTCGATTCAGACGGCCCGGTGTCTCAAAAACAATTATGTGTCTACGTCTCAGAGCCGAGTATATTCTTGTTCCGAGACACCGTCTGGTTCGAGGAGATACACCCTGAACCACATGTAGCCGGCAGAGTTGTTTGTTGCAGAGTCTCTAGTTCTTGTCACTTGTGGATCCAACGTATGTACAGGTTGGCTGGCCTCCTCTCGATTTCATGCAACTGATACGTACTGGTCGCCCAGGCAGCGCGCTTCTGGCGGCGCGGCCGCGCGCGCATGTACCATTCGCGGCCACGAGCGCGGCCGCGATACTCACTACCTGGCATTCGCCGCCATATTCTGTAGTACAGGCCCTTGAGGATTGCCACCATGCTCATTGCTTCTTGAAGGAGGCGCAGTGAGCCGACTCATATCTGTTGATTTCGCTTGTTCCGAGCACGCCAACTCTGAAGTTCGCACCGGTCCTTACTGCCTATTTAGATCGAAGTGTGACCCTAAATCAAAATGTAGATTGCTGGCTGCGATGAGCGGCGTCTTGGGACGAGGAGGCTGCGGCCCACTGCATTTTCCACACTCTGAGGCCTGATGACTCAGCTATGCCCACGATTTTGTTTTCTGGTCTTCTTTTTCTACGCTGATTTGACCCACTGTATGTTTGCAAAGCCAAATGCGACCGGTTGCCCTCATCCATTCGCGGATCGTCCACAAACACAACAACTTAGATATCCGAATGACAAAACACTTGAACCAGAAACGCATCCCCCGCGCGCTCTTCTTACGCCGGGATCTCGCGCTGGGGCTCGGGCATGTCCTGGAAGGCGACCTCCTTTTTCATGGACTGGAACTCGAGCGGCTTCTTCGCCTCGCGGCGCCGCGCGAGCGCGAAGAGCGCGAGTCCCGCGAGCACCGCCAGGCCGACCGCGCCGCCGACAGCGCCGCCAATGATTGCGGCCACGTTCTGTGAAGAAGGAGAACGAGCATTTCATCGTTTGTATTCTATCAAATGTCTTGCCTTCGCAGTCTCAGGTTTCGTCATGGATGTGCGCGTCCTTTTTTCCGCCTCATTCCAACGGTTTTGAGTGCGTCCTGTTACGCCGCCTACAGTTGCGACCACGTTCTGTAAAGAAGGAGAACGAGCATCTCGCCGTTTTATTGCTCTATTCGCGTCTCCTGTTCCTACTGTCTCAGGTTTGGTCAATGACGTGCGCTCCCCATTTTCCACCTCATTTCGTTCTTGGATAGTGCGTCCTGCAACGCCGCCCATTGAAGATCGCGGCTGAGTTCTGTCGGCAAAAGCGAAGCGGTTCAACCGCTGTACTTTCTGTTTTAAGCTCTAGAATGATAGCTGGGTCTTAGACTGTGCTTGTTTCTCTACCGTCCACTTCTAACACTCCGTGTCTCTGGTAAGATTCATACCTGCCCTACCGATTCTTGACGGACTTTTTGGTTTCGTCCCTTTTCGGCTCTGATTCTTGACCAACCTGTGTTTCCTTGCGCTGTACAATATGCCGCGCACGAAGACCCCCAGCTGCTGCAAGAACCGAAAATAAAAAGAGCAGTGTTTCCTCTTCATAAGCGCTTAGTTTCAAACTTTTGCACACTCCTCACCGTGCCTCCGCCGCCGTCTTTCGTGGCGGGAGTTGAAGAGGTGGGTGACGTGGAAGTAGTGCCCGGGGCCGCAGGGTTTGCGGCCGCGGCCGCGACTCCGGCCCCCGGCGGCGTAGGCGGGGTCTCAGTGAAGCAGGCGTCGTACGAGCAGGCGACCGGTCCTGCGAACGGGAACGAGACGGCGAATTTGCAGACCGGGGGGCGGGGCAAACGGTCGCCGAGGAAGAAGCAACGCCCTTGGGTTGCCCGGTCAGTGAGAGGCAGCTGATAGGTTCTGGTGCTCCTTCAGAAAGAGGTTTCCTGAAAGGTATCCAAAGCGGAGAACGCGGTTGCAGTTTGAAAACTGGAGAACGTATTCGGATCAACCTTTGGAGTGGAAACGCTTTCGACCCGGCTCAGGCTGCCAGGATTCGACACGACATGTTTTGCAACGCCACTCGTCCGTTTCGATGCGGTCTCGAGCACCATTTCCCACAAACGACGCCAGCTCGGAGAGAATAACAGCCATCATCAACTACTTGCTGACGTTAGGATAACGTGAAGTCTGCAGGGAGGTGACGTCAGCTCACCCGTGTTCACGGCGGGCGTCGTGCAGTTCAACGTCTCCGTTCCGTCGTCGGCGCCCACGGTAGCGGAGAGGGAACCCCCCAGGCAGCTCGCCGTCGCGGGATCGTAACACGTGGCAGTGCACAGCTGCTGGCCCCTGTGATTGGAGTGACACGTGTCATTTTTTTTCCGGTCAAAGAAAGGGTTCAAAGAGTGCGTGGAACAGGTAATTCTAAAGGTTGCCTTGCAAGGCTTTGAGCATGCGCAGCGATATCGATTCCACAAAGTATGGTCTGTCGAGGATAGTTAGCAGCTTGGAGAATGCTGTGAACGGAACTGATCGACGTGGGATAAGGTTCCGCGTCGACCGAGATGGCTGAGCGCTCATCTCCGGTCGTGACGACCAAATAGAACGCTTCAATGGATCACGTGGTAAAAAAAGTACAGACCTAGTACAAGTTTTAGCTGGAGCGGTACTATCCAAAGCCGTACGCGGACCGGAGATGCGAAGCTGGCGAGCCAAGCAGTTTTCGGTCGACGCGGAACCTAACATCTTCCGCAGCTGGAGCAGACGGTATCCTTGAGCGGGAGCTAACATGTTAAAAGCAGACGGTTCGCGGGAGCTAGAGTAGAGCGGCCACAGAAACGACGGCTTTGGGGCCACTGATCTGCCACAAACATTCTGACGCGTTTCGCAATGAGTCGCCAATCCCCGGGCCCCACCTTCTGCCGTGTGGGTTGTGCGAGTATGGGTCCGCTCAGTAAGCCCATCCTTTCATCGTGGCACCTTCTCTAAGCACTTCTGATGGGGCTGTTCTTACCCAGGCGTCGATTATTGATAAAAACAACCCACCCTAGATTTCGCATCATCATGCAGATTCTGGTTTGACCGGCATGCCACCTCAGATCGGCGGACCTGCTACAGTAGAGACCTGTCGCCGCAACCCTCTCGGACTTTTCACGCTTTTGCAGCGACACGACGGAAAGAGAAAACCGTGAACCGCGCGCTTGACACCACTCACAGGAGGCAAGTCTTCCCGTTGATGCAGACGCTGCTGGTGGTGTCAATCGCGGCCCCGCAGTTGGCCCACCCGACCAAGCCGTCCGGGCACCCCGGGTTGCCGCCGAACTTCGGAGCGCTCGTGACCGGGGGTTCCGCTGCTGTGGACGCTGACGTCACGGGAGCCGCGGTCGCTGACGTCACGGGCGCGGGCTGCGGCGCGAGGGGGGCGCCGGTTTCGATTGGGCAGCCGTCGCCAGCGCAAGCCACGGGACCTGCGAACAATTCTCACTTCTCAATCTGCCCGTTTACAAGATTCGCCGTGTTTCTTGACTGCTAAATCCACGAAAACATCAGTGACTTCCTCGGTTCAAAGGGTTTTCCTGGAAGTTGGGTTGGATCTCCGCTTCAATCATTGTATCTAGTCCAAAAGCTCCTTCAACTCATAGAATTTTTCTTGACCGTCTTTCTGGAGTTTAAGGGTTCGGACACGGTCCATACGGTCTGGTTCGATTCTCCAGACGGTATGGACCAGCCTTTGTTAAATGACAGGTAGCGACCCTATGCGACGGGACAGAACGCTGCGATTCAAGAGTTCTCGTCCCTTGCTAAACGCAGCAAATCTTTTTCGCTTTTGCCTACGTGCAGCAGGATCAGTATTGGTTTGCGGGAGCGATCAAGGCAGAAGCTTGCTACTCTCCGGTTGCAACACTCGCGATGAGACATCCGTCCTTCAAGTGCAATTTACTGAGTTGAAAAGAGGGTGGCCGAGCGTCCAGTAACACCGGTGGTCAGTCACGAAGCATTTCTTTAACGGCAGGGACCCACCGTCCCTTCAGCACAAGCCACAACTTCTCACCGTCCGGTCCAGACCTCAAGCTGCTTAAAGGTTCCCTCATCACTCGCCTTGGTCGGGTAATAGCAAGGATCTTTCTAGAGAAACTCGTTGCTACCCGTGCTTTCGACTCTGTATCCGGAGTAGTGAATGGTCGGCGCCTGGCTTTCTTGTCAAAAACGGTTCGTCTACCGAACAAGGCGGGCGCTCGAATAACTGTCTGCAGGCTTCTAAGCGCGGCTCTGACGTCAGCAAACGATGGCGTCAGCGTGACGACAGCGCCCACCTGTGTATGGTATCGGCAGCGTGCAGTTCTTGGTCTCGGTGCCGTCATCGGCGCCAACGGTCGCGCTGAGGGATCCCCTCACGCAGCTCGACGTCGTGGGATCGTAACACGTGGCACTGCAGAGCTGCTGGCCCCTGCGAATAAGCGGCAGACATGTTATGACCAACGAAATGGTACAGAGCTCCAGTTCTCAACGTGATGTGTTGACAGACGGAGAAGCATCTCCAAAAGGAACCCTGGAAGTGAAAAGCGTTGATTGTAGATTCAAGGAGCACTACCGCTGTTCTGATGGGATCGCTTTGCCCCCTCCGCATCACAATGGAATAAAGCAGAGAATCACAGCTGCGCTGCATGTGTGGCCTCCGCTTGCGTTCGCTTGCTGCACTGGACGGTTCCGATGCACACAAGCTACGACGCACGTGGCACTGAAAAGCACCCCAGTCTAAGCTTCGTCACACCAGCCATGAAAGCTTACGGCTGCCAATTTTTGCCAGCACAGACCGAGATTCCGAAATGCGGCTCGCGTGACATTCGGCCAGGCAGGGATCAAGTTTTGGCTCATTGGTTGGATTGCGGACACCGCGAGTTCAGGCAGACCGTACTGTCAACGCGGACAGTGTGAAAGCGGACGACTCTGCGCGGACGTCACTTGCCCAGGTGTTACATCAAGCATTTCAGTAGAGGACTACCGAAGTATCTTGTCAAAAGCCAGGGTTCAAGCAATTGATTGAGAGCGGGCGTTTTAACACCACTCACATGCGGCAGGTGTACCCGTTGATGCAGACCTGGCTGGTGGTGTCAAGCGCGGCGCCGCAGTTGACCCACCCGACTAAGCCGCTAGAGCAACCGGGATTGCCCGCGGAAGTCGGGGCAGGCTCCCCCTCCAGAAGGTGGCGACCTGCAAACCGATGTCGACCCAGTGAGATAGCCATAAGCTCCCCTCAAGTTCGCCTAAGACTGTCGACTCTTTGCCTCATGTTCTGCATACTCAGTTCTACTCATTCTCCGAGTCGTGCGCGTCAAGCCTGCCCTGCAATTTGGCATGCCGAATCCTTATTCAAAATCTAACTATTTCCTGTGTGAGCCCTGCCTACTTTTACCAAGCCCCTGCGAGTAGCAGAGGTTGGCAGGGCGGCAGTTGTGAAGATTTTTCGCAGAGCGCTTCCCACTTGGTCACTTGGTGGGTTGAAACCATTGATTGATCTCTGGTTAAATCGCAGACTACAAAGAGCTCTACAACCTGATAAATCAGCGTATAAAAAATTTCTGACTTGCTAGGTTCTGTGATAGGTCGTGACTAGGCTTTACGGGCCAAAGAGGTTGTGCTCTTGACCAGCTTCGAAAATATCGGACAAGTCTCCCTCAGGTTCGACTGCTCGACCTTAAGATTATCAAACTCCAGGAATAGCAGTTTTTCAAAGTCGGGACTAACTCTGAACTAGCGAGATTTATGCTCTGTTTAGAAGCAGATGACCAGTCACATTGTGGATATAGGATGCATGCAACCGTTTTGAATCTAGATTGGCAAAAACTGTTCAAGGCTTGAAGTGCAACCAATGGGAGAGCTTACCAGTCCCACTGGAATCAAAGTCGGATCTCCATCTGCAATGTAATCCGTGACAGCTCAGAACTCAACTGAGCAAGCAATATGTGGAGATATGATTTCAGACCAAACAATGTATCAACCTGAGCTGCTAGCAGCAAAAAAAGCCCGCGCAACGCCGCTGCCGACACCCTCAAAGAGAGCCAAGATGAACAAGCAGTGCGGGTGAATGCATATG